ATCGGCAATTTGTCCGGACTAGTATAAGCAGCCATACACACACACGTACGCACAGGTGCATGCACGTCGCTATCTATGTGCGATAATCTTGAACGCGACGTTAAACCCCATTTCTCCCATCACTGTCCTACACTCCCCTTCCTGTATTCCATTTCCGACATGGGTACAATGTGTGAAGCCCATTTCTGGTGTCCCCCGCCGTGATATTGCTGGAATATTGCTAAAAGCGGCGTAAAACCAAAATCACTCACTCACTCCTGTATTCCATGTAATCATCTTCCCTGTGACCTGACCTCATCCCTTCTCCGTCCTGTCCACCCCAGAGACACCCTCCCCTACTCTCTCATCTTACCCCGACGTCTGTTTCTGTCACCGTCACCGGCAACATCTACCTCGACGACTGCAGCTTCGTAGAAATCAACCAGCAAGGTAACACCCAGACTCAGTCTCTCATGAGACCCGAGTCTATCAGAAGAGTTCCAGCGGTCGCAGACTGGACGCTTGGTGTGGCATTTTGAGACCTAACTTCACAATCTAAACAGTCATGTGTTGTTTTGGGAACATATTTAGGACGTTGTGATAACAAAGCTCTCTACATCCAATTACTTCGTCGACAACTGCCTCGACGACTGCAGCTTCGTAGAAATCCACATGTCAGAATACACCCTCACTATATTAGAAATATTAGAGTGAGTGTGAGTGAGTTTGGTTTTACGCCGCTTTTAGCAATATTCCAGCAATATCACGGCGGGGGACACCAGAAATGGGCTTCACACATTGTACCCATGTCGGGAATCGAACCCGGGTCTTCGGCGTGACGAGCGAACGCTTTAACCACTAGGCTACCCGACCGCCCCTAGAAATATTAGAAATAAGGAAAGGAAAATATATTTCTCTTCGTAGAAAACGTTTCCTACTTTAAGACACTACACATTTTGTTCTGTGTACGGAATTATTCAAGAATCAAAAGTCCGAACGTCTGTCCTTGATCTTCGATCTTCAAATAGTAAAATCCGATAAAGTTTGGACGAGCTCAGTCCTAGTAACTGTACGAAAGATCAGAAAACAAAACGAAAGACACACAGATAGACAATCACAGACATTTATTTTAGGTGTGCAACCACACATACTCATCTAACAGAATGAAAACAATACAACATCACGAGATAATCACAACAGAGGCCGATGGGTAAGTTAATGAATGTTATCAAAATCATAAATTTGCCTAAAAAGTCTTTTATTTAAATACCAATATGCCAACCATACAAAGTGGAGAAATATGTGATCGTGGAAGATCTGGGAGGAGGGGCGGAATTGCAGCCAGACAGGAACCGACTGTGAGCCGACTGGGAGAGTGGAATGTGCTGGTGTCAGTCAGGTTTTGTTACGAGTTCGAACTCTGGTGGTATGGATTCAGTGGATTTACATTTGGTTGACATTATTGTCGGCGTGAAAGTATTAGTCAGTAGACACCTTTGTTGACCCTAATCTTGAATGTGTGGAGGTGTGTTTGGAAAGACCAGATACCTGTCTTTCCAACATAATGCAAGAGGGTGACAACCGTCGTCCCTGCAACACGTTATCACTGACTCCACACAACATATAAGGTCAACACAGCCCTTTTATAACACATCACACTTACGACCCTACTCTGGTGTCTTTGGAAGGTAATACCAGAGAGGTGACACTGGTGTCATCGGAACACAATACCAGAGAGGTGACACTGGTGTCATCGGAACACAATACCAGAGAGGTGACACTGGTGTCTTTGGAACAAAATACTAGAGAGGTGACACTGGTGTCTTTGGAACACAATACTAGAGAGGTGACACTGGTGTCTTTGGAACACAATACTAGAGAGGTGACACTGATGTCTTTGGAACACAATACCTGAGAGGTGACACTGGTGTCTTTCGAACATAATACCAGAGAAGTGACACTAGTGTCTTTGGAACACAATTCTGGAGAGGTGACACTGGTGTCGTTGGAACACAATAATAGAGAGGTGACACTGGTGTCTTTGGAACACAATTCTGGAGAGGTGACACTGGTGTCGTTGGAACACAATACCTGAGAGGTGACACTGGTGTCTTTCGAACATAATACCAGAGAAGTGACACTAGTGTCTTTGGAACACAATTCTGGAGAGGTGACACTGGTGTCGTTGGAACACAATAATAGAGAGGTGACACTGGTGTCTTTGGAACACAATTCTGGAGAGGTGACACTGGTGTCGTTGGAACACAATAATAGAGAGGTGACACTGGTGTCTTTGGAACACAATTCTGGAGAGGTGACACTGGTGTCTTTAGAACACAATACTAGAGAGGTGACACTGGTGTCTTTGGAACACAATACCAGAGAGGTGACACTGGTGTCTTTGGAACACAATACCAGAGAGGTGACACTGGTGTCGTTGGAACACAATACCAGAGAGGTGACACTGGTGTCCCCGGAACACATTACTGGATAGGTGACATTGGTGTCATCGGAACACAATACCAGAGAGGTGACACTGGTGTCATCGGAACACAATACCAGAGAGGTGACACTGGTGTCTTTGGAACACAATACTGGAGAGGTGACACTGATGTCTTTAACACAACACTGGATAGGTGACATTGGTGTCTTTGGAACAATACTAGAGAGTTGACACTGGTGTCTTTGGAAAACAATACAAGAGAGTTGACACTGATCTTTTTGGAACACAATACTGGAGAGGTGACATTGATGTCTTTGGAACACAATACCTGAGAGGTGACACTGGTGTATTTGGAACACAATACTTGAGAGGTGACACTGGTGTCTTTCGAACATAATACCAGAGAAGTGACACTAGTGTCTTTGGAACACAATTCTGGAGAGGTGACACTGGTGTCGTTGGAACACAATAATAGAGAGGTGACACTGGTGTCTTTGGAACACAATACTGAAGAGGTGACACTGGTGTTTTGGAACACAATACTAGAAGGGTGACACTGGTGTCTTTGGAACACAATACTAGAGAGGTGACACTGGTGGTACTGGTGTCTGGAGCACAATAGTAGGCAGCGACACTTGGTTCTCTGGAACACAATACCAGACGTCGACACAAGAGCACCACCATGGTGTGCTCAGAGCGAAGAAGGCATACTTGGTAATATTTCCATGTCAGTTTAAATTGCACACACGAACGGCAACGAAGTTTCGACACCGGATAGTACCTCTCGGAGGTTTGACAAGGTAGAGGATGAACCCACGTAACAGTTCCTCCAACACACACACACCAAGTTACGATACCGGATAGTTCCTCCAACACACACACACCAAGTTACGATACAGGATTGTTCATGTCCGGGGTTTGACAAGGTAGAGGATGAACCCACGTACCAGTTCCTCCAACACACACACACCAAGTTACGATACAGGATTGTTCATGTCCGGGGTTTGACAAAGTAGAGGATGAACCCACGTAACAGTTTCTCCAACACACACGCCTAGCTCACCAATGCAAATCTGTTTAAGTAATTTATCATACTATACGGTCATTTCTATGTGAATACTTTCATAATTGTAAAATTTGAGTGTCCTTGCTACTATATATTATTAGTATTGTTGCTATTATCATTATTAATGATCAATATCATAAGGAAAGAGAGAGGAAGATATTTTACAGAACGAGAAGAGCAAAGGAAGAGTAACATCCCCAAGCAAAACGGATGAATGAGACGATATCCCCAGGGGGAGTAGAGAACGTTCTTCAGCAAAGACTGAGTCACAACTCCAGGACGGAATGGAGAAAGAAGCAAGTAAGAAGAAAAGATGAGAGGACATTCCCTCGTAAGAAAGAGCCACAACTCCCAGACAAATGAAGGAAGATTCTCCATCAAAGTCGACACAATCCAACCAACATATGAGAGACCTTTCCCTTGCGGAAAAAGAGACACAACTCCCAGACAAGCGAGAGAACATTTTAGATCAAAGACTAGCACAACACGTCTTGCAAACAAGCGGACAATACTGGCTAAGAAACTCCCAGACAATTCAGAGACTTAGACTAACCCATCACCTTGAAAGAATAAATCAATGATCCCAGATAGATGTGAGACGACATCCAACCGTCACATAAGAGAGTTGAAATTATCAAGTTTTTCAGCAATACCCTGAACGTTCCCGGTGACACCTAACACCACACTGGCCACATCTAACACTTCGCAGGTCCCGCTCGAACACCTCATGGGTCCACTCTCTAACACCTCAATGACCACCTAACACCTCATCCATCCTGTCTTTAACACCTCACCGACCATCTCTATAACATCTCACTGACCGCCTCTTACACCTCACCGACCCCCTCTCTAACACCACACTGACAACATCTAACACTTTGCAGGTCCCGCTTGAACACCTCATGGGTCCACTCTAACACCTCAATGACCACCTAACACCTCACCTACCACCTCTCTAACACCTCACTGACCGCCTCTCTAACACCTCACTGACCTCTTCTCTAACACCTCACCGGCCACCTCTCTGACACCTCACGACCACCTCTCTAACACCTCACCGTACACCTCTCAAACACCTCATCGACTCTTCTCTAACACCTCACCGGCCACCTCTCTGACACCTCACGACCACCTCTCTAAAACCTCACCGTACACCTCTCTAACACCTCATCGACTCTTCTCTAACACCTCAACGACCACCTCTCCAACATCTCACTGACCGCCTCTCTAACACCTCGCCAACCCCTCTCACACACCTCACTGACCACCTCTCCAACACCTCACTAACCACCTCTCTAACACCCCACTAACCACCTCTCTAACACCCCACTAACCACACCTCTAGCCCCTGGTCGCTCACCACCTCTCTGACACCTCACCCCACCCCCTAACACCCGATGAACTAACCACCTCTCTGACACCCCACTAACCACACCTCTAGTCCCTGGTCGCTCACCACCTCTCTACTTCATCACCGACCCCTCTTTAACAACTTAAGAATGTTTTTGACAATATGACGCCGGTATTGAACCACATAGTCTGTACATCTTTAGCACGATTTAGTCCGACCTGGACTGTCAACAACACATGGAAATTGTGACACAACACTTCCGCACAATCCCGTCACAGTAGGTCAGTGTTCCTGCTGTTCTGGGTATTTGTCATCACTATATATCAGACAGTAAATCAACATGATAATCAAGATGTAAAAACGATAATTACACGTACATTTATGGATATCCGAATAATATGTTAAACTGTTTACCCATCAGCCTCTAATTTAACGCATCTCTTCTGAAGTTGATCAGAAGGTTTCTATACACAGAGCAAAAAGTTCATCGGGCGTTTCGATTTCAGTCAGGGCCAAGGTCGTTAGTGGGAGACATGGGCGTGGATCATGCAGGAATGACGTAGACGGCCGAAGACCAATAAGAATGCAGCTTTTACAGCATGAAGCCAGTCTTCATGCCTCCGAACATGCCCTTCTTCTTGGGCTTGTCCTGTTTGACTGCAAGAAAATAACAATGTCAGCCAATAATATGACACATGGTTGAAGTAGAAAAAAGGGCATCAAAACGAACACTGGAGTTGAGTAGTTTAAGGCATTTAAAAGGGATTCTATTGACGTCGTGTGCGTCTAGCGTGCATATTTCATACCTGGAACGGTCTTGACTTTGGAGGCTGCAACAGCAGCTGCAGCATCTTCGTCATTGGACAAGTTAGCATCAGCTGCAGACACCTTCTCAGCATCTAGTGCTGCAGCAGACTGGGCCTTCACCATGGCAACAGCTGCAGCTACTCTCTCGGCCTCAAGTGCTGCAGCAGCAGAATGGGCCTTCTTCGTGGCAGCTGCAGCTAATCTGTGGGCCTCCAACGCTGCAGGCGTCCCGGCGTTATTCTTTAAGTATGCAGACACTCTCTCGGCCTCCAGAGCTGCAGCAATCAGGGCCTCCTTCCAGGCGGCATACTCAGCGTCTGCTACAGCAGCAGCAACCTTGGCCAATCTCTCAGCCTCCATTGCATTAGCAATCATACCCTCCCGCTTCAGCATCTCCAATCTTTGATCTGTTGGGCCGAACGATTGTAGGTCAGGCCATCATTTACACAAAATATCAAGTTCCATTTCTAACTGTAATGCACATTTTAAGATATCGAAAGTATCTCAAACAAAACATGACATTCTTCTGTGCGCTACTCGCGACCGCCATTCACCTTATAGATTTGTGTTGCATGGAAAAATAGTATAGGTGAAGATATACTTCTATTGCCGCTATGGTTACAATCTCATAGTAAAACTGCGGGCAGAGTTTTGTTTCGTTTCTTTCATCTGGTTTAGAAAAAGGTCCCTTGTAGCCTTTACTTGTAAAACAAGACAAAATGGACGGGTTATCAGTCTTCGTGACTAGGTTGATAGCATGTCGCCTATGCATATGATGTCAATCTCTGAACTGTCTAGTCCAGACTCGATTATTTACAGACCGCCGTCTTAAAGGTGAAATGTTTACACAGTGCGGCATTAAACAACAAATAAACAAACAAAACTTTATTCATCATTACAAACGCCATGTATGTTTAAACAAATACCTACCATCGCGGTATCTGAGATATCTCTGTACCTCGTACACAGCCAAAGCCAACCCGTGCAGAAATATCATCTTGTTTTCAGTGCTGCCGGGAAAAGAAATATATATATATGCAGTTTATCATTCCCAAAGTGATACACGGTGTCTCCAGGACCGTGCGTCTTCAGTTTCTTTTAATATACGACCAATCAAAACACACGTTCAATGAACACGTTTTTTGTCTTCGTTAACCATAAAGTTTAACATGTCCCTTATTTCACAACTGATACAAAGACAGGACGTTTATTGTTCTTGAGGCCTTAGGTCCTTGCAACTTGTTATTAACTCTGGTTCACTGCGAGAGTGAGGGACATTGTTCTGGATAATACGTTATATATTCGTGGCATAGCTGAGAAGATTTTCATTACATATTCTCTTTTCATTTCGTACTGCTGTACGTTATGACTAAACTGGTCTAATTTATGGATGTTATTTTCAATGTTTAGGTTAACAAGCTACAAATGAATGCATACATTAGGATGGCGCACGATTGTGGAAGGAATTCTTCTCTTATTATTCTACGAGAAACACAAATAAACCACGAGGCTCACTCTTAATACCCACTGTGAGTTGGAAACGTGGAAACGAACCCTACCCTCACAGAACCTAAGTCCATCTTGTTGCCATGGAAACGTAAAAAATATAAATTTCTAAAATTTCTAAATAGCAAAAGGCACCAGTTCAGCATGTACCTGACAGACCTGCAAAGTTTGATGAAAAAATATTGAACGGTTTATGAGTTATGCTCCGGAAACGAAACGTGACGGACGGACGGACGGAGCCCGTTTCTATATACCCCGCCCAACTTCGTTGTGCGGGGGATAATAAACCACGAGGCTCACTCTTAATACCCACTGTGCACAGGGGACACAATCTCAAAGGGCTTAGGGTTGCCCTGTCTAAATAGGTAGAATATCACCAGTACCAGTACCAGTGCCAAAGATGTACAATATTCGCCTTAGAAAATAATAAGATTATTTTCTTTTTTTTTAAGTCTTCGTCAGAAAAGTCAGGGTTAAATATGTTGACACTTGCAGAAGTCGTTATGTACGATGCATGATAGGAAAGTGGGTAAGTGCATTTGTTCGTCACAGTTTCGACCGTGTTCGAATCCCCAGGTTTAAGCGTACACTTCAGTTAAAAACTGGCTTCTAAAACTAGCGAAAACATTACGCATTCACATATCATTGTTTATACATATGTGACGATAACTGTCACCTACCTCGCATCAACCAAGTGAGATGGCAGCGTCTAAAACGGCGTGGAACAACAACGGCAGCAACAAAACGTCTGACGAAGGCGGCGATGCGCTGACAATGAAGGCGTAACTATGCGGGGTCGTCTATGACGTCACTTCCCGTGAAAGGGATCTTTCGTGATGCGGGATGGGATTTGGGACGACGCTGTGCTTAATCATTGTGAAAAACGACTAGACTGATATTTTATTTTTCTATTAAACAACGGAGCACACAATGAATCAAGGTGAATAATAAACCAGTATGAATTTGAATAATACACACCACCTCATCACAAAACACTATATTATAAGTTAAATTGTAACCTGTGTCATTTGCAGGGGGTTAACGATCTGAATCGACTTTGACACCACGAGACCAAAGATACACCCCGCTGGTGGCATAAGTAACGAATTTAGCATTATACACAAATCACAAGACGTATTTTAGTGAAACAAATGTGTGTGACATTTTAGATGAATCTTGTGTCCACTACAGGTTCGGTAACTCTATCCGTCACCGTGCCTGGCCGCACTGTCATGACGCCGCGGTTTCAACAACGTATACAGTGTATCAATAGTGTTACAACGTTCCTATTTCTTCACACAGTGTATCCAACTTGTATAACATGCAACTTGAGTTGATTGTCTTTCCAACAGTATCTAAAGTCAACAAATCCCAAACATCTATGCACTGCCTCGACACCGATTAACGTGCAAGTATTGTAAGTTTCCTACATTAAACGAAATATGGAAGCACCAAAATATGGCAAGTAAAGTCATTGTCATTAAGCGCCATTGTTTTGAAATGAAAACGTCCAATAATTCATACCATTGCAAAGTACATATCCTAACGGTGATAGACATATGACATTAATGTCGAAGTACACATTCATTGAGAATTTTCCGTGATTTATATTTACCGATAACAAAACTTGTCAGTGTTTTTATTTTTAAGTCAAAACAAATTGACGGAAGTGGTCGTGATTAGTTCATACACAGACTTCAAAGATCATGTTACAATACGAATGACAGTTTGGAATACTAGTATATACCTTTAAGAAATCCCGGTTACATCCATATAAACATGGGACATTTTCAAAGGACAAAATGTTAAAGATCGCTAAACAGCCTAACGCCGAGGTTTGAAAAGTGAGGGACCATATATGGTCTCGTGGCACCAAGAGGGTACATTTGAGAACAGGTGAAATTGTCGCCGCGAAGTCTTCGCAATGAACTGCTCCATTCTTATAACTGGACATCTACAGATACAGGTCGCTGACACTAAGCATCCAATCATTCCATCAGACACGATATGTTTCGCTCGTCACGCCGAAATCCTAGGTCCGATTCCCCACATCTTTCAGTTTTCTCTTTTTGAACTTCTACATCTACATGTCATGGGTGGGTTGGGGTAACCTCAAAGAGGGTGTAAAACAATTCAACATTGAAATATTGACTTCCGCGTACCAGATAGTTAAACAGTCCTGAGTTATATCACAGAGTGAGTTAAACAGTCCGGAGTTTACACACAGAGTGAGTTAAACAGTCCGGAGTTATATCACAGAGTGAGTTAAACAGTCCTGAGTTATATCACATAGTGAGTTAAACAGTCCTGAGTTATATCACATAGTGAGTTAAACAGTCCTGAGTTATATCACAGAGTGAGTTAAACAGTCCTGAGTTATATCACAGAGTGAGTAAAACAGTCCTGAGTTATATCACAGAGTGAGTTAAACAGTCCTGAGTTATATCACAGAGTGAGTTAAACAGTCCTGAGTTATATCACATAGTGAGTTAAACAGTCCTGAGTTATATCACATAGTGAGTTAAACAGTCCTGAGTTATATCCCATAGTGAGTTAAACAGTCCGGAGTTATATCACAGAGTGAGTTAAACAGTCCTGAGTTATATCACAGAGTGAGTTAAACAGTCCGGAGTTATATCACAGAGTGAGTTAAACAGTCCTGAGTTATATCACAGAGTGGGTTAAACAGTCCGGAGTTATAGCACATAGTGAGTTAAACAGTCCTGAGTTATATCACAGAGTGAGTTAAACAGTCCTGATTTATATCACAGAGTGAGTTAAACAGTCCTGAGTTATATCACATAGTGAGTTAAACAGTCCTGAGTTATATCACAGAGTGAGTTAAACAGTCCTGAGTTATATCACAGAGTGAGTTAAACAGTCCTGAGTTAAATCACATAGTGAGTTAAACAGTCCTGAGTTATATCACATAGTGAGTTAAACAGTCCTGAGTTATATCACAGAGTGAGTTAAACAGTCCTGAGTTATATCCCATAGTGAGTTAAACAGTCCTGAGTTATATCACAGAGTGAGTTAAACAGTCCTGAGTTATATCACAGAGTGAGTTAAACAGTCCTGAGTTATATCACAGAGTGAGTTAAACAGTCCTGAGTTATATCACATAGTGAGTTAAACAGTCCTGAGTTATATCACATAGTGAGTTAGACGGTCCTGAGTTATATCACAGTGATGATGTGGGAAGAAAGGCCGCGTTGTTGGGAGGGGGACGTGAAACCACGAACAGGGGCACGGTGCCTAAAAAAACAATTAAAGCAGGAAAATGGGATTCAAACTGATCAGCGGATCATGGCACACCTAAGGGACACAACTTTTTCAAAAAGAATTGCGGCACCTTGGATAAGATGGGCTCCCATGACATCAGCTAGTATTAAAACATGATTACTTTGTGAACAAGCTACAAGGAATTTAGGACTAAATGTCCTGAATGGTGAACCTTAGCGACTTTCTATCAACATGAATTCAGGAGGGACAGATAATGAGCGATGTGAGTGAGTGAGGGAGCGTGTTTCTTCTTTAACGCTGTACCATTCCAGACTGAATGATGGTTGCCAGTAAATTATCAAATCTGGACCAGACAATCCAGTGACATATATTATGAGCATCCACCGTGGTGCAATGACTCTCTATCATTAAGCCACCTCGTAAGTCGACCAGCAATGGGTACCAGTGCTATATTCTTGTGCAAACCCTTCCTCAAACACATGTTTCATGGAAAAGACTTTTGGTATAATGAAACATATTTAAATTACAGATACAATAACACTTCATGCCATTTTCCAAAACTTTATTACACCTTTCCATCCATGTTTAAGTCATCTACAGATATTTCTCCAATAAAAGGGATCCGGAAATGTCCAATGTACACTTGTCCGTTCGCTTCAAATCCTTCACTGATGGCTGGTACGACCTTTGACCCTGGGTCATGATGACTTGCCATGATGTGACCTTGACTGTTGACCTCCAGCAGAAGAGAGTGTTTGGGCAGAAATATGTCATAGAACGCTAGCGGTGTCACCTGTATAAATAAGACAACGAGCAAGATTATTAGAACTGATGCCATAACTGACTGATACCTACTGAGACCAGACATTTGAACTGTTTGGGTTTATGTATCTTGGTAAAAACAAAAAAATCCAATTTCAAAATTTTGGGGGGGAGGCAATTTCCTCAGAATGTTAAGCAGGTATGACTAAAAAATGTGGGGACAGGAAGAATTGGGTTTTGTCAAAATTCATTGTGTTTTGAACTTAAATTTTCAACAAGTTTTAGTTATAAATTGCCTTCAATATATATTGGTAGCAACAGTAGATGAGTTTTTAAACATTTCACTTATTTCCAGTCAGAGGAAGAAAAGAAACCCTTTTCACTTAATTTTATTTTTACATTTCAATTTTTTGGAGTCAGTAGATTCGTAAACCAAGTTGAAACAAAAAGTCTTGCCTGACTTAAAAGTAATGTTGCATAAAGAGAAAAAAGGCGGATCAACTACAGAAAGAAAACAGGTTAATTTTGACTGCTGGTTCTTAGCTCCCACATCAGAAAAATATCAGAGGGCCTGCTATTGATTACACACATACTCTCATTAGTGAGTGAGCGAGTATGGTTTTACGCCGCTTTTAGCAATATTCGAGCAATATCACGGCGGGGGACACCAGAAATGGGCTTCACACATTGTATCTCATTAGTAGTTAGAGAGTGAGTGAGTTGGGTTTATGCCGCTTTTATCCAGTTATATCGCGGCGTGTCAGCTTAATGCAGGTCTCAGACGTTTACCACTTCGGTGAAACCCACGAGCACGGGAATGGTGCTGACAAACCTAGAAACATAATCGGGGCGAACCGGGATTGGAACCCACAATCATAGGTTTCTGGAATGCCCAAGGGACGCAACTCTGCACAGCGAATCACGGTGCCTGAGACGACTGGGCCACCCGTGCCCCACTCTCATTAGTAGTTAATTGATATGTTTCATCTTTTTTTCAACAAATAATCAAATACAAGGAATTTTGAATTTGTTCGGATGATCTGTTGGCTTGTATTTTTTTGGAGGGGTAATTCTTTCAAACTCTGTGACCAGAACATATATTATTAGAGTTTACACATTAGAATTGTTAGTGAAAAAGTTAAGAGTGAAATAATTCTCATATTACGCTGTCATGCTGATGACATCACAAGGTTTCCCTTAATTGTCTGTTCTGTAATAACCCTCATCGGTGATGAATACTATAACTAAGTGAGTGAGTTGGGGTTTAGCAGTCTTGTAATTCACTCAGTATACACCAGGTACACTGGGTTACACTTTTCAGTTGTGTGGAAGTTGGTTGGTTTTTGCCAATCAGCGTATATGAGGGGAGGGGGGTCAGTAAATTTCAATCCAATCCAATTAGTTTCCTCCTATCACAGGCAGAGGTTACTCTGACCAAGTAATCTATTAAAAAAAAGGAATTTTGCAGTGAACAGATGTTAACATTAGATCCAGTAAAATAAAAAGAAATCCTCCAAGATTGTTCACAACCCTGCTACACACACATCTGCTATCTGTGTTTTGTTTGTTGTGTAACTTGCACTCAGCAATATTCAGCCTGGACCAGACAGTCCAGTGACTGACAACATGAGCTGTGATCTACACAATTGGGATACGATGACATGCATGAACCAGGTCAGTGATCCCGTCAGCTGCCTCTTATGACAAGCCTGGATTCCAGAAGGCCAATTCTAATCCAGAATCTTCACTGGTGTTATAAGATCAAAATTATCAACCCAACCATTACTGATATCTGCCTTTTGTGTAAAGAATTTGTTAGTAGGCCTTATATAGCATAAGAATTTTGAGAAAGTTATTGTACAACCTTTGTCATGAGTCTCTTGAGTGCTGGGTATGGAGCTATGATATCCAGGAAAGACCCGAGAACGCTGGCTCCCTCGAACCTCACACTGCCGAGTCCAACATAGAAATGTCCTTGACTGTTCAGCTTGATGTTGTCAGGGTAACCAGGTAGGTTGTCAATCAAGATGTCTGTTTCACCTTGTTTGGGTCCATTGAGGTAATATCTGCATCATTAAGTCATATATATAGTATTCATTTCTGGCCAGGCTTTTAAAAAATTAACTGATTGGGAAGGGGGGGAATGACTTCATTTTTTAACATATTTCTTTAGTGGGTGGCAAAGTATTCTAATGTATCACACATACATGACCTCTTTTGGTCATGGCGTGAACGAAAAGTCAGAATTAAGGGCAAAATTAATTCTGAGTTGGAAATGTTGTTTCTCAACTATGTTAACAGGGCTTTAAAATAAAATAAGAATAAGATTTGTGGGAAATTTTAAGGGGGTCAATAAAAACAAAAGAATTATATTAACAAGCCTAAACATGACTACAACTGTCTAAGCCGGCAAATTGTGATATAATTTATTCAGATTAATATATGTGTCATCTCTTGTAAGACAGGAATATTTATCTTGATGAAATATGAACAAGATACATTCGTTATTTTGGACCAATTTCTGTAAGTGTCATTGGTTTTTTTATTTTAGGATTTAATTTACAATTCTCATTTAGGCCATTGGTATGGAAGGGTGTCCATGATACAAGAATTTGAATGCATCTAATAATACTAATAATGATGATGATGATGATTATAATAATAATGTAATTATTTAAAATGCAATTTTGATCTAAAATATACATTTGATTTCATTTTTAGCAATTGTAACTTCCAATAAGATCGGCTCTGACAAGTAAGGGGTGGGTGCCGGGGATGTGTTGTGACCGGGGATCACCACAGGGGATCACAGAAAGAGACAAGCACAAACATAAGAAACATACCTCCTTATCCTCACCAGGCTCATCTCAGCAATTGCCATGAAACTCTCATCTGCGGACAGGCTGATGCCGTTGGCCAGATAGAGTCCGTCAAGGACAGTGCGAGCTGCCCGAGTTGAAGGGTTGTACGCTATCAGACGACCAAGGTTGTTCATCTCAATCACCTGACAACACATACAGAAACGACTGCTCAGGAAGGGTATCTGAGGAGGGTACAGGGCTGAGTATCCCCTTTTTTCAGACTCTTACTGTGTCAACGTGTGACAGTTGGTTAATGATGGGCTCTGTTCACATCGTGACACGTAGTCTAGCCACCCCCTTCCCCCACCCACCATTTCACTGTCCTGGATCATCACTCCCATCACTGAAGGCACAAGACCTACCTTTCCAAGCAGAACTATTCAGTCTAAATCCAACCCCCCCCCCCCCGCTTCTTCTGGTCAGAGACTGGAAGTATTTTAGGCTAGAAAATTATAGTCTTGGTTCCCAGGCACTGCCCGCATCATCATAAAGTCTGCCACATGTTTTGTTTGAATTTCCATTTTTAAATTTTTTAATAAATCCTAATACTTAACAACAATGCGATCTAATATAGATGCAGTTACTTCCCTTTACATGCACACTGCTTTACTGCACGTCTCCTGTTATGGTCATGGTGGCAATAGGATTTGGTATACAACTGTTTATTTAGTTACGTACTAGTTTGAACAAGCAAAAAAATGCCCGTCTGCACTATATTTTCAAAAGTCTTTGCCTGAGAACCAATTCTTTTATTTTTTTAAGCCTTAGCAGTTTTGAGTACCTCAAACTTGTAGTTTCTCCGATCCCACTTAGTGCTGGAATCGGTGAAGTAGATGATGCCATCCGATCTAATGTCAAGGCCGTTCAGAAAACGAAAGGGTTTGCCATCGATACCTGAAACACAACACGGGCCATGGGTAAATATTTCAGTCAGTTCTTACTTCTGATCAAACGTTCTGATGAAAACAACTTGCATTTACGAGTCGTTCTGCCTTTGAGTATCATGACCCGTCTGATTTAACCATGTTAACACCGGAGGTCTTTGAACACTGGACAGGCAAGCCTCATGTGCTTGTCTCACACTACCAGTAACTACCATAATGCATCATTGTCTGACACTGACCATGATGGCGCTTAGTGCCGAGGTGCCTTTATGGAGTGGGTGGTCAGGCTCAGTGCAAGTTGGTTGAATGTCATCATACCTGACTGCAGCGTTTGAAATAAAACAAATTTGCCAGGCTGACATCAGGACAACAGACTTCAGCCCCTCATTAAAAAAATATGACATGTAAATTTACCGTAGTTTGACCCATACAACGCTTAAACAACAGGCCCCACACGAGTTCTGTTTCGAGTGCTTCTTTCGAATACTGCCCAACTGTCTGGGTTCAGACTCGATTACTTATAGGGAGCCGTCGTATAGCTGGAATGTTGATAAATTTGGCATTAACAACATACACACAAAAGCTACCCCGGTATTTACCTATATGTCCTGGCATGAGAGTTTCTATCTCCCCGGTCGTCACATTTACACGGAGCAGACCTTTGTAGGCGTCCGCTACCACAAGGAATCCATCTTGGTCCACCTTCATCCCCTTGGGTCGGCCACAGTCAGGCTCCAGGGTGAAGCTGCCTACAACACAGGGAGTCTTTGTAGGACAACGCAGGGGTCTTTCTGATGACAACACAGGGGATCTTTGAGAGGACAACACAGGAGGTCTTTGAGAGGACAACACAGGGAGGTCTTTGAGGGAACAACACTGGGGTCTTTGAGAGGACAACACAGGAGGTCTTTGAGGGAACAACACTGGGGTCTTTGAGAGGACAACACAGGGAGGTCTTTGAGGGAACAACACTGGGGTCTTTGAGAGGACAACACCGGGGTCTTTCAGAGGACAACACAGGAGGTCTTTCAGAGGACAACACCGGGGTCTTCCAAAGGAAACACAGGAGGTCTTTCAGAGGACAACATAGGGAGGTCTTTTAGGGAACAACACAGGGTCTTTGAGAGGACAACACCGGGGTCTTCCAAAGGGGCAACACAGGCGTCTTTGAGAGGATACCACAGGGGTCTTTGAGAGGACAACACAGGGGTCTTTGAGCAGACAACACAGGGTCTTTGAGAGGACAACACAGGAGGTCTTTCAGAGGACAACACAGGAGGTCTTTCAGAAGACAACACCAGGGTCTTTCAGAGGACAACACAGGAGGTCTTTCAGAGGACAACACAGGGGTCTTTCAGAGGACAACACAGGAGGTCTTTCAGAGGACAACACATGAGGTCTTTCAGAGGACAACACCAGGGTCATTCAGAGGACAACACAGGAGGTCTTTCAGAGGACAACACAGGCGTCTTTGAGAGGATAACACAGGGTTTTTGATAGGACAACACAGGGGTCTTTGAGCGGACAACACAGGGTCTTTGAGAAGACAACACAGGAGGTCTTTCAGAGGACAACAGAGGGAAGTCTTTCAGAGGACAACACAGGGAAGTATTTCAGAGGACAACATAGGGTGTTCTTTGAAAGGATAAAACAGGATGTCTTTGAGGGGACAACACAGGGTGCTTATTGAAAGGATAAAACAGGATGTCTTTGATGGGACAACACCAGGGTGTTCTTTGAAAGGATAAAACAGGATGTCTTTGAGGGGACAACACAGGGTGTTCTTTTAAAGGATAAAACAGGAGGTCTTTGAGGGGACAACACCAGGGTGTTCTTTGAAAGGATAAAACAGGATGTCTTTGAGGGGACAACACAGGGAGTTCTTTGAAAGGATAAAACAGGATGTCTTTTGGGGGACAACACAGGGAGTTCTTTGAGGGGACAACACAGGGAGTTCTTTGAGGGGATAACACAGGATGTCTTTGAGGGGACAACACAGGGAGTTCTTTGAGGGGACAACACAGGGAGTTCTTTGAGGGGATAACACAGGGAGTTCTTTGAGGGGATAACACAGGAGGTCTATGAGGGGACAACACAGGGAGTTCTTTGAGGGGATAACACAGGGAGTTCTTTGAGGGGACAACACAGGGTGTTCTTTGAGGAGACAACACAGGGAGTTCTTTGAGGGGATAACACAGGGAGTTCTTTGAGGGGATAACACAGGATGTCTTTGAGGGGACAACACAGGGAGTTCTTTGAGGGGATAACACAGGAGGTCTTTGAGGGGACAACACAGGGAGTTCTTTGAGGGGATAACACAGGAGGTCTATGAGTCATTTTTTTTAAATCGTCTTAGCATAAGGGTCACTTTGTGCCAGTGGATCCCTTGGGAGCTTTACTTAAGGTTGCAAGCAGATCAATCTCATTCAGATTAAAAAGGTAATCAAATACTGACAAAAAGCAGGAGGGGTACGAGGAGAGCTGGAAATGTGGGACAGTGATGACAGGCTATGGAGGTGTTCTCACCACAATCAGGGTGATCTATCCCTGTCCTTGCAACCAATCGTAAATTGTTTTTCTTGAATGCCCAAATTTTTCCATCAGCACTGCCTGTGTAGATAGTCCCTAGTAAGGAAAAAGAAAAATCAAACCTATTAAAAAATATATGATCACTAGCCTTGTTCACAATCAAATACCCTATCAATACATCAATGTAAAGAGAGAGGTGTTTGATACTATCAAGGCATAAAATGTCATTATTGCAATCAGAACATCAGATTTCTGTTATTTGCAATGGAGCGTGGTCCATAATATGGGGGTGTTTAGAGGGGGAGCCATCAGATTTGAACAGATTTATGGTCACTAAAATTTGTGGAAATTTGTGGATTCGCAGAATCCATGAATAGCAGAGCAATGCTAACAAATAATTTTAAGTTATTGGTGTTATAATTCATAATGTCATACTGGTCATACCATCTTTATTCACAGCGAATGATTCCGGCCCAACAATCTGGCCCTCAAACAGCCTGGTTACTCTCTGGAGGTGAGAGTTGGGCCTAAGGCTGCCCTCAAGACGAGGGATGGAACAGTTGAAACTGAAAGAATGTTAAACATTAATTAGGCCCTGATGAATGAATGATTACATTTTCATGCCAATCCAGCTCTTACGAAACACCCCCTCACATTGTTTGACCGTCCGTACACATCGATACATTGTGTGAAGCCCACTTCTGGTGTTTCCCACCTTGATATTGCTGGAATATTGCTGAAAGTGGCGTGAAACCCGACTCAATAACTTTATTGTTTGTAAGTACTGCAGATGAAGAACACAGAGCTCTACATGTGTTTCCTTCTGTTTACTTGATGGAAGACACCCCATATATAGTCCTACTAAACATTCATGTTTCATGTGAATTGCATCCTTTGACTGTAGACTGTGGTCTAGTGGTAGAGCATCAGCCCGGAGAGCGGATGGTCCGGGGTTCGATCCCCAGCCGCGTCATACCAAAAGACATTAAAAGATGGTACTTGTTGTTACCCTGTCTGGCGCTCAGCATTAAGGGGCTAAAACAAGGACTGGTCGGCTCGGAGTCAGTATACTGTGTCTGAGTGGGGTATTCATGTTGAACTGCGGCATGGTATCTCAGTGGGATAGCACTATAAATCAGCATGAGTCCGGACTAGTACAAGCAGCCACCCACACACACACAGACACAGACACAGACAAGTCACTATATAAGTGCAAAAATCTTGGATGTGACATTAAACCCCATTTCACATCACCTCACCTTCGACAGTAAGAGAGGCTTTGAACCATTAAACAAAAAAGCTTTGTGCCTCACATTTCTTATGAAAGATCCATATACTGTCGACACACAATCACCAAGGTCATGCAACCTGACCACATGAGACCAATTTTCATATCCTCTTAAAAAGCATGGTTCCATGCAGACCTATCCTGCCCCAAAATCTCCACAGGGTAAAGTGAGATATCACAGTGGTTGTCATAGCAACTAAGATGACGCTTACACATAAGGCTTGGGGTCTATCGGAGATGGCAGGAGATAGAGTGTTACCATGGCAACCAGACCAACAGTAGCTGATATCACTGACAATCTGAAAAACAACAGTCCAAAATAACAGCACAAGAGAGCCCAATGAATCTTGTTAAACATTACCAAATCATTTATATAAAAGGCAGGGATGGTAATGTATTTCATTTTAAGTTAGCCACAGGGCACAGATATTAGGGGGGGTAGCTCGGAATTTCAGAATGACGACAAGAATACTTATGCTGATGGTACATGTTCGAATATCATTTCACCATGAACTATATAATTAATTTGTTTTGTTTTGTGTTTAATGCCACACTCAGCAATATTCCAGCTAAATGACGACAGTATGTAAATAATCGAGTCTGGTCCAGTCAATCAAGTGATTGATATCATGAGCATCGATCCCTGCAATTGGGATACGATAACATGCATCAACCAAGTCAGCAAGCTTGACCATCCAATCCCATTAGACTCTCTTGCGACAAGCAAAGTCACCTTTTACGGCAAGCATGGGTTGCTGAAGACCTATTCTACCCCGAATCTTTACGGGTACCATGAGCTATAAAATGAGCAGTTATAATTAAAAAATATCAAGCATCATGCAAAGTTGACAGTATCAATATTTATTTTTTCCCACATAAACAATCCAAACAGCTCGAAGGATAAAATAACATATATTGGGCTACACATATTGAGCTATGTGTTTTTATATTCAACACACCCGAGTGAGCTGGATAGCAGAGATCTGTAAACCATGGTACATAAATACAGCCATGTGGCTCTCCAGCTCACCTGAATTATGAAGAAATAATGGCAGACATGTTTAATTGCGGAATAACGTGAGCCATGTTTAGAGACACTATAACTGGGATCATTTATACAAAGTTTCAGCTCCATAGGTCTTTTAGTCTCAGAGGAACTGTGGAAATTTTTAACATTAGATGGACAGACGACAGACAATGTGCTAAGACCCAGCTTTCTTTACTTTCAATATGATGAGCTGAGAAAGTGTGGCCTAAGTTTATATTAATGTTATGTGAAACTAGTCATAATCTTCCAGAATGTTATCATTAACTCCATGCAGGTATTGCTATCTTATATATTGATTACAAGACCATTTCAGCTTCATATTTCGGCATTGTTTTAATAAAGGTCACTGGTCTAATGGTTTGAAAGTGGATGAAAGTATTTTGATCGAGCCTTTCATAGATTATCAAATCATCTTACTCCTCAGTCTCGTCACGCCGAAGACCCGGGTTTGATTCCCGACATGGGTACAATGTGTGAAGCCCTTTTCTGGTGTCCCCCGCTGTGATATTGCTGGAATATTGCTAAAAACGGCGTAAAACCATAATCACTCACTCACTACTCCTCAGTCTGGTATATGACACGTAGTATGTACATGACAGTGTCAGATAAGTATGAACATGTAACAACATTCCATTAACAATTTACACACATTTTTTCCAAGGAATAAACTCACTTGTTCTGAACCATTTGAGGTGTTTCAGTGGCTGAAAACAAAAACATTCATGTATACAAGAAATACACCACATTAATGGCAGTGACAGTGATATCATTGATAACAGATTGCAATAATGTATTACCTGAAGGGTTAATTCAACAAAATCTCTACATTATGCATCCATGTTTGGGGCAAGTGATAGGAATATCTACATTGTAGATATCACTGCTATGAAATTGCATCATAATGTTTTGCAGACCATTGTGACATCACTGGTTGATAAAAGTGGAAAAAATCCTCTGTAATTTCCCCTTTTAACAACTCTTGTTGATATATTTGATATCAAAAGAGACACTTGGATGAGATTCTCTATATTTACAAACCACCATCATATAGCTGGAATATTGCGGAGTGCGGAGTTAAAGAACAAACTCAAAGATGACCTTGACCTTTGATAGACAGGGCACCTACATTTCATATGGTAGGATTTGTAAAGATACATGCAAACATAAAGTTTTCAAAGCAGTGCTCTAACCTTAGAGAAGGCATACACTACATTTAATATTGCATTCATTTTTTATTTACTTTTTTGGGGGGGGGGGGGGGGGGGGAGTGTAAACTACATATAGACATTTTATTGTGATTGACCTTTGACTTTCTCATAGAGTGGGACAAAAGAAATCCAATGGTCCGAGTGAAATTTGTCCATTGTAGGATATCCTCTAACGTCAATAAGCTTTGTGTCACATTGAAGAGAAAAGCATAATACATTCCAACATACACTACACAATTACCTAAGAAAGTGACCTTGACCCCTGACATAAATGCAATTGACATGTGGTGAGGTAGGATTTCTTGCGATAAGTTAATTTAAAGTTCCATGCATGTAGACGTAGGTATGCCTCAGAAACTGACAGTGATATAACCACACAGTTTTTTTAATTAACACTGACCTTGACCTTTGACTCATCTTAACCAAACCTTTTTCAAACAAGGGTCCCATCTTACAGAAAATGTATAAGCCAACTTTGATGACAGATGCATCAATGCTTTTTGAGAAAGTGTAACTATACATTTTTGTGAGTTTTGTCTCGTGACCTTGACCTTTGATCTTTTTTCATGATAATGTGCCAAAAGAATTGTTCAGGGCCATTTAGAAGAAATAAATGGAAGAATAATCTTTGATGTTAATAATCTAGTAGCTGGCTTCAGAAAATTGCCTGCCGCAGTCGGATTCGAACAAAACCTTCAAGCAGTCCTTGCTCACAGGGCTGCTGACATTGACCTTCCCGTAATTAAACGACCCGTGAAGATCTGGGGTAGAATGGATCTTCAGCAACCTATGCTTGCCATAAAAGGTGACTATACTTGTCGTAAGAGGCGACTAACGGGATTGGGTGGTCTGACTTGGTCGATGCAGGTCATCTATCCCAATTGCATGGATCGATGCTCATGATGTCAATCACTGGATTGTCTGGTCCAGACTCCATTATTATTTACAGACCGCTGTCATATAGCTGAGTGTGGCGTTAAACAACACGGGTCCATTGGGTAAGACTTCCCCCCTCCAAAAATATATATAGTTAAAAGGATTGAGCAGCAATGCATATATAACTTTTGGAGGGGGATTCGGGCAGAAGTCTTTCTGCTCATTGCCATGGATATGACTAACTGACTTTGAAAAAACATCTAATTGACTTGCCTTGAAAATATATTTTCTAATGAACTTTGAAATAAACATTTTCACAGATTTATGTCACCAGTGAGATTTAGCTAAAATTATCACCTGTCGGTGTGCATGTTGACTAAATGCAAATACATGGACAAACTGCTGGAATTGGACAAAAACACACACCAAAAAGCGAAGACCAACGACTTGACCAAGTCAGAAAATATAAATATGAAGTAGATACCTTTCACTGTTTACCATAAGTTTGAAATCTGTGTCAGTTGAGAGTTGATTCGCCACGTCTTTTCAACCACAGTCGGTGACCAATCTGGTGATATAATGTCCAAGGCAGGTCCTTCACCGCATTCATGTCCCTGCGGCATTGTCAGGAGATCGGGGTGAACACTGGCTGACCAGTGTCACGGTCAAGTGAAATATGACCCGCATTCATGACGAGGCGACCTATGTTGTTTACTGCCCGACAATGTGCTTTTCTATTTTTAGAAACGAGGTCACAGGAAAGGCAGGTGCGGGTTGCCATTATAATCTTGTAGCCTAAGAAATTAGTTATCGCCCTTGATTGAAATTGAATAAAGATGTCTGAATCATAATTTGGTTATGAGCAAATTAATTTTATTATATTTGTCTTTATATATGAAGAGTATGTGTTATTACGACCAATGAAATACTAAATCTATCGTAAGCCCGGTATACCGGAAGTATTGTATTTAGGACCTGGCATGTGCGTTCTCGTCATTTCTCAACATTCTTTGTAAGTGTCCCAGAACAAAACAGAAGACATTAGGCTTCAGGAGTGTAACCATGAACGGAGAAACCACACAAGTTCTGCTCGCCGTTGAAGCTGAGGCATATGTTGAAGCTTTGGAACAGTTTGGTGTAAAAGATGTCGGGAGCCCCAGGTCTGTATCCATGGAAATTATGTCAACAACAACATAAGGCTACCTGTCAAATTCAGGGCCAAATTATCAATTTACCTTACACATAACTAGCGCTTTGTTTATCCCAGCGATGTTATGGGTTTCTTGGATGGAAATTGATAATTTTTATTAACCGTTTTGAAGACTGCAAAATATCAATTTAGATCTAGATCTGCTAAAAACGATCGACAAACACACTCCAGATTTTCTTAAAAGAAACTCTTGAGTGTAATTATAGAATATGTTTGCCACTTAAAAGTATCATAATAACTAGATATATCTCAAGAAAAATGATGCATACTTAATTTTTGTATGAAATAATTTTTTAATGGGAAGTTTACAGGATATACAGCTTTTCTATTGGATGAGAGGAAATGATTGGAAACTGACGTTCATAAGTGTATAATGACACATTTTGATGTTCATACATTTTTTACGAGACTGTATTCTTGAAATGATGTAAACATGGACAGACTACTTCCACATTCATGGGGAAACCCCAGGGGATTCCCTAGCATGAATCAATACAGACGCATTCAGTGATCGGCTAATTGATCAATGATGACCAACACATGCAACTGCCACAGGTTTATTAACAACTTCGGAAATCTGTTACGTTTATTGTGTCAGCCATTTTGACGTCTTGTCATGCTGTCATTGTGACTGACTTACTGAGGTAGCTCTTAACAGACCTTTCTCATCTAATGAGAATATTATTTGAATACATTTGTTGTAAAGAAACTGCAAAAGTTATTCCTGTAGAGCATATTGAGCATACATACGCTAATGTCACCTCTTGTTTTGAGGAACTTTATTCTGCGACACAGCTGGTGTCATAAGAGGCTGTCCGCTAAACACGAAGTCACACATACTTAATATAATTGTGTGTAGATCTAGGCCTACATCCTTTGAGGTAAAAAATAGTGATATTAAAACTTATGAGAATTGACTTTCACTTTGTGTGAGTTCATTAGAGTATGAACCTTCATAGAGTGAGAGCCAAACAATGTACGAACGTCGTTGCAAGCTCCGACGTTCATACAGTTTGGCCTCACACACAAAGTGAAAGTCAGTTCATAAATACATGCATATATACATATATATATATGTTTATATATTTACGATCCTCTGGGTTAGTTCTGCATTCTACCCCCAACTTTATCCTTAGCCTTTGGATCCTTGAATGAAAATAGTGGCGAAAATATTCTTTAGCAGCTCTGTAAACATATACATTGTATGTTGTTTGTCTGCTTGTAAACATGATCTGACAATACTGTTTGTTCTTACAACAGTTGGGCCCGTCAACATGAACATTTGGAGAAACTCAACATGCAGGCTGTCATCAGTGCTTCTGCTCATGAGGACGAGTTTGTCAAAGAGGCACTCATCACATTTGAAAAGGTATTTGCTATCCTCAAGATTTTTTTCAGTGACAACTTTATTAAATTTTATCATTCATATTCAATTGGATTTTTTCGGTTTTGTTTTCAGATTCCTGTTTTGATACAAGACTTACTAGTCACTGAGGTATGGAAACAGAGGATCTTCCCAGAACTCATCAACTCTGGATTTGAGCCTCGCACAACTTTCCCTCTATATATGGTGGTATGTTGATTCTAACACACAATTTTCTCTATATGTGGTGATGCATTGCACCCACCCCAACATTCCCCCTATAAATGGTAATGAACTGGCCCTACCTCTACATTCCTTCTATACATGGTGACACTTCATTGTCTTTCAGAATCTAATCAATATGATATTATGTCCCCAGTTGTACCATGAAGCCACTGTGATCAACCTCCTGGAGACAGTTCTGTTCCACCGGGAGACTTGCGAGGCCGCTGATGACACCATCTTGGATCTAGTTGACTATTGTTACAGGAAACTCACACACCTTGTAGCACGGTATGTTGAATGATGATCCATGTTGAATAATGATCCATGTTGAATAATGATGAATGTTCAATGATGATGCATGTTCAATAATGATGCATGTTCAATGAAGATGCATGTTTAATAATGATGCATGTTCAGTAAAGATTATGCATGTTCAATGATGATGCACGGTCAATGATGATGCATGTTCAATGATGATGCATGTTCAATAATGATGCATGTTCAATAAAGATGATGCATGTTCAATGATAATGCATGTTCAATAATGATGCATGTTCAATAAAGATGCATGTTCAATAATGATACATGTTCAATGATAATGCATGTTCAATAATGATGCATGTTCAATAAAGATGCATGTTCAATAATGATGCATGTTCAGTAAAGATGATGCATGTTCAATGATGATGCATGTTCAATGATGATGCATGTTCAATAATGATATATGGTCCATCATGATGCATGTTCAATGATGATGCATGTTCAATAATGATGCATGGTCAATAATGATGCATGGTCAATAATGATATATGGTCCATCATGATGCATGTTCAATAATGATATATGGTCCATCATGATGCATGTTCAATAATGATATATGGTCCATCATGATGCATGTTCAATAAAGATGCATGTTCAATAATGATATATGGTCAATAATGATGCATGGTCAATAATGATATATGGTCCATCATGATGCATGTTCAATAATGATATATGGTCCATCATGATGCATGTTCAATAATGATATATGGTCCATCATGATGCATGTTCAATAAAGATGCATGTTCAATAATGATATATGGTCCATCATGATGCATGTTCAATAAAGATGCATGTTCAATAATGATATATGGTCCATCATGATGCATGTTCAATAAAGATGCATGTTCAATAATGATATATGGTCCATCATGATGCATGTTCAATAATGATATATGGTCCATCATGATGCATGTTCAATAATGATATATGGTCCATCATGATGCATGTTCAATAATGATGCACGGTCAATGATGATGCATGTTCAATGATGATGCATGTTCAATAATGATGCATGTTCAATGAAGATGCATGTTTAATAATGATGCATGTTCAGTAAAGATTATGCATGTTCAATGATGATGCACGGTCAATGATGATGCATGTTCAATGATGATGCATGTTTAATAATGATGCATGTTCAATAATGATATATGGTCCATCATGATGCATGTTTAAGATGTAATACCACTAATTTACAGCCTTCCAGTTAGACTAGCTAGAAGCAGTTGTCTGCAATCAGAAGGAACCAGCCCTAATATATGTCATGTCTTATATTGTTCAAATCAATTCATCTGTCTGCCTGCCCTATGCTAGGTGGATTAGAAATATGAAAATACTCTACTGAAAAGGAACACACACATCTGTTGAAAATTTGGACATCATAATATTAATAGTGCAGGATATTTTTTGGCAAACATTTTACAGACGTTTTTTTAACCAATGTGACCCCAGTTCTGTTCATCATCTTTCAGTTTTGTTCCTTTAAAGAAAGAGCCAAATAATACTAGTGATGAGTGTCTTTTTGTCAAGTTATATATGGATTTAAAAAATTGTTTTATATGTTCCAAAACATATTCAAATATCATATTTATCAACAATCAGTTTTAAAAGTTTCAATTGATCATCTCTAATTCACATTAGGCTGTAATATATTAATTATGTGATTTGTTTGGATCAAATATAAACAAAAACCTGCCTCAACCTCACATTTTTACTTTTTTAATAATTATTTCAGATAATCAAATTATCAAATTGTGTGGCCTTATATAGAAATGTAGCAATTGTATGATTGTATATATATTATTCTTATCTAAAATAAGAGACACATTCTCAATTGACATGTCATATTGAAATAAAGAAAGTACCCCAAAGTGCTGTCATATAATTGTGCCATACACAACTTTTTCTTGGTTTACCGTATATGACTGCGTTTAAGCCGAATTTTGAGGACCAGAAAAAAGATTCTGTAGAAAGGGGTCGGCTTATCCACGGGATACACTTTCATGATAGTATTTTTCAGATTGTGATCTGTCAGAAACATCGCCTGAATGACGGTCCGATAGATTACAACTTCCCGAAAGTTTGGAAGTTGCCACGACTAGAGCCATTATTGTTATAAATTATCAATAAAGTTATTATTATACACCAATGTTGTCATTCTTAAAAAAATGTTATGCATGTTACTACTTCCGATAATAAGTTTATTATGACGGTCCCATCTGTGAGTACTAACTTGACTTGCTGAAGCTTGACTCCCCTGTGTATGAATACAACCTTTCACTGTTGCTGCTGTTGCAGGATGTCCAGTGAAGATGAGGATGATGAGTTTGAGATCGGCACTCCATCTGTGACAAGCTCTACATCAGCCACTTCAATGGAGGTAAGGAATGCTGTTATTTCCCCAGTTTGAAATGTTTGTTTTTAATAAAGTTCTATTTGATTTGGGAAACTATTTCTCAAGCTATTGCATTTATTTTCCCTCCCAGTGTGAAGGTGAAAAGGAAATCCCAAAAAGGTTTTGGTCTATACGTGGTTAATTGTAATGAATTGCAATGAGAATCCTGAGAATTTCTTTACATTCACATGGTGGTATAATGAGGAATTAACTGGCAAGAACCAGTGGGTTGGAATCCCTGATACAAATCACGTTCTAGGTTTGTCAGCGCCATAGCAATGCTTCTGGACCGCCTCCGTGGTCTAGTGGTAGAGCGTCCGCCCGGAGAGCGTAAGGTCCGGTGTTCGATCCCCGTCCACGTCATACCAAAAGACATTAAAAGATGGTACTTGTTGTTACCCTGTCTGGCGCTCGGCAGTAAGGGGCTAAAACACGGACTGGTCGGCTCGGAGTCAGTATACCGTGTCTGAGAGGGGTATTCATGTTAAACTGCGGCATGGTATCTCAGTGGGCTAGCACTATAAATCGGCATCAGTCCGGACTAGTACAAGCAGCCACACACACGTGCATGCACGTCGCTATATAAGTGCAATAATCTTGGACGCGACGTTAAACCCCATTTCACATCACCTCACCCATGCTTCTGAGTTTGACCAAAGTGGTAAATGTCTGAGACGTGCAAAACTTTCAGAAACATTGATATACCACTCACTCCCTAGAAGAGCTGCATTGCCAAATGTGACACATATACTGCTAAAAAATAGTTAATGATCACCCGATTCTTTCATGCCATGACATATTAACTGTAGTCATATGAAAGAATTGGGAGGTCCTTAACTTCTTTGAAACCAAAAATTAATTCTCAACCGATTCAAACACGTTGTCACACCGTGACAATAAGAAAGAGAATGATGTGGCATGTTAGGTCAGGTGATCAGGTCGTGTAAGGTCGCTATGCACAGGATTACAGTGCGTGACCCATTTGCTCAGGTGGTGACCATGGTGATACTGGGATGATGTTCGGGTGTAATGTTTTTTTTAAACTGGAAACTTCGTTCTTAGGTGTTTACACACCAGTATCGAAAGTAGGATGAGATATGCATAGTGTGAGATAGGATAAGTATATAAATATACAATTTAATGTAAACTTTCCTACCAAGCATCCTTCGCTGAAATTGATCTGAAAAATTCAAAGATCTGTTTAAGATGTTGACTCAAGATAGAAACGCTAATATTGTAAGAGACACTGCAATGGCTGTCCAAACGTTTCTAAGTCAATTTAGCCAAAAATGTTGCAAAACACAACAGTGACATACTCTGTAAAGGTTGAAAGCAAACCAGAGGATGGACTGTCTGGTAGATTGATTGTTCTTTAATGCCACACTCAGCAATATTCCAGTTGTATGACAGTGGCATGTAAAAATGGCCCAGACAATCCAGTAATTGATATTGTGGATAATAAATCACACCATCTGGGTAAAAAGACACGCTATCAACCAAGTCACCAAACACCAAGTCACCAAGCCTGACCATCCGATACATTAAGCCACCTCTTGGACCAGCATAGGTTGCTGGGGACCTATTCTAACCCAGAATCCCTATAAGGGTGAACTGTCTGAGATGACATACTTAATTTTATTAGGGTTTGTCTCAATATAAATGGCAGTAGTCTTATAATTGTTTAAGAACAAAAGTGTACTGTGTCTATATTCAAGTGATGGTGTGAATATTTCCAGGAATTGGAGAAACAGGGTGGGAGTCTTGACTTCGACATCAGCATCAAGGCCGTTACTCTCATCCGATACATCACTGACCACCTGGAGGGGTGAGTAGGGAGCTCTAAAACATTGGTGATGATGAGAGTTTGGGATCCAGTGATGATGACATTACATGTTTTTTTGTTACAGCAGCTAAAAACACTGAATTACTTTAATCCAAGTTCACAGCAATCTGTAATAAAGGCTTATAGAGGATACAGATACCAGTGATCATTTAAACTTTCTTGTCTTAGAGCATAAGTCTGATACCTGACTTCTCATGCTTCTATTGGGTACCGGTACACTTGTAATTAGGAATACTTTACTTCAGCTTGCAATGTGATGTAGAAAATACTATTACAAAAGAAACCTTTGCATTTATAAAGTCGTCTTTATGAAGAGTTATCTCCCTTTGACCTGTAGGCTCCCTCTCAGTGTGATGACTCGCATCCTCAACACACACGATGTCCCGAACTTGCTGGTGCAGTTGGTGGAGATGCCGCCATGGCTTCGGCGGAAAAATGGTTTGTTTATGGATAATGTTCATGTTTATTGTGAACAATATCTTGTTAGGGTGTTAGCTCTGTTGGGATTCCAGATTACAATAGGTCCCCAGCAACTTAGGCTAGGCAACCAAATGGATAGGGTGGTCAGTATGGGTGACTTTGTATGTCATTGTACCCCATTGGCATGGATCGTTGTTCCCCATTGGCATGGATCGTTGTCCCCCATTGGCATGGATCGTTGTTCCCCATTGGCATGGATCGTTGTCCCCCATTGGCATGGATCGTTGTCCCCCATTGGCATGGATCGTTGTCCCCCATTGGCATGGATCGTTGTCCCCCATTGGCATGGATCGTTGTCCCCCATTGGCATGGATCGTTGTTCCCCATTGGCATGGATCGTTGTCCCCCATTGGCATGGATCGTTGTCCCCCATTGGCATGGATCGTTGTCCCCCATTGGCATGGATCGTTGTCCCCCATTGGCATGGATCGTTGTTCCCCACTGGCATGGATCGTTGTTCCCCATTGACATGGATCGTTGTTCCCCATTGACATGGATCGTTGTCGCCCATTGGCATGGATCGTTGTACCCCATTGGCTTTGATCGTTGTCCATAATATCAGTCACTTGATTGTCTGGTCCAGAGTTGATTTCTTACTGGCTGGCTGCATGTAGCTGGAATATTGCTGAGTATAGTGTTAACAACAGAAAAACATAAACCTGTATATCATAAACATTTTCTTGCTACCTGCATCTTTGCACATTGGCCAAGAAATTCTGTATAAAGAGAATACAGTTGGATGTAACCTTATCTGGTATAGAATTAACCAAAGTTCTTGTTATATATAAACATAAAAAGTAAAACACATTCATCATGCTGTTGATGGAGATGATATAACACATGAAATAGGAAACCAAATCTTTTAAGAGAGAACTACACATCTAGAATTGTATTTGTGGGGCTGTACTTTATGTTGTGTACCTGTTCCAGGTAAAGTGTACAAGTATATTGACAGCAAATGGGTTGAAGTGTCTCATGAAGATTCCTTCAAGCTCACCAAGATAGAAGGACAGGTAGGTATTCCCCGTCTCATCCCCCGCCTCATAATCTGCCTCGTCCCCTGCAATGTGTAGCGTTGTCTTCATTCCTTGAAATTAGTCATCAAGCCACTTATAGAAATGTGACTACTCTCAGATTTGTTGAAATTTGTCATATATGCACTTATTGTTTGAGTCCAGTGACCACACCACAAGGTGGTAAGAAATCTCAAGATTCTCTTTCAAGTGACAATTGAATTAGTTGTGACATGTCAAGGAAGAGAAGTCACATAAATCACATGTAAAGAGATAAAAAAGCTTATAAAGCAGGATCAGTCAGCCATTCAATATACCAGGGCTGTGTTTAATAAGTTAAGGCAATCTCATTAAAATCGGATCTTAGTCTTCACTACCGCTAAACAAAGATCTGAGGACATCCCATTACGGGTCACGTCAGAACGACCTTTCGCGAATTTTGACCGACCAATGATATGACTGACAAGAAATCGACATTGGCCAATCAGAAAGCAGCTTTCCCAAGCTTTACGACACTAGTTTCAAAGTGGCGGCTACGCTTCGAAACATATTTTGACGTATTCTCGATTAAAAAATTTAAAACTGAGAAGAAGAACATTCTGGAATGGCTTATAGAGGCCTAGATTGTATGGATATAATCATAAAACCCGTAACTGTCGTTCCGAATATCTCGTGTTAAATATATTGTGGTTGCATGATTAGAAAACACATTCCGACTGTCACTTTCATGATATGGTAAGCGACGCTCTGATTGGTTGGATGAAAGGTCGTTCTGACGTGACTCGTAAATGGATGTCCTCAGATCTTTGTTTAGCGAGAACTAAGATCTGATTTTAATGAGATTGTAAGTTAAGGTGTCTTTTCCTTCTGAACATTTACAAATGTCATACTTGTTTGTAAATTAATGAATAATTGTAAGAGAGTCTGTATGTCTTGGTACTGATGCTGTGCATGTTGTGTGCAGGTGTGGATTGCCCTGTACCATCTGCTGATGGGGGGAGACTGTCAGAAGAAGTACGACATTGACTCCTACAGGAAGAACACCCTCCTCAAGGTAGCAAGATCATTTTATAATACTAATCTTGCTCTTTAGGAGATATGATAGATTCTTTTATTACATTTCTAAACATCCTATGTATGTCATAACAAGCAAAGAAAATAGGGATCTGATGGTCCCAATGTCTGTTTAGCTGAAGAGAATTTGGATTGGTAACATCAAGCACAGGAGTCTGTATCTAAAAATAGACGCCCTCATGCATATTCATGACCATCTCGCCCTTCGGGCTCGCATGTGGAGATGGTCATGAATATGCATGAGGGCGTCTATTTTTAGATACAGACTCCTGTGCATCAAGAAAGGTCTACGTTTGCATTATTTTTGTTTGATAACTGCTGTCACCCACAGCTGGCTGATGCCGACTCAATCACTCTGTTTTAGGGATAGCAATGTATTTGTTTTCAAGTGCGCACAGGGCACTAATGAACATACTAAGATCATATGATATCCTGTTTATTCAGTATAAAGTACAAATAGTACAATAATACAACCAGACGACATATTACAAGTTTCCAGTGTTGAGAAAATGACATTACTTTGAAGCATTCATAAAATGCTTTTTATAGTCGTGTTACAAAGTGATGATACATTTTAAACATATGCATTAAGAAAAGTGCAACAACATGTGTTATTGAATTTACATTTTGTGACTGTAGAATATTAATTAGGATTTGTTTACTTTTATGCTGCAAATGTATATTTGATAGATATTTACTATGAATTGAGGGTTTGTCACAAAGAGTTCATTATACTCTGCTTGGATATCCCCACTGATACTTCATGCTAGATTTATTTATTGTTAAGTTATGAATAGAAATCATTACAATTATAAAAGTAATTTCAAGGAATTTTTAACCCTATGGTGAATTTCTGTTAAAAATACATTTGTCATGTTTGACTTATTTGTAACCTCCATTGAATAATTTCAGATCAGATCATATTATGATAGAGATATAGAGATATAGCTAGGGCTGGCTAGAAAGATCGATAATCGTTGATGAGAAGAAATATTTACAATTATCGATGTGAGAGTGAGTGAGTGAGTGAGTGAGTATGGTGTTACGCCGCTTTTAGCAACATTCCAGCAATATCACGGCAGGGGACACCAGAAATGGGCTTCACACATTGTACCCATGTCGGGAATCGAACCCGGGTCTTCGGCGTGACGAGCGAAAGCTTTAACCACTAGGCTACCCGACCGCCCTCGATTATCGATGTGAAAATTGTGTAATTGATGTCTTACATAAACTATTGTGATGAAATAATGTTTTAATGTACGAAAGCAGATTTGTTACTGTCCATTGCCGAAGACGAAAAGGAACTTATCTTAAACGTCCACAATCTAATCCATGCATAAATGTGTTACCACTCACCAGTGACATAAAATATGTTTTATTACTTGCCCGTGAAGAGATCACCCGTTTAATAAACATACAGCTTTATTACACATTGTGTAATACCAAAACGCGTGCTTATGTACTCTCGGAACACGTTTCACGAACAAATATTGAAAGCTCTCAACATCCCTTGGCGTATTCAACGACATTGTGTGTGGAGATGATAGATCACTGGGAGGAGCTTATGCACACTCGATGACCCCAGAAACCTTGTTGCTAGGCTGACGTCACATGGCATTGTTTCGCCGATGGAACTTGCAACAAAATTCCACAAATTACGTCATCGGGTATTGTGACGTGATTGTAAACTTTAAGGTGCAAGGCCCCGTTCCACAAGGCGATCGTACGGTAGCGCAACGACAGTCGTTAGTCTAAGTTAAATTATGTGAGTTGTGATAGCCTTAGCACTACGATAATTTTGTGGGACGAACGCCTGAATTCTAAAGGTGGACCATTGTATGATATTAAATTCATACGTTTCAACTTTTGACGTGTTTGAAGTATTATTGTGTTAAACTCAATAGGATTATGCCATGGATCGTGTAGGTGTCAGCCTATTTACACTCAACAGTATAATTCTAAAAACATTATAAATGACAAGTAATAAATAAAATACTAAACTCGCTCTCGTGTAAAACCAATTTTATGAAACTCGTGAATAGTTGTGGTATCTGACTCGCTTTCGCTCGTCAGATACCAGAACTATTCACTCGTTTCATAAAATTGGTATTACACGGGAGCTCGTTTAGTATTCTATATGTCTCTCGCAGCTTTTTGCATATTAGCTCAAAGTTACCTCTCCCATATGTGTCAATAATTGATGGATATTTAGGATATTTCTATGATCTAATCGATAGCCAGCCCTAGATATAGCCAACTGTGATGCATCTGCTTGGTGTTGAGATGAGTGCGTGTCTCTGCTGCAGCTGCGGTCTCACCTGACTGAGATTCTGCTGGACCAGCTGCCTGTCCTGGGGGAGATGCAGAGATACCTGGAACAACTGTCCATGATGGAACCTCCAGCGCCACAGAAGAGCTTTGTCCTGGAACAGGTGAACTTGTGGCGCCTTTACCTTGCTTCTTTGACCTTTCTTGTACCAAGGTGGTAAAATAAATACATCCCCAGTAATGTGTGAAGAATGTGAGGTAGATGATTCAAGTTGTAGTTGGTTAACACTAGAAAACCTGTAAGTAGGGAAATTTTCCAGGGCCCACTTGCACAAAGCAATCTTAGCGCTAAGACTATTGTAAGCCAATGTTAAAGTATGGGCGCTACGATCATCTTAGCGCTAAGATTGCTTTGTGCAAGTGGGCCCAGGTCATTCCTTCATTACCCACTTATCAGGGTTTCTCTGTATAGTGGATCAGCCTGTTGACATAGAGAAACAGTAATAAAACATTTTACTGATTATATGAATTTTAATAGAACATTTATTCTATATCATTATTTTTTTTCATAAGAATCCTGTCCACTTATGAATTACAATCAGAGAATATGTTGTAGAATTTGAACCAATCTTTACACCTGTAAAGGTGAGCGATTTGGGAAATTGTTTAAGATATTCAATTTGCTGTTGCCTATTAACTTGATCTATGCATTGGTTGTTCTACCTGATATTGGGGCGGTCGGGTAGCCTAGTGGTTAAAGCGTTCACTCGTCACGCCGAAGACCCGGGTTCGATTCCCGACATGGGTACAATGTGTGAAGCCCATTTCTGGTGTCCCTCGCCGTGATATTGCTGGAATATTGCTAAAAGTGGCGTAAAACCATACTCACTCACTCACTCACTCTAACTGATATGATAACATTTGTGAAACCTGGTCACGGGAGTATGAGCTTCAGTGGCGGACTGATAGCATCAACGTACAACTGATGAAGGAGGTATCAATATGTCATGGCTGTATTATGCTACCATTCCGAAGGGGATACTGTTTTTTTTTGTGTTCATACACAATATGTGATTCATCTTCCTTCTGTACAGGTCCCCGAGATTCGCGATGGCATCTTGAAGCAGTGGGAGGGCAAGTGGAAACAACTGGCCAAGAAACAGTCAAAGACCCACTTTAATCCTTCTGCAGACGCTATCAGAGCACAAGCACAAAGGTCTCCTGAAATTCTTTCATCTGTGTTAAAAATCATTCTTGTGCATCTTCCCAAGGCAAGGGAGCTAACTGACTACAAAAGTCCAATTTCCACCCTTGCCGTACTAGGCTGCAATTATGGAGTTATATTTTGGCTGGACTAACGAGTCAATGCATAGTCCAATCAAAACGAGTAACGAAATCAACATCCGATTTCCACCAATTGCACAGTTTGCTGGTGCCGACAACTTAGCATCAACAGATATTTTCTAAATCTTTTCATGTTTTGAATCAAGGTGCTCACGTGATTTGATGCACTTCACAAAGTAAGACTGGTTTTATCACAAAAGAGATCTTGATTATCGATGAGTTCGCCTACACTTGACGATGCCATGCAAATGATATGAGAGATGGAATCTGATTGGACAGTAGGAGGAACATAGAAGGGACATAACTGTAAAGACATGCTTCAACAGCTTTTAACAATGTAGAGACATGCTTCAACAACTTTTAACAATGTAGAGACATGATTCAACAACTTTTAACCTTTTCAAGTGAATGTCAAAAGCAAATCTTACTTTCTTAATGAGAACAAATACTATTTTGGTTCAGATGGGCGGAGACGTACAACATGGACGTGCTGGAGGGCCTACTGACTGACCCCCCTAAATGTGCTGGGTGCGGACAGCCAGCAACAAAACGCTGCTCCCGATGTCACAACGAATGGTACTGTCGCAGGTAAGGTCATACCAGACTGCTTTGTGAAGTATTTTATAATTCTTATAACCCATGTGAGTGATGACTGCTGAATCACTGTCACGATGCGACTTTGTGTTGTCTTTGCTGGTATTATGTAATTGCATGTTGCAGAAAGAACTTGTTTCTTTTGGATCATATTAGTGTTGGGAAGCTTGGGAACATTCAGACGTTTTGACATAGAACAATAATGTCACATATGATTTATATGAACTCGTTTTTTTCTAACCCTATGGGTAATAAATATGTGAAGGTGTGAGGCAAGTGCTTGATCGACTAGCAAGAATTATCTAGAATTTTTTTTAAAGTGTGTTGATTTTGTTGTCAGTTTCTTGAAGGTTTATAGATCTTTCAAAAACTTGGTAAACAAGGAATGAATTTCTCCTTTATGTTACTACTTTTCCAAACAGAAAGAATCGAGCTGATTATGTTTGTTGGTTTGTCAGCATGCCCATGCTCGTGGGTTCACCCAAGTGGTAAACATCCCTGCATCACATGGGGCTTTGCTCCCACATTAAGCTGACGTGTTATGATATGACTGAAATACTGTTCAAATCAGTGTTACACCAAAACAGACTCACTCCACACTGAACTGTTTGTCTCTCCCTGCAGAGAGTGCCAGGTGAACCAGTGGAAGAGACACAAGCCGGCCTGTGATCTGTTGTTCAACTCGCTACAGAAGATGGAGGCAGACGTCAAGGCTGCGTCATGACCTTAAGATCTGAACCCGGAACTTTCATATTAAGTGGATCTGGACCGAATTGGATCTGTACACTGATGCAATGAAATACTGACACTGGATGCTGAAGGACAGTAGCCAAAGGGAGGCACAGAAATTCTGCAAACAGCATCATGCGTGGTCTTTGTGACAGATATATTTAACGAATCAAATTTGAATTGTCATGATCTGTTTCACCCCATAAGGAGGACATGAATTTGACATACAGTATCTCCATGATCTTTTTTAAGAAACCAATCTATGCAAGATCAGTTTCAATGAAGAACGTTAGGTATGAGGTGTGCAATATAGCATGTATCCGGTGGACATCAGTTCCCGGGATCATTTAAATACATTGGACCATTTCATGTTCTTCACATCTTCATTTTACACATGGACTGCAGCGCTGATGTCTCAAACACTTCAAGAAGCAATGCGGTCGTTGTCACTACCAAGCCAAAACTGAACTGAAGTATACTGAACAAAAGAAGTTAGTGATCATGAAATATTTTTATATGTTGTACACATTTAATGAAACTCAGATTTCACAACAAAAACATATCCTTATAAATATGCTTGATCCCCAACATTTTTGTTCAGTATACATTCATAGTGCATGAGACCTGATTAAAAACAGTAACTAAACAATGTTTTTTTCTCCAAACTGTATTTTCCTTATGAATTGTATCTGATTTCTTTTCAACAGCCTGTTGGCAATAATGTCTTTGTGTCACTCTCAAACTCACACTTACTGTATCTTGTTTGTGTTCTATTGAGGAACATATGTTGGTGTCCAGTATGTTCAGTGAGTAAGTATGTTCAGCTAATCATACTAACAGTCTGCTGACCTTGACCTCTAACCAAGTGTATGGTGAAACTGTTTTCATTTGTATATTCCATTGTCATCACTGTTCCATGATTATTTATTTTTTTTACAGATGGTTGTAAAATAAACACAAAATATGATACCTCCGAGTTGACTGTTTATTCCATATATATATATACATTGTGTCAAGAAAACATCTGAACTTGGTTTCAAACAGACCTTCCCCCATCTTGTGTAAATTTGTAAAAATACAAATTTACCAAAACATATAATTGCACATCTACAAAAGTTGTAAAATAAATATATTAATAATCATTTGAACAATGTTAATCGTTATGCATCAATCATGAATAACTGTTATAACTAATCTAAAAACATGTAAAACAAAATATGGATCTATTTCTTGAGTTATATAAAAAAGAATTCATACAAGACATGTTTGTTCAAAATGTAGGAGTTTATGGTGTCCGCAATATTCAAGCTATATCATGGCGGCTTGTGTAGAATAGTCCTGGCAAGAGAAGAATTAGTTTGATGGCATGAAAACCCTTGGCCGTGACAAGTTAGTTTATTCAGCATGACACACAAAGGATGTATTCTGCCTCTGCACAACCACTGTAGTTAAATGCAAAGTGCCTTATGACAGAACTTTGAACATCCACATCTTTGATTGGAGTTATTCCAAGGAGTATGCAAATCTCCTTATGCAATCTTGTGCACTGCTCTGTATTGAATGAATCGACTTGTAATTTCCACTGACATGTTGTCTTGGACAGCTTTTGATCAAGATGAGACAAATTTCAAAATGAAAGATAAAACTAACTACTGTATATCCTATGTGGGTAAAGAACTTGTGTAAAATATGACAACATCAATCATGTTACATTATATATATGAACACTTTGTCAAAATTGTCTTCACAGGACAACAAACGAGTGAACCAAATAAGTATGGACTGGCATTTATATCAGCTGGTTCCTGCTTCAACAGTTGCCGGAGCCATGAGGTTATTCAGGAGCCAAGAGGTTATTCAGGAGCCAAGAGGTTTATTCAGGAGCCAAGAGGTTATTCAGGAGCCAAGAGGTTATTCAGGAGCCAAGAGGTTATTCAGGAGCCAAGAGGTCTATTCAGGAGCCACTAAAACTCCATCGTCATACAGCCACAATGATGTTTGTTTGTTGTTTAACGCCGCACTCAGCAATATTCCAGCTATATGACGGCTGTCTGTAAATAATCAAGTCTTGACCAGACAATCCAGTGATTGATATCATGAGCATTGATCCACGCAATTGGGATTGATGACATACATCAACCAAGTCAGCCAGCCTGACCACCCGATCCTAATAGTCACCTCTTACGACAAGCATAGTTGCGTTTTACGGCAAGCATGGGTTGCTGAAGACCTATTCCACCCCGCCACTATGAGGTGTAGTGATGCATGTCTGTTTTTAATAAGTAAGCTAATGACATGTCATCAAGCAAGAAACATCGTCGTTTCTGCGATGTAGTATGAGCAGTCTGAGCTCTTGCAGGCTTCCCTCTCAGGCCTCTGGAGTGGTATATGTGCACAATAAGTTTCAATGATCAATGTATCCTATAAGGAAGCTGTATAGAGGCATGACAGCCCAGCTGGTACCCAACTGTATGTTGTCATGGTAACTACTCCTAAACCAGGAAGTCTTTTGAAATTGGGCTCCATTAGCTATGTAGCAAGGATCTGCGGAACATGGTCAGATTTAGCCGGCCCTAGAACCTTATAATTGGACTTTATTTGGTCCAGATGAGATCAACAAGAAGGAATGTGAGAATCAACTATTGACATTTTGTATCACTTGAGTAAGAAGGTTTTATACTAAGGCACAATGGTGAGGTGGAATGGGGTTTAACGTTGCATTCAAGATTATTGCACTAACATAGCGACCTACATGCACGTGTTTGTGTCTGCTTGTACTAGTCTGGACTAATGCCGATTTTATAGTGTTAGCCTATTGAGATACCATGCCGCAGTCTAACATGAATACCCCATGCAGACACAGTTCACTGACTTAGAGATGACCCATCCTTTTTTTTCCCCTATGCTGTGCGCCAGGCAGGGTAACATCAAGTACCATCTTTTATCGTCTTTTGGTGTGCCACAATTGGAACTTGTACCTAAGAATGGGGTGTGTGGACTATACACAAGAAAATATTGTAGCACTTCAGTTTAATGTGAGAGAAACGCCAGTGCAGGTCATACACGTTTACTACTTAAGTGAAACCCCCAAACAAGGGTGTTAGTCATGCCAATGTCATTAACAACCACAGGCATATGCTGGGAAGAACAGACTTCGGATCTTAGTCAGGGCAGTTCTGGAATACAAACCCTTGATTGGGGTATTCCAACACTGGCTGAGCTAAACTATCATTCAATAATCAAAAATGTCATGCCAGGACTCATTACATTTTATGGTGAAGAGGTGATTCAGATGGTGAAAGAGTATTATACTACATGAAGTCTGTCCCTTTCCCTTGTTTAGTTGGAGAGCCCAGTAAGTTTGAATGACCACGCCCACATACAAGGGATCTTGTTGACAGGAATCGGTGGAATTTCAATGACTATTCCTCCTGTGTTGCCTTTCTTCCAGTTAAAGTTGCCTTGGTAACCCATCAAGGAAACGGTTGTTGCTACGGTCGTCACGGGGGCCCCAAGGGTCAAGGTGTCCCCCTCAGGCCAGTCAAGGATGATGGCGTATACGTTGTTCTGGTCACCATCTTTCTTGGATGTATACCTGGTGAAAAACATGAAAATCCAAAATAGTGACGGTATATAGGGCTAGGACGAGTCCAAATTACTACCAGGGTACCCAACCCCTATTGCCCAACCGTACCCGGGTACCCGCTGTAGGTCTCAAGAGATAGGTACAAAATATCTGATTGGGAAACGGTTGACCTGTCAACATGTATTTAGATATACGTAAAACTGATCTGGTCATGTAACACTGAAGTTGACTAAAGTTTTATCTTTATGCAAACATATATAGTCAGAAGGAAATGTGAACCTTTGTCACTTATAGTGTAGCCACAGAGTTCTAGATAATTAACTCGTGACTAACCACGGGTCCGGGTAGTCCTGTGGGTACCCGGGTCCTTCTCAGTACCAACCTGACCCGAGTACCCAAGTTACCCATCCCAGCCCTAATGGTATAGGCCTGACTCTCTAATTGCAATTTATTGCAATAATGATTTTTATCATCCAAAACTGGCTCCCACAGGAGATATCGCTTGGATTAGATCAAGCGATATCTGCACTGTAGATATGAAATTACATCACAATGCTTTGCAGACCATTGTGACGTCACTGGTAACCATGACGTCACAATCAAATGACATCACTTATGGCTCTGCTACTGAAGCTGTTAGCAGTACTTTTTACACTGAAGACACAGCTAATTACTGTCTACAGATTGAAAAAGTTGGAAGAATGATGTTGGATGATAAATAAAATCTCACCCTCTATAGATTCTCTATATGTATTGCGATATGAACCACAATATATTGCATGCGATCTTTCATCTGTGATTTTTTATGAGCCTGAACAAAAAATTTTGACAGCTTCGTAGTCATGAACCATTTTGTTGGATGTTGTATATACATAGACACAGTATATACAGGGAGCTGGTCACGAAAAGTTTTGGCTTTTTTTATCACAGGAATCAGGCTGCTAATTTCCTAATTTCAATTTGACTTGTCACCTATGTAAACTTTGCCAAAAAGAGGAAAAAAGATATGCATGATTTTGAAAAACACAATATACCCGAATTTTCCAAATGTATTGTGATACTTACTACGACAATACTGCCCATCTCTAATCATCAATCAGGACTTCACAATTTTCCAACAAAACACTTACAGGCTACACTGTCTCCTTCACATAGATCATGGAGACATATATAGTGTATGTTGTTGAATGCCCAATATTCCAACCACCAGACAATAATGTGTGAGCAATGATCCATGCCATCGGGGTACAATGATACACAATGAACAAAGTCCCCGAGACTGACAACCTGATGCATTTTGTCAGGGTGACTATTTCTGTCATATCACAGTTATTGAATGTGGTTGGGAGGCAAAACTAATACAGGCTCTTGACAATACCGCAACACCTGCACATGTCAGCAGAACGTCAGAACAAGCCAAATTTATCCTATTTTAATATTTTTAGAAAATCGGGGGATAGTCACCACAAAGAAGATTGGATCAGGGTCATCTTCTTTAATACAATCATGGATAAAAAATCAACTCACTCCCTGCTTAAAATGATACGACTCTGAGGGTGGCATTATGGCATATGAGTGAGTGAGTGAGTGAATATGGTTTTATGCCGCTTTTAGCAATATTCCAGCAATATCATGGCGGGGGACACCAGAAATGGGCTTCACACATTGTACGACGGGTCTTTGGCGTGACGAGCGTACGCTTTAACCACTAGGCTACCCAACCGCCCCTTATGCCATATGAAGAGAGATATACTGGGTGTGAATATGTGTGACTGACCAGACTCTCTTGGTCACTGTGTCGTTCTGGTGTGTCCAGGGCCGGGTGGAGTAGATGGCCTCCCCGTTCACCTTCATCCAGTCCCCCATCTGCTTCAGGCGCTCCTGGAAGATCGGGATGAGGCGGCCATCTTTGGTGGGGCCGATGTTCATCAGCAGGTTGCCGCCACAGCTGAAGTGTGAAATGATGACATTGTGACAGTTGCAGGTGCATTGGGGCAATGATAGAGGCAACAGGACGTCTAGAAGAGGACACAGTCCCTGAAAGAAGTATTACACAGTACCTGACACTGTCCATGACAGAAGTATGACACAGTACCTGACACAGTCCCTGACACAAGTATGACACAGTACCTGATAGAAGTATGACACAGTACCTGACACAGTCCCTGACACAAGTATTACACAGTACCTGATAGAAGTATGACACAGTACCTGATAGAAGTATTACACAGTACCTGACACTGTCCATGACAGAAGTATGACACAGTACCTGACACAGTCCCTGACACAAGTATGACACAGTACCTGATAGAAGTATGACACAGTACCTGACACAGTCCCTGACACAAGTATGACACAGTACCTGATAGAAGTATGACACAGTACCTGATAGAAGTATTACACAGTACCTGACACTGTCCATGACAGAAGTATGACACAGTACCTGACACAGTCCCTGACACAAGTATGACACAGTACCTGATAGAAGTATGACACAGTACCTGACACAGTCCCTGACACAAGTATGACACAGTGCCTGATAGAAGTATAACACAAGTATGACACAGTGCCTGATAGAAGTATGACACAAGTATGACACAGTCCCTGACACAAGTATGACACAGTGCCTGACACAGTCCCTGACACAAGTGTGACACAGTGCCTGATAGAAGTATGACACAAGTATGACACAGTCCCTGACACAAGTATGACACAGTGCCTGATAGAAGTATGACACAGTACCTGACACAGTCCCTGACACAAGTATGACACAGTGCCTGATAGAAGTATGACACAATTATGACACAGTGCCTGATAGAAGTATGACACAAGTATGACACAGTGCCTGATAGAAGTATGACACAGTACCTGACACAGTCCCTGACACAAGTATGACACAGTCCCTGACAGAAGTATGACACAGTACCTGACACAGTCCCTGACACAAGTATGACACGGTGCCTGATAGAAGTATGACACAAGTATGACACAGTGCCTGATAGAAGTATGACACAGTACCTGATAGAAGTATGACACAAGTATGACACAGTCCCTGACACAAGTATGACACAGTGCCTGATAGAAGTATGACACAAGTATGACACAGTGCCTGATAGAAGTATGACACAGTACCTGACACAGTCCCTGACACAAGTATGACACAGTCCCTGACAGAAGTATGACACGGTACCTGACAGAAGTATGACACAGTCCCTGACACAAGTATGACACAGTCCCTGACACAAGTATGACACAGTACCTGACACAGTCCCTGACACAAGTATGACACAGTACCTGACACAGTACCTGACACAGTCCCTGACACAAGTATGACACAGTACCTGACACAGTCCCTGACACAAGTATGACAAAGTGCCTGACAGAAACATGATGTAATACCTGACAGTTTCCACAAAGGTTTCCAGCAGGTCTTCGATGGTCAGGTAATCAGTCAGTTTAGCATTGCGCCTGTAGCCCCAGGAATAATGGTCAATAGTCATTGCATTCTCCCACTTGTGTTTCTGCAGTACACCTGGAAGAGTCACACACACGAATATTACAACAGGTACTGAGGCTATGCTTATATAATCGGTTTGCAGGTCCACTGACTCAGTGGAATCACACTGAACATGCTGAAACGCACTATTATGTTCGTCCTTCTAAATTGTAAACTTACATGTGGACTCCCTGAATATATGTGCATATACTATATTACACTGAAGACTGATGAGACTTGCTTATGCTGCACATGGCAATATATTCAGATAACGTTTTGAAGAACAGAACAAAAGATGCAAAAATAGGTATTTTATTTCTCCTCCAACTTTTGCACACTTTCCATAAACCGTAAAACATTAGGCCACACCCACTGACAGACTACTGTTCCTTGATTGGCTGATAACAGAATGGGTGGGCCTTGTGTCGCATTATTGCGCTGTATGATGTTGCTGATTTTGTACTGTTGTCTTCCGTTATTTGTGATAATTATCAAATAAGCAGTCTGTAGAGTTATTGTTGTTAATGAAATTCTTTAAAAGAATTGACTTCATTTTTGTGTTTATGGAGATATAAAAGTAAAAACCGGTGTGCACACTTTGTGTAAACCCACTACACGGAGGTACACAGGATGTGATAGCTTTTAACATTAATACCTTCATACACGCAAAATAGGGCTGGGATGGGTAACTCGGGTACTCGGGTACTCGGGTCGAGTTGGTACTGAGTACAACCCACAGGACTACCCAGACCCATGGTTAGTCATGTGATATATTGTTTAATGACAAACATTATCTAGAACTCTATGTGGTTACACTACAAGTCACTAATGTTCGCATTTCTTTCTAACTATGCACCCATTCCTTCTGACTTTTATATGTTTGAATAAAGATAAAACTTCAGTAAACTTCAGTGTATGCATGAACGATCGTTTTATACATGTATGTACCTAAATAGTTTTGGCCAGGGCTCCGGTCAAACTATTCCCAGTTGGACATTATCTACCCAACTCTTGAGACCTACAGCAGGTACCCAGGTAGGGTCGGGTAATAGGGGGTGGGTACCCGGGTAGTCAGTTTGGAGTCTTCCCAGCCCTAATGCCAAACATATAGATGTCAATTTTCTTAAGTGTACATACTAACCCTGTGAGGAGAGTGGTCCAACCTACCTGGATTGTACCTGTCATCACAGGTGTAGAACCCTCCGTGGTGACAGTCAGTGCCGCTGCCCCAACGGTCATTAGTCACTACAGTGTCTTTCACTGGGCTAGTGAATAAAAAGGTAGAAATGAAATATTCAGTGTATCATTAAATACATTGTGTGTACATTCAAAATATCAAAAACATTTTCTTACAAAGTGCTTGCTCAACCCAAACATCAGCCAACTCAAGACATGATCAAAACATTATGCAAGTATCAGAGGTGATGGTGTCTCTCTCTTCCTCTGCGTGCGTGTTTTTCAATGCTGAACCCAGCAATATACAAGCTGCATGGCAGCAGTCAGTAATTAACTGAGTCTGGACCAGACAATCTAGTGATTGAGATCATAAACAATGATCCATATCATTAGGGTATGATGACACATAATCAACTAAGTCACCGAGTCTGACCATCCAATCCATTAAGTCGCCTCTTACTACAAGCATAGGTTGCTGGTGACAGATCCCCACGGGGTAAATCTTCCTCTGCATGGGTTGACATACAATTATTTGGATATATTTATTTGCCAATATCAGTGCCAACCTATTTTAGAAATAATCAAATTTTCGGAATTCTAGTCTCAAATCAAATTTAATTTATTCACAGAAACAAATTATTTGGCTCTGGAATTTCCTGAAATGCTCAGATCTAAGCAGTGGGAGAAATGGGTTTAACATTAATTTCAACAATATGTCAATCATATCACAGCTTGTCATGTTGGAGGAATGCACAAAAGGACGAGGTCTGAGAGGTTTACCATGGACATGATGCTGACAAACCTCGGATCATAATAGGGATACAATAAATCTGCAGATCCTGGCACTGCCAAGGGATGGTACTCAGTGTTACAATCTCATTAAAATCAGATCTAAGTTCTCACTGCCGCTAAACAAAGATCTGAGGACATCCCATTACGGGTTGAACGACCTTTTGTGAACTTTGACCGACCACTGAAACGAATAACGAGAAGTTGATATCAGGCAATGAGAAAGCAGCTTTTTCAAGCTTTACTGAACTAGTTTCAACCTGGCGACTTCCATTTCAGACTACGCTTGAAAAATATGTTGACACAGTTCTCGATTAAAATTTTGAAAACTGAACAAACAAACATTCTGGAATGTCTAATATATGGTTGCGATTGTATGGCTTTGCTTCTCACGTACTGTGCAACACCTCTTCCGTTTAAATGTTTATCCCACGGAAGCGAGAGACACTTCACGGAATCAGTCATACGGGCCGAAACTGTCGATTGGAACACCCCGTGTTAACGTTTTTGAGGTTGAATGATTAGAAAACACATTCTGACTGTCACTTTCATGTTCTGGTAAGCAACGCTCTGATTGGTTGGATGAAAGATCGTTCTGACGTGACCCATAATGGGATGTCCTCAGATCTTTGTTTAGCGATAGCGAGAACTAAGATCTGATTTTAATGAGATTGTAAGTGTTGTGAGTTGGTAAACACTTTGGCTAGAGGTAAATCCATAATCTATCTATGCTGAACTTGCATTCACATGAGGCATAACACAATGGACATATGAAGCACTGGATAATTGAGGATAGGATTTGGCACTGACTCCAGATCTGAATAAAACTAAATAAATAACCAGCAGATCCTGGCACTGGTAAGGGATGTAATTCTGCCTCACCTGTCATTGTACAGCCAGGCAATAAACTCCTGGGCCTGCCAGTATTCCGCTGAGCCTCCACCGCTGGCATCAGACCACACTACTTCTGGCTCATAGCTGTTGACCAGCTCATACAGCTCAGGGAGAGACCTGTTCTGTTAAAGAAGTCAGACGACATAAACATAGGATAGTTTGTTTTCTGGAAACACAAACAAGGTTGGTATTTGTTAAAAATTGCCACTCAATTCATTATTCATAATTGAGGGTGTCAATCCCTTTTCAGTATGCTGGATGCCGATCCCTGGAAAGTGGTATTCTGGATGTGGGAGTGCAGTACACTGGGTGCCATAAAACGTTTCTCTGGTACCTGGATGCCAATACTTCAAAGTTGAAATTTATTTTTTAAATCAATAAAAATATTTAGCCATAATTAAATGGTCCTACATTCTAGGTGAAACTCCCAGACTAATTTGAGACCACCAGCTGTATACACTGATATGTCTTAACATTCTTAACTTGGATGCCAAGACAAATTATGTGGTATGGCAGATGCCTGGAGAGGGGAGTTGCCACCCTTATAATGAGAAGAAAAACATTGTCTGTTCTCAGACTTCCAGGGTTTTTTGAGCATATTGAGTGTTGTTGCAACCAATGGCAGCTGCATGGTATTGTTGCAACTGACGGCAGCTGCATGATATTGTTGCAACCGATGGTAGCTGCATGATGTTGATGCAACCGATGGCAGCTGCATGATGTTGTTGCAAATGACAGCTGCATGATGTTGTTGCAAATGACAGCAGCTGCATGATGTTGTTGCAACTGATGGCAGCTGCATGATGTTGTTGCAAATGACAGCAGCAGCATGATGTTGTTGCAACTGATGGCAGCTACATGATGTTGTTGCAAATAACAGCAGCTGCATGATGTTGTTGCAACTGATGGCAGCCGCATGATGTTGTTGCAACTGATGGCAGCTGCATGATGTTGTTGCAAATGACGGCAGCTGCATGATGTTGTTGCAACCGATGGCAGCTGCATGATGTTGTTGCAAATAACAGCAGCTTCATGATGTTGCTGCAAATGACAGCAGCTGCATGATGTTGTTGCAACCGATGGCAGCTGCATGATGTTGTTGCAACTGATGGCAGCTGCATGATGTTGTTGCAACTGATGGCAGCTGCATGATGTTGTTGCAACTGGCCATCAGTTGCATGATGTTGGAGCAACCGACGGCAGTTGCATGATGTTGTTGCAACCGACGGCATCTGCATGATGTTGTTGTATCACTTACAAACACAAAACTCTGGGTGGTGAAGTTGTTGGCTTTGTCTTGTAGAAACAGGGGATTGAACCACTCGAACAGGGTGTGATACACACCAAACTTCATGCTGGTCTTGCTCTTGATCGCACTAGCCAGCTCACCTGTCAGTAAAACATCAGTAAATTAGTGAGTGAGTAAGTTTAACGCAGTTTGGAAACGTATTCCAATAATATCACAGTGCGTCAGCTTAATGTGGGAGGAAAGCCTGAAGTGACACAGGCGTTTACCACTTTGGTAAAATGAGCACGGGTATAGGTCTGACAAACCTAGTTACATAATCAGGGCAAAAACGGTATTCAAAACCATGATCAAATGTTTCAGACGTGACCAATGGGTGCAACTCTGCAAAGCAAGTTGTAGCACCTTAGACGACTGGGCCAACCTGCCTCCCAAAATGATAATAAATTTAATGATATCCATGTAACTGATAATTGATAATGATTTTCATTGACATTTTACCAAGTACTATTGCATAACAGTTCTTACCAACAAGATCGCGGTTTGGGCCCACAGCCTTGGAGTTCCAGTTGAAGGATGTCTTGCAGGGCCAGTTACAGAAGCCTTCATGGTGCTTGCTCACAAACACAACATATCTGAAACAGGCAGCATAAATCCATTCACTACACATTATGTTTGTGTTTCGAGATGGAATTGTTTCAATGGTCTGTAGGGGTGTCATGATTCACCAGTGTATTGACATTAGACTTCACAATGAGAAACACATCATGCCTACCCATGTATCGATACATATTTAAATTCTGTATCGATTTTCAAAAAGAGCATTTACAGACTTGACAATAACCAGGCCCAACAACAACCTGGGTTTGTGTAAGTAACCTATAGTCTGTCACAAAACAAAACACTGAACGGAGTGCAGAACAGGCCACAATGAACCAGTCACGAGAGTTTAACACAAACTTCCTGACAGAATCAACCTCCCATGCGCCGGAGCACATGGAAAACATGAAGCCACAAATTACTGTCTGTATCATGATGTGCATCATTTCACAAATATCACAACACAATTCAGTACAGCGAATGGGTGTGGGTTTGACAGTCATAATCGTTGCCTGAGTCCTGAAGTTGTTTTGATAGCACTGTAGTCACTGTGCTGCTATTCAGAGTTACACCAAGAATGACAACCGTACAAAATGGAAACACCAAAAATGGCAACAAATTTTACTATACTTCCGAACCTAAAATGGTTTTCATGTTAAAAAACGCTTTCATAAAAACAGACAGAATACAAATGGCTACAACTAATTATATAAAGCAGTGAAACATAAATAGCAAATTCTATTTTGCTCATTAAAACAATCGAGTTACAAAGAAAATATGCTACAAAAACATCTCAATCTGAATAACATTGTTGAAAAAGCACAGCATGGGATGAAACGTAAGTATGTAAATCCTAACCATGTTTGTGCTTTGTCTTAATGTAGATGGAATATATTGCTTTCAAGTATGTGCATAGTGGTGACATGGAATTACTTGATAAAATCTTTTTATATTTCCTTTATGTTGTATTCTTCTCCTTCTGAGACAAATAGAATACCAGATATAATATATAACATATAAACAAAAGGAGCTTATTAATCACTGTTGATCCAGTTAATTAAAATAAATGGAACTGTCTTGCCATTTTCGTTTTAAGCTATATTAAAAGTCACTGCTGTTTTTGGTATATCCCTAAGCTTAGCGGACTGCCTCTGTGGTCTAGTGGTAGAGCATCTGCTAGCAGAGCGGAAGGTCGGGGGTTCAATCCCTGGCCAGGTCATACCAAAAGATGTTGAAAGATGGTACTTGTTGTTACCCGGCCTCACGCTCAATATTAAGGGGCTAAAACAAGGACTGTTCGGCACGGAATCAGTATTCTGTGTCTTAATGGGCTATTCATGTAAAATTGCAGTATGGTATCTTGGTTAGCACTATAAAATCAGCATTAATCACTGCTATAAAGTGACGTTGAACCCCATTTCACCTCACCTCACCTCATCTAAGAAAGTTGCCAAATCTTAGCTGTGTACTGCTGCGTTTTTACAGAGACCATATATTATTATATGGTCTCTGGTTTTTACTATGCAATGTCGCCAATACGTATTAAAGGGGTTATAGCGAAAACGGCACCTCGGCAAAACGTCACCTCGACTCGAGCGAAAACGGCTACTGTGGCCTGGCAAAAACGGCACCTTATTTTTTCTTTTACCTTGGTCAAATAAGTGCTATTAAACGTATATGGTAACTTGCAAACACCAATAATTGTGAGATGCTAAAACAAGTGTACATTAGAAATTAGCCTCTACTCCAACTATAATCCAACTTAGCTTATACGCAACACAACTTATTGTGAAAACATGACATGCTTTGAAGAAAAATAAATGAAATTAAACTCAAGTCGTCTCTTACAAACACAAATAATTGTGAAATTGTGAAATAAAACAAGTAAGAAATTAAACCCCTAATCCAATTTACTCGCCGACTGATTGGGAGGCGCAGTTAACTTAATGTGAAAACACTATAAGCTTTGAAGTTTTAAGTACCTTTACTCAATTTAAACTGAAACTGTATTTAGAGGCCTAACGTGGTGCTGTCAGATCACAATTATTCACAATGGCCTTTCGATGTGTTGCATGAGAGAAGAATGTCAGAAAACAACAACATGCTGTGATAACTGTGACCATGTAAATAAACCATATATATTACTACAAAAATCGTTCATATCCTTATTGAAAATAGAGGTGACGTTTTCGCCCGACACATAGTACCCGTTTTCGCCAAATGCGGTGCCGTTTTCGTCAGAGAAATCGGTGACGTTTTGCTGGGGTGCCGTTTTACCCTGCACCCGTATTAAAGTAAGGGCAACCATGCAGTCAATATGTCTAGCATAGCAGTTTATTGCTATGATTTCTTAGCTTCCCCAAGCTAACATAAAGGATAGTGACAGTACATGTCTAATATACAGCTCCACAGCTATCAGGATCTATCAATGATAGTGTTAACTGTAGTCCTTTACATCGATAATGTACATGGATATTTACTTTGCTCCAGCTTCTTCAAATATAGACGCCCACTCTTCAGGGTTGTAAAACTCGGCCGTGAACTCCCGAGCAAAGTCGGCGTATGTGAAATCTGGAGGATAATTCTCTTGCATAAAGAATGATATTGCGGGTAAGGGTTGTCCTTTCCAGTTCCACCAAAACCATTCGGAAGAATAACTCGGCACAGAAAAAACACCCCAGTGAATAAAAATTCCAAGTTTTGCTTCATCATACCACGATGGTAGAGGTCTAGTGTCCAAAGAATCCCAGTTAGGTTCATATCTTTTACTGGCACATGGTGAAAAGGTTGAATAACACACTAGAAGAAACAGGATCCATAGTAAACACCGTTCCGTTGTTGAGGACGCCATCTTGTAAGCATGTGACTATACTTCCTCGTCATGTGATCAACTAGTCACGTGTTTTTGCAAACGGGCCAACGCTGGAACACATGCCACGGGGTTATATGGGGGTTGTCTTCTATACAGTAATGTGTGATAAGGGGTCTGTGAGTGAGTATGGTTTTTCGCCGACTTGAGCAATATGTTAGTGTGTGTGTGAAAAAAAAAGTTAATTGGTCAGCTGATCTGCATTTACAAGACTCTATTGTTTGTCGTCGGAGATTTGAAGATTTCAATTTTAAGTGTCAAAAAGATATATTCTCGGAAAATATAAATAAAAAGATAGCATTACTCGGCGATGTATACAACGCTTAAATATTGTTCCAGGGGTGGGGGGTACTATACAGCTAAACATGGTTATACGAATCTTCTTCAGCTTTTTCTTAAACGAACAAATACAGCAGTGAATTTGCTGTGACCTCGCCTTCCAATACTGCCCTGTCACAGTGTCACGGCAGCGTATCAACGGGGACATGTAAATGCTATTGTTCTGTGGTATCAGCAGTGGACATTGCTTCTGTTGTGTTACAGGAATATCAGACTTTAACACATCTGCGCAGTACTGCAGACACACATCTATGATATCACTTAAGGGTAATGTACATGTGAAACAATGGGATCAACAGCACAGTGGAGGACAACATTGTGAAGTGATCTATATCTCTATGATTTCTCGTTAGCAACAAAGTTCAGTGTCAAATTCCTCATCTTTTTCTTTGAGGAAGATTATGTATTAATGCCGAGAATTCACTGGCTAGCCCTGGGTCTCACGTTAGGGTTGCTACACATTCTGGTGTCCTAGTATGCTTTACAAATTATTTAACTGCATTCTCCGTTAGTGGAATAAACGTTAACCTTTCTTTCATACCTATGGCCTATCGTCTGATAAAGTCTTATCCCTACAAGAAAACATTTCCCCTTCTACTGCAGAAAAAGAATCTAGTGAATTTTATTAACTTAACAGCGGTCAGAAGATTTATAAACAGCGAATTTTGTACCCTAAGTTTAGTACTTGGTAGATTGCACGAAGATTCTGAAGATTAGTAAATATCACTTATCGTAGTATAACCTATTGTAGTATCATTCACTATTTAAACCACACTGTAAAAAATGTGTTAAGAGTATAAACACATACAAGACATATGTAACAAATGTTATATTTGGGATTATCCTTTCTTAGTTAAATCATCTTCTAGTACACATTCTAGAACATTTTGGTGGTTGGTCCCGTCCAGGATTCGAACCCTCAGTGTCAGGGTGAGGCACCTAATCGCCAGCACACAAAGTTCGAATCCCGGACCGGACTCATCCCCCCAAAGTACTAGAATTTGTACTTTACTACGAAAGTGTAATCCCAAATATAACATTTCTTACATTTGACCACTTTCTAGAAAGCATTGTGTATTCATAGCTTTCGGCCATGGGAGCCGTGCCAATTTATACATATCGGAAAACAAAGTATGTGATCTTGACTACCAGTTGTTGGGACTTTTATTTTTGTGAAAGCATTAGTTAGGGTCTAAACACATGAAATGATCTATTAGCTGATAGTCTAAAAACAACATCCTCATAATCCATATAATACCTTTTGTTTTGAATATAAACATGTTTTCCATAGCATCTGGCGTCGTCCCGAGGCAAGGGAGTTAACTGACTATAAAAGGTAACACTGGAATTTAAGAGTCAGTTATCTCCCTTGTTTCGGAAAGTTGATCAACAGGCTTTAAGACAAATATGGATGAGATGTATAATATATATTGAAATTAGATGTTCAAATCAGATTCATAGGCGCTTGCATAACACATATACCACCAAGACTTAAACGAATTTGGTCAAATATTCACATAAAAATGTACAAATAAACCAAGCTAATTGTGACTAGGAAAATTGACACTTCTGATAACAACAGTCTCCGTAGAACAGGTGGTAGCGTGACGAACTACACATCAAGTACATCAAGAGGTTGCAGGTTCGAATCCAACCGAGCTTGAAAATTCAATGGGGGGCACGGGTGGCCCGTTCGTCTAAGGCGCCGCGATTCGCTGTGCAGAGTCGCGTCCCTTGGGCACGCCAGAAACCTATGATTGTTGGTTCGAATCCCGGTTCGCCCCGATTATGTTTCTAGGTTTATCAGCACCATACCCATGCTCGCGGGTTTCACCGAAGTGGTAAACGTCTGAGACCTGCATCACTTCGGGCTTCCCTCCCACATTAAGCTGACACGCCGTGATATAACTGGAATACTGTTAAAAGCGGCGTTAAACCCAACCCACTCACTCACTCACTCACTGAAAATCAATGTGTTGTTACTGTATTCCTAATAGGAAGCTGACAATGACAGTACATCAGATTACTACTTAACCTTTCTAAGTGACGACAGGCCACCTAGTAAAAAATACTTCCTGATTAGTAAAGTAAGAATAAGATTTATATCAACCATACTCTGTGCATCACTTGCTTGATAACGGTGTTAGAACCTACATCGAAACGTCGCACCATATTGTAATAAAGAAGTTGTTCATCCATCTATCTTTTACTTATCCTTACTTAGTACTCCATCTTCTAAATGCCTCTCAAAGAACTGATCAGTAAAAATCATCTTACATGTTAGTGTCTCAGTGGACAGTGAAATTCACTAAGTTAGTAAACTTGACTAACTGTTTCAGTCAGTGTGCTCCCGTCATGCTCTCGCGTCAATTGTCCCACTAATTAAGCTTCCCAGTCTACCCCGCTATAGCGCGGGCGTTCTCCTCATTGTCTCAGCAACATCGTTTTGTCCCACCTTATTCCTTCCCGTTTGTTGTTCTTGTGGAACCTATATGCAATATTAGTGTTTTACTATAGTGATTTAGGCAAGAGTACAACCCTTTTCATTTTTTATACTGTGTCATTTCTATTTGCATTACGTACAAATACTTTTTTTTCATAACGCCAATATAAGCATTCTTTTTCTTTTAATACGATGACAAAAAGGAATCAGGTGAGAATCTCATCATGAAAACGCACCTCTATCGACTTGAATACATGATACTGTAGTTCATGTATGATACCATGTGCAGGTTACTGTTGAACACTCATTCCAACGTTATTATGCTTATTCCACGATGACGCTTACACTGTCCTGCTAGTTTTAGCGTCACAGATTTGTTTTCGGGGCGTACATATCCTTGAACTGATATTACCTTCTCTTCAAAGTAGCGTTAAAGCAAACTCACTCATTTACCTTTATTCCGCCAGCCACCCTGAAACCAAGATTTACGTGTCTATATACTCGCTTGTCTCATACAAACTCCCTGCATTTATGATATAGGCAAGTTTGATTTTATTTAATTTACTGCCGTGTTTAGTCAAATGTTATTTATATGTTTTTAGTAAAATAATTGTCATGTTTTATCGTTCATTAACACTTTCTTTACTCATAGGGTAAGAAATAACTGAGTTAAAAATCGTTTGTGCACTTGTGCAAATATAACTTCACGCGCACCAGAGTATTGTTCACGTCACCCGGGCGTCATTGTTGACGTCCTTCGAATCTTATTGTGACATATAAGGTCTGAATAATGTCACACTAGAAAAAAAACCGTCACAGCTGAAGGTTAATTGTTGACGTCATTTGACAATTGTGTTTTTCTTATTCGGCGGTTGTGGCCAGTATATTTTACTAAAAGGGAGCTCAAAAGGATTAAGAAATAATGGGTAATAAAGACATTATTACACTCTAATGAGTGTCATACTGATTTTACGAAACTCGTGTAAGAATTCATGTAATAATCTATTTAGTTATTTAGTAAGTCATTTCATTGTTTCATTTATGCCCACGTCGACAACACGTTATCCCTTTTCCTCCCCCTAAATATATACAGGCTGAAACCAGCACGAAAACATAAACACTGTAAGCTGGTTCTCGGCCCTCTATGCGCGTCGTGAAGAGACGGGACCCAGCTTAAGATAACCGGAGCCAACTGAAAAAGCCAACAGTAATATACAAGCCCTACACAGGGCTCTCCCCGAACCCTACAATCATAAGTGAATAACCAAAGAGATCTAAAAGCGCTGCTAAAAGGTGTAGCCTCATATCGCCCAAACGAGCTGGATGGCTTCTAACTGATATCATTGTTCAATATATTATAATATAAATACTTATTACACGGAATGTTAGTTTCTTTGATATTCAAACAAAGACCCATCACTTATCATGATATTTATTCGAAACTAAACAGACGGAAAATATATCGGAGAAGGAAAATGGCGGTAACCACAGCCTCGGGAATACCATCGAAATCATGGCAACCTGCACAGTGTACTCTGGAAACAACGTATGTAGATGGCGGTTTTCTAAGTGAATGTACCAATAACCGATAGTTTGTATTCATGATTCTCATTGATCCATTTGTTTAATCACGTAAAATAACAAGGTAAGACCACTGCTAGTAGAATGCTGGTTGATCGACACATGTACCCCCGACACGTTCGGCAGAGTTGTCTCCCCCCCTGGTTGATGTGCATGGCTCCTATTAATTTTATTTTACCAAGAAGCGACAAACGAATTTATGGAGCGAGAGAAAATAATTGATTATTTAGCTTAAAGCATATTTTTTCAGATAATTACCTCCTTTAAGATGCATTAAAAAAACGTTTATTACAACATTGACGGAAAGAAAAGTCATGAATTTCTTTTAAGCATGTTGTGTTTCAGGTGTTAACAGAGAAATAAGCTTACAAATCCTCATAAGATGCTTAACATTATGAAAGCCACTGACATTCATTTTCCGATGTTTTATAAAAAATATATTTTGCCAGCCTTTGTCATGTTTGTTGAGCAAACTGCCATGGAATAAAGTGCTAATTTCAGATACCAGTGCCTATATTTAAAAAATAAATAAGGATCAACTGATTTGTTCATAGACTCATATGTTATTAATGGTTACCAAACTTGTTCAGGAAGTGTTTTGTGACCATGTTGTTTGTATTCCAGGATGGGGACCATCATAGTGGAGCTGTACTGGAAACATGCACCAAACACTTGCAGGAACTTTGCAGAGCTGTGTAGACGTGGGTACTATAATGGCATCAAGTTCCATCGAATCATCCCAAATTTCATGATACAAGGAGGTGATCCCACAGGCACAGGTACAGAGCTTCTTGTCAGTTTGCCAGACCCTGACCATGGTCATTGTGTTTTCTCTTGACTTGACCTTTCATGTGGTAGTTCCTTGATACTCATGTCAGTAGTGATGGCAATAAGGTACAATTTCAAGATTGATTATTTGTTTGAAAAAACAATGAATGAGAAATTATTGATCGAAAACTGTTTGTGTGTTTGTTGTTTAACGCCGTACTCAGCAATAATCCAGCTATATGACGGCTGTCTGTAAATAATCGAGTCTGGACCAGACAATCAAGTGATTGACATCATGAGCATCGATCGACGCAATTGGGATAAGATGACATGCATCAACCAAGTCAGTGAGCCTGACCATGCTGACGACCCGATCCCGTTAGTAATCTCTTATGACAAGGATAAAAAACTGAACAAAAGAAAAGAATGATATGCATTTACTGTGTTATACAGTATCCTTCATGTACATAATAAATACAGAGGTAGACACTGTTAGCATGGTTAGTCAAATGCAACTAGTCTGCAGCTCATTTCACACTTGTGACTTGAGTAAAATAGCCAGATTTTCATGGAAAACCTTTTCTACCTTTTCTCAGCCTGTCACCATGGTCAATCTCAGATGAGCCATGCGACACATTCTGTATATCGCTAATATAACTTGTGGTCAGCGATTCTGTGATACCGAGGTCATGTGAAGGAGAAACATTTTTGGCATTATCAGAGCTGTGACTACTATATTTGCAAGAATGTATACAATTGATTCTGATTGGACCATTTGTGACTTTTAGCCAATGAAGGGCACTGATAGTAAATTGCGACACATAAGGCAATGAAAATCATGACGTTTATTTTCAATAATAGGAGCAGCTATCCTGTGATGTAAACTGTTATTGACACAGTAAAATAAACCCATCTACATGAATGCACCCCTTGTCCCACTGAGAGTAAATATCATGGGGGGGGTCTGGTAGCCTAGTGGTTAAAGCATTCGCTCGTCACGCCGAAGACCCGGGTTCGATTCCCGACATAGGTACAATGTGTGAAGCCCATTTCTGGTGTCCCCCGCCGTGATATTGCTGGAATATTGCTAAAAGCGGCGTAAAACCATACTCAGTCAGTCAGTCAGTAAATATCATGGACCAGTCGATAAAATATTGCAAGAATCCCGCAAGGCCTTGGCAGAACTGCCAGGGATCTGACCCAGAATCCATATTGGGCTTCTGTATAAGTCCCATGGGACTAGGACCTACTAAACTCAGGGGCCGGTCGAGTAGAAACATGACAAAGGTATACTGTTTCATCGATATTTCTGCTTTTCTTTCAGGCAGAGGTGGGGCGTCCATATATGGAAAATTCTTTGAAGATGAAATATCTGATGAGCTTAAACATGCAGGTAGGACTAAAGATATCATGCACATAGGAATGTGAGTGTTAATTAAGTAATTCTGGTGTCACATGGTCCTGTTGACAGCGCACAGGTCACAATCAGGTGAAGTTATGCAACGTAGGTCGCGGAAAGTAGTTGGATGGGTGACAGTTTTCGTCAGCTTGACTCTAAGCATTTCTAGGGCTTCGTTCCTGCCCCATAGGATTATTTGTTTGTTGTGTAACGCTGCACTCAGCAATATTACGGCGATATCATGAATATCGACCCTTGCAATTGGGATACGATGCCCTTTTAGGGCAAGCATTGGTTGCTGAAGACCTATTCTAACCCAGATCTTCACGAGTGTGCCCCAAAGGAAGCAGATGTGGTGTCTCCTAAGGCAAGACTGTTTTGAAATACATTTGTATATCTCTGATCACCCAGCAGTGAATGGATACCCAGTAGGATGACATGGTAATGTCACTGTTAACCTTTGAAGCACCTCACGGGCAGCTTGGGTAATATACTCCCCAAGGAGCTGAGAATGAAAATCAGGTCACACTGATCCTTGACCGGGAATAATGTAGTGCTTTTAGCATGCTTTAGAGTGTGGATTTGGAGCATTATAAATATGCACATTATTACATTATCAATCCAACTGCAGAATGACTGGAAAATCTGCACTTACAAAATACCACTTTTAGCACATTTGATGTTCGCCATGAACATGAAGGATTAAGTATAACAACATGCCAAGAAATACCTATGTCAGTTAAAGTGCTCAATCATCATGATCATATATGCTGACAAAAAAATTCATCAGTTTAAAAGAAATATGGGGCTTTCAGTTATGATTGAGATACAGCATTTATTGATTTATCAAACTAACATTACAATATTGAACAAGTTGAAATGGTAGATCTATTTTCTTTCTCAGGAGCTGGTATATTATCCATGGCAAACAGTGGTCCAGATTCTAACGGGAGTCAGTTCTTCATTTCCTTGGCTCCAACACAGTGGCTGGATGGAAAACATGCTGTGTTTGGTCGAGTGTCTGGTGGCATGCAGGTTGTTCACAGGGTTGGCATGGTGGAAACTGATGAAAATGACAGACCATTAGATGACATTAAGATTGTGAAAGCTTCTATCACACCTTCGTAATAATAATGTGTCTGCAATCAAACTGGATGATGGGACTGCGAGACCTTGGTGATTTTTAAGAATACTCTCCGCCACACAGTGTTTTAGCAAGTCATCTGTTCTACCAAGTATGCGTTATGAGGTATCCAGCTGATGACTGTCAATCTCTTACAGCATTGATGTGGCACAGTGGTGAGAGTGTTTGCTTGAGCCAGACTAGATCCAGGTTTTATTCTCATAATGAGTAAGGTCTGTGACAGATATGGGCAGGTTACACCACCTCATCACGCTATTCTGTTCGGCATGTTTTAACAGGAATAAGCTCTATAGTTTAAGATTGACATAAACATGTAACAGCTGTGAGCACCACTCAAGCATTTGACAATGAGCAGAGATCACTGATTTTTGTATGACCTGAGTAAAAACCTCAAAATAATTCTACTTAACATCAATTTGTATATGCCGCTGTGTACTGGAAATGGTAAGTGGAATTTTAGATATAGCTTTAAAGAAAAGGTTCATCAGGGAAGTATGGACTTGAAATGGTTTGCATTGTTTCTAAGTGGCACCTTCTCTCACTACTGTTTAATCATGTTTATAAAGGTCAATATGTGACATACTTAAATCTGTGAAGTATCAGAGAGCTTTTTCGAGAGTGTTAATGCATGTTTTATGGCATCATCATTTCAAGGTCTGTTCAAACATTTGTCATCTAATGTATCAGGATCATGCCATGAATCAAATGTCATGTTTTAGTTCATTTCAGAAACTGAAAATATATTTTGTAAATAAACATTGTCTTTGTTTTTCTCTGTGTTTACTACTCAAAAGAAGTTACGGACAACCTGATTCTTTCATTTTTCTTCAGTTAATCTGTCATGGCATGTAATGTCATATATATTGTAACATATTGCATAATGTAAGATTTGGGTGGTCATTAATGACGTAACAGTTTGACAATAGCCCTCACTACCTTTCGGAAGTCGAGGTGAGTGAGTGAGTGAGTGAATAATGTTTTATTGCAAAGTCATCAATGCTACAGCTCTATCACACAGCATTTAGCCTGTGCACAGGGTTTGACAGTGCAAGCGTTGTCACAGACCAGGTCACACATACTGCTTATCAAATTCCCACTTCAGTTTGGTTCTGATGGCAAGCATAGGACGCTGCATACCTATTCCCACATGAAAAACCCTACCAACTAAATTTGTTTCTCAGTTTGAAACCTCTTCTACCACTATTTAATGTGGTAACTACTCACCACACCGTAATCTTAGTAATGTTAGTCGTGTAAGTTTAACTCCAATGACTATATTTGCATCTTTTATTAATGCCAACACACTGTATCTCACCTAAAATGAAGTTATCAAAGGTAAGTACTTAAATAAAAGTGGATGTGAGCATTGATGTTAATATAGTTTCTTATTACATGACTTAAATACTGATTACTATAAAATCCCAATAGTATCTAATGGTTTGAACAAAATATGTCATCTGGAGAAACCTACATGACAAGGTTCAGCTTCCGCAATGTGACAATTTCGGAAGACAAAATGTTTACAGAGCTAAAAACGCATTCAGGATTTTCAGTAAGGTTGCTGTACTGTGCTGTTGTAAATCTGATTCGATCATCTTGAAAAATCTGATTTCGAACCAAGATGACTCCAACAAACTTGGAACTACATAGGCGACCATCTCACCCTCAAGGTTCAACTTTGAGGCCTGGTGATGTACAAATACGTTTTCAGCATAAATGTGTTACATTGAATGTACCGGTATTGGCAGTGTCAAGATATGGCTGGTAGTGTACATTCACCTGATTGTGAGTTTGTCTGGCATGTTGGGGAACATTGTTGATCATGGATGGCCCAATGGTTTTGGGCCCGTCTTTCGCTGAGTAGAGTTACGCCTCTTAGTTTTGCTAGGGACTGCGGATCGAGCATTCGAATCCCAGGTTTTTCCCGATTACGACCCTTGTCTGCCAGTACCTCACCTCGTGGGTTACCAACCTGGTTTCTTGCGCTTGCCCTACATTGAGAGCAAGCGCAGCCTACCCAGGAAACCAGGCTGGTGGGTTAAGCCTCAATCACATCGAGCTTGCGATCAGATTACGACCAAGCTGCGACCGAAAAATGTTCGAATCGGGCAAATCGTATGAAGAGCGCACGGCTGATCGCAGAGGTCGTGGGTGATCGCCAGAGCAAAATCAGTCGCAGCAAGGTCGATGGTCATGTTCAGCATTTCGCTATGGCGGGCGTACCAGTGCTGTCGAGAAGACTTCGACTTATGGTGGCACGACTGCAGATGGCGCGTACGATCGGTCGCTGATCGTCACGATTGATCGTACGATCGGTCGCTGATCGCACGATTACCTACGATTGAACTTGCGATCGATCTTCTCCAATCGTTGGTGATCGCACGACCCCGTGTACCACCAATCGTACGATTACCTACCACCAATCGCAGTATACGATCACAAATGGAGATCGTAGCAAACATGGTCGTAGGTCGTATCTCGGCCAAATTGCCAGCAATCCCACGATCCTGAAATCGTACGATCCGGTGTGACTGTGTCTTTAGTTGACGATCCGAGTTACTCTTAACCGCCACAAGCTAATAAGCAGAGATATCTCAGTATTAACTGACATACTGTCCAAACCGGCCTTCAACACAAATGCCTCCATCACATATTGACGTGTAGTTGCATTCCTCCAGTTCCACATTTTTAACAGACCATAAAACAGTTATCATCTACCAGTGACCTTAGAAAGATAATAAGCACGGAATGGAGGTTATTCAGAATCTAAATGGGGTTAAAAAGTTAAAAATGCTTATTAACTTCTAAAAAAACATGTAATACTGTCATGACAATGTAATTTCACATGTACTCCGACACCATTGTCAACACTATCATAGATACGCTGAGTTGCAATAAGTTCGTGTTTGTGTGCAGGCATTGTCTACTTTTGATACAGTTTACATCCTGATAACGTTGTGAGTGTTAGCTCCAATGCAAACAACATCAGTAAAACGAGAGTTTTTCCGTGTGGCATGGCGAGCGTCAGTCATCCAACATGTAATACAGAATTATTGAAACAGAACCGAGTAAAACGAGGTTAGAATCTTTCAAACACTCATTTTTATTTTGTATGCAGTTCAATACATGTATTCAGATAATCAGCTGTAACAGATGGGCACATTGCGATGCTGACAATGATTCTTGAATTGGAGAGGATGTGTAGCGTCATTAATGGCAAAGGGTACTATTTTAACGGCATCAAATCGTATGGTCATGACAGGAATCCGGTCATCAATAAATTTATCAGGGACGAGCGCCCTGCTAAAATACCAACAAATGACATGCTACGAAAAATGTTACAAAGGAAGTTAAATGTGTGTGTTTGGGTCCCAAATACAAAGAGGGTGTATCACGAGATATCGGACAAAACAGGAAGTATCAAGACTAATTTTTATTGGTGCATTAGGAACTGCGATCAAGATGCTAACAATTTGCTAATATTATGAATGTGGTCAATCATTACAAGGATATCCATAATAACTGTTCAGAAAGGTCGAGATGTAGACTCGACGCGCACTATGCTTAGCTACTTCTGTGTCAAGCTTTGAAAAGTACTGTTGTGTATAAACATACCGACGACTACGTTCATTGTATGGACACGTTTTCCGTTGAAAGTTTCATCAATTCACTGCTACAATATCATAACAAAAGAATTAACTTTTCTGACGATGTTTATCGTTTTCGGACGAATATGGCCGTATTAGACTGGAATGAACATGTAATTAGACCAACAACATCATCAAGATATGTCATGGATGCTAGAAACCCAAGACGCCAGGCCGAGAGTAAAGATCTATTGTCTGACATGAATCTTCGTGTGAGGGTGTGAGTACACTGAATTTCTTGTTCTAATTATAAGTATTATTAATAGTATTATTATCAAGAAACAGAAGACGATATATCAGCCTACTCGAAAAGTGCGAACTGAGTCCGAAGCTGAGAGGCGGGAGTTCAGAGTGGAGTAATACAATTAAAAACTAGGTATTCAATGGAAGACATCCGATGGCAAACGCTGGACGGAACTCGCTGTTACATGGGAGATGGCGAAGCAGGCAGAGGTGGAGCAGACGAAGAAGAGGTTAAACTTGTCCCTCCAACCCACACCGAAAGAGAGGATTTTGTAATTGGACCCCCCCCCCCCCCCCCCCCCCCCCCCCCAACTATCAGTTCGAGTCCAGGAATAATGTCAAAATGCAGTAAGATTGAGCGCAATCATTCACAAATTAGTAGTAGTAGTAGTGAGGTGAGGTGAAATTGGGTTTAACGTCGCGTCCAAGATTATTGCGCTTATATAGCGACGTAGTAGTAGTAGTAGTAGTAGTAGTAGTAGTAGTAATAGTAATAGTAATAGTAGTGGTACTATTAAAAACTAGATAGGTTTTCAGCCTTCTCGAAAAGGATTTTTGTGAGAGAATCAGATGCTCAGCCAGGTGACTCAGAGAGCCAAGAGTGCCAAGAGAACTGGGGAAAACGCTGGAAGAACTCGCCAATACCTGGGAGATGGAGAAGCAGGCTGAGATGGAGCAGACGAAGGATAGAAAGATGAGGTTCATCATCAACTTGTCAGCCACCTCACCAGTGAGCCCAGAGTGAGTGAGTATAGTTTTACGTCGCTTTTAGCAATATTCCACACATTGTACCCATGTGGGGAATCGAACGTGGGTCTTCGGCGTGACGAGTGAATGCCTTTACCACTAGGCTATCTCATCGTGCCACTGAGACCAGAAGTAGTGAGGACAGCTAACAACCTCCTGGATCAAAGCGGAACCGAAGAAGGCGCCAATACATCCAAACGGACGACCGAAGAAAAAGATTCTAAGCAAGGTCCAAACTTTTCAGGATCGACCTCATTGCTTCTGGAGATGACCGAAGAGGAGAGGCGATAGTCCAGAGTGGAGTAATACAATTAAAATCTAGGTATACAAAGGAACACATCAGGCTTTAGGAACTGAAACAAACGTTGGAAGAACTCGCCAATACCTGGATGATGGAGAAACAAGCAGAGATGGATCAGACAGAGGAGATGAAGACATCCAAAGGGCCGACTGTTTCCGTCCTGATAACTTTGTGAGTGTTAGCTCCGATGCAAACAACATCAGTAAAACGAGAGTTTTTCCGTGTGGCATGGCGAGCGTCAGTCATCCATGTTCGGGTATGTCACAATTTCTTCTAAAAGTGCATCCTCGCAAGATTAACGACTTAAATCACAAACGACTTCTTTATAGTTAACATTCTAGCAATACCTACCATTTTTTTCAATATTCGTCACTCTAGATCTACAGATCGGTTGCATAAAATTAGCAGACAACAAATAGAGAAAAGCGGGTAATTGGGCATGGCTTATGTAACCCATAGGGGTGTGACAGGTGACTTTCGCTTTTGATAATAGTATAACTTTGAGACTTTTTAGAGAACCTTACTTGAGTTGCATATATTATTTCGTTTTGCACAAGTTTTGTTAATATAATACAAACTTGGTCGGTTTTGATTGTTTGAATGCAGTGAATTCCATTAACCATCCAGACCAAAACAACCCATCCAGCCCGACGCGTATTAGACTACCCACCGATGCTTGGGTTATAAGAAACAGCTTTTGAAAATGTATATTCGGAATGTGGAATTTCAAACCTATAAATTGCATGTATATATACAAATCTGAAATAAATGTAGGATAACAGAACGTGTTCCTATTTCTTTGACAAGACATTGGGTCTTAAATCACTTCTCATTGTTTCTTCGCACATCTTACAGTATCTATTGTTTAATACACAATATATCTGACAGCCGTTAAATTTGGTCTTAGTCATTGATTCTTAATTAGAAACAATACAGGACATGGCATGTTTGATCAAGACCTTGTTACTCGGTCTGTATTTGCAAACTGAGGACTCAACTATTTAGCCTAATTTAAAATGACTATGTTATGCTAGTAAAGACCTATTCAGCTAAAATAGAAACACTAATTCAAAATAAATGCATATAAAACAAGCATAAAGTAACCCCAACCAGCAATACAAAATCTCCAATTCTATATAAGCTCGAAGTCCGTACAGAGTTATGGTTATTGCTGGACATTTTTTCGGACAAAACACAAGAAATACCGGTACATTGTACTGCAGCATAGTAAGAAGAGATTCAGGGAAGACGTTTTGCTTAATGACATTGCAACCAACAAAATACCAGGTTCTTTTTTCAAATTCGTCTCCATAACCCATGATGTGTAAATGTTTACAAGATGTAGTTACTTGTAAAAGTTTATTAGACTTGCACTGAGCTTGTAATCCTCTTGAACCTTGATTCCTTCACTTGATCTGATGTATACTGGCCCTATGAACACTCGTATACAACCTTGCCTCATGGTGGACAAAAAGGTTGGGCCGAACAAAGTCATTCTGAATGTTCCAAAGTTGCCGACTTGACATACTTGACGCGCATTGTGTTGTGATGAATGATATATGACAGGTTCAGATTATTATAATTTTCTCGTTAACTTGTATTCTCTTTGATCTGTCAGTAAAATCTGTTCACACTACCAATGATTTCTCTGTAACGCGTGTCAGGAAATTTATCTTCTGGACTGTTTGCCAGTTGACCGTAACAGTTACAGGGGCCCAGACCGCTAGACTTGTTCAGACTTCAGTTTCCCCTGCACTGCAATACATAAAAAAATTCCGTCATGTCAGTTGTTATCTTACTCAATCTGATTAACATAATCTACGTTATCATTCATTGCATCAGACAAATATTGAGTATAGCTAGTGAGTCAATAATGAGGTCATAATCGAACAAAGTTTTATAAATTAAACATGCCCGCCCGTGAGTCGCTAATGACAGGTACTTTGTTTGCCGAACTCGGTAAAGAAAATCAGCATCGATCAATCCTAATTGATGTGTCAAAAAAGTTGAGTAAAGAACAAGTAACATTTTGCGTATGAAATATTTCATAGGTTTGTAAACGTTCGCCATGACGATTCATTTATATATTAACTACAGCGATAATATCTAGCGTACCATCCTAGCGGCTACCAATTAATGCAAAACCAATGAATGCCACAATCCAATTAAAAACAGATCTTAGTTCTCGCTTTGTTTAGCGGTAGCGAGAACTGAGATATATAAGCGCAATCGGGGAAATGAGTTCTAGATGTTACACAATAGGCCTAACGCAACTGTAACATCAATGACACCTCACTTACGTTTTCCATCCAAGGATTAGGCTAGCCCTCATCGATCTTCTGCAGGGCCCGACAACAATGAAAGGTTTCACTTCAAACCACAAGAATCGAATGAGAGTCGAAATATCCTGCACATACGTCTTACCCTTTAGTATATACCCCATTCCTGCCAACTTTTGCTTTCTTTCCCTCGGGTATATCACCGTTTCTCCTAACATCATTTTCTTATTCGTCAACGCATATGTCGCTGCCATTTTGACACTGCGCGCGGAAACGACAGATAACTCTTACGTGATTACCAGGGGAGATAACCATACATATACCAGTGAACGAAGTCGAGGCGTCTTATGTTTACAATAATGATATTTTTCAATATTTTTTGCATTTTACACTTTTGTCATGAGTCATAAGTCTCTCTCATATTCGACGAACGTGTAACCCACACAGATACTAAAATGACACTGGCGGACCTACAGCTTGCCTGTTAATCAGCAAATGACTTAGTGGCGCTATTTGATGTTCTTTGCTTTTCCGAAATAATTTAAATAGAGGAATATGCTGTAAGCCTCAACTTACGGACATTTTCGATTTTAAGTGATGTACAAATATTTCATATACTTATTATTAACAATGAAACAGAATATAACCTTGGAAAAACCGCTCTGTCTGAACAAACGCGTGTCGGGAAGAGACCTCGTCACGTGACCAAGCCTTCTCCCACTCCAAGATCCGACCGCTGTTCACTAAATTGCACCTCCACCCTTACCACAGCGATCGCGATTGTCTGTTTTTGTTAATCATAGTCATATACACAACTCTTTTTTGTCACATTTTAGATCTGACCAGGTTTAGTATCTAAAAATGTCTATTTAACACTGTAGACAATATGGGCGACTAATTTTTTTATCAAACAAGGAAAATAGGGGTTGCACTTCATTAACGGCTATATTTGAAGGAATGGATTTTAAGAACCGACTTAGGGCAAAAAAGGAAAAAGGATTTCTTTCTCACTATCATGCGTGTCATTTTATATGGAAGCGTTAAATTGCCACGTTCTAAAAAAATATCTACGTAGAGGATACTTACATTTACCTAGAAGACACTTTCATCAAAGTGTACATGATGTTATAATCGTGAGTATCGTTACTCATTCAGAGATATTGTTCGACAGTAGATGATACTTACAGTAGATGAGTAGTATCAGTTACGCGTAGGTGATATTTCTTTTGCTTCTTTTTTTTAGAATGTGGCACTCATTCCAAGAGTTACCGAACGTGTAGTGGACACTAGATGCTTCTATAGATGTCAAGCGAAATTATTTCACAAAAAATGAGTCTTTGTAACCTGTATGCTTCTTTGATAATTTTGTTACACATATCCCTAGCGGGGTGTATCTTCTGTCTCGTGGCGTACAAGTAGATTCAACGCGTAAAATCTCGCCAATGAGTCCAGTGTTTTGTGATGTGTGGTGTGGTGTGTTTTGTCGTTTATTAACCAATTTCAGATTTGTATTGTATTTACATTGATTCAATCGGTGCTCCGTTCGTTAGAATTGACAAAAAAACACTAGACCAATCTCCAAGACATCTTTTACAATGATTACGGACAGCGTCGTCCAAAATTACATCCCATGTGACGAAAGATCCCTTTCGCGGGAAGTGACGTCATAGACGACCCCGCATAGTTACGACTTCATTGTCAGCGCATCGCCGCCTTAGTCAGACGTTTTGTTGCTGCAGCTGTTGTTTCACGCCGTTTCAGACGCTGCCATCTTGATTGGTCGATGGGAGGTAGGTGACATATCTCGTATAATATCATTTAACATGTATAGGAACGTGTAAGCGATTCAATATATTTTTACGCAAGTTTTAGCAAATTTGCAGCTGCCGGTTACCCTACAACCGAGGATTCGAACGAAAACCTGAAGAACAGTAAGCATCTTGTCTTTTAACACATCGTATCAGTTGCGAAATAAGTGACATGTTTATCTGAATATATTATTGCTGGTAAACGAAGACACCCAGAAAGTCAAATTGAATGACTGATTGAATGAGAGACACAGTATAACACTTCGGGAATGATGAAATGCATAGTTTGTTTTATTTCTCTGCAGCACTGAAAACAAGATGATCTTTCTGCATGGTTTGGCTTTAGCCGTGTATGAGGTACAGAGATACCTCATATACCGCGATGGTAGGTATTCGTTTAAACAATATTCCAGCTATATGACGTCGGTCTGTACATAATCAAGCCAGATGATAGAGTGGTTGACATTATGAGCATCGATGCTATAAGTTTAGTCACAGAACCTTGCTACCGAACCATTTAGTCTACAATTAAAAGACCTTTTCTAACCCAGATGGATGAACCTAAACTCTGCTCTTTAGGTGACGTATAAACTCTACTCTACTATTTCTCCCTCACAACCCATGTCTACATGGTGATTGGTGGTCGGGAGTAGCACACAGAAGAATGTCATTTCTTCTTTCTATGAGATATTTAAAATGTCAGGTATCTAATTTGATTTTGGACAACATGTGTTTTACATATCTTAGTATGTGCATTAGAGTTAGAGATAGAACTTGATATTTTGTGGAAGTGATCGCCTGACCTACAACCATTCGGCCCAACAGATCAGAGATTGGAGATGCTAAGGCGGGATGCAGCTGGGCAAGCCGCCGCGGAGTCCGCTGCCCAAAAGAACCTCATGATTGCGGCTGATGCTGCAGTGAAGGCCAAGGTTGCTGCTGCTGTAGCAGACGCTGAGTATGCCGCCTGGAAGGCCCTGATTGCTGCAGCTCTGGAGGCCGAGAGAGTGTCTGCAAACTTAAGGAAGAACGCCGGGACGCCTGCAGCGTTGGAGGCCGACAGATTAGCTGCAGCTGCCACGGTGAAGGGCCATTCTGCTGCTGCAGCACTGGAGGCCGAGAGAGAAGAAGCAGCCTTTGCCATGGCCCAGTCTGCTGCAGCACAAAATGCTGAGAACCTGTCTGCAGCTGCTGCTTATTTGGCCAATGATGAAGACGCTGCAGGTGGGAACTATGGAAGCATTATACATAATACGTCAAGGAAAACCGTTTCAAATGCCTAAACATAAAAAAGACTGAATGTCAGTGTTTGTGAACGTAGTTGCAGATATTTCCTCAACCATGCTGTAGCATATTAGTTGCTGACATTGTTATTTTCTTGCAGTCAAACAAGAAGCCCAACAAGAAGGGCATGTTCGGAGGCATGAAGACTGGCTTCATGCTGTAAATGCTGTGTCTGATTGGTCCTCGGCCGTCTACGTCATTCCTGCATGATCCACCCGCATGTCCTCCACTAACGACCTTGACCCTGATTGAAATCGAAACGCCCGATGAACTTTTTGCTCTGTGTATAAGAAACCTTCTGATCAACTTCATAAGAGATGCGTTAATTTAGAGGCTGATGGGTAAACAGTTTAACATATTATTCGGATATCCATAAATGTACGTGTAATTATCGTTTCTTTAGATATGTGTTGATTTACATCTTGATTATCATGTTGATTTACTGTCTGATATTTAGTGATGACAAATATCCCGACCAGCAGGAACACTGACCGACTGTGACGGGATTGTGCGGATGTGTTGTGTCACCATCCATGTGTTGTTGACAGTCCAGGGCGGACTAAATCGTGCTAAAGTTGTACAGACTAGGTTGTTCAATACAAGCGTCATGTTGTCAGAAACATTATCAAGTTGTTAAAGAGGGGTCGGTGATGAAGTAGACAGGGCGATAAGAGAGGTGGTGAGCGACCAGGTGCTACAGGTGTGGTTAGTGGGGTGTTAGAGAGGTGGTTCGTGGGGTGTTAGAGAGGTGGTTCGTGGGGTGTTAGAGAGGTGGTTCGTGGGGTGTTAGGCAGGCAGTTAGTGATCAGGCGTTAGAGAGGTGGTTCGTGGGGTGTTAGGCAGGCAGTTAGTGATCAGGCGTTAGGCAGACAGTTAGTGATCAGGCGTTAGAGAGGTGGTTAGTGATTGGGTGTTAGAGAGGGGGTCGGTGAGGTGTTGGAGGTGTGGTTAGTGATCAGGTGTTAGAAGGGCGGTTAATGATCAGGTGTTAGGGGGTCGGTGAGGTGTTACAGAGGTGGTTGGTGATCAGGTGTTAGGGGGTCGGTGAGGTGTTACAGAGGGGGTCGGTGAGGTGTTAGAGAGTTGGGCGTGTCAGCGGGAAAGTTTTGGTTGACGGTAACCTGACATACGTCCTTATTTGAAACCCTCTTCTGTGATGGTCGTAGGTAAAATCGCTTCTCATTTGCCTGGGAGATGTGTCATTTTCTTTGCGAGAACTCTCTCCTTCCTTGCTGGAGAATCTTCTCCATTCTTCCCAGGAGTATTGTCTCGGCCTTTGGTGGAGAATCGTCTCTCTCATTTGTCCGGGAGTTTTGTCTCTTTCCTTTTGTGGGAATGTTCTCTCATCCTTTGGGCTTATTCGTTCAATGTTTGATGGAGAATCTTCTTTAATGTGGGAGTTGTATCTTTTACTTGCTGGGGAATCGTCAAATAATAATAATAATAATAATAATAATAATAATAATAATGAGTGGTTAAACAACGTTTGTAATTATGCAATTAATATAAATAAATATAATAAAATATATTAATTGAAAACATTTGTATAAGTGAGGTGTGTGCGTTGGACGTGGGTGCATCCTCTATCTTATTAAACATCGGTGAGGTAGTTTCCCGTCTCTATGATTCTGTTCCAAGGACACCAGTGTCACCTCTCTAGTATTGTGTTCCAAAGACACCAGTGCCACCTCTCCAGTATTGTGTTCCAAGGACACCAGTGTCACCTCTCTAGTATTGTGATCCAAAGACACCAGTGTCACCTCTCTATGATTCTGTTCCAAGGACACCAGTGTCCCCTCTCTAGTATTTTGATCCAAAGACACCAGTGTCAACTCTCTATGATTCTGTTCCAAAGACACCAGTGCCACCTCTCTAGTATTGTGTTCCAAAGACATCAGTGTCACCTCTCTAGTATTTTGTTCCAAAGACACCAGTGTCACCTCTCTAGTATTGTGTTCCAAGGACACCAGTGTCACCTCTCTAGTATTGTGTTCCAAAGACACCAGTGTCACCTCTCTAGTATTGTGTTCCAAGGACACCAGTGTCACCTCTCCAGTATTTTGTTCCAAAGACATCAGTGTCACCTCTCTAGTATTGTGTTCCAAGGACACCAGTGTCACCTCTCTAGTATTGTGTTCCAAAGACACCAGTGCCACCTCTCTAGTATTGTGTTCCAAAGACACCAGTGTCACCTCTCTAGTATTGTGTTTCAAAGACACCAGTGTCACCTCTCTAGTATTGTGTTCCAAAGACACCAGTGTCACCTCTCTAGTATTGTGTTTCAAAGACACCAGTGTCACCTCTCTAGTATTGTGTTCTAAAGACACCAGTGTCACCTCTCTAGTATTTTGTTCCAAATATATCAGTGTCACCTCTCTAGTATTGTGTTCCAAGGACACCAGTGTCACCTCTCTAGTATTGTGTTCCAAGGACACCAGTGTCACCTCTCCAGTATTGTTCCAAAGACACCAGTGTCACCTCTCTAGTATTGTGTTCCAAAGACACCAGTGTCACCTCTCCAGTATTGTGTTCCAAGGACACCAGTGCCACCTCTCTAGTATTGTGTTCCAAATATATCAGTGTCACCTCTCTAGTATTGTGTTCCAAAGACACCAGTGTCGCCTCTCCAGTATTGTGTTCCAAAGACACCAGTGTCACCTCTCTAGTATTGTGTTCCAAAGACACCAGTGTCACCTCTCTAGTATTGTGTTCCAAATATATCAGTGTCACCTCTCTAGTATTGTGTTCCAAAGACACCAGTGTCGCCTCTCCAGTATTGTGATCCAAAGACACCAGTGTCACCTCTCTAGTATTTTGTTCCAAAGACATCAGTGTCACCTCTCTAGTATTGTGTTCCAAAGACACCAGTGTCACCTCTCTAGTATTGTGTTCCAAAGACACCAGTGTCACCTCTCTAGTATTGTGTTCCAAATATATCAGTGTCACCTCTCTAGTATTGTGTTCCAAAGACACCAGTGCCACCTCTCTAGTATTTTGTTCCAAATATATCAGTGTCACCTCTCTAGTATTGTGTTCCAAAGACACCAGTGTCACCTCTCTAGTATTTTGTTCCAAATATATCAGTGTCACCTCTCTAGTATTGTGTTCCAAAGACACCAGTGTCACCTCTCTAGTATTGTGTTCCAAAGACACCAGTGTCGCCTCTCCAGCATTGTGTTCCAAAGATACCAGTGTCACCTCTCTAGTATTGTGTTCCAAAGACACCAGTGTCACCTCTCTAGTATTGTGTTCCAAAGACACCAGTGTCGCCTCTCCAGCATTGTGTTCCAAAGACACCAGTGTCACCTCTCTAGTATTGTGTTCCAAAGATACCAGTGTCACCTCTCTAGTATTTTGTTCCAAAGACACCAGTGTCAACTCTCTAGTATTGTGTTCCAAAGACACCAGTGTCAACTCTCTAGTATTGTTCCAAAGACACCAGTGTCACCTCTCTAGTATTGTGATCCAAATATATCAGTGTCACCTCTCTAGTATTGTGTTCCAAAGACACCAGTGTCAACTCTCTAGTATTGTTCCAAAGACACCAGTGTCACCTCTCTAGTATTGTGATCCAAAGACACCAGTGTCACCTCTCTAGTATTGTGTTCCAAAGACACCAGTGTCAACTCTCTAGTATTGTTCCAAAGACACCAGTGTCACCTCTCTAGTATTGTGTTCCAAAGATACCAGTGTCACCTCTCTAGTATTGTGTTCCAAAGACACCAGTGTCAACTCTCTAGTATTGTTCCAAAGACACCAGTGTCACCTCTCTAGTATTGTGATCCAAATATATCAGTGTCACCTCTCTAGTATTGTGTTCCAAAGACACCAGTGTCAACTCTCTAGTATTGTTCCAAAGACACCAGTGTCACCTCTCTAGTATTGTGTTCCAAAGACACCAGTGCCACCTCTCTAGTATTGTGTTCCAAAGACACCAGTGTCACCTCTCTAGTATTGTGATCCAAAGATACCAGTGTCACCTCTCTAGTATTTTGTTCCAAAGACACCAGTGTCAACTCTCTAGTATTGTGTTCCAAAGACACCAGTGTCAACTCTCTAGTATTGTTCCAAAGACACCAGTGTCACCTCTCTAGTATTGTGATCCAAATATATCAGTGTCACCTCTCTAGTATTGTGTTCCAAAGACACCAGTGTCAACTCTCTAGTATTGTTCCAAAGACACCAGTGTCACCTCTCTAGTATTGTGATCCAAAGACACCAGTGTCACCTCTCTAGTATTGTGATCCAAAGACACCAGTGTCACCTCTCTAGTATTGTGTTCCAAAGACACCAGTGTCAACTCTCTAGTATTGTTCCAAAGACACCAGTGTCACCTCTCTAGTATTGTGTTCCAAAGATACCAGTGTCACCTCTCTAGTATTTTGTTCCAAAGACACCAGTGTCAACTCTCTAGTATTGTTCCAAAGACACCAGTGTCACCTCTCTAGTATTGTGATCCAAATATATCAGTGTCACCTCTCTAGTATTGTGTTCCAAAGACACCAGTGTCAACTCTCTAGTATTGTTCCAAAGACACCAGTGTCACCTCTCTAGTATTGTGATCCAAAGACACCAGTGTCACCTCTCTAGTATTGTGTTCCAAAGACACCAGTGTCAACTCTCTAGTATTGTTCCAAAGACACCAGTGTCACCTCTCTAGTATTGTGTTCCAAAGATACCAGTGTCAACTCTCTAGTATTGTGTTCCAAAGACACCAGTGTCAACTCTCTAGTATTGTTCCAAAGACACCAGTGTCACCTCTCTAGTACTGTGTTCCAAAGACACCAGTGTCACCTCTCTAGTATTGTTCCAAAGACACCAGTGTCACCTCTCTAGTATTGTGATCCAAAGACACCAGTGTCAACTCTCTAGTATTGTGTTCCAAAGACACCAGTGTCAACTCTCTAGTATTGTTCCAAAGACACCAGTGTCACCTCTCTAGTATTGTGTTCCAAAGATACCAGTGTCACCTCTCTAGTATTGTGTTCCAAAGACACCAGTGTCAACTCTCTAGTATTGTTCCAAAGACACCAGTGTCACCTCTCTAGTATTGTGATCCAAATATATCAGTGTCACCTCTCTAGTATTGTGTTCCAAAGACACCAGTGTCACCTCTCTAGTATTGTGTTCCAAAGACACCAGTGTCAACTCTCTAGTATTGTTCCAAAGACACCAGTGTCACCTCTCTAGTACTGTGTTCCAAAGACACCAGTGTCACCTCTCTAGTATTGTTCCAAAGACACCAGTGTCACCTCTCTAGTATTGTGTTCCAAAGACACCAGTGTCACCTCTCTAGTATTGTGTTCCAAGGACACCAGTGTCACCTCTCTAGTATTGTGTTCTAAAGACACCAGTGTCACTTCTCTAGTATTGTGTTCCAAAGACACCAGTGTCACCTCTCTAGTATTGTGTTCCAAAGACACCAGTGTCACCTCTCTAGTATTGTGTTCCAAGGACACCAGTGTCACCTCTCTAGTATTGTGTTCCAAAGACACCAGTGTCACCTCTCTAGTATTGTGTTCCAAAGACACCAGTGTCACCTCTCTAGTATTGTGTTCCAAGGACACCAATGCCACCTCTCTAGTATTGTAATCCAAATATATCAGTGTCACCTCTCTAGTATTGTGATCCAAATATATCAGTGTCACCTCTCTAGTATTGTGTTCCAAAGACACCAGTGCCACCTCTCTAGTATTGTGTTCTAAAGACACCAGTGTCACCTCTCTAGTATTTTGTTCCAAAGACATCAGTGTCACCTCTCTAGTATTGTATTCCAAAGACACCAGTGTCACCTCTCTAGTATTGTATTCCAAAGACACCAGTGTCACCTCTCTAGTATTGTGTTCCAAAGACACCAGTGTCACATCTCCAGTATCTACAAATTAAACATTAGACCTACCATTATTACATCTAGAACGACAATAATGTCAACCAAATGTGACTACACAGAACCCATACAACCAGCGTTCGAGCTCGTGACAAAACCTGACCGACACCAGCACATCCCACTCTCCCAGTCGGCTCACTGTCGGTTTCTGCCTGGCTGCAAATCTGGCCCTGTTCACTGAGGATGGTTGGAGTTATATAAATAAAGATTTTTAGGCAAAAACGACGACTTTGACAATGACAACATTCATTAACTTACCCATCAGCTTCTTTTGTGATTATCACATGATGTATTGTTTTAATTCTGTTGGATGTGTTTGTGTAAATAAATGTTATTTTCTATCTGTTTGACTTTTGTTTAGTTTTGATCTTTCCTACAATTATCAGAACTGAGCCGCACTATTCAACATAGTGGATATTAATATTAGAGGGCCGAGGATCAAGGACTGGCCAGGTACTTACCTGTGATTTGACGGGCAATAATTTCGTGTACAGATCAAGATGCGTACTCTCTTCAGCAAGGAAACGTTTTCTTCGAGCAGAAATATCGTTTTCTTCTTTTATTTTTCAATGTGTCTTATCATTTCTTTAGGTCGAAATTGGTAACTGGAACCGGTGACAATCGTTGCTTTAGGAGACTGAATTATTCATTATGATACAATGGAACCTACTTTATCCGAACGTATCCGTTCTCAGTGTAATAGTATTTACTATTTAGTAATCGGAGATTGTGTAGATAAGATATAACATGTAGTGACGATATACTTATAATTATATTCAAATTTAAGGTATACATTTCTCCCTATGTTGCAGGGTATTTTCAAAGACCGTCAGTTAGTGATTAATTTGCTGAACTAAAATCTTGATATAATCCATGCTGTTTCTGTATTTTTAAAACATGTCTTTATAATGAGAAATGTGTAATGTAAAACTCTAATCATGCACATCACGTGACAAATGTTAATATGCAATCTGCATTGTACTATGGGCCTTGATGCCTAAATTACGGAATAAACTGTCTGTCTGACAGAGACGTGACATATATTTAACGTACCTGTAAACTTCATCGTAATTCAAAGAAAATAACAAATATAACATTCATTAAAAAGAAAATGTCTTTCAGTTTTAGCCAAATGGAAATTAATACCACACGGAATCCACGTTTTACCCACGTTTACCCGTTGTGAAGTCGCTATAAAGGATACGTTAACCTCCATAAACTCAACTGAATTCACTTTACTCATTTTTGGAAATATATCCGAGGTTTTGATATCGGATATAGATAAGGCGCAAATCGAAACCAACACCATATTGCCTCTAAGTAAATGGAAATGTAATTTTAGTTTAATCGGATTTCTCGATCAGCCTATATAAGAAAAGCTTATATTCTTTTTTCCCTCTCGTCACGTATCGCTGAAATACTACTGACACTGCATTTTTAACAAGTTCGATTCTTTCTTTGTTGTAATTCAACATTTTTTTATTAAAGAAGACAGAGGCCTGGTGTAATGAGTGAGTGAGTTGGGTTTTACGCTGTTTTAAACAATACTCCTGCAATGTTACAGCGGGGGACACTAGAATTGGCTTCGCCCATTGTACCCATGTGGAGATTCAATCCCAGGCCTTCGGCATGACGAGTGAACACTTTTACCATTACGCTACCCCACCGCAACCCGATATCATGTAAATGAAGAGACGATTATAAGGCTTATGTATCTCTACGTGTGTATATTGTCGTTAACAAGCGGTTACCATATTCTTTACCTGCTGAACATATAGTATATATGTTGTGGAATTTGTCACATGATAGTGTAATTTATTGTTAAACAATGATTGTAACTGTATTACATTGTTTCTGTTGAGAATCAGAAGTCCATTGCATTGTATTTGGGCAATGACTATTTCGCACTATATAATGTAAGGGAGTGAGTGATCAGTGAGTATGGTTTTACGCCGCTTTTAGCAATATTCCAGCAATATCAAGGCGGGGGACACCAGAAATGGGCTTCACACATTGTACCCATGTCGGGAATCGAACCCGGGTCTTCGGCGTGACGAGTGAACGCTTTAACCACTAGGCTATTTAATGTAAGCAGTTGTGAGGAAGTTATTATATATAGATGCTTGACACTTGACTGGACTGGTCTGGTCTGGTACTGTGTCGAAAATGCTGGAAGCTAGCTAGACTAAATAAGTGGAAAGGGCGCGTGCCTGTTGGGTCTCACATTTCAGCTGACATTACATCAAGACTAGCTTTTGTGTGAAGATCACATTTCACCCTGGAGCCTAGAGCCTAGGCCTATCACGGAGGCTTGACCACTGTTGCGGATAGGTGAACATTATTATCACTGAACTTTTTTATATCACCCCTGCCATCATATTTTGTATTTGATACCGCCAATTGTACTACCACTCTATAGTGTACTTCTAGTGCAATTGCTGTGCAGTATTTTGTATCGATTGTAAATCTAGTTAATTTTGTAATACAATTGTTGATTTTATACCATTTGTTGCTTTCACACTAAATTGTTTTACGTTTTGTTTCAATTCGGGAATCGACACATAACAGTATATATTGTCTTAGGGTAATAATGATAAAAACTTCCCAGTGTTTTCGGTGCCTTAGGTTTGGTACCTCCAAATCTGTTGACTGACATTGGGAGAGTACCCGGGTTTGCTACCAGTAATACAGCCCTTCTGACAATCTGGGTAATGCAGAAGGCTGTAGTGTTGGGGAGTCTTCACGTTCTCCGAAAAGGTCTTGGTGAGTTTGACTAGGCAGCGCTTCCTGGGAGAAGTCCCATTCGCTGTCTGGGCTACGTGAAGAGGGGGCAAGGGCCCTGAGCTGATGATAAGCCTAACCAGCCTGACTGTACCAGGATCACCCAAATCCTCTTTGCTAAATTCTTTATTTTAATCTGTAAGTAGTAAAAATAATAATAATGCTACATCCTACTGGAATTGCTAATGTTAACAGCTATTGACATGAAAAGGGCGGTTGGGTACCCCAGTTGTTAAAGTGTTCGCTCTTCACTAAAGTATGTATGTCAGCCCATTCTTGGTGCCCTCAGACGAAAGTGGCTGGAATATTTCAAAAGGCTGGGTTGTATTCAGTTCGTAAACTCATAGTTGAGTGCAATCTTCATGGAGGTGAAACCACGTGTACCCGCAACACCATCATATGTCAGTGATATTACCACCCGTGAAGATCCGGGTTAGAATCGGATGGGTCTTTAGCAACCCATGCATGCTTGTCGTTAGAGGCAACTATGTTTATCGTAAGAGGAAACCAATGGGATCGGGTGGTCAGGCTCGCTGACTTGGGTGATGCATGTCATCGTATCTCAGCTGTGCGGATCGGTGCTCAAGATGTCAATCACTTGATTGTCTGGTCCAGACTTGATTATTTACGGACCGCCGTCATATAGCTGGAATATTGCTCAGTGCGGCGTTAAACAACAAACAAGCAACAGTGATATTACAGCATCGGTTTATCTGCACTTTACTGTGAGCTATAAATTAGTGTATGTTTTAGCCTTATATATATTCCCGCAATGTCAGCAAGAATTTATGTAATAGCATCACTGGTAATCTTATTATGCAAAGTATTCCTTCAGTGGTCTGGCACTCTGAATGAACAAGCAAGTTCCATTAACGGTGTTAACATAATCATGGATATTCATAACTTGAAATAATCTCGGTGTCTATATAAGGCCGGAGTTATGGGTGAGTTGCTCGTATCAAAATGAGGGGTACCTGGTGTATTGCAGTGGTCAGCGTCACGCTGTGGGCAGCCTTTGCCGCAGCGGACAGGTGAGTGGACTGTCTTCTCTTGCCGTCCTCTGACCAACACATATATAACCGTGAAGATCCGGGGTAGAATAGGTCTACAGCAACCTATGCTTGCCGTGATAGGCGACTATGTGTGTCGTAAGAGGCGACTAACGGGATCGGGTGGTCAGGCTCGCGGACTTGATTGATGCATGTCATCGAACCCTAATTGCCTGGATGGATGCTCATGATGTCAATCACTGGATTGTCTTGTCCAGACTCGATTATTTACAGCCTGTCGTCATATAGCTGGAATATTGCTGAGTGCGGCGCTAAACAACAAGCAAAATATATATCTAAAATCTGCATAGTCAAATTGGGGGGAAATCTATATGATATAACAAATAGCCAGTTTATAGATTACACGCGAATGTTTATTGATACGTGGAAGAAAATAATATTTATCGTGCAACGGTTATTCCGAACGTTGTCAGTACTGCATAGTGGTGTTTCAATTTACGGAAACATAAGTGACAGGATAAATAAAATAAAATAAATAACAATGACATTAGATAATTAAAGACATTTAATTTACAAAGGTCAGCTATTAGAAGAAAAGGTTTATTTGAAGTGATGGAGTTCAACATGTCACTGTTGGGCCCTGCTTACATGTAGCTAGCTTGGATGGGTCGTTGATGAAGATGTTAAGGTCTGGGATTACGAAATAGTGAGTGAGTGAGTTGGGTTTATCGCCGCTTTTAACAGCATTCCAGTTATATCAGGGCGTGTCACCTTAACGTGGGAGGAAAGCCCGCTGTGATGCAGGTCTCGAAACATGGTGTCTGTCGTGTCCAAGGGACGCAACTCTGCACAGCAAATTGCGGCGCCTTAGACGACTGGGCCACCCGTGCCCCCTGGTGTACGGAATAGTTTTTGTTAGATCTCAGTACCAGAACTGTTCTTGTGGTTGATGATGCATATATAGCAGGGAATTGCAACTTCTCCAACACATGCAATTGTGGTTTAAGGAACATTACTATATTTTTCAAAATTGTCACAATACGAAAACCAGTTCCTCGTCTGCAGGTGCCAGTACTCGTGCAGCAAACAGGAGCGCAGCAACTACGAGTGCGGATGGTGGGGATGGAAACGCTGCAGCAGATACAGGTCAGTCCACTGCGCATCATGTACGCACATACAGGAAGGAGTTGAAAACGAAGCTGTCGTGGCGAGTGGGTCATATTAGAATGGAGATATAATACACTGGATAATCGAGGATGATCTTAAATAAATGCATGCCCGTTTAACATATGCTTATAATCCTATATTCATATTGTGGTTGCTGAAAATTTTATATTAAAACTGTGGTTTCAGTGTAGATATTTAATAGTTTCATCCAAATAATATTTCTCACTTACAGGAGCGTCCCCAGCACCTGCTACAGAGACTGCACAAGTGAGTCTAGAAATAGTCTTTGTATTAGCCATAAGAAGTGTAAAGGCAAGTACTGGCATATCACGGAGTGATCACCGTGGGTATTCAGGGTTATAAATTGTCTTCCTCACATAACCTTACCACGAGGGCGTGAGTCGATGCTCTTAATATATATCACTGATTTGTGGCAGATAATCCATTACTGTACACTGTATACAGAACAGTAGCACAGTAGCCGACCTGTCTCCTTAATGCCTATCTATCACTGATTTGTGGCAGATAATCCATTACTTACAGAACAGTAGCACAGTAGCCGACCTGTCTCCTTAATGCCTATCTATCACTGATTTGTGGCAGATAATCCATTACTTACAGAACAGTAGCACAGTAGCCGACCTGTCTCCTTAATGCCTATCTATCACTGATTTGTGACAGATAATCCATTACTTACAGAACAGTAGCACAGTAGCCGACCTGTCTCCTTAATGCCTATCTATCACTGATTTGTGGCAGATAATCCATTATTTACAGAACAGTAGCACAGTAGCCGACCTGTCTCCTTAATGCCTATATCTATCACTGATTTGTGGCAGATAATCCATTACTTACAGAACAGTAGCACAGTAGCCGACCTGTCTCCTTAATGCCTATCTATCACTGATTTGTGGCAGATAATCCATTATTTACAGAACAGTAGCACAATAGCCGACCTGTCTCCTTAATGCCTATCTATCACTGATTTGTGGCAGATAATCCATTACTTACAGAACAGTAGCACAGTAGCCGACCTGTCTCCTTAATGCCTATCTATCACTGATTTGTGGCAGATAATCCATTATTTACAGAACAGTAGCACAGTAGCCGACCAGTCCCTTAATGCCGAGTGCATCTTTTAGGTACTTTTTCGGTATGCCCACCGACCTTCCGTTCTCCGGGCTGACTCTCTATTCACTATGCCATTTAGGCAGTCTATTCTTATTGGATGCTGTTGTACAAACAGGTTGTAGCGCTGAGATCATCGTAACTCCCATACCTTAACGTAGACTTACGACAGTCGCAGCGCTAAGGTTGTTTTGTACAACGAAAGTCACACCGTGGAATATGACGAAGGTCAGATTTGTTAAAGGGCGGATATGTAGGTTGTTGCTGTATATGGTTTAGTATGTGTCACCCTGGATATCATTCTTCGTGTGCAGATGGCCAGTGGAGCGCTTTCTCATCGTGGGAAGCGACCAGCACGTGCTCTCATACTTGTGGGGGAGGGGAGATAACCGAGCAGAGAACCCGCCAGTGTAACAACCCCGCTCCAAGCAACGGCGGCAGACAGTGTGAAGGCGAGACGTCGGAGACGAAGACCAGCACGTGCAACACTCACCCCTGCCCAAGTACGTCAGTCACGCCCGTGAAGATCCGGGGTAGAATAGGTCTTCGGCAAACCATGCTTGTCGTAAAAGGCGACTATGCTTGTCATAAGAAGCGAACGGGATCGGGTGGTCAGGCTCGCTGACTTGGTTGATGCATGTCATCGATGCTCATGATGTCAGTCACGGGATTGTCTGGTCCAGACTCGATTGTTTACAGACCGCCGTCATATAGCTGGAATATTGCTGAGTGCGGCGTTAAACAACAAACAAACAAACAAACAAAACAATCGTTAAAGGTTTCCGTAATTGTTTCTCGTGGCCCACTCCACAAAGTGATCTTAGTGCTATCACTATATCGTAGGTCTATGTGAAAGACTGAGCGCGAAGATCGCTGTATGAATGATATGCATACATAATATGTATTTTCTTGTAAGTAAAATGTCATTACTAAAACTAAGTACGGTGCTTGTGCCCCAGTTGCCGGTGGGTGGAGCGCCTGGACGGAGTGGACCCCAGTTGACGAGTGCCCGGCGCTGTGCGGAGGGGGGAAGGCGGATCTGACCCGCTCCAGGACCTGTACCAACCCCTCCCCACAGTATGGCGGAGCGGACTGTGTCGGTCAAGCGACCCAGACTTCCATAATGGGCGACTGCAATGTGGACTCGTGTGCTGGTAGGTGCATTGTTATACGTCACTTCCGGTCTCGTTGCCATGGGGATGTTATAGTTTAAACTACATGCACCTACCTTAAGGAAGAGAATTTACGGATGTCAACTCTTTATTATGAGGAACACAACGTTTCGGAGTATATACTTCATCAGGTGAATACCTACCTTGACCAAAACACATATCACTTTAAATGGTAATTTGCAGTAAACTTTGAATATAAAATAGACAGCCCTGAACCTGTACAGCGATATAGACAAGATAAGGAACAGAGCGTATCCATTTGCACGTGCAATCCGTGAACTTCAGCCATGCAGTCGGTATTGTCAAGGTTACAAGACAGCTTGGCATGAGTGCGTGAGTTGGGTTTAGCGCCGCTTTTAACAGAATTATCACGGTGTGTCAGCTTAATGTGGGAGGAAAGCTCGAAGTGATGCAGGTCTCAGACGTTTACCACTTCGGTGAAACCCACGAGCACGGGTATGGTGCTGACAAATCTAGAAACATAATCTGGGCGAACAATCGGAATTGGAACCCACAATCATAGATGTCTGTCGTGCCCAAGGGACGCAACTCTGCACACCCTACGTGCCCCCAGACAGCTTGGAGAAATAAGTTGACTTCAGTAACTATGTGACCAAAGTATTTTACGTTGTAACACGCCACTTTGAGTTACACTGCAATACTATTGTTCTCCTGTCAGGTTAAATCTAATAAACAGGGATGTTATAATAAACCCGGGATTTTAGTAATTCAACTTCTGTTAATATTGTTACATATGAATGTTTCTCGCTAGAAACTTATTTTTCATTAGAACACAATGTAATGAAAATCAAATGACCAATGTTTTCTTTATATTCCAAAGGATCGAACATGAAACCTTCGTTTCTGTAGCCCAGTGAGTGTACATTTGGCTACAGACGCGCTGATAAATCACAAAGCTTTTAAGAATGTCATTTTCAAGTACCCGTACGCCAGCACCTGATTTTTTACGCCCGTTTAATGGTTAATGGAAATTATGTTTGAATCATAAAAAAATGTTCATAAATGTTGTTTTAAGTTTCCTTTTTCGGTTTATAAATTAGATAAAACACCTACCCTCGGTTGTTGTTTTTTGAGACATAAAACCCGAAACCAAGGGATGTGTCCCACTGACATACAACTTCTTTGTTATACTGCAATAGCCACGTTCGGTCTTGCTTAGCAAAACGGAGTACATTTTGTAGTAAATTTGATTGTAAATTTCACATAAGGAAAAGCATGTTATCTGTATTTTCTGGCGGTTTGAAATGAAATGACGTTTAGGACTATCTGCCCTTGGGCAGAGGTGAGGTTGAAGAGAGAAAAATATGGCGGCAAAAGAACGGCGTCTTGTTGTCTGTGGTGGCCAGAATAATTACAAGATGTAGAAGACAGGTCCCACAACGCAACACTTGATAACGGTATTAGGGTCTATACCGAAACGTCGCTATTACACTATAATAAGAAGTTGTTATCCAGTTATATTACCTTCGTCATCAGACAACTTGAAAGGCTTATGAAACAATTTATACCCGATCAGCTGTAGAGTTTCCGAATGTATGATTATAAAAAATGGCCCTAAACATCCCCCATAGCCAGCATTACAACATGTTGCGCCAATACGACCAGTGGGCAAGCCCTTGCCCCTCGGCTGTGTTAACCACTAGGGCAGAGTCATACAAATAGGTCCAGTGGTCATCTTCCCGAGGCAAGAGAGTTAACTGACTATAAAAGTTCAGTGGAAACTGGACTTCTAAAGTCAGTTAACCCCCCTTGCCTCGGGAAGATGTTCAGTGGTATGTGCTTTACAATACGTACAAATACATCCAGACAATTACTATACGTCCAATTAATGATACCTTCGAGCGATACCCCCTTGGGCACGCCAGAAACCTAGGATTGTGGGTTCGAATCCAGGTTCGCCCCGATTATGTTTCTAGGTTTGTCAGCACCATACACGTGCTCGTGGGTTTCACCGAAGTGGTAAACGTGTGAGACCTGCATCACTTCGGACTTTCCTCCCGCATTAAGCTGACACGCCGTGATGTAACTGTAATACTGTAAAAAGCGGCCTTAAACCCAACTCACTCACTCACTCGTGTGATATCATGATGATTGAAGCATTCGAGAGAAGATGCAGATGTTAATATTGTATCCAATTCTCTGCCTTTGTTTACATCCTTCTTTGATCTACGGGCTTAACTTATTATCATGTTATAGATAACATCTGTATAGTTCGAGTCGTACTATATTGTATAATTTCTTCATCCTGCTTGCAGATAATAATCTGCTATATAATTTTTATCGCATGGGATGCCGTTTCTTGCCAAAGGGCATTGTTCTTATCATTTGGCGTGTTTGTGTTTATCATTTTAAACTGGGTGTGATCTTAAATGATAAGCCTGTGTAGTCTCTGTGTTTTATGGCCCGTTCTACCTAATGACCAGGGTCCTGTTGTACAAAGCGATCTTGTCGTTACACCCCAAACCTTAACATAGATTTACGACAGTCATAGCGCTAAGGTTGTTTTGTACAACGGCACCCTGTGACATGGTTGGCTACAATGTTACGACAATGGTTTGCAATAATTTTATTTTTTATTACCCATAGGGTTAGAATTTACCGAGTTTATAAAAATCGTGTGTGAGCTTGTGTGCAAAGATCTTTTCACGCGCACCAGTGTATTATATCCGTCATACGGACGGCATTGTTGACGTCATTCGAATCTTATTGTGACGTGAACACTAGAAACGACGTCATAGCTGACGTTTGTTGACGTCATTTGACAAATTGTGGTTTTCTAGGACAAGGGTGGTTATCAGTGCTTTTTTCTAAAGGGGGCTCAAGGGGATTAAGAAATGTTTGGTAATAACGAAATTATTACACTTACATGTGTGTCATACGATTAAAGAGCTGAATAATGATTTTTTTCCACGATGTTTTTTACCTGGCTTTTTATCTACACCTTATCCAATTCATAATGATTAGGTTTCTAAACATTAAGAACAGACTTCGTTACCATATAAACTTCATTTTTTTGTCGTCTTCGGGAGGAAGAAATTATCAATTTTGAAACATATTTAGAAAACCGGTCGCTTTGATAGAAATTATCCCGGACGCTCAGGTGTAAATACAATTCAAAATTTCAGTTACGGACGCACAGTTTAAGGAACATAATATCACACGTTAATACGCATTCGTTTGATTGAACGCTGTCTGGATAAACGGGTGTTTACTTTACAACTGGATAGTTTAAAGTGGACACAAAAACAGTATTAAATGTAACAACGACTTCTATTGTAGATATCTGTGCCCCTGGCAACCCAACAGTCGTGCATCACGAGACCAGAGAACACCTCTACTACGAGTGTGACGAGGCCGGTGACGTGGCCTACCTGGAGGAGTGCCCCGACTTCTCCACCTTCAGCCCCATTGCGGAGACGTGTACGCCACTGCCGTGCAACATCATGGACGGCCTGTATCAGACGTTCCCTGGCGACTGTCGCAAATACTTCATGTGCCTGGCGGGTACTCGCACTATTGACCTAGTGTGCCCCTCTGGCCAGGTGTTCAACGGCGACACCCGCATCTGTGACGACCCCGCCACCACCCAGATATGCGGCATGTAATCTACAACATCAATGCACTTGACAACACACATGTAAATAATAATAAACAATAAACTTGTATAACCTTCATAAACGTGTTCTGTCACCTGTTAGAATCCATGGCCGCGTGGTAGTCAGTTGGCCACCAGAGGAAAAGACACCCGTGAAGATCCGTGGTAGAAGCAACCCATTCTTATCGTAAAAGGCGACTATGCTTGTCGTAAGAGGCGACTATAACGGTACCGGGTGGTCAGGCTCGCTGACTTGGTTGATGCATGATGCTCATTATGTCAATCACTTAATTGTCTGGTCCAGACTCGATTATTCAAAGACCGCCGTCATATAGCTGGAATATTGCTGAGTACGACGTTAAACAACAAATAAACAGAGGAAAAGAGGCTTAGTTAAGATTTCCGTTCCGAACCGAATATATTACCGGTAATCAAAGTAATAATTTGGATAGTTAAATGACTTACCTGTAATTTTGTCAAATTATGCAGTTTTCCTTCAATTTATGCAATTTTGACCCCCTGAAAATTCACACACACACTTACAAGCTTACTACCCAATGGAAATTGTGTACAGACACCTCCTTTATGCAATAGAAAAGGCTTAAGGTTTTCAGGGAAATGCGGGAACGAAAGACTTCTTTTTCACCCATGGCCAACTGAGTATACCTCAAGACGTTAAATTGTTTGATAGGCATTACTTAGGAGTTGATGGTGACAAAGTTAACAATATTTGGATAACAACTTCTTTAATACTCTAAAGGCGACGTTTCGGTATACATCCTTATACCGTTGTCAAATAGACGTTAAACGATGGTATTTGTATTCTACCTGCCTGGCACTCGGCAATAATGGAGTAAAGCAACGACAGGTCCCACTTGCTCAAAACGACCTTAGGGCTTTGAATATAGTAATTCTATCTTAAAGCAAGGGAAGTACGATCCTGGGCCCCGTTCCTCAAAGCGATCTTTGCGCTACGATGATCGTAAACCTATGTTAAAGTATTGGACTTACGATCATCTTAGTGCTAAGATCGCTTTGTGGAACGGGGCCCTGGTAGCGCAAAGATTGCTTTGTGCTAGTGGACCCTGGTTGGCTCGGGGTATGCAGTGTCTGAGTGGGATATCCGTGTTAACCTGGGCCATGGTATCTCAGTGGGCTAGCACTATGAAACCGGCATTAGTCTGCCAGGGAACCAGACTGGTTGGATGGGCACAGTGTGAGGGGCCTTGTTGAGTGCCCAAACCATATTTCAACAAAATTAAAACAAGGACTGGTCGGTCAGTACACTGTGTCTGAGGTGGGTATGTAACCATGTAGGGACCCTGTCCGCCATTTAAGTCGAGTATATACAATCATGGGATGAGCTCACGTGGACCCGTCAATTCCAGTAATCTGAAAGGTGCCCGTGAATCTACTCAAAAACACCCACGCACTCATCTATCATGGTGCTTCACCTGTCTCAACATTCCCAGCTCACTGTCCATGCATTTCAGAGTAAGCGAGTAAAGGTCGCACAGACACAATGCATACATGATTCTGACAGACCAGGGGCCACAACCAGGAATTATGGGATAAGCTGCAAGGCTATTGGTGTGTTGTTTAACACGCATTCGGTACTATTCCAGCCATGTCTACGGCCTAAAATAAGGTGCCTCGACCTGACAAACCAGTGGTTTATATTATAAGCAATAGTCCACCACTGAGGTACCATGACACAACATAGACCAGACCCGTGAAGATTCTGGGGTAGAAAAGGTCTTTAGCAACCCATGCTTGCCGTAAAAGGTGACTATGCTTGTCGTAAAAGGCGACTAACGGGATCGGGTGGTCAGGCTCGTTGATTTGGTTGATGCATGTCATCGATCCCACTTGCGTGGATAGATGCTCATGATATTAATCACTGGATTGTCTGGTCCAGACTCGATTATTTACAGACTGCCGTCATATAGCTTGAATATTGCTGAGTGCAGCGTAAAACAACAAACCAACCAACAACATAGACCAAATCTGCAAGCCTGACCACAGCCACCCAGAAGTCGCCTCTTACAACCAGATGACTGGAAACCTACTCTAACCCGAAATCCCAACGGTGCCTAGGTCACTGGTACGTTCTTCAGACATATGCAGTCACTTATTTCATAAACTGTAAGCCCGCTGGGATCAATGGTCCAGTTGAGCTGAGAATTTGCCATCTTCAAGGAGTGAGTGAGTGAGTTTGGTTTTACGCCGCTTTTGGCAATATTCCAGCAATATCACAATATTCCAGAAATGGGCTTCACACATTGTACCCATGTCGGGAATCGAACCCGGGTCTTCAGCGTAACAAGCGAACGCTTTAACCACTAGGCTACCCGACCGCCCCTTCCATCTTCAAGGAGGATAATAAATTCCATTCTGTGGGTACAACATTCAACAGAGTAAGCACACAACACCACTGCAAGTACATTACCACAGGTTTGATGACTACAAATATATTATAACATACAAGTGTATTTTCCATAATCTTTATTTCCAAATCAAATCATGGGATTGCTTAATGGCTCCTCCTTTTTGGAATCTCAAGTGTCTCTACAACAAATATTTTGTGCATGTTTTTGATTCGGGAAGGCAACAAAATAAACCTTCCACCAATTATGTAATTGTTTTTCAAATCTACTCAAATACATGCAAAAGGTTTTCATGACCCTCCCCAGGATTTTATCAGCTATTACTTTACCCTCCCCGATTCTGCATACGTTTTTACATGACCCTCCTGACCTCACATCAGCTATTACATGACCCTCCCCTGTCAAACGTTTTGTGAACCTCCTTATTCTCTCCCATTCCCATTTCAATAACAAACCAATCCTTAAAGCTGGAAATGTTTACATCAATTCTCACCACATAAAGCGTTGAAGTTCATTAGAATCTGGCCAATGGAACGGTTTATACAAAAACATATAAAGTGCTGCTGCATTGATGAAAAGAAAATACAGTAACTCCAGTACTAAAATAACCTTAGAAGGGGACTGGTCATTGATATTCAATCTCCAAATATAAAACGGAATTACAAAATATCTGAACTCGAGGAGTTTTTGAGGAACAAGGGTCACAACAAGACACACCCAGAAACACATCCTCCAGATGATGGTCTTATGACTTAATGAGCTGCTAAAGCTGATCAAGGCAAAACAATACATCGGAACTAACAAAAACTTGACCAGTTCGTGTCGTCTGTAGATCTTCGACCAGACATAAAAAGGGTAGTGACGATTGTCAGCCAGAAGATATTCATGCACGTATGTAAAATTCGAGATCAGGTATGCTGCAGCTACTACAAAAATGCTGACCAAAAAATGATGATTGAAAAGGAATTTGAAAAAATATATGATCTTTGATCTGGACATCAAATGCATAAAGCTAAAGACGAGACATGTACTTAGGAAATAAAACACTTGAGGAAAATTAAGACATGCTTGATGATGACTTCTATCGCCAACCACGATACCATTGTTGATGTAAACAAAGACAACAAATAGCAAAACAATGAACATATAAGGGAGAATAGTTTTTAGGATATTTTGCACAAAATTAAATAATTTCTTTCGGTCATGTATCAAGGTCTTGCTGAGGCATTTAAAGAGAGGCTTTAGTATGGTCAAAGAATATTTATCAATGCTGTCCTTTCCTCGGTACTGTTTGCAGTCATCGAGCCATTTAAACACATCTTTCTCACAGGCGATGCCGGCCATGAAGACTACCCAGATGATGTTGGTCTGGCGAAACATGATAGCAATGGCGCCGCAGATGGAGGCGGAGACGTGGGCATGGCGGAGGCAGGCGAGGTACATGAGGAGGACCCAGAGGACGGAGCCTGGGTCGGTGTAGTAGAGGAAGGTGAAGAAGTAGAGAACGGGGTACAGTCCCAGACACAGTCCCTGGAGGGTCTGGGATAGGGAGTCCGTCCTCTGATTCTGAAATGAAAAATAATAAAGAACGAGGTAGGCCAAGGTCCTTTATGGGCCACCAGCAATGGTAATTTTCATAAGGTATGAAAAATTACCAGACATGTTAAATTTGCTGAACGCTTGCATTCTTTCTTACACTTTTACTTCCAACATGATCAAATACCAAGATGAATGTGTTACTACTATATCCCAAGAAAATCAGCTTGGGTAAAAGACTTGCTCATGTCTGTGTGTGCGTGTTGTGTGTCTGTGCTTGTAATAGTCCGGACTAATGCCAATTTCATAGTGCTAGCTGAGATACAATGCCGCAGGTTAACATTAGCATTAAAGCCTCTTTCTCTTTGTTGGTCCTGTTGACCATAATATATACACGCCATAACATTAATTAGAACCTTTTTAACATGAATTGGGAAATTTTAATTTCCATTTGCAACCTGTTGCTGCAGACGTGGGGCTTAATATCGTCCTCTAAGCAGGTCTGTATAAATCACTGTCCTGAATCAAGGCTAGTGCTACAGCACACAATTACAACCTGCATCAAGGACAGGTAAGGAGGACCTGAATCAAGGCTAGAACTACAGCACACTATTACAACCTGCATCAAGGCCTGGTAAGGGGGACCTGAATCAAGGCTAGTGCTACAGCACACTATTACAACCTGCATCAAGGCCTGGTAAGGAGGACCTGAATCAAGGCTAGAACTACAGCACACTATTACAACCTACATCAAGGACAAGTAAGGAGGACCTGTATCAAGGCTAGAACTACAGCACACTATTACAACCTGCATCAAGGCCTGGTAAGGGGGACCTGAATCAAGGCTAGTGCTACAGCACACTATTACAACCTGCATCAAGGACAAGTAAGGAGGACCTGTATCAAGGCTAGAACTACAGCACACTATTACAACCTGCATCAAGGCCTGGTAAGGGGGACCTGAATCAAGGCTAGTGCTACAGCACCCTATTACAACCTGCATCAAGGACAGGTAAGGAGGACCTGAATCAAGGCTAGAACTACAGCACACTATTACAACCTGCATCAAGGACAAGTAAGGAGGATCCAATACAAGGGATTTTTCCTCTCAAGCTCAAGGGACTGGGGACCTATCACGCTGATGGCAGTAGTAGTAGAAGTACTAGTAGTAGTAGTAGTAGTAGTAGTAGTAGTAGTAGTAGTAGTAATGGAGGTAGTAGTAGTAGTAATGGAGGTAGTAGTAGTAGTGGTGGTAGTAGTTTTTAGTTTAAATAAATAATCTAAACCAGACAATCCAGTGATTGATATTTTGAGGAACAAACCACACCATCGGGTACACAATCAACCATGTCAACAAGTCTGACCACCAGATCCTAATAGTTGCCTCTTACAAGCAGCATAGGTTGCTGGGGACCTATTCAAACCAGGAATCTCAATGGGGCAGTGGTAGTTGTAGCAGCAGTAGCACAGTATCCAGGTGATACTTACCTTCTTTTTCCCATTGGGGATGGCAGCAGCCAGCAGATACAACACACACACATTAGCCAGCATGAATAGCAGGTTGACCCCACGCAGAACGAGGGTGGAGCAGACACTAGCCGGGGGCACCTGCAGCAGCCGTGCCACGGGGACCAGCACCCCTGCAGACATCAGGTACAGTCCTGGCAGGGTGGTGATCATTGGGTCCCACTGGAACATACACAACCACTGAAACATAGGCAACTACTGAAACATACACAACCAATGAAAACATTCTTCTTTCTGTTATTGACCCATATGTTTGTTTGTTTACTCAGCAATATGCCAGCCATATGACGGTGACCTGTAAATTTTGTTATCTGTTTGTTGTTTAATGCTGCACTCAGCAATATTCCAGCTATTTGACGGCAGTTTGTAAATACATGTAATCGATTCTGGACCAGCCAATCCAGTGACTGATATCATGAGCATCGATCTATGCAATTGGGATACGATGACATGGATCAACCAAGTCAGCGAGCCTGACCACCCGATCCCGTTAGTCACCTCTTACAACAAGCATAGACCTATTCTAACATGGGACTGGCCTGTAAATAATTGAATCTGGATCAGACAATCAAGTGATTGATATTGTGAACAGCGTTCCATGCATCACGGTATGAGGACAAACAATCAACCATGTCACCGAGCCTGACCACATGATCCATTTAGTCACCTCTTATAACCTGCTTAGGTTGCTGGGGATTTATTCTGACTTGTAATCGCCACAGGATTTCTGATTATTAATCTTGCAATCAAATACATGAAAACTGTCATATTTATTATTTATTGGGAAATGAAGAGCTTTGTAACAACTTCAGAGGATACATATAGTAAGTGAGTCCGCAATATTTCAGCTATATCATCATGTCTGGAATTAATCAAATTTGGGTAAGACAAACAAGTGGTTGATATCATGAGCATCATTCTTTGCAGTCAGGGGTTCAAGTTCTAGGGGTAAACAAACTGAAGCATTGAGCAGGGTGCATTTGGGACCAAAATAACACTTGCACTTTCAATATGTTAATGCATTTTGAATGATTCATATCAGATTGTGGAGATGTCAATTTCTATATATCAAAGTGGGAATGTTTAGTGAGGTGACAGTTTGGTGGTTGGTTAGTTGTTTAACGCGCACTCAGCAATAATCCAGCTATAGGACGGCGGTCTGTAAACAATCAAGTCTGGACCAGACAATCCAGTGATTGATATCATGAGCATCGATCCACGCAATTGGAAGCCTGACCACCCGTTCCCGTTAGTTGCCTCCAGTGAGGTGACAGAATGAAACATGAACGAACATAGATATTCAAATATAAAATATAACGAAAATGTGTTGAGATGATTGAATGTCGAATATGTGTAAATGTTATTGTCGGTGAGAGTAAGCTAGTGAGAATGTTGAAATAAATGTGTATAAATCTGAGATTGTTGTGTATTCTTGTGGAAGTGTTACACGATGAGAAGTAAACTACTGTCACAAAAGCGTTTCTGTGTCTTGTATCATGATACACATATCATATGTGGTGCCGTCCCCTGCGACAGTCTCTGGTTACAGGAAATTTTGGAGCCGTTTTGACGTGTTGATAGGTGCCTTTACAAGTCCTATTGTATCTCAGTCGATGTTGAATCGATAAGGTAAGTTCAGGTCGCACCTCTGATAGATTCCCATGACAATATTGTTGTGCTTGTGGAATATGAAAAATCTCGTCCATATAAGGTTTTCCTTGTACTTCATTGATGACTTTCAAGACCGTTATTCCGCAGGCTGCATAGAGCAGCAACCCAACTGTAAATGCAATCATCCTCAAGCCGCTTCCACGTCTTGAGGGCACGTACGATTAGAGTAATCCGCCCCTAGTTTCCCACAGGCCCCGCTAGGAAGACTGTACTGTAGACAGGCACCCAGTCCAAGCTACACCGCTGTGAGCTCCGGTATTAGGAGTTGCGCCATCAAACTGTCACGACTTTTTTTTCTTACGGAACTTACTGTCTCCTTTATAATTTATTAGAGGGTCCTGGCCATAACTACAATAATATCTTTACGTCCAAGGATATATGATTACATGTAAAACATATCAGAAGCACCGGATGTGGATCTCTGCATATGTTGCGTGTGGATTTAATTACTTACCGTATTGTCACTTTTTATTTTTAAAAAACGTTTACACAAAGTGATTTATTTAGGGTTTAACCATTACATCTTCCAGTCGTTCTGTGTCAAAACACATATGTATTCTTGAATTATTCTCTTTAGTGAACAGTATACAGCCATATCCGACTTGCATCTACACGAGCCTTATTTTAAATGGTTGGTTATTGATAGGACACACATTTGGTTTGCCGGATGCGGAGTCGGTTAAATGGTATTCCGCATGTCGATACCTGTTGTATTCCGCATGTCGATACCTTTTAAGTGGTATTCCGAATGTAGATACCTGTTAAGTGGTATTCCGCATGTCGATACCTGTTAAGTGGTATTCCGCATGTCGATACCTGTTAAGTGGTACTCCGCATGTCGATACCTGTTAAGTGGTATTCCGAATGTCGATACCTGTTAGAGGTATTCCGCATGTCGATACCTGTTAAGTGGTACTCCGAATGCCGATACCTGTTAAGTGGTATTCCGCATGTCGATACCTGTTAAGTGGTATTCCACATGTCGATACCTGTTAAGTGGTATTCCGAATGTCGATACCTGTTAAGTGGTATTCCGCATGTCGATACCTGTTTAGTGGTATTCCGAATGTCGATACCTGTTAAGGGGTATTCCGAATGTCGATACCTGTTAAGTGGTATTCCGAATGTCGATACCTGTTAGAGGTATCCCGCATGTCGATACCTGTTAAGTGGTACTCCGAATGTCGATACCTGTTAAGTGGTATTCCGCATGTCGATACCTGTTAAGTGGTATTCCGCATGTCGATACCTGTTAAGTGGTATTCCGAATGTCGATACCTGTTAAGGGGTATTCCGCATGTCGATACCTGTTAAGTGGTATTCCGAATGTCGATACCTGTTAAGTGGTATTCCGAATGTCGATACCTGTTAGAGGTTTTCCGCATGTCGATACCTGTTAAGTGGTACTCCGAATGTCGATACCTGTTAAGTGGTATTCCGCATGTCGATACCTGTTAAGTGGTATTCCGCATGTCGATACCTGTTAAGTGGTATTCCGAATGTCGATACCTGTTAAGGGGTATTCCGCATGTCGATACCTGTTAAGTGGTATTCCGAATGTCGATACCTGTTAAGTGGTATTCCGAATGTCGTAGTGCAGTACGCTGGATGCCATCAAATGTTGCCAATATGTCAATGTTGAAATGTATTTTTATCTTTTATTTTCTTGCAAAGAGTGACAAATCAATGACATATTTAGCCCTAATTGAGCTTATATGCATGCATGGTCATGCATTCTGTGTGAAAATCCAAGTCGAATTTACTTGTACCAGCATTGTACACTGATCGATATGACTCAAGCGTTATGTAATTGGATGCCAAGACAAATTAAGCGGTTGCCTAGTGAAACAGGGATGAGGGGCGTACGCGACCCCAAAACATGTTATACGCTGACCTTTCTTGGCCAAACAAAAAAAAGCAGACAGAGGGATGTGGGGGAGGAGGCTTTGCGAGACCCGCCCTTAGATTTTATTGATACAATATACAGGAATAAAATAACAATGGAAGTATTTCAGACAAATACGGGAGAAGGTTTATAACCAGGTACAATTGTAATGTACATAATTATGTTAACATTTGTTTATGACAATTTCTAGTTTATTTGTTGGTTACTTTAAACAAAACAAAAATTTACTTCCACCTACATTGGGTATTCGTGTTTCTTTTTCATCATTAAATAAGTAGAGAAACGGGTTCATGTTGAATTTGCCACAGAAACAAATACCAGTAAAGGATTCACTATAAATATGTGTGTTTTTTGCTTAACGCCGCACTCAGCAATATTCCAGCTGTATGACGGCGACCTGCAAATAATCGAGTCCAGACCAGACAATCCAGTGATTGACATCATGAGCATCGATCTACACTATTGGGATACGGTGACATGCATCAACCAAGTCAGCGACCCTGACCACCCGATCCTGTTAGTCACCTTTTACGACAAGCAAAGTCGCCTTTTACGATAAGCATTGGTTGCTGGGGACTTATTCTCTACCCGTTTCCTCACGGGTCATATTAAGAAGGTAGTTTCAAAAACTTAATTTTTGTTGTTGTCGAATGTTGAGTAAATATGTAAGTGTCTAATAGCAAGTAGTTTGAGGAGTATGACCAGACAGAAAACAATAAATTTCTCAAGCATACAACAAGGAGTGTATATCCTGTTTGTGTTAAGTTTACATGCAGACGCTCCATCGTTTACTTATTTTACTATACAAGCGGTGGTTGATATGTTCTGAGACTCACATAGAAAGACTTGACAAAAAACTTTTAAATTATTCATTTTTAAACATAGTCCCCTTCCAAACTGATACACGTCAACTGACAACGGCGTTGCATTGATTTTATCCCAGTTTCGTGGAAGTCCTTCTCTTGATGACCAAAACGTTCTCCCAGCTGCTATGACGTCATCGTTCGAGTCGAAATGGGTTCCGGTTAGAGCTTTCTTTTGTTTGGGAACAGATGGATGCCTGACGGAGCCAGATCAGGAGAATCATCTAGGTTCTGAAGCTGTTCCAAGCCACACTCTGGCTTGTAGACATCTCTTAGTCTGAATTTCATCCCCTAATTGCCTAAAAAGCGCAGACTAATATGCCCCGTTGTCAGGCGTTTTGGAAGATATTCTACAATGATATACCACAACGATATTCTACAATGATATTCTACAATCACACCCTCGGCAATCCAGAAGCATTCTAGCTGACGTGACAGTCTTTGCTTTCTTTGGTGGTGTTGATGTCATGCGAATGCATCCTCTGTTTTCATTGTTTTTTGTACCCAAGTTTCTAACATAGATCCACATAGATCCTTGTATTAATTAAAGAACATTTCTGGATCTGTAAATACAAGATATTGTTCTGGATCACAACTTCTTTATTCTGTTATGATGCGACGTTCCGGTATAGATCCTTACACCGCTGTCAAGCACGAGTGAACGTCATAAGGATCTATACCGAAACATCCCATCATAATATAACAAAGAAGTTGTCGTCCATAATAAGATATCTTGTCTTTACTGTTACTTACCAACTTCTAAAAATGCCAATCCGCTTTAACCAGAGCTAGGATACCACGAGACATGCATTTTGTGCGTTTTTGATCAGATGTCAGAATTAAGCTTTGGAACATGAGCTGATATTTTCTTCGTTGCCATTCTAGCTCTGGATAATTTCTGGTATTTCAGACATGACCGGCCTTCCAGGGTTGGGATCGTCTTCAATTTAAGGCCCCCACTGTCAGCTACCCCTCGTCTCCCTTTTATTTTTAAGCGCTTACGGCGAATATGGTACGTTACTAAAGATATGTTGTTGTTTTTCAATGTGATGATTCACTGATCCTTATATCAACAGCTAGTGGTCTATTTTGACCTGATTTATGGGCTGTCATGACCAAATCAGTTAGGCCGTTTTGGCACTGCTCCATTTCGTGACTTGCATCTGAATTTAGCACTTTATCCCATGCCAGTTTGCTTTACAAAGACTGGTAAAATATAAACTTGTTCTGCAAGTACTTGATCACTGAACGTCCCTCGAGTTTGTTGATTTGCCAAAGGTCACAGACCCTATAACTTTACTGACTTTGTCACAGCGGTAAAATTTGCTCAGTTGACTCAAGTTTTATGGATATAGCTCCATGACATCATGTTATGTCCACACAAAACATATAACTAATATTACGCAATTCCGTCTATGTGAAGTTCAGAAGTAACTGTTATCGTAATAATCACATTAACAGTTAACGGGCGGTAGCTTGAGGCGGTTTGCGCGGCGTGCTTAACGCAAAACCAGTTTTGTTGAACCCAAACAAAACATTACTGGTGATAATGTTTAGAATGCGCGATCACCTTCTGTGCCTAGCTAACCATACGTCGAGCGATTAGGAGCCCAGTCTTGCTGTTCTTCGATATCGGTTACTCCCCCTTTTTCTTGTGTTGGAATGTCAGGCTTGCAGTTGCACACGTTCTTGTGATTAGGCGACTGTATGATCGAGGGTGCTCCATAGCTGACATAAATCGATGTTCCTTGTGGCTTCAGTCGAATAAAGTTGGCTATTTATTCGACACTTTTAAAATTCAGATTGAGGTGTGAACGAAATCTGGCATCGATGTCTGCCACATCTGCACCTGTTAGCGAGAATACGCGTGATCTCGAGGAAGGGAAAATGGCGAAGACGGGTAAGAAAAGTTGCAAAAATTTAGCCTATTACAACAACCTACGGACTGCAACATTATTTCATAACATGACAAGTGTTTCAAAGTTAAGCTACGGTCATGTTGTAATTTTGTGTAAAAATGGGCAGTACGTTCATTGCTTTCCTTGTTGTTTTTCAAGTGACTAGTGTTTCGCCGGTCAACAGGATAGGCCTAGGCTATTGATTTTCGAAATGCCACATTGCAATCGAGATTTTCTGCTCTATTTGACACGTATGCGGGAGATAACATGGACATTGTTTCCTTCGTTGCATACATGTATAAAACGATTTGCCAGTATGCAAAGGTTGTCGTCAGGTCATTCTGTGTTCTTTTTCTTCAAACGTAGACATATTAGATCATATTACGGATAAAACTGGTTAAGATGTAAAACTTTAAAGAGCCAACCAAGAACGTCAAAAGGATCTATGAAAACAATCAATACTAACTTATGTAGTCATATCGTTATGTTAGATATGCAGAGATAGACAATACAATATTTGTGGTATTGTTGGTAATGAAATATTGTTGTTTTCTTCTATTTTAGTCAAACATTAAACGCTCTGTTGCCATGACTACTCGTTTGTAGTCATGTAAAGTTTATTGTAACATTTATCTGCATTTCTAATCCAAAGTCTTATTTGTTGAAATAGATGGCTGTAGTAATGAATTGTTACTGTTATTATTAGTCTGGACTGTTCATGGCATGATTAACGTTTGGCATACAAGCAAAAACATCTGAACATGCAGATATTGGAAGACAAGCTAAAACACCTCAATGTTCTCACATAATAAAAACACATTAACATTAGCAAAATAACAATCATTTCTTGCAATATATTGAAATGCCGCTGAAAACTTAAAACAAAAAGCAATCATGATTTAGGGATAGTTTAATTCATCAATGTTTATTAGTTCATTTATTATCATACAGTTACTTTTAAAGTATATTTTAAATCAGAGCTTTTTCTTTCATCATTTACACATGGCACGACGTGACGTACCTTAAGACAAAAAAAACAGAAAATTGCAATACACTTCAGGGTTGCATGCCACTTGCTTCAAAACAAGAAAATAAATTGGCATTGTTTTATCCATTACAGTGGAACGAATCAGTACAATGGCTGATGACGTGTCAATCGATTCATATCTGTATATATGCTGTATGTTCATTGCTTTGAGTTGGAGACAAGTGATGATTGTTTCTACCATGTCTACAGTCAACAAGCTTTTTACTTTTGAAATGCTACATTACTTTTGGAATTTTCTGCTCCAGATGACTAATAAGCAGAAGATGACACAAATAGTCTTTCTTTTGTTGCATACATGTATGAAAAAGTTTATTTTTGCCTTTGTGCAAGGCTTGTCCTTCTGTTTCCTATTTCCTAAACAAAGATCTATATTGCTTTATAAGAGTTTAAGACGCTAAACATTGCACATGATATACATATAAAATTCTTATATTTGTTTGTTTGTTGTTTAATGCCGCACTCAGCAATATTCCAGCTATATGACAGCGGTCTGCAAATATTCAAGACTGGAGCAGACAATCCAGTGATTGATATCATGAGCATCGATCCACTCAATTGGGATACGATGACATGCATCAACCAAGTCAGCATGCCTGACCACCTGATCCTGTTAGTCGCCTCTTACGACAAGCATGGGGTTGTTGAAGACCTGTTCTACTTATGACTCGGACCTATGTTAATATATCCAATGTAACAAATCTATAATTGGTGATTTCCAGGAAACTCCCAGGAAGTGTTGAAGTACTTCAGTTTAGTGTGCCTGACCCTGCAGAATGCTCTACTCATCCTTGTCATGCGCTACGTGCGTACACGTACAGGAGACATGTTCATGGCCACCACTGCTGTCATCCTTTCTGAGGTACTCAAGTTCTCATCCTGTTTGCTGCTCATCCTCTTCCAAGAAGGCAGCTTGAAACGCTTCCTGCAACGTCTCCACGAAGACATCTTCCAGCAGCCGCTTGACTGCCTCAAAGTGTCTGTGCCTTCATTCATATATACACTGCAGAATAATTTGCTTTATGTGGCAGTGTCAAATTTGGATGCTGCAACTTTTCAGGTAAATGGACGTTATTATCATAATCATTGTTTAATCCTTAATGGGATTCTTTAGTTGACAGACAGATGTTAGTCTGTGGATTTGTCAGGTGTGTGGATGTAGTTTTTTTAATTATTTTTAATATCAGGTTGCATTATGTGATCATGACTTAAGAGCAAAGTGATAGATGTTATTTTGTATGCAAATAATTCTGGAAGAGTTCTCGGTTATCATGGTTATAGCGCGGTAAAGCATGGCTCACAAAATATATTTACATTTTTAATTTTTTAATAAGCTCTAGTTTTCTAGTGACACAATGTTTTCCCCATCTCAAATAACATTGTCAGCTGATCACCGTGATCTAGTAACACCGGAAATACCAGTCAACAAATCTGAACTGAAGTACGCAATTTAATCCCATTATTATACTATCTGGTTATAATAAAGTGTTCAATTTTGTTTATCCTGACTTATGTTTGTAATATATTTTATTAATTTTATTCAAAATTTTATTCAATAATATTTACATTAATTTTGTCGTAATCGTGTGTGAAGTGATCGGTAGATGGCACAACTCACCGTTATTTACAGCAACCACAGTCAGAATACCGCTACTGATGCCTTGAAATGAACTTTAGTTGCAAGAGAATGAATACATTTATCATAAATTCCATACTTTGACTTGTTAAAAACTAAAAAGTCATATTTGGGGCAGTTTAACTATTAAATGTCAACATCTCTTTGCAGTCGAAATATGGTGACTGGTCAAATTGTTCCATACCTTAAAATATCCTGCAACAGCAATCACTTGACCGAAGTGCTACACTTATCATGCTTATGGTTCTTATACTTTTTAATATATATAGTGGTTGGTTTTGGTTGGTTTGTTGACAGCGGTCTGTAAATAATCGAGTCTGGACCAGACAATCCAGTGATTGATATCATGAGCATTGATGTACACAATTGGGATCGATGACATGCATTAACCAAGTCAGCAAGCCTGAAATATATATAGTGAAAGCAGCAACTAAAATAACACAATGTTGGAATGATAAAATGATTATATTAGATACAATTTCTTCTGATCATTGCATCAAAATTCTTTGAAGTTGTATCATTGGGTACTTTTTAACTGAATCACTGGTAGATTGAGAGGAAATGGCATCAATCTCTTTCTCTAACCGTAATACTGATCGGCAGCCTAAATCTAAGGATGCAGAACATGGGCCTTCCTCTGCTGAGAACTCAAACGTGTTATCAAGTTGGCTGTCTGTTCCACCATAACAGCTGTAAAACCACCTCTAAAGCCTACCATACCATCCTTGTCAATTGAAGACGATGGCATATCGGATAGTTTCCTCAATGATGAAGTTCCTGTCAAAATGAACCAGTCGCCTGATACTAGTGCGCTTGTTACCACACTGACGTCAGAGCACGGACAGATGCACAGTTATATCAGAGCCATCTTCCCTAGGCAAGGGAGTTAACTGACTGTAAAGGAACAGTTTCCACCCTTGTCGAACTAGGCTGGCATTTCTGGTCTCGATCGTAGAGCCACCAGTGGCGATTACGAGTTATGTCCCTGCTATTCCCCTCCTACTGACCAACCAGATTCCACCTGTCATATTACTTGCATTTTCTTCAAACAAAGACGATTTGATCGATGATCAAGTTCTATGTTGTAATAAAAGTGCATCTTAATTAAACTCATGAAAAGATTTGGAAAATATCTGTTGATGCCCAGTTGACGGTACACATCCTGCAGTTGACCAAATCTGCGTGTTGAAATCCATGTTGTTTACGAAACGGATGTCGATTTCGTAACACGATTTTGATTGGACTATGCATAGACTCTATGGTCCAGCCAAAATATAACTCCATACTCTAAGCCTAGTTCGGCAAGGGTGGAAACTGGACTTTTGTGGTCAGTTAACTCCCTTGCCCTGGGAACATGTATCAGAGGAGACTTCGTCTACGTCAGCCTCGACACACAGCTGAGAGTCGTTGATTGTCCGTTGCACCTTATCAAGATGCACAAATGATCATCACCCTGAATATTTCATCAATGGATATGGTCGCTCTCAAGTTGACATCGGCAATTTCAACTTCCCCTCGGATTGATCGCACAAGTTTGTACTTTTCATACACTCAAGAACGACAGAACAAGGATCGATCCTGCACCTCTGATAAGGATTGCCGGGCTTCCTCAAAGAATCACTGTTCCAAGTATCGACATTCTCAGGATAGCTCTTCCAAGGATCAACACCTTAAGGATTGACACTCAAGGGATCAATGGTCTAGAGCTAAGAATCGGCTTTGCCGAGATTGGCACTCAAGGGATTGACCTTTACAGGATCGCTGCTCTACTGACGAATTGACAGCGGAACCACTGATATCACCGACCACTCAAGCTCGTCAGGGCAACTGTGACCTTTGAAGTTTCAGTCATGAAACCACCTCCAGCGTTAACCATACCCTCCATGTCGATTGCAGGTGATGGTGTCTCGGGCAGCTTTCTCACTGACGAGGTTCCCACCAATTGGATCAACCATTTGTCCCCATTGGAGCAACCAGTGCCTTGGATGCCTGCATGGCTTGTCGAAACCAGCTTAAACAGCCCCTACTGTCGACCTTCCTATTACTCCCTGATGGTCAGCTGCAGTCGCTTATCGTCCCCGGCTCCTCCACGTGATGCTCTAGTCTTTGACAAACTGACCACTTTGTCTCCGGACACAGTCGCTCCCAAGTCTACTAAGGCATGACGGAGCCAGGATTGCTCTCATGCTTCAGACAAAGGTCACCATGTTACCTTGAAGTCGCCGTTCCAGGGACAATCGAGGGATCGTCACTCTCGGGTTTATTGTCTCCCTACTGATCGACCTCGCAATGGAGCTACAGATTCTTCATGGACCACTCCTGCTTGACATGACGATCACCATCATTTGGAGGACCTTCCTGCTCCTACAGCTTGAACCCTCAGTGACAAGGCTTTCAACCTAAGCAAACACGTACTCTATTGTTGCTGTACCTTGCTAGTCTTTTTTTAAGACCACATCCTCGACCATCACTTCACTAGAAACTGGTTTTTCTCTTGTATTGACATTTATATAAGAATCAACGTGTTTAACCATATCATCTTACTCATTCACCTTCGCATTGCCTGGATTAACTATTTTGGTTTGGAGATGTTATGACAGTCAAGATTGGCATTGCCCCCCTTACCTTCTTCACGGAATCACCGGACTCTATCTTCAGTATTCTTTCAATCTGTTGCTCTTGAAGATTGCCAAATTATTCACGTCAAGATCGGGAATATTACCCCTTCACAAGCTAGACATAAAGGAAATGAAGAACGACTGGATTGTGAGCCACATTTTACCAATGCGATTGACTGATTTCGTAATTTCCATCCTATTTACATTCATCAGATATAACGAAGATCAACTTAATAATGCATTGGTCACATCAAGCCTTCTACAGGGAACTGGTTGCATGTACACAATTATCTCTTCAGAGCTCGGGACATCTTTTTTGTTGGTCTGCTCTACAGTTGTCTCTCTTTTGTCAACTGACGGGTGTGTGTGGAGCTTTTCACCAAGTGTTGGACAAGAACATAGCCCAGTTTGCCTGCTCTAGAACGCTTGCAATCATCGCCACACTACAAGCTTTGACGAGAGGATACCGGTCGAGGCAAGGACACAGTTGTCGATGCCCCGGTGCATGGATGTTTTGCATGTAACGTTTTTACGCTACTTCGGCATGCCAGCGAGAGATTCTTCATCCCACTTTCCATGGCAGCCACCACGGAAGTCTTCTGTGCCACAGTCTCCTTTTGGCCCCGCTCGACTATCCTGTGGGCCTACACCATTGCAGGATTGCCTCCTCCGGTGACATCCAATCCACATGAGCCATCACCTCTACCATGGCCCTGCACAGCAATATTTTAGTCTGGCTGCCATTGTGGTGGGTTGTTTTTGGAAGTCCGATACTGTCTTTGCCTCCCACTATCTTCGTGACATCTCAGTCACCAGTGTTCAGGGCCCCCACCAGCTTGGTGCCTTGGTCTTGGCCCAACATTTGATGTATGCAAATCACCGGTGAATGACAATACTCGTACCTCTTGCTGCAGCCCAGTATTCCGTATCCTGCACAAACGTAATAATCATTGGAACATCCTATCTTTCCTGTCATTTTCCATGTCCCGCGGTTGATTATTCAGGTTCCCAGACTGAGTACCCAGTGGAGGGTAAGCTACCGGGTACCTTTTCTGAAGAGACTCTGGTCTTCAAAGTTTAAGTTGCCTCCAGGCACATCAGTTTCGTCGGTGTCTCGAGCCCTTGCTTACTCATCTCTGCCTTGTGCATGTGACATATCGTTTGTTTTTAAAAAATTCTTTTATGGATATTGTCCATTGTTCCTCTTCACTTCTTAGCATGCTTCAATCCCTGGGGCATGATTGATAGGTTTGTCAAAGCGTTAAAGGAGATGCCAAACTGGACACCCTATTGTTCGTCTGAGATAGTGGTTTGGCCTGTCTTGAAGAATCAATTGACTGGAGACCCTTCCGGATTGATTATAAGTCATATGCTGAATAGAACACTATTCACAGCTATGTGCTTGTTCATGAAACGATGACATAATTAAGCAACATAACATATGTTATACATGATCATCCTGTTACATCTGATTAACATATAGGGATCATATTGCCTGTTTTGGTGTGTTTTCTGGCTCACGAGTTCTTGTCTTTACAACACTAGGCAGTGTTAAAAAATATTTTATTTGCGTCACTGTTTAGCACCAGCTTCCTCGTGTACGTCTCACAGTTGTAGTCTATTCAGGCTTGGGTATCTGTGCCCCATCATCCAACCGTGTAATAACTGCATAGTGTGAGATAAGATAAGTTTAAAATTTGTAAACTTTAGATTAAATTGTATATTAATATACTTATCCTATCTCACACGCTATATGCCCTCCCGACCATCCCCGCATCAAAGCTCCTCTAACCTGTTAGCTCTAAGAAAGGGAATGATGTGGCTGGGATAGATGTGATCATATCGTGTAGGTCGCTGTGCACGGGATTACAGTGCGAGACCCAATGACCATTGTGTTGATTGGATGTGTTCAAGTGAATTGCTTTTAGAAGCTGGAAACTTTGTTCAAGCATGTTTCCTCAGAAGGATAGAAAGAAGAAGGAAGAAATGCATTGTGTGAGATAGGATAAGTTTATAAAAATACAATTTAATGTAAAAATTTACAATTCTTCTTGTTTGGCAGTCTTAACAACACACCAACTCTGGCAAGCCGGATATCAAATTTTCAGCACACTTGCACTGGGCCATAAACAATTGCAGTGCATTGTTCTATCCTTCATAATAACCACAGTCATCATAAAAATATACACATGATAGTACAGATATAACTCATATTCTGCCAGTGGCTTGCTTACGAAAATTGAATTGATTAGGCTTAAAAGAATAAAAGAATTTGTTCTTAGCCAATGTCTTTTGAAAATATAGTGCAGGCAGGCGGTGGTTTTCTTCTCTCTCTTTTTCTGCTTGTTCAAACTAGATTGTAACCAAATAAACAGTTGTGTACCATCAACCTGGGAAAGGGCCTCCCTACATAAACGAGATTACAAACTCCTATTGCCACCATGACCATAACCTGAGATGCACAGTAAAACAGTGTGCATGTAAAGGGAAGTAACTGCTTCTATATTGGATTGCATTGTAAAAATTTAAGTGTTAGGATTTTTTGATTTTTTTTTAAAGTGGAAATAAAAATGAAACGTGCAGCAGACTTTCTGATGATGCCGGCAGTGCCTGAGAACCAAGACTATTATTTTTCTTATCATTATGAATCAGAATAAGTTTTGTTACCTTTTTTCATGTTTGCTATGATCTTAACAAAGGGAAACTCATCATTTTCATTATGTACTAAATATGCTACAGGCTATCCAATACACATATAACACTTGCTCCTTACAGGTGACCTACCAGCTGAAGATTTTAACAACCGCCATCTTTTCTGTGTTCATGCTGAAGAAACAACTGAGTAAGCTCCAGTGGATTGCACTGCTCATTCTGTTTGTGGGCGTGTCCATCGTCCAGATGCAGCCTACTGCCGACAAGAAGGACGCGAAAGAGGAGAAAGTGACCACAGAACAGAATCCAGTCAAAGGTCTCATAGCAGTCATCATATCATGCGTCATGTCAGGGTTTGCCGGTGTATACTTTGAGAAGATTCTTAAAGGCACAAACCAGTCTGTCTGGCTGAGGAATGTCCAGCTGGGCATGCTGGGCAGTGTCATAGGCGTCATCACCATGTTGATAAAGGATGGAGAGAGTGTAAAAGAAAAAGGGTTTTTCTTTGGATACGATGGAGTGGTAATGTTTCTTGTGTGCCTGCAGTCGTTTGGGGGCCTGCTTGTAGCCGTTGTCGTGAAGTATGCAGACAATATTCTGAAGGGTTTCGCCACCTCGGCAGCCATTGTGATATCCTGCATCGCATCCATATACTTCTTCAAGTTCCAGTTATCCATTCAGTTTGTTGTGGGTGCTTCGTTTGTCATGCTGGCGGTGTATATCTACAGTAGATTTGTCCCTGCACCACCCAAAGGATCGCAGTCGGCTTAAATTTGTGAAGATATAGACACTATTCATGAAGTGACAAAACCATTTGTGCATCTATTTCAACTGCTGGTGATGATCATTAAAGACATTAGAGGACAGACAGTCATCAACAAAAGTTTGGCATTGTCATGTTTTATGGGGTTCAATTCACTGTTATTTGTCTTGTATTAAATGGGTGGGGGCTAATATGTTGATCACTGAAGACATGAGAGGACGAACAGACCGTCATCAACAAGTCTTGTGGTTGTCATGTTTGGTGGGGCTAGATTCGTGGTTATTTTTTTTGTTATTAAGCATATGTGGGCTTATTTCTTGTTGATCATCGAAGACATTAGAGAACATACAGACCGTCATCAACAAGTCTTTGTTGTTGTCATGTTTGGTGGGGCTCGATTCGTGGTAATTTTGTTTTGTTATTAAGCGTATGTGGGCTTATTTCTTGTTGATCATCGAAGACATAAGAGAATATACAGACTGTCAGCAACAATTCTTTGTTATGGTCATGGGGGGCACAATGTGCTGTTATTTTTCTTTTATTAAACAACAAAGTATGTGGGCTTATATCATGTATATTACCATGTCTGGGACGTGTTGTTTGCTTTGTTGTTTAATTTAAGATAACTAACAATGATAATGCTGGCACACTGATATGGTTGGTGATACTGTAGAATGTTGAACTGCTAGCATGATTTAGAAGATAATTTTTTTAATAATCTGTTCACAACGCAGATCATGCATTTAGGGCCCTTTCAGATGTGAAATATTTAGGTTATGAATCTCATTTTAAAAGGGACAAGAGTTTTTGGTGCCACGGTATAACAGATCAACAGATCCGCTTCATAATCAGATCATTGTGCAAGATCCATCCAGACATTATCATGATTATCATCCATTGATCAGACATTCTTCTATTATTTCATTACACAATTTATATTTTTTCTCATAACCAACCTCAACCAGTAGGAGAACAGGCAAGCGAAATTAAAAAAATTAAAATTAAGAATAATGTTATATGATATAACTTATTTTATGACATTTTAAAGTTTAAAATACTTGGCACCAGGGGGTTGCACCCTCATAATTAGCAGTTTTAGTTTTTTCCTCATTGTTATTATATTTCACAAGGTATGCCGTTGTATACAATCATGGTACATGTATGTCAAAATGTGAAATTTTCCAAATATATTTGTTGAGACGATGCGAGAGATAATCACTGCCGCACAGATGCAGACTACTAATTTTTGTTGACCAGCCTGGTTACCAGGTTTACACTGACATGTATTTCTATTCTGAGTATCATGTGACTGTATCAGTAATCATGGTAATGTTCATTGGTTGTATGTGGTGCAGCGGAGTGTCAGCTCTGTTTCAACATGTTCCAATCTATCCCGGATGCTTTGTCTAGTCTGTTTTCTGCGTACAATTGGCACAAAATTTGTAGGAAATATTAACGTGTGTGTGTGTGTGTGTGTGTGTGTGTGTGTGTGTGTGTGTGTGTGTGTGTGTGTGTGTGTGTGTGTGTGTGTGTGTGTGTGTGTGTGTGTGTGTGTGAACTGACACTATTTCTTACACGAAATCGACATACTTTGAAATATTTGTTGATAAATTATTTTTGTACTTATTTTATTAATATATTACACCCCAAAACTACATTGTAAATATTTCCCATGTGAATAATGGACTGTGTAACATTAACTATGAGCTATCAATGCTAACTCTTAAGTTCTAACGTAAAGGATGAGATAGGGTAAGAGCCCATTTTGAGGTTGCGGAAAACTTTGAAATATCTTTATGAACATTATCAGACATGGCTGACAACTAACTTTTTCTTTCTTTCACTTGCATGTTTTGGACTTATGACATGTTCAAGTACACTAATATGTCTAGAATGTGTGAAAAAATCTGTTAACCAAGATGAATTTTTTACCATATATTTGTAATGTTTTTTTAGGTACATCTGTGAAAATCAGCTTGGGCCAAAGACTTTCTCATGTTAAAATAGAAGAAAGGCACTTCATGAAAGCCCCTAAAATCAGCCTTTGGGACATATTTTATCCTTACCTATGCACTTAGTGTTGCCATTATCCCAAAACATGCAACTGTTTAAGTGAGTCTAGTTCTCATTCATATGAACATACCTGAAACTTTCATAATTTCTAAAGATTTGCTCAATTTTTAAATCATGCAGTTCATGTGGGACAAAAATAGACTCATCCTACCTTGGCCTTTGATACTGAATATTACAGTAGCACAATCCTGCCAGTTTTCAGTGTGATTATATAGTCTCAATCTGCACCTTAGGCATGCTGATAAAACTAGCATGGAATCATTTACCAGAGCAATTGAGACAGATTTATTGTTACTGTCATGTAATTTATTCAAGCCCAAGGCAGTTGATAGATGTATCCCAAGATTTTGTCTGATGTCGCTTGAGACCTGTCATATCCTGATGGAAATATCTCCGATTCAAAATGGCCATCTACAGAAATCCCACACGAATGTCAGATAAGATAAATGAAGTCCATTGCTGCTTTGATTTATGTTTTAACCTGTTTGACATGTTTCACAAATTCTTTTATTTCTTTGAATTTTGTTTTTATTTCAAGATCTTTATTAAAATCATTTAAGCAATATATACAAATTTTCACCAGGGTCACTTAGTTCCATTGTCCTTATATCAAAGTTTCTTTTCCACCCTTGCCATTTCAAGCCTACTGATTTTGGCTTGATCTCGGTGCCACCCCGTGTAGAACACAAGTTGTGTCCCTTGTGATCAGAAAACAAAACAAATTGAAGCATGTAACAATACACATAGTGGCAAAATTACGATCAGCAAGAACGTTCTAGCAATATCACAGCATGGGACACCAGAAATGGGCTTCATACATTGTACTCAAGTGGGGAATCAAACCCGGGTCTTTGGCATGGAGATTAAACGCTTTAACCACTAGGCTGCCCCACTAAGTACATATACAACGTACATACACACAAGTGAAATCCATGCAATACAACAAGATCGCACTGATTCATCTGCTGTGTGTTTCCACGATGGTATGTCAGCCCAAATATTGATTTCTTTGTCAATGACTATCCTTCCAAAACATATGTTCTTGTTAATGATCACGCTTGTGAATGAAATTTCATTCACAAAGAATCTCTAACTTGGACGTAGTTGGCGTGTGTCTGGACTGTCTGGTGAATTATTGAACCCATCACTAATCAGTTATTCCATTTGTTCTGAGCTGAACTACACTATAAGTTGTAGCAGGATCATGAGGGGAATGAGCCGGAGGCGAGTGGTATAAAACCTAACGAGGGATGCATAAAACCCCATGTACCCCGAGTGATCCTGCTGCAATGAATTTCTCTTACCGACATGTTTTAATGTGATATTGTAAAATGATTGAGCTGAGGTTAGCTTGCGGTATGTCATGTGACATCCATTGACTCGGAAAAAGCGTGCAGCTTTTTGCTTTCCCCCTTTTAGAAATTCATGTGCAGCCTGTAGTGCCTGTGGCGGGGTATAAGTGATTTATTCCCCCGCTGAGAAATTTATAACCCCTCAGATCTCATCATTCTGACATGGAGGCATGATAATAAGTCTTGGTTGTATCTGTCACTTACGTTAATGATATCTTTCTGAACATTTCTCAGTGCAATTTCAATTCCTGATATATGGAGTTTGGAGTCTTATTTTACTAGTTCTGTTATTTAGATTGTTTAAACAGTGTTCCTACTGCATTCCTATCATTTACTTCATGCTACATTCTGCACCATTATGATAAGGACATTCTGCACAGTATCACGATTAGGACATTCTACACCGTAAGGACATTCTACACCTTTAGGACATTCTGCACCATTAGGACATTCTGCACATTTGAACATTCTACATTAGAATGTTCCACACCATTCTTTGGATTGTCTCAGATTGTGTGCTTTTGTGCATGGTAAACAGAATAGAATGTTTCTGTGATTTTCCTGTGTATTTATTGACAATGTTGATGCACAATTAATTTATTTATTGACATGATTTATCATTCTTTGCTAGTTTATATATTTGCTTTGCAAATGAGGCTACACATAATGTTGCAAAATTAAACAGAACCTGTAATATGTTTCGACGTAAAGTTACCTTGTTTTGCTTAACTTGTTTAAATAGTTGTTAGGAAATTAACCTCATTTCAAAGCTAACAACAACATTTTATATTTTTTCTGTTTTGCCACCTACCTAGTGTTACTGAACAAGACTGTATTTATTGTTTATGAGGAAAATAATGGCATTGTTATGAAGATAACAGACCTACCACCTTATCATGTGGGAATGTGGATGATTTCTCATCAATACATACTCATAGGAGAATAATTTTGTGTTGTTTTATGAGAAAAAACAATACATAATGAAATGAAAAAAATATCGATCCCTCCTTGTACCTGTAATAATCAAAACCAATTGCATGTACTGGACATATTTTATGAATTTGTTTTGTGCCAACTGCCAAAGTCTTACCAGATGAAGTGATTGGTCTGTTTTGGGCAGCTGTGCAGTAAATGTTTATCTTCAGTTCTCGCTTCACAAAGCTCTGTAGCACTAAGAGCTGGTTTTAATGAGATTGGGGATTGGGGATATCTGGCCTTTACCTTTTGGAAATAGCTCAGCTGATCTATTGAGTATTGAAGCATTGGCAGCATGAATTCTTTGTCCACCTGAATGTTTTTAGATTTTCATAAACCCGCCAAGGCCACTTGTACTGACTTCAGTATGTGTTGTCCTGTACAAGCTTCTGTGGTAGATCTACACACTAGTGCTTTTGGAGTTATATTTATCAACATCTTGATTGGTTGCCTGATTTCTTTCCTGATAACCATGGGGTAGAAGAGGTCTTCAGTAACCCATGCATGCTGACAGAGGCGACTATGCTTGTTGTAAGAGTGACTGATGGGATTGGGTGGTCAGGCTCGCTGATTTGGTTGATGCATGTCATCGTATCCCAATTGCTTGGATCGATGCTCATGATGTCAATCACTGGATTGTCTGGTCCAGACTCAGTTAGTTACAGACCACTGTCATTTAGCTGGAATATTGCTGAGTGCGGCGTTAAACAACAAACAAAGAAACAAATAAACAAATCCTGATAACCAATGACTTTTAACATGATGTTCAAATGTATAATTGATTCTTCTTTGGATTACCTCTTAAGAAAGCCATATTTGTATGAGTTGGCAGCTACACTGAACATAATAACTGTCCAAATAGTAAACTCTTCCGCTTTGGAGAATTGGAGTTGGTAGGGGAAAATGTTCCATCTATGACAGTTACATGGCAAGGCTGAAACCTCACCATGTCTACTCCAGCACACTGGCTGTAAATCTTGATCAATTTACACTTTCTACAAACAAGTGACACCCAGTTCAATTATTTGTCTTAAGTTAAAGACCACATGCGAATGCAATTTTTATTAAGTGTTTTTTTTTATGAGGATTGCATACTTGTATGTTATATGGTTGTAAGAGTCTTAATGGAATGAAAAACAGTGCAAGTTGATATTTTCTTGCAACACGAACCATGTATAAGCTATGGGCCTGGTGGAATTGTTGGTTTTGTACTGGGAAAACAAAAGAGTAGTTTGACCTTTTCTTTCTCACTTTAGTTCAGATAATATTATCAGGTGGAATTCATATTTCTAGATTTATTTTAGGTCAGGCGAAATTGAAGAGAATGTCTTTAGGAATGGCAAGTATATTCCCATATTGACCAATTTCTATTCATTGCTGAAACCAGTTGGAGAGTCACGTCAAGTCAATGTGAAAATATACGGTATTTTCTTGAGTATATGGCGTATCCGAATTCTAAGGTACAGTTTTTGGAAAAATTACAATTTGTGTATTGTGCGCAGTCAAAAACCACATTGTATCGCTTCAGGTGAACAAACAGGAGATAACAAACTATAACTGTTCGATTTGATTTTAGTTCATATGTGTGAAATTTTGGGACAATAGTTCCAGATATGAAAACCTATGACTTGATAAGTTCTTCCAACATCACCATGCTACCTCCACTTGAGATGACGTTTTAACATGCACAATCTTTATGGGATGCTGATTTGATTTGGTTTTTTTCAGCTTTGGATGTAGACATTTCCTAGGTGCTGACAGTTGGTTTCATCAGAGACTATATACTGTAAAAGCATGTGGTCTCTGGTTTCATAGACTGGTGGGGGCGAGATCATGTTTGCAGATTGGATTTTTAAATGAGAGTCCTCACATCTGACATCTGACATCTGACTGCCAATAGGTTCTCTGCTATAATGGGAAAATAGTTGTAGAATTTAGTTAGCTGAGCATTGGGTAGCTTTTGTTGCAGGAGCAAGTGGTAGTTGATTGCTTTACCAATACCATCATGTTATCATGATAGAGGGAAACTACACAAGGGTATGCTATACGATTCATATCCCATGACAGGATTTGTGGTATGCTAAATATACCTATATATAGAATGGTTCAGGATCTTCATCTGTACGTGAAGACATTGTGGGTTCACTAATGACAAAAGAAAATTCAGCCAGAATGAAGTCTATTATAAAGGGTGTATTTGTAAAATGTCCTGAAAACTTGATCTGGTAATGAGTAAATCACTGGTGAAATTATCATTTGCAGTGCTCGATGCCCTAGCAAATCAGTGAAATGTTGCCAAATTTATTGTATTATCATACACCAAAGAGAGATCTCGATTTTCATTTGTACACCCATTGGCTATGTATTCTGTTGTTGAATTTGAGGGTGATTTTACTGGTTTAATAAAAGCCAGAAAGGGGTTTGTTATGGAAAGATGTTTTGTTATGTGCATATCAGTATATACATCATAGCATTCAGTACCAGAACCATGTGCTTGATACCATGGTTAGGCAATATGTATTATGTTGGCAGATATACACAAATTTGTTGATTATGTGTTAGTATTATTTCTGTCTCAATCACCGTGTTGTCTTAATGTTTATTATTTATAAGGGAACAATTGACATTGCAACCGACCTGTTTAAATCATTGGGAGTACGGCTTCATCTCAGTTGTTCTTGTGATGTCCTTGGATCACTGGCCACATTGAAATATGCTCTTGATATTGTCATCATACTGTCCATTAACGTTCAGCAAAGGACAAGTTTTGGGATTGGAAGCATTACTAGGTTAATTCAGAAGTTTTATGGACAAAACAACTTCTTTGTTAAAACGAAGGTGACTAGGTTTTGATTCGAACACTTTATCAAACAAGTGATAAGGGTGTTAGAATCTCCACCAAAGCATCACCTCAGTCTTTTAAGGAATTTGTTTATCCGTAAGAACTTGTCGTTGACAATCACACCAACTTCTAAATGCAACACAAAGAAGACACCCTATCATAGCTAAAATAGTGTTGACTGTGGGGTAAAACAAGGGACAAACAATGATCACTAATAGGCCAATGGTTCCAGACTTTAGATTGCGTCCATGCCAACGTGATGGGTGGTGTGTAGCTATGCTACTCAACATTTGCTAAGGAACACACCTTTGACTGAAATGATTCTTTTGGTCCTTAGCAAATGCTGAGTAGTATGCTGTAGCTCCTCGCCTATTGACTTGTGTATCGGATTCTTAAAACAATATTTTTTGAGAATTCATTTATTTAGATCATACTCTTTTCAGACTGTTGCCATGGTTACTTGATTTTTCTGTAATTGAGATAAAATTGGTACTTAATTGGAGGCAGTTATGCACAGCTGCAAATCGGGCACTTGATAATTTGTGGCATGCATGGTTATGTTTGGCAAAACATTGTAAATAAAATCTAAATTAATTGTATTTTGTTTTTTGTTTTTTATTACATGTACTTTTTTTGTAACTGCGCTTAGCATTAGGAACAGGCTGTTGTCGAGCATGTGCTATTCAGAAGCATTCTATTGTTAAACTGTTAAGGTGCATGCTTGACTGGCTCAGCAGTTATACTTGCCTATGACAGCCACTGGCGTCACAGCTCACTGCTTACAGAGCCATGTTGGGGTGGACTTGAAACTCCTCTGACAGCCAACATTCAGAAGTAGGGGTTGGGCTATGCTGCAACACAGGCGTGCGCTCTTGACAGGCTGTGCACCAACATAGGTCTGCAGTCAAACACAGGCCTGCACTCCATCACAACTCCAACACAGGCCTGCGCTCCGACAGACTGCTCCCACATAACCCTGCGCTCCAACACAGGCCTGCACTCCAACACAGGACTGCGCTCCTGACAGGCTGTGCTCCAACATAGGTCTGCAGTCAAACACAGGCCTGCACTCCAACACAACTCCAACACAGGACTGCGCTCAAACACAGGCTGCAGTCCAACACAGGCTGCACTCCAACACAGTCTGCGTTCCAACACAGGCTGCACTCCAACACAGTCTGCGTTCCAACACAGGCTGCGCTCAAACACAGGCTGCACTCCAACACAGTCTGCGTTCCAACACAGGCTGCGCTCAAACACAGGCTGCACTCCAACACAGTCTGCGTTCCAACACAGGCTGCGTTCCAACACAGTCTGTGTTCCAACACAGGCTGCGCTCAAACACAGGCTACACTCCAACACAGGCCTGCACTCCAACATAGGCTGCACTCCAACACAGTCTGCGTTCCAACACAGGCTGCGCTCAAACACAGGCTGCACTCCAACACAGGCCTGCACTCCAACACAGGCTGCACTCCAACACAGTCTGTGTTCCAACACAGGCTGCGCTCAAACACAGGCTGCACTCCAACACAGGCCTGCACTCCAACACAGGCCTGCACTCCAACACAGGCTGAACTCCAACACAGTCTGCGTTCCAACACAGGCTGTGCTCAAACACAGGCTTAACTCCAACACAGTCTGCGTTCCAACACAGGCTGCGCTCATACACAGGCTCCACTCCAACACAGGCCTGCACTCCAACACAGGCTGAACTCCAACACAATCTGCGTTCCAACACAGGCTGTGCTCAAACACAGGCTTAACTCCAACACAGTCTGCGTTCCAACACAGGCTGCGCTCATACACAGGCTCCACTCCAACACAGGCCTGCACTCCAACACAGGCCTGCACTACAACACAGTCTGTGTTCCAACACAGGCCTGCGCTCCAACACAGGCTGTGCACCAACATAGGTCTGCAGTCAAACACAGGCCTGCACTTCAACACAACTCCAACACAGGCCTGCGCTCCGACAGACTGCTCCCACATAGCCCTGCGCTCCAACATAGGCCTGCACTGCGCTCCAACATAGGCCTGCGCTCCAACACAGACTGCGCTCCAACATAGGCCTGCGCTACAACACAGACTGTGCTCCAACACAGGCCTGCACTCCAACACAGGCCAGAGAAAGAAATTGTGTATCTTGAAGCAATGACTGAACAAATAATCTGTCTCAGACAAAAATCCCAGGTCTTCCCACAACATGAAATAGTCTATCATTCAGTACCTTGTTGGACCGCCTCCATGGTGCATCTTCCTGAGGCAAGGGAGTTAAATCCAGTTTCCATCCTTGCCAAACAAGGCTGGAATTTCAGAATTAAATTTTGGCAGGACTTTTATAGTCAGTTAACTAAGCATTTAGGGGATAAAATGAGGACTGGCCTGCTCAAAGTAGGTATACTGCATCCCAGTTGGATATCCATGTTATACTGCTGCATGGTATCTCACAGGGCTAACACTATTAAACCTGCATAAGTCCAAACTAAATGGTACAAGCAGCCACACACACCTACTTGCACATCACTGTTAGTGCCATAATCTCATTTCACCTCATCTTGGAAGCAAAGCCGGCTATTCTAGCTGTCTCTCAGGCCCAATTTTATCAGTAGCATTTGGTGAAATGCAAAATATACTTAGATAATGTTATGTGTCATTGGTGATATGCTTTCTTCATTGATCCAGCATGGCCAGAGACAAGTCATTAATAATGCATGTTACCCACTTCTCATTCACCAGTGAATACATGACGAGGCAGATGGTGTGATGTTTAATTGGAGCTCTAGCAATAACGTGGTTACAACTGTTAGGATACATGGAGAATATTGATCTTCGGGGAGGCTTTGTAAGGCTCTACACTTATCAGGACACAGAATGTAGCAGAGAACTCCTTGCAGGGGTCGGGTTAATATGCACTTGAGTCCTACCTGAACAGCTGGGCACCAGCCTGAGTACCTGCCCAGGGGAGACAACTTGAGTCTTACGTGAACAGCTGGGCACCAGCCTGAGTGCCTGCCCAGGGGAGACAACTTGAATCCTTCGTGAACAGCTGGGCAACGACCTGAGTGCCCGCCCAGGGGAGACAACTTGAGTCCTACGTGAACAGCTGGGCACCAGCCTGACTGCCCACCAAGGGGAGGTAACTTGAGTCCTACATGAACAGCTGGGCACCAGCCTGAGTGCCCACCCAGGGGAGACAACTTGAGTCCTACGTGAACAGGTGGGCACCAGCCTGAGTGCCAGCCAAGTGGAGACAACTTGAATCCTTTGTGAACAGCTGGGCACCAGCCTGAGTGCCTGCCCAGGGGAGATAACTTGACTGCTTCGTGAACAGCTGGGCACCAGCCTGAGTGTCCGCCCAGGGGAGATAACTTGAATCCTACTTGAAGAGATGGGCACCAGCCTGAGTGCCCGCCCAGGGGAGATAACTTGAATCCTTCGTGAACAGCTAGGCACCAGCCTGAGTGCCCAAGCTCCTCACAGCGATAGTACGTTCCCGGAGCTCTCTATACTATCGCTGCCACCAGTCAAAACTCCCAACTGTGAATAGGTGGCCACAACCATGCTTGGAGTTGAACTCGCAACCGAATGACCGTTATGTTTACAAACAAGTGTCGACTGTCGTGCGCCGAATACACTTATCGCTGCTAAATTACTTTCTTCGTTTGTCAATTTGAATTTCTGTTTCATTAAAACTATCGTGTTATTGATATAGTAAGAATGTAAGGGAGAAGTTGGTTGATTTTCCGTTGGTCTGCAATCTCGAACCAATCTGATTATCAAAACAACAAAGTAAATTCGTCTGGAAAACATGGTCAGTCGTAAACCTTTTCAAATTGAAATATGATGGCATTCCCAAAGACATAAACAAAAGTATAAACGTTAATACACATGGGGTTTGAGGGCAAATTTCAAGATTCTTGTAATGGCTGCGCCCACACTGGTGGCAGCGATGTTACCGAGAGTGTAACGAAGGTGTCACGCGCTGGGAAGGAGCTTGCCTGAGTGCCCGCCCAGGGGAGATAACTTGAGTCCTTCTTGAAGAGCTGGGCACCAGCGCACAGGGGAGACAACTTGAGTCTTACGTGAACAGCTGGGCAAATTTAATAAAGTAAACTTTAATTTCAATGTGTCGATGTGACAGAAAGATGGCACACTCCGCAAATAAAGAGAGGAGAGTACAACATGTTCTGCAACCTAGAAACTAAAGGTCATTATTCTACATTTAGCCTAGTTACATTTCAAACATTACATGGTTCGGTGGGATCACTCGAATATGTTGATTCTCATGATTTCTCCATTACGAAAATTAGGTTTAAGAGGTAAAACGTGAATATAAACATCTTCCCGGGGCAAGGGAGTTAAAGGACTGTAAAAGACAAGTTTCCACTACAGCAACTCGATGATAGCGTGTAAAGCATTATATCATCGATTTCCTGTGGTTTCCACCCTTGCCGAACTTTGCTGGAATTTCTGGGCTCGATCGTACCAGCCACCAGTGGCTCTCAGGAGTCATGTCTCTCTAACTGACCAATCAGATTCCACCTATAATATTACTCGCATTTGCTTGAAACAAAATGGCGCCGCCCAGTCAAGACGATCGATAATCAACATCTATATATTGTAATAAAACGGGTCTTATTTCGCGAAGTGCATTAAATCACGTGAGCACCTCGATTAAAAAGATGAAACAATTTGGAAAATATCTGTTGACGATAAGTTGACGGTACACATGCGATGCATATCCTGCAATCTGCACGGGAGCTTACGATCCGGATTTCATTACGCGATTTTGATTGGACTACTCATGAATCGTTAGTCCGGCCAAAATATAACTCCATAATTGTAGCTTTGTTCGGCAAGGGTGGAAACTGGATTTTTAAAGTCAGTTAAATCTCTTGCCTCGGGAAGATGGAATAAGAAGGGGCGAGAATCACTCGAACTATAACAAACTATATCAACCAACTCGTCATCAATTCTGCAGTTTGTGTTTTGCTTTAGCGCTGATAGTTTGACAATTTGAAATGAACTCAGTATGTAGTAGTGAGTTAGTTGGGTTTAACGCCGCTTTTAACAGTATTCCAGTTATATCACGGCGTGTCAGCTTAATGTGGGAGGAAAGCCCGAAGCGATGCAGGTCTCAGACGTTTACCACTTCGGTGAAACCCACGAGCACGGGTATGGTGCTGACAAACCTCGAAACATAATCGGGGCGAACAGGGATTCGAACCCACAATCATAGGTTTCTGGCGTGCCCAAGGGACGCAACTCTGCGCTGCGGATCGCGGCGCCTTAGACGACTGGGCCACCCGTGCCCCCCAGTATGTAGTAAACATAAGGAAAAATCCAAATGAAAATTAACGACCAACATGTTCCCAAACATTTAATTAAATTGACAGTAAATATGTGCCTTATTCACCTTTATTTAAGATATAAGGGGCGGTCGGGTAGCCTAGTGGTTAAAGCGTTCGCTCGTCACGCCGAAGACCCGGGTTCGATTCCCGACATGGGAACAATGTGTGAAGCCCATTTCTGGTGTCCCCCGCCGTGATATTACTGGAATATTGCTAAAAGCGGCGTAAAACCATACTCACTCACTCACTATTTAAGATATAAATGTTTAAACTAGTATCCAACTAGCGTCGCAACTGCGCAAGACAATACCACTGTCTGAGTAACGATACGTACGATTATAATATCACAAAGGTAAAGGAAAATAATTATATTCTACGTAGATGAAAATATTATCGACGTAGATGATAAATTGCTTTAGACTGTGGCACCAATACGCTTCCACAATTGTCTCTTGTAGAAGCTACTAATTCACAAATAGCGCTTACATGCCTACGTGTCTAGAGTTTAATAGAGTTTTGTCTGTTTGATAGTAAAAAGTTTGAATATAATAGGAAGTGGCAAGCAGAATAGCAGAAATGGGGAAATAGCAGAAGAGTAGAAAAGGGACAGTTTGTTTGTTTGTTTGTTCTTTAACGCCACACTCAGCAATATTCCAGTTATATGACGGCGGTCTGTAACTAATCGAGTCTGGACCAGACAATCCAGTGATTGACATCATGAGCATCGATCCACGCAATTGGGATACGATGACATGCATCAACCAAATCAGTGAGCCTGACCACCCGATCCCGTTAGTCGCCTCTAACGACAAGCATAGTCGCCTTTTATGGCAAGCATGGGTTGCAGAAGACCTATTCTACCCCGGATGTTCACGGGTCTAAAGGGACAGTAGTAGACATATTTGAAAAAAATATACATAAAACTAAATATTAAAAGAATAAAAATTGTTTTTTTCTCTGATTGTATATCTTAGTATATGACATTTTAAAGTTTAATACACCTGGTACCAGTCTTGAAATTAATTTATGACGTGAATTGAGTCGCTTTGCTTCGAAAACGATTTTTTAACAAACACAGCTGAAGAAAGATCAAGCTGCACCGGCTATTCAATGAATGTGCAATTTTAATTGCATGTTGTCATCACATCGGTGCATAATTTTACACAGCAGCGGGGAAAATTGACATGCGAAAACGTTTTAACTATTTCACGTCGCAATGAAATTTGTGCCGGGCAGGAGATGGTAAAATAATACGGACATCTTAAACATAATATTGGGGTTGTGAAAGCTACGCTACAAAAGTTTCAGTCAAATATAAGTAGTGAATTTTGATGCTTGCTTGCGAGGTGATGCGCCTTCATCACGATGGTCCCAAACATTATCTTGGTCATCAAAATAATATGTACATTGTTTGTTTGTTTTTTACTGATTGAGAATGACGTTGGATAATATATAAATAAAAATAAATAAATATCTCACCCTCGTACGTCTTTGTATATCAAATATATCACCACTCGTCATTGTTTTGTCTGTTTAATCGACATGTGTTCATATATAGTATGACCAGAAATTATTGAGAATTTTAGGAATATGTTAAAGTGGATATCTAGTATAAAAAACACTTACCAGCTATCAAGTGCTTGGTTTCATTCAAGAGAGACAACTCAGTTAATCCTATTCATTATTTGTCAAGAGTTATCCTCCTTTGTTTACTTGCTAGCAGACGTCATTTTCAGTGATCCTCAGTATGGATGATTTAGAGAAGAGGAGGTTGATTTCGGAGTATTATAACAAGGACATCAGATCAGATAAAGTGATTTCAAGTAGAACAGGCATCCCTTTGTCCACTGTGTATCGTGTTTGGAAAAATATTGAAAGTGGAGATGGCATTGAGCACAAGAGAGGCGCAGGTAGGCCCAGAAAATTGACAGTCGGTGACAGGAGGCGGCATGGTAATTCTTGTTTCTAAAAACAAACGAAGGAGTTTAGTAAACTTAAGACTGGATATGATTGATAGAGGAACTGTGGCTCTCTGTAAGGAGACAATTAAAACTGAGCTGCATGCACTAGGTTGGGAGAAAAGTCGAGGAATTCCATCACCGATCATGAAACCTGAACAAAAGGAGCGAAGGTTGAACTGGTGCTTAGAGCATAGACATTTTAACTGGGACAATGTGATTTTCTCAGATGAAAGTTCTGTGTGGCTGTTTCCTAATACACTAAAATTCTGGACCAAACAAACTGAAACACCTTTGTATCAGCGCCCAAAGTACAGTCCAAAATTTCACGAGTGGGGTGGCATATCTGTGTTAGGGGCAACGTCCCTGTGTGTATTTGAAGGGAATATAGGGCCTAAACAGTGCGCGGTACACAGATATTCTCGAGGGACATTTACTTCAATCTGCTCAAGTATTCTATGGAAATTCTTGGATTTTCCAGCAAGACATTGACCCATCGTTCAAAGCATTCTCAGGCCTGGTTTCGGACCCAAAATATGACATTATTAGATTGGGCAAGCAGCAGCCCTAACCTTAATCCAATAGAAAATGTTTGGGGGCGTATGAAGGAAAGTGTCAATAAGAAATTTCTGACAAATATTGCTGAAATGAAAGAAGAGTTGGTCCGATATTGGGACAGCATGAACCACGACTTTCTAACTTCTTTGATCAGTAGTATGCCCCTCGCCTTGAAGCCTGCATTGCAGCCCATGGTGACTTGACAAAATACTAAGCGTTCACCTGTCTTTGAAGCTCGAGTTATATTCACATTTAATACGTGAGTAATGAGTGAGAGAAAAAAATACAATCTTTAAATTCTCAATAATTTCTGGTCATACTGTACATGTATTTCATATCTAATAGGCATTTGGGTGAGAAAAGGGACGTTAAATTATATAATTATAATAATTATTTTACGGTGAGAATTTATCGATCAGAGGTCTGTACAGGATCTGCCCCTGGTTCAATATAAAACAGGACTTTAATTATTTTGTTGTAATATATTCATACTGAGGAATAGTGACAGAAATCACGATAAATAAAATAATGATGCCAGATACGCCACTAAATCTATAATCATATTAATGTTGGATGGAACAATCTAGAAGGAGCATTCAATTTTCACATTTCGGAAAAGTTTTCCCGTCCGTCTTTCAAGCCATGTGCGTACACCAGGGCTATCAGACACGGGAGTGTGTTGATCAAAACTGAATATATTTTCGTTTGTTGTTAAAATTTGTAAACAGCTCAATCGGACGGGAGGATGTCCTACTGCAGACAGGAGGGTAGGTGTCATGAAAACTGTCAAATAAATGCAACTAGCGTGTATTGTTGGGGCGACAGCACTCCTATCTCGGATCTCGTCTCCTCAGTCATCTCAGCGTGCTGGTCTGTTGCCCTTTAAAGTCGGGGTTTTCGATGGGCATCCATTCCTAATAACTGTTAAATATTAATCTGTTGGGGCAGATATTTTGCGCCCGAAGGCTATAGTTGTGTATAATGTCACCTTTTCAAGATTTCATCAGCCATGAGTTTACATAATATTTGAGCGAAACGTAAATTGCGGGTGGTTAATCAAAAAGGTGGATTTGCATTTTTGTCCAGTGTGTGATCTTGAAAACTACGTGAGTACATACACTGTCACGCATTTGGTTTGTCATTGGTTTGTGTAGGTTAACTGGAAAATGTGATTTGTTAATGAAGAATGCATTACACACATTCATTGTCCTTAGGGCATTAAAACATTCAGGTGCTCTAACATGTCTCAGAAAAGCTAAATGGCAGCTAGGCTTTTGTTTCTATGTACATGTTGTGTATGCACAATATACTTATAATATGTATCATGATGTGTATATCTAAGTATTCGTATATACATGATACTTGCGTTAGGACTTCAAAGTCTATATTTTATTTGTATTTAATCATGGTAAACATATTATATATATGCATTACTATTGGAGTTTAAGTCATGATAGGCTGAAAGATTTATTTAGGATGAAGTAGACCCAACCTCACACACATGGTCAGATATAGAGGGATCAGTTTAGTACTGAACTTGAAGATGCGATATTTCCTCAAATAAGAATCCCATCACTTGTCTTCCAAACCCTGAGCTTTTGTTTTTGCCAGGGAGGAGTAATTTATATACAGCATTTATTATGGACCCATCCCTTATTGAGTTGTACGCTGCTTTGAACCCGGAGCTTATTGGAGTCCGGCACCTGTTGGTACTAGTGCTTATTAGAAGACATGTGGTATTCTTAATCTTTGTGGATTGGGAGGGAGTGAATTGTCAGCAGTCACGATAACCTGAACCAGGCAAGTAGTATTGCTGTGTTTCTTCCTATAACCATGGCAACATGACATCGTACAACACACTGGTTTATGTCTGTTTCAGGAAAGGACCAGATAATCTTTGCTACCAAAGAGGACCTGGATCAGCCAAGCTCTGCATTGATCCAAGTAGAGGAGGAAGAGGAACCAGGTACAGCAGGCATACATACAGACATACATACAGACATACCTTTTATGTACAGGCACACATGTACACACGTACAAACAAGCAACATTTACAGACACACATACAAACAAGGGACATTTACAGACACCTATACAGACAAGCCGACATGTACACACATACCTTTTACATTCAGACACACGTACAGACAAGCAACATTTACAGACATACGTACAAACAAGCTGACATTTACACACATACCTTTTACATACAGACACACATACAGACAAGCAACATTTACAGACACACGTACAAACAAACTGACATTTACACACATACCTTTTACATTCAGACACACATACAGACAAGCGGCATTTACACACATACCTTTTACGTTAAGACACACATACAGACAAGCAACATTTACACACATACCTTTTACGTTAAGACACACACACAGACAAGCGACATTTACACACATACCTTTTACGTAAGGATACACATACAGACAAGCGACATTTACACACATACCTTTCACGTTAAGACACACATACAGACAAGCGACATTTACACACATACCTTTCACGTTAAGACACACACACAGACAAGCGACATTTACACACATACCTTTTACGTTAAGACACACATACAGACAAGCGACATTTACACACATACCTTTCACGTTAAGACACACATACAGACAAGCAACATTAACACACATACCTTTTACGTTAAGACACACACACAGACAAGCGACATTTACACACATACCTTTTACGTTAAGACACATACAGACAAGCGACATTTACACACATACCTTTCACGTTAAGACACACACACAGACAAGCGACATTTACACACATACCTTTTACGTTAAGACACACATACAGACAAGCGACATTTACACACATACCTTTCACGTTAAGACACACATACAGACAAGCAACATTAACACACATACCTTTTACGTTAAGACACACACACAGACAAGCGACATTTACACACATACCTTTTACGTTAAGACACACATACAGACAAGCGACATTTACACACATACCTTTTACGTAAGGATACACATACAGACAAGCGACATTTACACATATACCTTTTACGTACAGAGGTAATAGTCTGTCCCTAGGCAATTGGTCTCTAGCCAGTGTATGTGTGTCTTGGAGGTTAAATAATTGGTCTCTAGCCAGTGTATGTGTGTCTTGTAGGTTAAATATGTGGTCTCCAACCAGTGTATGCATCTTGTAGGTAAAATAATTAGTCTCTAACTTGTCCATGAACCCGTGAAGAATTGGGGAAGAATAGATATTCAGCAACCCATGCTTGCCGGAAAAGGTAACTTTGCTTGTCGTAAAAGGCAACTAATGGGATCGGGTGGTCAGGCTCGCTGACTTGGTTGATGCATGTCATTGATCCCAATTGCGTGGATCGATGCTCATGATGTCAATCACTGGATTGTCTGGCCCAGACTTGATTATTTACAGACTACCATCATATAGCTGGATTATTGCTGAGATCGGCGTTAAACAACAAACAAACAAAACTAGTCCATGTGTCTTGCAGGTTTAATAGTTGTTCCTAACCATTCCATGTGTCTTGCAGGTTTAATAGTCGGTACCTTACCAGTCCATGTGTCTTGCAGGTTTAATAGTCGGTTCCTAAGCACTCCATGTGTCTTGCAGGTTTAATAGTCGGTACCTTACCAGTCCATGTGTCTTGCAGGTTTAATAGTCGGTTCCTAAGCACTCCATGTGTCTTGCAGGTTTAATAGTCGGTCCTTAACCAGCCCATGTGTCTTGCAGGATTAATAGTAGGTCCCTAACTAGTCCATGTGTCTTGCAGGTTTAATAGTCGGCACCTAATCAGTCCATGGGTCTTGCAGATATAATAGTTGTTTCTAACCAGTCCATGTGTCTTGCAGGTTTAAAAGTAGGTCCCTAACCCGTTCATGTGTCTTTCAGGTTTGATCCTACCCAACGGAGACATCAACTGGAACTGCCCATGCCTTGGGGGGATGGCGAGTGGTCCGTGCGGCGTGCCCTTCAGGGAGGCGTTCTCCTGCTTCCACTACAGTGAGGCCGACCCCAAGGGGTCCGACTGCTACCAACAGTTCCGCTCCATGCAGGACTGCATGACCAGCTACCCTGAACTTTACCCTTCCAAGGACGACGATGAAGAGGAAGCCGATAATGAGAACAAATTGAACAATGAGGAAACTAAAACCGACTCTTTAGAATCTCTTACAGTAGCAAATACTGATAAGAAAACAGAAAAAGAATCTTCATGACATTAATACATTTTTGTATAGGTAAATCTTCGTCTTTACTGTTGTAATGATCATGTTTCCACCATGATTTTGGAAATAATATGTTTATTATCATATGAATGAATCAGTGGTTGATCCTATAATAGGGTTGGGGGGTTGGGTGTTCCTCGTCAACAATTCGGGAAGTTTTACACCACCCAAACCCCTTCAAAACATCCTGGATCTGCCGAAATAAATTATGATAATTAACAGCACTGCTGTTACTGATTGAGAGAATCAAATGCTGACACAGGAGATCACCATATTGTGAATGAGTCAGCCATTTTTCTTCAGCTATCATTATAGCTTGATCGAACATTAGAAGATGGACGTAGATGTGTATAGGTGTGTGTGTGTGTGTGATGTTCGTGCTGGGTACGTCTTCCCAAGGCAAGAGTGTCCACTAGCCTATATCTTAGCCTTGTTTCCACCCTTGCCATTTCAAGCCTGTTTTTTACATCGATCGTGGCGCCACCCCGTGTAGAACACGCATTGTGACCCTTGTGCTTAGATCTGTTGTTATTTCAAATGGCTTCACAACGATGGCTACCATAGCAGACGACCTGGTTGGTCAGATAACGAAAAGATTCAAGATTTACTCCCTGACAGACGGACAGTTAAACACAGTAAAGATACTATTACTTGATCATTTTTTCTTTCAATGATAGAGGCATACAGACTACACAGTATCAAGTAACCATGGTAACACTGCACATTGCTGTAACATGAAATGCCCAGCAAGGTTGATCTAAAAATGGCACTTCTTCTCCTTCACTTTGATAACGGGCGGTCGGGTAGCCTGGTGGTTAAAGCGTTCGCTTGTTACGCCGAAGACCCGGGTTCGATTCCCGACATTGGTACAATGTGTGAAGCCCATTTCTGGTGTCCCCCGCCGTGATGTTGCTGGAACATTGCTAAAAGCGGCATAAAATCAAACTCACTCACTCTCACTTCGATAAGCGTTCAGTTCAAGTTAAAAAAACGGTGAAGTTTGCATTGAAATATATAAGTATTTGAGCGAATTGATTGAAAACTTTCAACCACTTAGAAAATATTTTCCTTCGCTTAATTTATGGAATAATTTCAGTGCAAATTCCACTGGCCATAGCAGCGACCTTGTTTTCGGAACCGGATGTTATCCACTGTTCACTGATTGGAATATCAATATGTGCGATAGTCCTTTCATATTTTAGCACAGAGAAGTAGTTTAGAAATGGCAGGGGTTAAAACTAGGCTTTGATAGAAGCTTCTGGACGCTCTTGCCACGGAAAAATGTGCTGGATATTAAGGAGCAGAGGATGGAGTCACTTTTGCTGCTCAAACACTAAATTATGAGGTTGAAATTTATATGTATTCATTTTCTGTTGTATACTCCATTTCCAAACCATTTCAACTGACCTCTGCTTCCAGGAGTCCATACAGTGAAGTATATACCTATGATGTGTTTGTGTAGAAGGAGGACATTAGCTGGATAATACAAAGCTAAGTATATACCCATGATGTGTTTGTGTAGAAGGAGGACATTAGCTGGATAATACAAAGCTAAGTATATACCCATGGTGTGTTTGTGTAGAAGGAGGACATTAGCTGGATAATGCAAAGGACAATAAAACATGTTAAATGAATAATCCATGTTTTGTTGTGTTCAAGAGATACATTGTTTGTTTGTTTGTTTCCTGTTTAACATCTCACTCAGTAAGTCTTTTATCTTTGTTGTTTAACGCTGCACTCAGCAATATTTCAGCTATATGACGGCGGTCTGTAAATAATCAAGTCTGTACCAGACAATCCAGAAATTGACATCATGAGCATCGATCCACACAATTTGGATCGAGGACATGCGTCAAGCTAGTCAGCAGAGCCTGACCACCCGATTCTGTTAGTCGCGGACAAGCCTTTTAAGGCAAGCATGGGTTGCTAAGGACCTATTTAAACCCATATCTTCACGGGTCCACTCAGTAAGTAAGTGCAGCGATATGACGACAGTCTGTAAATAAGTCTGACCAACCAATCCAGTGAATGAGATCATGAGTATCGACCCACGCCTTTGGGATACGATGACATGCATCAACAATGTCAGCCAGCCTGACCACTGGGTGCTGTTAGTTGCCTCTTACAGTAAAGATGGCTTGCTGAAAACCAGGACGGGAACCAACCAAGTTGATCTCATGTCATCTGGTATGACAAGCATTGGTTGCATGGGACTAATTGTAACCAAGAATCCCTAAAGATTTCGATCATTACTGCACTGTGGCCAATTGTTCCTGTGGGCTTTCAATCAGCAACAGGGTACTGCAGACCTTGTCTGACCTGAATACCCACACAGGTACAATCAGTCACAGGGTACTGCAGACCTTGTCTGACCTGAATACCCCCACAGGTACAATCAGCAAAAGGTTACTGTAGATCTTGTCTGACCTGGATACCGACACAGCTACAATCAGCGATAGGGTACTGCAGACCTTGTCTGACCTGAATACCAACACAGGTACAATCAGTCACAAGGTACTGCAGACCCTGTCTGACCTGTATACCCACACAGGTACAATCAGCCACAGGGTACTGCAGACCTTGTCTGACCTGAATACCCACACAGGTACAATCAGCAACAGGTTGCTGTAGATCTTGTCTGACCTGGATACCCACACAGGTACAATCAGTCACAGGGTACTGCAGACCTTGTCTGACCTGTATACCCACACAGATACAATCAGTCACAGGGTACTGCAGACCTTGTCTGACCTGTATACCCACACAGATACAATCAGTCACAGGGTACTGCAGACCTTGTCTGACCTGTATACCCACACAGGTACAATCAGCCACAGGGTACTGCAGACCTTGTCTGACCTGAATACCCACACAGGTACAATCAGCAACAGGTTGCTGTAGATCTTGTCTGACCTGGATACCCACACAGGTACAATCAGTCACAGGGTACTGCAGACCTTGTCTGACCTGTATACCCACACAGATACAATCAGTCACAGGGTACTGCAGACCTTGTCTGACCTGTATACCCACACAGATACAATCAGTCACAGGGTACTGCAGACCTTGTCTGACCTGTATACCCACACAGATACAATCAGTCACAGGGTACTGCAGACCCTGTCTGACCTGTATACCCACACAGGTACAATCAGCCACAGGGTACTGCAGACCTTGTCTGACCTGAATACCCACACAGGTACAATCAGCAACAGGTTGCTGTAGATCTTGTCTGACCTGGATACCCACACAGGTACAATCAGTCACAGGGTACTGCAGACCTTGTCTGACCTGTATACCCACACAGATACAATCAGTCACAGGGTACTGCAGACCTTGTCTGACCTGAATACCCACACAGGTACAATCAGCAACAGGGTACTGCAGACCTTGTCTGACCTGAATACCCACACAGGTACAATCAGCAACAGGTTACTGCAGACCAGTCACTCACTCCTCTAACGTAAAATATAGTTTTCGGATGTTTCAGATATTCGTTTCATGACTGATGAATCTAATTGCCGTGCATGCATTATGACAGAAAGAAGTCGACATCCCTTGAGATGGAGTGTTACTTTATATATTCCTGTTCCGGCGATTAAAATGGAGCTAGTATTTATTGGCCGCCGTGGTGTAGCTTTAATATTGGTGATTGCGGTGTGAGTATCCTTCACTCACCCATCAGTAGTTATTGACCATGGCCCCGTTCCCACAAAGTGAACTCAAACTACAATTGTAAATCTTTGTTAAACTATGGGAGCTACGATCGTCTTGGCGCTACGATCGTTTTGTGGCCCAGTCTGCACACACATCGTCGAGATTCATTATAGTTTAACGTTGATTCGTGACAGACATAAGACCCCATTGTGATAAAGGGCCAGACCTGAAAATCTCATTTTTGTTTTTTGTGTAACCTTATATTTTTATTACGATAGAGTGTGGCAAAACTTTCCCCCAAAACTCGTGTAACGTGTTTTTTTAGATATGCCAGACATACGCGTCTCTAAATACCTTTTCTGATTTCATTCCATCTATAAATACACATATAATCATAAGTACAAAGCACAGTGAGAATGCATGTGTTTTACGCCGCAACCTTGTCCAGGGACCCGTTCCACAAAACCTATGCTAAAGCATGGGAGTTACGATCACCTCAGTGCTAAGATCGCTTTGTGGAACGGACCCCAGATCACACGTTATGACCACCCGATCTCCAGTTTAGCCAGAGACTGGTTTGTTTTTTGTTAGCGCCCCACTCAGCAATATTCCAGCTATATGACGGCTGTCTGTAAATAATCGAGTCTGGACCAGACAATCCAGTGATTGATATTATGAGCATTGATCTATGCAATTGGGTTACGATGACATGCATCAACCAAGTCAGCGAGCCTGACCCCCCGATCCCGTTAGTCGCCTCTTACGACAAGCATAGTCGCCTTTTACGGCAGGATGGGTTGCTGAAGACCTATTCTACCCCGGATCGTCACAGGTACTGGTATAATTGGACACACTCCTCTATACAGCTGTAATTTTGAAAACGTTTGGGGTTGCGTTAAAAAAAACTGCAGTATACATTCTACCCGGAATAACAAACGGTGTTATACGGAAATATCACCTGTTTGTCTGCCATATCCTTATCTCTAGCGTCCACGGGCAACAGGCAATGGAATATTTTATAAGCCCCTCGCAGCTCGCGATGGGTCAAGACATAGATAAGATAAGTGTACGTTGAGCCACGCACCTGTCACACGGGGACGAACTCACCTGCTCAGGTAACTCAGATAACTTAAGTTTGTCTCTCATACACAGAAACTTGAATTTTTTTTTGATAAGTGACAAAACCCATGACGCTTCTCTCTGTAATGACCCTAAAGAACTATATTCAGAAATATACGCAAACTAACCCTACCTACATTTTTAATTAGGTCACTCCTTGGTATAATTCTCATGTTAATACTGTTCTACTGACTACGTGACTTTGTATGTATAACTGCGAGTGTCCTAAAGATCATGTCATTCAGGGTCGTTTGAAATAAAATATTCATATTACATATTAACTGCGTGGAAGTCGGTGTCAGACTTTGTACGGTAGAGAGAATTATAGCTGAATGCAAACTTGAGTAGCCTTGCGCAAAACTGAAGGTCCCTTCAGGTCTGCAAGTGGTTGTGACGCTGCCTTATCTGCTTTATCTAGTTCTATCTTGTATGCCATTCTAACACTGACTAAATACCATCACTTCATAAAGTCATTGTATAGTTTCAACAAGGTACTGGAGTGAGGTGAAATAGGGTTTAACGTCGCGTTCAAGACTATTGGACTTATACAGCGACGTGTGTGTGTCTGTGTGTATGTGGCAGGGTAACCTTATTTTTGGTAAGACGCGACTGGGGATCGAACCGTCGATCTTCCGCTCTCCGGGCAGACGCGCCCTCCACTAGACCACGGAGGCGGTCCTACAAGGTACTAAGGGCTTGACTATTTAATATTGCAGGGAAGATCTGGGATTTTTGACTGAACGGGTTTTTGTTCAGTCAGTGCTTCAGAAACATTCTTTCTCTCTCCTTTCTCCAAGAGAACCAACCAATTTGGGGGGACGCACAATACAGTATTTTCAGAACACCCAGACCCTAATAACAACGCCTAGATATATGCCATAAATCAACGACAGACCTTGGCATGTAGCCCCAATTTAAAACTTGAACTTGAACTAAATATGACATACAAATGCTGGGTGAGGGCACTGCCTTGATGCTAATGTATGATTTCATGTATTGTAAAACGTTTTGGTGTTATAATGAATTGATTGTTATGTGTTGATGTCAAGGTTGTCGCACTATCGCTGCTGTTGACTTCAAATCCTATAGACGCTTGGTTTTCAGTGCTTATCTTTTGCCAGTAGATCTGGACAGAGGATCAGTGTAGGCCGGTCTAGGAGATTAACAGTACGCATATCACAGGACGGTCCACAGTGTTGTCTCTCAGCGATAACAGCTGGGGTCCATGAAGAATACATCTCGAGATCTTCAGTCTCATCAGCGCCAGCAGGACACACGGTGAAGGGAAACTACATCGAGCTGAAGATGTCCACGTTAAAAGAACTGTGCATGGGACTACCGTTACACCCGCTCCCTGAACGCCGCGACAGGGACGACTCGGTCCCCCACGCCCCCATCCGCACCCCCAGTCTCACCGTGGAGGACCAGAGGGTATGTACAGACACGTGCGGCCTTAGGTCTGACTCGTGGAGTGCACTGAGATTCTAGTTCAGAGTGTGCTAGGTTGGTCACATGTAATTGACCTCGTTAGAAACATTGTATTGCTGAATTCTATTTCGATATATGAGTCATTATCAAAAAATAACTTAATTTTAAGATTGAAAAAATGATTTCTTTTAATGGCTTTTCTCGGTCCAAGATTATTTTGGTTAATAACATTTTTTATAATGACTCGTATTCTAAATTAATCAAAAACACGCAAGTTCATTGACATGGACCCTTTAAAGATTCAGAGTTGTTTTATTGGAAATTATTGTTTTTAGGCTTATTAAATAAGTATTATACCATGTGTTATATTATCATGTTCGGTATTCTGTGAAATATCACTCAATTAGAATCTAGTTATGTCCAGGGACAGTTTCCACAGAAACCTCTGAAAGCTGGTGAGTGACATGTTGAACTGATGGGTGTAAAACACAGAAACCTCTGAAAGCTGGTGAGTGACATGTTGAACTGATGGGTGTAAAACACAGAAACCTCTGAAAGCTGGTGGACACCAGTAGCAAGTCAACAGTTGAGTGACACGTTGAACTAATGGGTGTCAAACACAGAAATCTCTGACGAAAATAAAAAAAACATATCAATATGTTCAAACTGGTTTATATTGACTAATCTGAAAATGTATTTCATCACTTGAGATTTGTGGTTTGATGAGAATAATATATGTGTTGATAACTCAATTTGACATTTCCTGTGTTGGATGTTTAAAAGCGACCAGACTTTGTCCACAATCATAAGAAATCTCTATCAAAGGCTTTGCACGATTCCTATTATATCATAACCGCGTTTGACATATTAGGTAAACATTAGGGTTATGATAACCGATTGCGTATAAGTCACTGATAACTGATTATGCATAAGTCGCTAATAAATGATTATGTACAAGTCGCTGGTAACTGATTATGTACGCGTCACTGATAACTTATTGTGTACAATTCACTGATAACTGATTATGTACACGTCGCTGATAACTGATTGTGTACAAGTCACTGATACCTGATTGTGTACAAGTCACTGATAACTGATTTTGTACAAGTCACTGATAACTGATTGTGTACAAGTCACTGATAACTGATTGTGTACACGTCACTGATAACTGATTGTGTACACGTCACTGATAACTGATTGTGTACAAGTCACTGATAACTGATTGTGTACACGTCGCTGATAATTGATTGTGTACAAGTCACTGATAACTGATTATGTACAAGTCACTGATAACTGATTGTGTACAAGTCACTGATAACTGATTGTGTACACGTCGCTGATAACTGATTGTGTACAGTTCACCGAGAACTGATTTTGTACAAGTCGCTGATAACTGATTGTGTACAAATCACCGAGAACTGATTGTGATGACGACATTGATCGTTCGGTGTGAACAAGTCACTGAAGATCCGTTGCTTAAATGTTCAATAACAAATACATTTGATGTCCTATCTAACATACATGTATATATGACCACCATCAAGCTGACATGCCCTGATATAGAAGTGAAACACTGTTAAAAGCAACGTTTAATCAATGTCTCTACGACATAACGTTCACAATAAGGTTGAACCATCAATCAGTCAAATGGAAACACTTGTTTGTTTGCTTATTGTTTTACACCGCACTCAGCAATATTCCAGGTATATGACGGCGGTGTGTAAATAATCGAGTCTGGATCAGACAATCAAGTGATTGACATCATGAACATCGATCCATGAAATAGGATAGATGATATGCAATTAATCAAGTCACCGAGCCTGACCATCCGATCCCTTTTGTCGCCTCTGACGACAAGCATGAGGCTGTTAGGAGTCTAAATTCTTACCCGGAATCCACGGGCTAATGGTCTGTCTGAACTTAGGTAGACAATTAGTTACTCTAACACAGATTTACGATACGTCGTCAACATGAGTGAGTGGGTGAGTAAGATTTTACGCCGCTTTATACAATATTCAAGCAAATCACTGCGGGGGACACTTATTGAACTCAGACTTTTGTCGTTAAGGGTATTTTCGTCTTTACGAAGAACGTTTAGTGTGTCCTAGCTCCGATGGTGATCTTTTACTTTCAGCTGGCACTGGAGAACGCCCTGCGCTACTTCCCCCCGGAATATCACGGGGTGCTTGCCTCCGAGTTCGCCCATGAGCTCCGAGAGTATGGCCACATCTACATGTACCGCTTTAGGCCGGATGTGGAGATGAGGTTAGTCACTTAGTTGCTGTTGTTGTTGTTGTTGTTGATGATGATGATGATGATTAAAGTGTTCGCTCGTCAAGCCGAAGGCTCTGGTTCGAATCCCCACATGGGTACAATGGATGATGATGATGATTAAACTGTTCGCTCGTCAAGCCGAAGGCCCTGGTTCGAATCCCCACATGGGTACAATGGATGATGATGATGATTAAACTGTTCGCTCGTCAAGCCGAAGGCCCTGGTTCGAATCCCCACATGGGTACAATGGATAATGATGATGATGATGATGATGATGATGATGATTAAAGTGCTCGCTCGTCAAGCCGAAGGCCCTGGTTCGAATCCCCACATGGGTACAATGGATAATGATGATGATGATGATTATTAAAGTGTTCGCTCGTCAAGCCGAGGCCCTGGTTCGAATCCCACATGGGTACAATGTGTAAAGCCTATTTCTGGTGTCCTCGCCGTGATATAGCTGGAATATTGCTAAAAGCGGCGTAAAACCATACTCACACACCATAAAACAGTCTACTGATCACACTTGGATCGCGGTCCTCAAAGCGTTGTCAACTTCTTATAGCTTATGTTGAAAAATGAGAAGTAAGACCGTCTCAGCACTAAGATCGCAATGTCAAACAGAACCCTGGCCACACATTTCTGGTTACTTTCTGGATGCAAAAGAAACTCTACGCCAAACGATTCTTTCTATCAGTAGATATTCTTTATCCACCGTGCATCAATCTGCATGTATATACAGTGTGGGTTGAATCCTCGGGTAACATTGCACCATGTCAGGTCGAGTTTTAAAAAATGGTTTTATGTTTCAGAGCCTATCCTGTAGACGAGTACCCGTCCAGGAGTCGCCACGCCGCCGCCATCATGCACATGATCATGAATAACCTTGACCCACACGTGGCACAGTTTCCTCAAGAACTCATCACATATGGCGGAAATGGACAAGTATTTTCTAATTGGGCTCAGGTATATAGCATACCCTATTGCATGAAGCGAGGGTTTATGTCTTATTCTTGACTCCCGTTAGGTCAAATCCTTTCTGTAGGTTTAAACCTGGGTTGTGCTTATCCTACTTTTTCCTCAGGGTCGCGGGCAACTTCTATAGTGTTAAACCCAGAGTACTGGATATCTTGGCGTCCCTACTACTTAATCCAGGAATATGTTTTGTATTAATCCTTTTGAATCCAAAGTAGGTTACCTTAATTTATTGAACTTGGTCCCTGTAACTGATCTATCCCATTAAGGCACAGGTGGCCGACTGGTCTGGCATGTCGCTGTTGGGTCCCCGAGTCTCATCGTGAACTGTAATACGTGTACTACCAAAGCGGCGTTAAAGTCAACTAACTCATTCGATCATTCCCTGTAATGACCATCACCTATATTTGACACTGCAGTTCTGGATAGTGATGAACTACCTGTCCAAGATGTCAGATGACCAGACGCTGGTCATGTACTCCGGACATCCCATGGGACTCTTCCCAAGCAGTCCGTCCTCACCCCGTCTCGTGGTGTCCAATGGAATGGTGAGTCGACCCCTCATAGTACCAGACCCCCTCCTACATCTCGTGGTGTTGTCGCCACAAAGTAGCACACCGCCCCCTCCGATCGAGGTGTCCAATGGAATGGTGAGTTGACTCAACTTCAAAGTAGCAGCCCGTCTTCACCCCCGACTCGTTGTGTCCAATGGAATGGTGAGTTGACTCAACCTCATAGTAGCAGCCCGTCTGCACCCCCGACTCGTTGTGTCCAATAGAATGGTGAGTTGACACAACCTTATAGTAGCAGAGCATCCTACTGCACCCCTTTTAAAACATCAATCTTAATGCCTCGAGCCCTTCAAATATAGTTGATTCTCTCCAATTTCAATATTTAAGCATATGAGAAAAAGTTCTAATGTGAATTGTTTTTTCGGCTTTTTATTTGCTATAGCCAGCAGGAAAACACAATAAGTCTCTCTGCACCCTTTTATTGTTTGGGTTTTTGTATTCATAAAAAAAGGCCATTCAAGTTTTTGTTCAACTTATATAATGGTTGGCCATAAAACACGTTCCTCTTATATATGTGCTACATTGGCGATTCTCCAGAGCCCGGTACTGGTCCAGAAGGCGGAGTGGTCCAGTGCACCCATTCCCTATACTACCACAAATAAAGAAACGTTTCTGGCATAAGCATAAATGTCATCCACCCCAATCTTCCACCCTTCCAATATTAAATTGCCGGTCCCTTTGAACCATAAATACGCAGCAAAGATACTGTGTTTGCTTCTTGCAGGTGGTGCCCAACTACTCGTCCCGGGACATGTACGAGAAGATGTTTGCACTGGGTGTTACAATGTGAGTGATGGAACAGCTAGGGTTTTCATTGCCGGATAGGAACACTACTTGATTCCTGAGAAGATGTTGAGACAGAAACTACAAACAATATATATTTCATTCACTTCGTGCGATTCCTGTTAAAATATACAAGACATTAACTTCTGCAAAATAAATGGTATGCCATTCTCCCAAAGAAGAAAAGTGAATGATTGACAATTAAACCATCAACGATTCGTGAAATATAACTATGTGTCATATTTACACCTGACAAGGCACCCGGTGTTGTAGGTACGGGCAAATGACGGCTGGGAGTTTCTGCTACATAGGACCCCAGGGCATCGTCCACGGCACCACGGTAAGTCTCGTGATCACAAACACCGTGAAACTCTTGTCTCAATCTCATTAAAATCAGACCTCAGTCCTCGCTACCGCTAAACAAAAATCTGAGGACATCCCATTAGGGGTCACGTCAGAACGACCTTTCATCCGACCAATCAGAGCATCGCTTACCAGATTATGAAAGTGACAGTCGGAATGTGATTCCTAATCATGCAACCTCGAAAACTTTAACTCCGAACAATAGTTACGGGTTCAACGACTGAATCCATGCAATCTAGACCATCTATTATCCATTCCAGAATGTTCAGGTTTCAAATTTATAATCGAGAATTTGTCAAAATATGTTTCGAAACGTAGTCGCCAATTTGAAATTAGTGCCGTAAAGCACGAGAAAGCTGCCTTCTGATTGGTCATTCCATTGGTTGGTCAAAGTTCGCGCAAGGTCGGCCTGACGTGACCCGTAATGGGATGTCCTCAGATCTTTGTTTAGCGGTAGCGAGAACTAAGATCTGATTTTAATGAGATCGCTCTTGTCTCGATACATATACCGCAGACTGTACAGGACGGGAGCTGCATGTTCAAGCCATGTAACACGTGATATCTGGATGTGCTTGATTAAAAAAAGGTCACTTGGGGTTTTATTCCAGTGAGACCAAACTTGGGGTGAGTCGAAAAGAGGTTAGGTACGAGTAAGTCTTAATAGAGTGTCCAAAACTAATATAATAACAGAACATCGTTTGTGCTTCATCGACATGGTACAGAAAGCTGAAGGCTTTGATAGATAGTTGACAAATATTTACTGATTGGATATGTCTGACGTCATATAATTGTCGATTGTGATGTTCCTAAACAGTTGGTGTTGACACATGTACTTGTAGCTGACGGTGCTGAACGCTGCTCGGAAACACCTGGGTACCAGCAATCTGGCGGGGAAGGTGTTTGTGACGTCAGGTCTAGGGGGAATGAGCGGTGCTCAGGCTAAGGCCGCCGTCATCTGCGGGTGTGTCGGAGTAGTAGCCGAGGTGAGATGTGCGACGTGCTCCTTGGTTAGACTGGATTCACACTTTGTGTGTGTGTATGTATATATTATTTCTCCTTATTTAGTATTTTCTTTTTCAAAATGTTGCATTTTTATCACATTCACAGTAACTGTATGCTCGATCGCAAACAGTTTTTAATTAACGGTCATAATGTTTAACCTAACGGTCATAAAGTTTAACTTAACGGTCATAACGTTTAACCTAACGGTCATAAAGTTTAACTTAACGGTCATAATGTTTAACCTAACGGTCATAATGTTTAACCTAACGGTCATAAAGTTTAACTTAACGGTCATAATGTTTAACCTAACGGTCATAATGTTTAACCTAACGGTCATAATGTTTAAGTTAATGGTCATAATGTTAATGTAGCCCAGTGGGTAGAACGATTCCTCGTCTCCAGTTGTTTCCGGGTTCTATTCCTTCATGTCAGCCCTCTTATACTGGTTATCGTTACTTGGCACTGCTGTTGACTGCCACCAGGGGGGTTACAGGGAGGAACAAATCCCCAGTGGTTCATGCTTGTCGTAATCATCGACCCAATAGTATGGTGAGTTGGGTTTAACGCCGCTTTTAACATTTTCCAGTTATATCACGGCGTGCAAGCTTAATGTTGGAGGAAAGCAGGTCTCAGTCGTTTAACACTTCGGTGAAACCTACGAGCATGGGTATGGTACTGACAAACCCAGAAACATAATCGGGGCGAACCGGGATTCGAACCCGCAATCATAAGTTTCTGGTGTGCCAAAGGGACGCAACTCTGCACAGCGAATCGCGGTGCCTTAGAGACGGGACCACGGAATCTGTTTGGTTCACAGTTAAACAAAATTCACCGGTTTCACAATATTTCTACGTTCTTCTGTACGTCCTGTTAACGTGGCCAGAGGAGAGCACGGGTGACCCAGTCGTCGAAGGCACCGCAAGTAGCTGTGCATGCAGACTTACATCCCTTAGAAGTGCAAGAACTCTATCATCTCGGGATAGACTACCATATTCGCCGTGCTCGTGTTTCTAGATTTGTCAGCACTATACCCGTGTTCTTGGGTTTTACCAAAGTGGTGAAAGCACCTGTCTCTTCTAGCTCACCTTGCGCATCAAGCTTACAAGCCGTTTGTTTGTTGTTTAACGCCGCACTCCACGCAAAATCCACGCAATTGGGATGACATGCATCAACCAAGTCAGCCAGGCTGACCACCCGATCCCGTTAGTCGCCTCTTACAACAAGCATGGGTTGCTAAAGACCTATTGTACCCCGGATCTTCACGGGTCCTCACACGCCGTGATATAACTGACCAAAGTGCCCCCAAAAATCTTATGTATAAACTGTCCATGTGTCTGTTTGTCCAGGTGTCTATGTGGTAGCTTGTCCTTGTTCGGACCTATGCGGTTTTATAGTGCTAGCCCCACGAGATACCATACAGTTTAACATGGATACTCAACTCAGTATACTGACTCGGAGCCGACGAATATTTGTTTAGCCCCATTATTGCGCAAGGTGCCCCCAAATCTAACCAAGAGCGGATCGAGCATTTTTGGAAAGAAGGGTCCAAAATATCAAAATTCTCTGCAAAATTTTACTGCCTACAATTGGTTTTCAAAAGGGGGAGGGGGTGGGTGGACCCCCTCTCTGGATCCGCCTGTGCTAACGTCTAAGCTGTCCATTTGTCTGTACCTCCAGGTGAGTCTGGAGGCGATACGGAAGCGGTACAATCAAGGCTGGTTGATGAGGATCACAGATGATCTGGATGACTGCATTGCCGTGATACGCCAGGCAAGGAGAAAGAAGGAAGCGTTTAGTCTTGGTTACCATGGCAACATCGTCAGTCTCTGGTAAGGTTCGTGAATGACTGAGATTTAAGTCAACGTCAATTGGCAAAAGGAGCCATATATCGACGAATATGGCTCACGAAAAGTCAGAGGGTAATAAGGTCGTCTTGGTCCGGACCGCCTCCGTGGTCTAGTGGTAGAGCGTCCGCCCGGAGAGCGGAAGGTCCGGGTTTCGATCCCCAGCCGCGTCATACCTGTTGTTACCCTGCCTGGCGCTTGGCTTTAATGGGATCAAACAAGAACTGGTCGGCTCGGAAAGCAGCCACACACGCACACACGTTCATGCACATCGCTATATAAGTGCAATAATCTTGGATGCGACGATAAACCCCATTGCACCTCACCTCATCTTGGTCCGATGTTGTTCACGTGATTACACCGTATAAAGTAAACCTGTTCTTTAACGATGTCGTTGATACACTGAGTGATATGGGACCCACCAAGTAATAGTATTCAAATCACCCTATTGTTTTCTGTGATTGGAGAAGCCGAACATTTTAATTCTTTTAACCTAACCAATCTGGTAATATCCGGATAGCCAACGTAAGAATGTCGTAGGTGCATTGATATCATACTGAATACATAAAAAAAATTGTTGTTTAACGCCGCACTCAGCAATATTGCAGCTATATGATGACGGTCTGTAAATAATCGAGTGTGGACCAGACAATCCAGTGATTGACATCCTGAGCATCGATCTACGCAATTGGGATACGATGACATGCATCAACCAAGTCACTGAGTCTGACCACCCGATCCCGTTAGTCGCCTTTTACGACAAGCATGTGTTGCTGAACCTATCCTTACCAGGACTTTCAGGGTGTTACTACATAAGAGCTGTATTAGGAAAATATTCCTTGTCACCGCAATCTATATATGCTGACAATAACATTAATAGCACGAACTCTCACTTCCCCACCCAAGCCCCATTTATGGAAACCAGAATAAACACAAGGGGAATGTATCAATGTAGAAGGAGTACAAAGGTATTATTTCAGGGAGAGACTGGCAGATGAATACGAGCAGACAGGTGACCTGCTGGTGGAGCTGGGGTCTGATCAGACGTCGTGCCACAACCCCTACTTGGGAGGGTACTACCCTGTGCAGGTAACACGCCTACCTGTGTTGCTCAAACTGCGTCTTCATACGATGTTGTGGGACAGTGCACAAGCCGCCGCAAATCTCAATTTAATTTGTGTCTCATCGCTTACCTGCATTTCATAAAATGCTTTCGTATTTAGGGCGGTGTGGTAGTCCAGTGGATTATGCGTGCGCTCGTAGCGCGAAGAGTCAGGGTTCGATTCCCCGCATGTTTGAAGCCCATGTGGTGTCCATTGCCATGATATGGCTGTTATATTGCTATAAGCAGGCAGAAACGACACTCACTCCATCGTTTAAAGGATTATGAGAAACATATGTACATACATAAAATGTAATCATTGTAAGAATTGGCAATATGGTGCTGGAGAACATAAACTGCCGGGCAAAAGAAAGTATACACTAAGTCTTGGAAATGGAAATTCTCTCAAAATGTTACTACGCTGAAAACAGTCGCAGAAACACTGCGAACTTCAGGTCAAAAATTCAACAACAGTACAAATACATTACCATCGAATAACCATTTCTTGTTCTCCATCAAACATGTGTGCAAACTATCTTTTTCCCGGCAGTTAACTTGCTGAAAGTGTTCTGGACGTTAGATTCAGGCAGGTTGAAGATAATATCATCTTCGAGAATCAAGGATATTACATATCCATACTCGTATGATACATACCGTGAGATTTTCGCCACCATAGCTTCGTTTCGGAAGTGACGTCTACACCCCCATTAGTCCTTTATCTTAATGAGCACGCAATTTCTTTCGCACTGTTGAATGATCTGATTGGGTGGCTATATTTAGTGTGCGGTCATACGAATCGGGTTAACAACTAAACTGCGTGGTTGCGGAGGGGTCCAGGGGATTTATCATTATAGTTTGAAGAAGCAATACCCTGGACACTCGAGGATGAGATAATGCATGTTGTCTGTCCTAGGTGGGGTATGACGAGGCCAGGGAGATGATGCACGAGAAGCCAGGGAGATTCAAGATCTTAGTACAAGAGAGGTAACTATTATACAGAGTGAGCAGGCTGGGTGTAACTCACCCATCCACCCACCCACCTTCTCGCTCAACCACACACACTCCGCCTCCACCCCCCACCCCATCCAACCCCCACCCCCCACCCCCCACCCCACCCACACGGGCCGCTCCACAAGCGTCAACCAATCCAGAAAGTCACATTCGCTAAGTTGATTCGGTTCAATAAACGTTGAGCAAATAAAATGGTTGGCTGTGGGATATAAATGTCCTCTGATCATCTCAATGGGTGTCTCTTTAATGTCCTCTTTGAATGTTTATGTTTGTTTTTGTCAGCAATAATACATCGAGTGACTTGTCTATGACCTACCAGTGATTCTTGTCATTTTGTGTTCAGTTTACGGCGTCAGGTGGCGGCCATCAACCGTCTGGCAGATCGGGGGATGTCCTTCTGGGACTACGGCAACGCCTTCCTTCTCGAGGCCAGCAGAGCAGGTAACTAGATCTGCTACATCGTATTCAAACATCGTCAACAGATCCATGCTACATTGTGTTCTCCTCTCTCTATCGCCGTCAACAGATCCATGCGTATCTGCTACATCGTGTTCTCCTCTCTCTATCGCCGTCAACAGATCCATGCGTATCTGCTACATCGTGTTCTCCTCTCTCTATCACCGTCAACAGATCCATGCGTATCTGCTACATCGTGATCTCCTCTCTCTATTACCGTCAACAGATCCATGCGTATCTGCTACATCGTGTTCTCCTCTCTCTATTACCGTCAACAGATCCATGCGTATCTGCTACATCGTGTTCTCCTCTCTCTATCACCGTCAACAGATCCATGCTGCATCGTGTTCTCCTCTCTCTATCGCCGTCAACAGATCCATGCGTATCTGCTACATTGTGTTCTCCTCTCTCTATCGCCGTCAACAGATCCATGCGTATCTGCTACATCGTGTTCTCCTCTCTCTATCGCCGTCAAAAGATCCATGCTACATCGTGTTCTCCTCTCTCTATCGCCGTCAACAGATCCATGCGTATCTGCTACATCGTGTACTCCTCTCTCTATCGCCGTCAACAGATCCATGTGTATCTGCTACATCGTGTTCTCCTCTCTCTATCACCGTCAACAGATCCATGCGTATCTGCTACATCGTGTTCTCCTCTCTCTATCGCCGTCAACAGATCCATGCGTATCTGCTACATCGTGTTCTCCTCTCTCTATCGCTGTCAACAGATCCATGCGTATCTGTTACATCGTGTTCTCCTCTCTCTATCACCGTCAACAGATCCATGCGTATCTGCTACATCGTGTTCTCTATCTATCACCGTCAACAGATCCATGCGTATCTGTTACATCGTGTTCTCCTCTATCTATCACCGTCAACAGATCCATGCGTATCTGCTACATCGTGTTCTCCTCTCTCTATCGCCGTCAACAGATCCATGCGTATCTGCTACATCGTGTTCTCCTCTCTCTATCGCCGTCAACAGATCCATGCTACATCGTGTTCTCCTCTCTCTATCACCGTCAACAGATCCATGCGTATCTGTTACATCGTGTTCTCCTCTCTCTATCACCGTCAACAGATCCATGCGTATCTGCTACATCGTGTTCTCCTCTCTCTATCACCGTCAACAGATCCATGCGTATCTGCTACATCGTGTTCTCCTCTCTCTATCACCGTCAACAGATCCATGCGTATCTGTTACATCGTGTTCTCCTCTCTCTATCACCGTCAACAGATCCATGCGTATCTGCTACATCGTGTTCTCCTCTCTCTATCACCGTCCACAGATCCATGCGTATCTGTTACATCGTGTTCTCCTCTCTCTATCACCGTCAACAGATCCATGCGTATCTGCTACATCGTGTTCTCCTCTCTCTATCACCGTCAACAGATCCATGCGTATCTGTTACATCGTGTTCTCCTCTCTCTATCACCGTCAACAGATCCATGCGTATCTGCTACATCGTGTTCTCCTCTCTCTATCACCGTCCACAGATCCATGCGTATCTGTTACATCGTGTTCTCCTCTCTCTATCACCGTCAACAGATCCATGCGTATCTGCTACATCGTGTTCTCCTCTCTCTATCACCGTCCACAGATCCATGCGTATCTGTTACATCGTGTTCTCCTCTCTCTATCGCCGTCAACAGATCCATGCGTATCTGCTACATCGTGTTCTCCTCTCTCTATCGCCGTCAACAGATCCATGCGTATCTGTTACATCGTGTTCTCCTCTCTCTATCACCGTCAACAGATCCATGCGTATCTGCTACATCGTGTTCTCCTCTCTCTATCACCGTCCACAGATCCATGCGTATCTGTTACATCGTGTTCTCCTCTCTCTATCGCCGTCAACAGAGCCATGCTACATCGTGTTCTCCTCTCTCTATCACCGTCAACAGATCCATGCGTATCTGTTACATCGTGTTCTCCTCTCTCTATCACCGTCAACAGATCCATGCTACATCGTGTTCTCCTCTCTCTATCGCCGTCAACAGATCCATGCGTATCTGCTACATCGTGTTCTCCTCTCTCTATCGCCGTCAAAAGATCCATGCTACATCGTGTTCTCCTCTCTCTATCACCGTCAACAGATCCATGCGTATCTGCTACATCGTGTTCTCTCTCTATCACCGTCAACAGATCCATGCGTATCTGCTACATCGTGTTCTCCTCTCTCTATCGCTGTCAACAGATCCATGCGTATCTGCTACATCGTGTTCTCCTCTCTCTATCACCGTCAACAGATCCATGCGTATCTGCTACATCGTGTTCTCCTCTCTCTATCGCCGTCAACAGATCCATGCGTATCTGCTACATCGTGTTCTCCTCTCTCTATCACCGTCAACAGATCCATGCGTATCTGTTACATTGTGTTCTCCTCTCTCTATCACCGTTAACAGATCCATGCGTATCTGTTACATCGTGTTCTCCTCTATCTATCACCGTCAACAGATCCATGCGTATCTGCTACATCGTGTTCTCCTCTCTCTATCGCTGTCAACAGATCCATGCGGATCTGCTACATCGTGTTCTCCTCTCTCTATCGCTGTCAACAGATCCATGCGTATCTGCTACATCGTGTTCTCCTCTCTCTATCGCTGTCAACAGATCCATGCGTATCTGCTACATCGTGTTCTCCTCTCTCTATCACCGTCAACAGATCCATGCGTATCTGTTACATCGTGTTCTCCTCTCTCTATCACCGTCAACAGATCCATGCGTATCTGCTACATCGTGTTCTCCTCTCTCTATCGCCGTCAACAGATCCATGCGTATCTGCTACATCGTGTTCTCCTCTCTCTATCACCGTCAACAGATCCATGCGTATCTGCTACATCGTGTTCTCCTCTCTCTATCGCCGTCAACAGATCCATGCGTATCTGCTACATCGTGTTCTCCTCTCTCTATCACCGTCAACAGATCCATGCGTATCTGCTACATCGTGTTCTCCTCTCTCTATCACCGTCAACAGATCCATGCGTATCTGCTACATCGTGTTCTCCTCTCTCTATCGCCGTCAACAGATCCATGCGTATCTGCTACATCGTGTTCTCCTCTCACTATCACCGTCAACAGATCCATGCGTATCTGCTACATCGTGTTCTCCTCTCTATATCACCGTCAACAGATCCATGCGTATCTGCTACATCGTGTTCTCCTCTCTCTATCGCCGTCAACAGATCCATGCTACATCGTGTTCTCCTCTCTCTATCACCGTCAACAGATCCATGCGTATCTGTTACATCGTGTTCTCCTCTCTCTATCACCGTCCTCAGATCCATGCTACATCGTGTTCTCCTCTCTCTATCACCGTCAACAGATCCATGCGTATCTGCTACATCGTGTTCTCCTCTCTCTATCACCGTCAACAGATCCATGCGTATCTGTTACATCGTGTTCTCCTCTCTCTATCACCGTCAACAGATCCATGCGTATCTGTTACATCGTGTTCTCCTCTCTCTATCACCGTCAACAGATCCATGCGTATCTGTTACATCGTGTTCTCCTCTCTCTATCACCGTCCACAGATCCATGCGTATCTGTTACATCGTGTTCTCCTCTCTCTATCGCCGTCAACAGATCCATGCGTATCTGTTACATCGTGTTCTCCTCTCTCTATCGCCGTCAACAGATGCATGCGTATCTGCTACATCGTGTTCTCCTCTCTCTATCGCCGTCAACAGATCCATGCTACATCGTGTTCTCCTCTCTCTATCGCCGTCAACAGATCCATGCGTATCTGCTACATCGTGTTCTCCTCTATCACCGTCAACAGATCCATGCGTATCTGCTACATCGTGTTCTCCTCTATCTATCACCGTCAACAGATCCATGCGTATCTGCTACATCGTGTTCTCCTCTCTCTATCACCGTCAACAGATCCATGCGTATCTGCTACATCGTGTTCTCCTCTCTCTATCACCGTCAACAGATGCACCACCGTCAACAGATGCATCCACATGTCGAAACGAGACCTAGACAGACAGCGGCTTTCAACATTGATCAGTCAATAAAGACAAGAATATTACATAATCAGTAATGTTTCCACACAAACAAAAGAATCGATAAACAATTTGGTTGACATTGTTGTAGCCGATTATACGTTATATATGCATCATTCTATCAGGAGTGGGGGCACGAGTGACCCCGTCGTCTAGGGCGGCGTAATTTGCTCTGCAGAGTTATATCCCTTAGGCTTGCCAGAAACCTTTAGAATCATGGGTTCGAATCCCAGAATCGCCATCATTGTGTTTCTAGGTTTTTACAGCACCATACCCGTGCTCGTGGGTTTCACCATGGTGGTCAATGTCAAATACTTGTTCAAAGCGGCGTTAACCCAATTCACTCACTCACTCACTCACTCAACGAGTGACCTTCCCGCCGACCCAACAAGACGACTTCCTGTTAATGTGGCGTTACACCAACCACATTCACTATTTTCAGAGTTTGATGCACACATGTCAGAATCTCCCTTTATAACAGCTACACAGCTGCATGCAGATGAGCAGCGAATTTGCGTAAAATACCCCCCAAAAATATTCAAAACCCAATTACTTTAAATTAACTTGCGTACAGAAACGCATGCATTAAATGAAAAACTCAAATGTATAAAAACAGCTCGCGTAAATACACAATGAAGTTTTATCAGCATGCGTTCAAAGGAGCTAATTCCGAAACACAAATACGAGCTAATTAACTTTCCGAGTCAAGCCTATATATTTAGAACAGTTATATACATCTCAAACATATTTTTTTTTTAAATCTTAAAATTTTCACTAATTTTGGGAAAAACAAAATAGAGTGATGAATAGATGAGTGAAAAAATATTGGTTACCCAATGAAAAATGTAATAACCCAATTAAAATAGAAACTCTAGAGTAAAAACTCAATTACTCAAAGAGTTATCTGGAGCTCTGGAGCTACATTAAATGGGTTCACCCCGTGGTGTTTCGTGGTAACAGAATCACGTTGTTGTGCAGGCGCTGACGTGGGACGCTGTGACGACATGCACGGCACCGCCTTCAGATTCCCGTCGTATGTACAAGACATCATGGGCGACATCTTCTCACTGGGATTCGGACCGTTCAGGTAACACCAACCGTTTTGCACAGGAATGCATATAATTTTTCTTTCTTTCTTTTCTTTCTTTGTTGTTTAATGCCGCACTCTGCTATTGCCCAGTTATATGACGGTGGTCTGTAATTAATCGAGTCTGGACCAGAAAATCCAGTGACTGAGATCATGAGCATCGATCCACTCAATTGGGATACGATGACATGCATCAACCAAGTCAGCATGCCTGACCATCCGATCCCGTTAGTCGCCTCTTAGGACAAGCATAGTCGGAACTCATATCCACTTCAAGCAGACAATATGGCCACCTCATCCCCATTTTATTATCCTCATACTCTTGGAATATTTATGGTTAGAATAGGCCCAAAGTGAATCTAGGCCTATACTATCGGCTCCATTTTGACGTATTTCGACCACGTGTTATTTTAGGTCTTTCGGGTTTTTGGCATGACTCTTTGACTATCCGGTGGTCAGATTTGATCTATTGCGTGTCAACGTACTCCAACAACGTGCATCGTTGCTCATAATATCAATCAATCACTTGTTTGTTTGGTCCAGGCTCGATATATACAGGTCAGCGTCATATAACAGGAATATTGCTTAATGCGGCTTTAAACAACAAAAGAATACCAATAGTTTCCATATATATGTGAGAAGTTAGAGGCTTTTTCTGCCCTGTAGCACCGCGGGGATAATTAATAAGGACAGAGGCTGGTTCCACAAACCATCTCAGCGCTAGAACTATTGTAAGCCTGGGTGTCGTTAAACAAAACAGCCTTAGCGCTACGATTGTTGTATGTCTACGTTATGGTATGGAATTTACTATCACCTTAGTGCTAAATCGCTTTATGCTGTACTGTATTGGTACGAACACTGTGCTATAGTTACGATCGTTAAGCGCTATCGTCGTTTTGTTAAACTTCGTACTGGGCACAAAGTATTCTCTCTGGACTGTAAGTATTCTTTCTGGACTGCTAGACCAGCTATACTCTTCCACACAGTATATAAAGATGCTGTGTGTGTCCTCAAGGTGGGTCTGTGCATCCGGGGACTCCGAGGACCTGGACAGGACTGACGACATCGCCGCCTCTGTGTTGGAGGACATCCTCAAGGAGGAAGGTAGGTTGTCGTCTTATGGGGGTCGGCGGGTAGCCCACTCCTTGAGTGAGTGAGTAAGTCGGGTACTTGGTGACCTCTGTTGTCTAGACTAGTGTTTGTGTGTGTGTGTGTGTGTGTGTGTGTGTGTGTGTGTGTGTGTGTGTGTGTGCGTGCGTGTTAGTTGAAACGTATTAAAACGCATTCATTAAGTGATTATCATGAAGTGAATATGTTTCAGTGCCTGAAACAGTCAAACAACTCTACCAGGACAACCTCCGGTGGATCAGAGAAGCTTCTCAACACAAGTTGGTGAGTTTCACATCTACCCGGGATGGGTTGAGGGTAGCTCTATCACAGGTGTCTCAACACAAGCTGGTGAGTTGTACATCTACCCGGGGTGGGGTGAGGATAGCTGGTGAGATGCACATCTACCCGGGGTGGGGTGAGGATAGCTGGTGAGATGCACATCTACCCGGGGTGGAGTGAGGATAGCTGGTGAGATGCACATCTACACTGGGTTGGGTCAGGGTAGCACTATGAGAGGTGTCCAATCAGAAGCTGGTGAGATGCACATCTACACGGGGTGGGGTGAGGATAGCTGGTGAGTTGCACATCTACCCGGGGTGGAGTGAGGGTGGCACTATGAGAGGTGTCCAATCAGAAGCTGGTGAGATGCACATCTACACGGGGTGGGGTGAGGGTAGCACTATCAGAGGTGTCTCAACACAAGCTGGTGAGATGCACATCTACCCGGGGTGGGGTGAGGGTAGCACTATCAGAGGTGTCCCATCAGAAGCTGGTGAGATGCACATCTACACGGGGTGGGGTGAGGGTAGCACTATCAGAGGTGTCCCATCAGAAGCTGGTGAGATGCACATCTACCCGGGTCGGGTTGAGGGTAGCACTATCAGAGGGGTCCCAACGCAAGCTGGTGAGATGCACATCTACCCGGGGTAGGTTGAGGGTAGCACTATCAGAGGTGTCCCAACACAAGCTGGTGAGATGCACATCTACACGGGGTGGGGTGAGGGTAGCACTATCAGAGGTGTCCCAACACAAGCTGGTGAGATGCACATCTACCCGGGGTAGGTTGAGAGTAGCACTATCACAGGTGTCCCAACACAAGCTGGTGAGATGCACATCTACACGGGGTGGGGTCAGGGTAGCACTATCAGAGGTGTCCCAACACAAGCTGGTGAGATGCACATCTACCCGGGGTAGGTTGAGGGTAGCACTATCAGAGGTGTCCCAACACAAGCTGGTGAGATGCACATCTAACCGGGGTAGGTTGAGAGTAGCACTATCACAGGTGTCCCAACACAAGCTGGTGAGATGCACATCTACACGGGGTGGGGTCAGGGTAGCACTATCAGAGGTGTCCCAACACAAGCTGGTGAGATAGCCGGGGTGGGTTGAGGGTACCTGGTGAGTTGCACATCTACCCGGGGTGGGGTGAGAGTAGTACTTTCAGAGTCTCAACACAAGCTGGTGAGTTGCACATCTACCCGGCGAGTGTGATTCAATTCTTCATTACAAGTACAGCTTGTCAGTTTTAATACACAATGCAAGCAGCGATACTGTCATGTGGGATATGACACAGTATGAGGGAGAGAATTATTTTAAATTAAATTAATAATTTTACTTAGGTAAATGTACATAAGCGACACAGTTTGACATTCAATGGAAATATTCACTGTACAGTCTTCAAGGAACATTGTCAATATGTTGTTTGTACATATATTATTTTGGGATGAGGGTAACACTATGTCGAAATAAACCTCTTATTTCGCCAGCTGTGCAGGTGAATATATCGTTTAGTCTGTTTCTGCTACGGCAATCGACAACAGACAGTCCCATCGTGCAAATCACTCTTTACCCCTCGGTCACGATCAGTGGCCATACATAGTATACTCCTGTACATTTCTCAAGGAAGGCTACTATCTAAAAGGATCTCGTTTAGTAATAAAAGTGTCAGCAGCTGATAAGTGGGCACCAGCTCATGGACAGCAGACGGGCCAAGGCCCTCCTCTTCTCTACGTTGTCAACACAATCACCAGCTATGCATGTCTAGTAATGTCAAGTCGACATTAGCGGGTGAGATAATGTATCAAGTGTATACGAGGTATCCGACCTTGAGAGCACCACGCACCGATGGCTCTGTTAAGAGTGTTAAATAACCGCAGAACGTGAAGTTCAGGCCACACCAATATATTTTTCTGTTTAACGGATATAATTGATGTTCGGGTGTTGAGACTTTTATTTCAAGAGATTTTTCTTCCGAACTTAATATCAATCAAACCTGAACATGTTTTTTTATTTGTTATATTTTCCCCTGCATCCGGGAATTTCCGTAAAACAGGACAATTAATCGTCCTAGCAAACAATGGTATGTATAAATTTTCTCGGGGACTTTAGGGCTTAGTGGATATGTAGTATACCTATACATTGTGGGATTCGAACCCACAATCATAGGTTTCTGGCGTGCCCAAGGGACGCAACTCTACACAGCGAGTCGCGGCGCCTTAGACGACTGGGCCATCCGTGCCCCCGTATTCTATTATAAGCTTCAGATTAAAGGTCGCCATGGAAAATGGTTTCAAAGTGCTGCTTATCCCATAACGAGGCTGACATTATTTTGCTAGTCTTAGCGGGGTTTTTTCTACACCTTAGTTCTAAACGGTAATCTAGAATAGAAAGAGAATTCCATTGTGACGTATTTAGGTACATGTATGTAGGAAGCGATAAAATGAATCGTGTGGTCAGGCTCGGTAACTTGGTTGATTGTGTGTCGCTGTACCCCGGCGGCGTGGGATATTGCTCACAATATCAATCACCGGATTGCCGGGTCCAGACTCGGGTCATCGCTGGAATATTACCGATTACGACGTTAAACAACAAACAAACAAACAAATACACTTCCTGTATCAGTCTTTAATCATTCTGGTTGCAGGTTGTGGGATCGCAAGCCCGGATATTGTATTCGGAGCAGTTAGGGCGGATAAGGATAGCCCTGGCGTTCAACAAAGCGATTGCAGAAGGACAGATTAAGGTAAACAATTGCATATGCAAATATTCATGCGAGATGTGCTCAGGGCCCATGCGTGGAGAGAGTGTCGACTAAGTGTCGGGTGGATGTGCTGCTTGTGGCACAGTGCCCCGATGGCGTGGATTGCTGTTCATTATTAACAAAGGCATTGTTTGCCTGGCCCCGTCTCCAGTACTTACAGGTTACCGTTATATAGCTCGCACAGTGCTGACTGCGGCGTTGACCAACAAAAGCATTCCGAATCGGTGCTTAACGGTGAAGATTATGGAAATGAGATCGATGGTTATGATTATGGAAGGAGATGGATGATTATGGAGGTGAGATGGGTGGTATAATGAGGATTATGGAGGTGAGATGGGTGGTATAATGGGGATTATGGAGGTGAGGTGGGTGGTATAATGAGGATTATGGAGGTGAGATGGGTGGTATAATGCGGATTATGGGGGTGAGATGGGTGGTATAATGGGGATTATGGAGGTGAGTTGGATGATATAATGAGGATTATGGAGGTGAGATGGGTGGTATAATGAGGATTATGGAGGTGAGATGGGTTGCATAATGAGGATTATGGAGGTGAGGTGGGTGGTATAATGAGGATTATGGAGGTGAGATGGGGGGTATAATGAGGATTATGGAGGTGAGATGGGTGGTATAATGAGGATTATGGAGTGAGGTGGATGGTATCATGAGGATTATAGAGGTGAGATGGATTGTATAATGAGGATTATGGAGGTGAGATGGGTGGTATATTGAGGATTATGGAGGTGAGATGGGTGGTATAATGAGGATTATGGAGGTGAGATGGGTGATATAATGAGGATTATGGAGGTGAGGTGGATGGTATAATGAGGATAATGGAGGTGAGGTGGATGGTATAATGAGGATTATGGAGGTGAGAGGGGTGGTATAATGAGGATTATGGAGGTGAGGTGGATGGTATAATGAGGATTATGGAGGTGGGTTGGATGGTATAATGAGGATTTATGGAGGTGAGATGGGTGGTATAATGAGGATTATGGAGGTGAGATGGGCGGTATAATGAGGATTATGGAGGTGAGATGGGTGGTATAATGAGGATTATGGAGGTGAGGTAGATCGTATAATGAGGATAATGGAGGTGAGGTGGATGGTATAATGAGGATTATGGAGGTGGGATGGGTGGTATAATGAGGATTATGGAGGTGAGATTGGTGGTATAATGAGGATTATGGAGGTGAGATGGGTGGTATGATGAGGATTATGGAGTGAGGTGGATGGTATAATGAGGATTATAGAGGTGAGGTGGATTGTATAATGAGGATTATGGAGGTGAGATGAGTGGTATAATGAGGATTATGGAGGTGAGATGGGTGGTATAATGAGGATTATGGAGGTGAGATGGGTGGTATAATGAGGATTATGGAGGTGAGATGGGCGGTATAATGAGGATTATTGAGGTGAGATGGGTGGTATAATGAGGATTATGGAGCTGAGATGGATGGTATAAGGATTATGGGGGTGAGGTGGGTGGTGTAATGAGGATTATGGAGGTGAGATTGGTGGTATAACGAGGATTATGGAGGTGAGGTGGATGGTATAATGAGGATTTTGGAGGTGGGCTGGATGGTATAATGAGGATTATGGAGGTGAGATGAATGGTATAATGAGGATTATGGAGGTGAGATGGGCGGTATAATGAGGATTATGGAGGTGAGATGGGCGGTATAATGAGGATTATGGAGGTGAGATGGGCGGTATAATGAGGATTATGGAGGTGAGATGGGTGGTATAACGAGGATTATTGAGGTGAGGTGGATGGTGTAATGAGGATTATGGAGGTGGGTTGGATGGTATAATGAGGATAATGGAGGTGAGATGAGTGGTATAATGAGGATTATGGAGACGAGATTGTTGGTATAATGAGGATTATGGAGGTGAGATTGGCGGTATAATGAGGATTATGGAGGTGAGGTGGATGGTATAATGAGGATTATGGAGGTGGGTTGGATGGTATAATGAGGATTATGGAGGTGAGATGGGCGGTATTATGAGGATTATGGAGGTAAGATGGGTGGTATAATGAGGATTATGGAGGTGAGATGGGCGGTATAACGAGGATTATGAAGGTGAGGTGGATGGTATAATGAGGATTATGGAGGTGGGTTGGATGGTATAATGAGGATTATGGAGGTGAGATGAGTGGTATAATGAGGATAATGGAGGTGAGATGGGTGGTATAATGAGGATTATGGAGGTGAGATTGGTTGTATAACGAGGATTATGGAGGTGAGGTGGATGGTATAATGAGGATTATGGAGGTGGGTTGATGGTATAATGAGGATTATTGAGGTGAGATGAGTGGTATAATGAGGATTATGGAGGTGAGATGGGTGGTATAATGAGGATTATTGAGGTGAGATGAGTGGTATAATGAGGATTATGGAGGTGAGATGGGTGGTATAATGAGGATTATGGAGGTGAGATGGGCGGTATAATGAGGATTATTGAGGTGAGATGGGTGGTATAATGAGGATTATGGAGGTGAGATGGGTGGTATAATGAGGATTATGGTGAGATGGGTGGTATAATGAGGATTATGGAGGTGAGATGGGCGGTATAATGAGGATGATGGAGGTGAGATGGGTGGTATAATGAGAATTATGGAGGTGAGATGGGTGGTATAATGAGGATTATGGAGGTGAGATAGGCGGTATAATGAGGATTATGGAGGTGAGATGGGTGGTATAATGAGGATTATGGAGGTGAGATGGGTGGTATAATGAGGATTATGGTGAGATGGGTGGTATAATGAGGATTATGGAGGTGAGGTGGATGGTATAATGAGGATTATGGAGGTGAGATGGGTGGTATAATGAGGATTATGGAGGTGAGATGGGTGGTATAATGAGGATTATGGTGGCGAGAACAATGATGGTGACGCATGTTAAATATACAAGCTCCTTTCAGGGCCCGGTGGTGTTGAGCCGTGATCATCACGACGTCAGTGGTACAGACAGCCCCTTCCGGGAGACGTCCAATATCTATGACGGGTCCTCCGTCTGTGCAGGTACGTCATGTCTTTGTACCTCCATCTGTGAAGGTACGTCCTGTCTATGCGCCTCCATCTGTGCAGGTACGTCATGTCTATGTACCTGCATCTGTGAAGGTACGTCATGTCTATGTACCTCCATCTGTGAAGGTACGTCATGCAGTTTGACAGCATATGACGGATCCTCAGTTAGCCAGACAGCCTTTGGGCACATCAAATGTCTTTGAGGGGGTCCTCTGTCTATGCAGACGTCATATAGCTGGAACATTGCTGAGTGCCGCGTCAAACAGCTAACAATCATTTTTCTCTAATAAAGTATCAACATGTAAGAAAAGCGATAGTAAACTAAAAAAACGATCTTAATTATAGAAATGTCAGAAACCTCAATGATGTCTCAAAGAGTTACAGCTTATATTTACGATATACATATATATTTCCTTACTCGAACATTAACCTCCGTTGGGGCGGTTAGGTTACCTCCAGGTGTCAGATCATATTCCCGAGGCAAGGGAGTTAACTGACTTTAAAAGTCCAGTTTCAATCCTTGCCGAACTAGGCTGGAATTCCTTGGCTCGATCGTAGCGCCACCAGTGGCTATTACCAGTTATGTCCCTTCTAAGCCTCTCCTAAGGATCAATCAGATTCCACCTCTCGTTTCACTTGCATTTGCTTCAAACAAAATGGTGGAGCCGAGTCAAGCGATCTGATCGATCATCAAGACCTATATTGCGATAAAACGAGTCTTACATCGCAAAGTGCATCAGATCACGTGAGCACCTTGATTAAAAACATGAAAAGATTTAGAATATATCTGTTGACAATGTGTTGACATTTTACGAACCGGGTTTCAATTTTGTTGCGCATTTTGATTGGACTATGCATAGACCCGTTAATCCAGCCAAACTGTAACTCCATAATACCAGCCTAGTTCGGCAAGGGTGGAAACTGGACTTTTATAGTCAGTTAACTACTTGTCTCGGTAGGATGGTGTCAGGTATGGCTCGTCAAGTTCAAAACCAGGGTTAATTCCCCCAAGGGTACAAGGTGTGAAAGCCTTTGTTACCCCCTTCCCCGACATAGGTATGATCAGGGCCCTAGCGTTCAAATTGTTGAACGCTCATGTTAAAGTATGGGTGTTACGATCGCCTTAGCGCTAAGATCCCTTTGTGCATGGAACAGCCCTAATTGTACTGTTATGAGTTCGTACTCCGCCAGCAGAGATCAAAGACCACATACGATCACTGACAGTCTATCTGCTCGAGACCAAACAGGTGATGAACTCTCTGTATTCCATATCTGTACAGACATGGCCATCCAGAACGTCATCGGGGACAGCTTCCGGGGAGCGACATGGGTGGCGATACACAACGGTGGCGGTGTTGGCTGGTGAGTGGGTAGCGTCGCTCCAAGTTTTCTCCACTTCACGTAGAACGGTATTTTGAGAGTCAGAAAATATATAACCTTTCGTATCGAAAGAACTTGTCACTGAACGGATACGACCCAACGAATTCTGATATTAAACACACAAACAGTTGACCTAAAGTGTGCATGCGAGCTGTCTATGTTAATGTATATGTCTATGACTAGCAAACGAGTTCCCAACATGGCAATACAATTCGTGATGGTTTAAATACTTTATACCTAAATATTTTAGAATTGCTGCAAATTTAAATCATATTCAACATTTGAAGGACGTGAAGTGAAAAAAGGTAGGATCTGTTGATGTCTGTCGACTCCAAAGATTACCGAAAAATTGCATGCCTTAATCTACGTTGTCCGGAGTTTATTATTGACGTCAAGGTTTCGCAAGAATAACGTCCCTTAGCAACAAAGATCCGCAGGTGTGTTCGACTCCTAGATTCATCCTTATGGTTTATTTAGCATCACACACGTACGTACCCCTTGGTTTCACTGTACCGTTCTCGCACATAACGCCGACATTGCGTGATTTGAAGGAAACGTGTAAGACTGAACTATTTTACCATAGTGAGTTGGGTTAAGGCTGCCTTGAACAGTTATTTTCATTCATATCACGGCCTGTCCGCTTGACGTGGGAGAAAACTAAGTAATGCAGGCCGTTTGACAGTTTGGTGAACCAAGCGATCTCGTGTTCAGTGCTGACAAACCAAGGTTCAAAATAAGTAATAAATCTGAGATAGATTCGTACCCACGATCAAGGGACGCAACTCTCCAACAGCGAATTGTGATGTGACCCTTACACAAATAGTCCACCTCTGCCACCCTTTGCTATCATATTACTGAAATGCATGATTCATCTGTTCACAGGGGAGAGGTTATCAACGGCGGGTTCGGTCTGGTCCTCGATGGTTCCTTGGTAGGGTTTTTGTGTTATAAAATGTTTTTTTTTTATTAAAATGTAAACGAATTCCACCTCACATAGGAAAATGTTGACATGTATACAAACAGCAACATGGACAAGCAAACAATGATGGTCATAACATCCTGATCGGAGTTTTCTTTAAACAATCGTGATGATTTACATGATGACAATTTGAAACAGCTATTGTTCTATTATCATAAAAATATTCATGTTCCAGGATTCTGCCTTGAGGGCCAAACGGATGTTGTCCTGGGACGTCAGTAACGGGGTAAGAAGGATGGGCAGTGACTAAAAGGTAGTAAATGGGGTTTGACCCGCTGGATGCTGAGTTATTTTACTGACGCACATTTTCATAAGACCTGCTTTGCTTAAAATGACAATGGGTGACATGGCAGAACAGGAAATTTCCCACAGAATTCAAAACTGAGAATTTGAGTGCTTTATGTATGTTGAATTTTATTCTACTCAGAAGTGAGTGAGTGAGTTGGGTTTAACGCCGCTTTTAACAGTATTCCAGTTATATCGCGGCGTGTCAGCTTTATGTGGGAGGAAAGCCCGAAGTGATGCAGGTCTCAGACGTTTACCACTTCGGTGAAACCCACGAGCACGGGTATGGTGCTGACAAACCTAGAAACATAATCGGGGCGAACCGGGATTCGAACCCACAATCATAGGTTTCTGGCGTGCCCAAGGGACGCAACTCTGGACAGCGAATCGCGGCGCCTTAGACGACTGGACCACCCGTGCCCCCCTCAGAAGTGAGGGTTGGAGAGGAGAGACATGTGTCTCTGGCATCCAGGGGGTTAACGTCGCGTTCAGTATTATTTTACTTATATGGCTTAAATTACGTGTACATGTGTGTGGGTGTGTATTAACTGAAAACGTCTTCGCCTTGCCTAGCGTGCCATGAGTTGGTATCAGGTTTCTTAAAATATAACTTGACTGATTGCCTGTCATCGCACCCGATAGTGTAGGCGTTGCTCGTGTATTCTGTCAGTAGTTGTTGTTTTTTCAGATCGTCGTGATATAGTTTGTTTGTTTGTTTGTTGTTTAAAGCCGCACTCAGCAATATTCCAGCTTTATGACGTCGGTCTGCAAATAATCGAGTCTGGGCCAGACAATCCAGTGATTGACAACATGAGCATCGATCCACGCAATTGGGATACGATGACATGCAACAACCAATCCCGTTTGTCGCCTCTTGCGACAAGCATAGTCACCTTTTACGGCAAGCATGGGTAACTGAAGACCTATTCTACCCCGGATATTCACGGGACCCGTCGTGTTATAGCTTGAATACTGAATACTGGGTTCATTTTAAGGCGAGAAATTCATGTATTTGAAAACCTGTTTATATTCTAGGTGGCCCGTCGTTGCTGGTCCGGCAACAGTCGAGCTGAGGAGACCATCTGTCGGGCAATGGAGTCTGACCCCAAGTTGAAGGTCACGATACCATACCACGTGAAGAACCCCAATGTCATCGACAAGGCTATCAACGGCTAGTGTGAACACCACGGATCTCATGGAAATCAAGAATACTGACATTGAAATATACTCTATCCTGCCATCACTAGATCTTTATGTCCAACACTACAGCTGACCATCGTCAGTGCACACGTTTCTTCATCACCCTTATCTGTTTGTTGTTTACGCCGAGAACTGAACGATTGTTAGATCTGAAAAAAATAACCAGTGGCCATTCATTCTAGGGGGTGCAGATATAGGAACAATATCTTTGATTGAAGACTCAGATTGGTCCGAGCACTCACTGGTTAGCCGCTCGCATGTTTCCGTAACCTACATTCGGCTTGTCTCGGAATGTCCCGCTCGTTGAGCCCGGCTGTCACTTGAGTCGTGGTTTACATCTTAACGTTTTTGCTAATAGTGACTACACCGCAATGCGACCGTATGTATGTACGGGTGATGGAGGAACGCAGTGTATACAAACCCCCCGCGAAGTATTGACGTGGTCAGCAGACGTTTCATGTCTTCAACGGTGGTAATATCAATTATATTATTTGTAATAAAGTTCTGATACGTGATAGAGGATATTTCACGTGTCGAGTGAAATATCATGTTTTTCTCATCGAATGGGGGAAAGGAGATATTTTCACGAGTAGCGTTGCGGTTCACCACCTATTGTATTTGCGACTAAAAAAGTAGTTTCGGGTTTGCAAAATCTAAAAAATCTGTCCATCCGATCCCGTAAGTCGCCTCTTGCGACATGCATCATCATCACTGATTTACAACAGTCGTATAGTGCTAAGATCGCTTTGAGGAACGGACCCTGCATCGCTTTTCATACGAAAATCAGACATTTGAACTCAGTGTAAATTTTAGGCTGCTTGCATCACATCACATTTAGGGCCCGGTTACACTGTACAACGAAGAACATATAGGACTTGTTTTTCAAATCTAGGACAATGTCAAACATACAATTAAGTTTCTTGTACATTCCTGAACATCTAACAATTTCTGAACTGTCATAAACACACTTGATATCATTGCTTGACAGAGTTTCTATTATTAATCTGCACGTATTATGTATTTGAACCCAACGAAAAGTCATTGGCTACTATTAAAAAAGATATTTGTCTAGTTGACCGTGGGCTTCATCTAGAGAGGGTTTGTCATAATGTAATACAGGTACCACGGTCACAGCATTATATACCCTTTCTATTAGAAGTGGCTATGGAAGTCACTAAATGTTCATGCTGCCCCTATAGACATCGTTATGGTGCATATGTTTCAAATATATTCTAAAGGAGCATATCAAATCCCTGTATGCACCATAACGATGATTATTTTTACGTCTGTAAATATATTTGCCAGTGCTCATGTGACTTTTTCAACTGCCAGTCATACGGACAGGCAGTATTTAGAAATACCGCCCTGGAAAATGTTCCCCTATTTAAAAACACTAGAATTGCTGAATAAAAAACATTTTATTATCACTTACTTGTGTGTGCCTTTGAAAACAGGAAAGAAGAGTGCGCGTCAGAATGGATATCGCCTTCACCATGCACATATGTGCCATACACTCAGCTGTCTCAAATACAGAGATTAACAAAAACAACCAGTTAGGGTGGTAAAATAGCGGACGTTTCAGTACATATGCTAGTACTTTAATCAAGCATGTGATCTACAACTGGGTAGGACATGGTCATATATAGCTTAGAATCACATGTACAGTAGGCCTGGGACAGGAAACTCGGGTCGGGTGGGTCCTGAGTAGGACCCGGGTACCCACGGGACTACCCGGACCCGTGGTTAGTCACGTGATATATTGTTTAATGACAAAAAATATCTAAAACTCTACGGTTACACTAGAAGTCACTGACTTTCGCATTTCTTTCTGACTATGCACATATTCGTTCTGACTTTTAGATGTTTGAATAAAGATAAAACTCGTTGAACTTCCGTGAATGCATGTTTTTCGTTGATTGCTTGTATCTAAGTACATTTTGGCAGGGCTACGGTCTCTCGAGGGTAGGGTCGGGGAATACAGGGCAGGGTACCCGGTAGTGAATTTGAACTCGTCACATCCCTAATGTACAGTCATCCTTGGCTTTCGTTATTGTTGATCTCAGTATGTTATGTTTAACTACAAAAACCATGTCTACTACTAATCATAGATCATAGGCGGGTACAGAGGGGGGAGCAGCTATATGATGGCAGTCTGTAAGTTATTGAGTCTGGACGAGACAATCCAGTGATTAATATCATGAGCATCGATCCAAGCAATTGGTCGGGTCGTATGTTGTAGGCAGTACATTGACAGAGAGGATTGTATTTTTGGACCCCTCCCTATAAAGTATTAAAAAAATGCTGGATCCGCCCTTCTGATCAGAATGTATCTTATCGTATTGTAGAATACATCAACCAATGATAAGACTATCTGGTTGATCCATCAAGATGCATCCACATATTGTGAATCATCCCACCCTATCATGTTTTCCTATTCTGAATAAAACAAGAAGGGACCATTAAACTTTTGGGTGATATTTTATGCAGTGAAGACTGAGCACGCAATTTCAAAAAGATATCCCAAATATAGTCATGATCCCTAACTTGTTTTGTTCAGTATACATGAATACCCGAGAAGACCTGGGATAGAATTGGTCTTCAGCAACCCATACTTGTCATAAGAGGAGACAATGATTTGGTTGATGCAGGTCATCGTATCTCAATTGCATAGATTGATGCTCATGATGTCAATCACTAGGCTTTACAGACCATCGTCATAAGGCTGGAATATTGCAACAGAACATCAATCATACCTGGTTTTCAGCATTAGACATTCATTTTCCTTAAGAATAGTCCAGAGGACTTTCGTAAACCGTATTACACTGGTCCTTGGAGATTGTAGTTATTCCTGCTTGAACACGACAACAATGTTTACTATGATTACATTTTCTCTCAGTTTTATTCAGTTGTCAGAATTATAGCCCTCGATTACGAGTAGTCAATGAGGACTACCCTTATCGGATTCTTACTTGTCTTCAGCACAATTTAGTAGTCTTTGGCCAGCGAACTAGCGTGAAATTTACCTGTAGTACTGTTTACTTATTCCATTCTGTCTGATACTGTTGTTTTAACTGTCTGAACAATGAAATAAAACTATTCAAATATGTTAACATTTTAACTGAAGATTAAACTTACATTCTATTGACAAAAAAACAACTGTAAGCACTGCACAAGTTGTAATATGTTTATATACTACATGTACACCATATATATTACACACACATGTATTCACATTGTCACACAATGTAGCTGTTATCTCTTGATACAGTCTCTCACTACAGTCAGGTCACAGAATCTGAAAGAGAAATCAGTTCATGAATAATAGTATTAGTCATGGTAGTAATACTGGTATCAACATGATCATGTTGATAGTCATTTGATATATTGTTTAATGACAATAACAATAGAACTCAATGCTTACACTACAAGTCTCTGATGTAAGTAATTTTCCCATAATTTTCTGACTGCACTTTTTTATATTTAAGTTATAGGAAAGCATCAGTCAGCTTCAGTGTATGCATCTGATAATTTTATATGTGTATCCAAATGGTTTTTGCAAGGGCTTCATTAAACATGGTGAAACAATTCTTAATCGGACATTTTGTACCCAACTCTTGAGATCTACATTGGGTTCCGGGGGTAGGGTTGTGAAGTAGGGGGTTGAGTACCCTGGTAGGGTTGTGTAGTAGGGCTGTCGGGTACCCGGGTAGGGTTGGGTAGTAGGGGGTAGTACTCCTCAGGACCCACCCAACCCAAGTACCCGAGTTAACCATCCCAGTCCTACCTGTTACCTAAGACATGCAAGTCTTGAAATGACTAAAAGTCAAATTCTCATTCGTATGGAGACATCTGATAAGTTTCGCATTGATGTGTAGCTTCAAGTGGACAAGCGGACATACCTGCTTAGCATGGTCAAGTGGACAAGCGGACATACCTGCTTAGCATGGTCAAGTGGACAAGCGGACATACCTGCTTCAGCATGGTCAAGTGGACAAGCGGACATACCTGCTTAGCATGGTCAAGTGGACAAGCGGACATACCTGCTTAGCATGGTCAAGTGGACAAGCGGACATACCTGCTTCAGCATGTTCAAGAGGTTGGCAACACCTCAGCAGCCTCTACTGCAGCTACCTCCCGGGCAACATACACAGCACCACAGAACACAAGAAGACTCTTCACCAGTGACCTGCAACAGTACTAGTGTGTTAGGGCTCGAACAATACTTTCAAATAACAATGTGTATAACACCTCGTAAAGGAAACAATGAGGACAATCCCCTTCTTATGGGTGTACAAATGGTATCACTGGTTACTGAGAAAATGTCCGCATCTCAGAAATGATTGCTCCTCCCTCCAAAAACTGTATATTTTAAAACACTTTTTTAAAAGTGTTATTTCTTAGGGGTGAAATGATAAGCCAAGGTCATGATATGATACGTATCACGACATATAGCTGTACACATATTTAGGTCAAATCACATGGGAACTTCTTGCCTTGAAATATTTCAGAGATGTACAATGCGAAGAGCTAACTGTAGACACATGTTCGTCGCGGCTATTTTTAGTAGTGAACTTGAAACCCTAATTTTATAACATATTTTGTAGTAAGTAGTTTCCTTTAGCATGTGTATCGTCTTGCATCGATACAGATAGAAAATGTATCGTGTTCGTATCGTCGCTTGAAGACTCACTCACCAAAGCACCAATGCATCATTTCACCCCTATTATTTCTGGTATACTATCAATGTTGACAGTATATTTGCAATGATGTGGCCTTTACTTTACAGCATTAGAATATTGACAATACTGATGTCAAAGGTAACTGCATCATTGAATAGGCTATATTGTCAAGGTTGTTATGAAAGCAATAACCAACTCCATCGTACAGGGGCAACAAGTTACTTCAATCAGTGTACATTGATCTATAAACATATAATTTGTATGATTCATACACAGACTCAAAACCATTCAACATTCTGTTTACTCGTAGGAATAAATCTGAACCAAGTTTATATCCAATGAGTCAGGACAGAACACAGCCTAACACATGAAGTGATCAACAGAATAAGCAAAGACAATTTTTTGTCACTTGTAGATAAAAGCCGAATCATGTAATTACTAGTCAAATAAAATGATTAATTAGTAAACACAACTGTGGCAGTTGTTTCATCATGATCTTATAGTATAGTGATCAGCTGAGCTGGTGATGAGCTGAACGAATTCTGAGGCCGTGAGGGAATGACTGAATGGTGACTGAATCCTGTCTACAGCAAAGGAATGCTTCTGTCGCTGCGAATTAAGTTTGAATGATACCGAAAAAGAAATTGTAAAGCAGATGCAGATTCGTCACTAACCATCTGAATGGGTCAGTCCATAAACTCTTGGTGAACGATACAATCGCAGAAGCCATGCTTGTCGGGTGAGATCGGCATTCGGAAACTATCGGTAGTTTTCAACACTTTACCTTATCCTAGACCAAGTACGAGATCACCAAGCTCACACAAGGCAGTTCCGATTGACAAAGAAACATGACTGGGCTCTGTCGTTGTGCATTGTGTACAAAGCGCAAAACCAGATGAAAATGTGAAGCGCTCGTACAAGTTTTAATTCAGTTTTACCAGGGTTACGTACCTGGGTGTTTTTGTTTCGAATTTCGAAAATAACGGTGTGTTTTTGGAAATTATCTTTTTATTCACTGTCCAATAACGAGTTACTGAGAGAGCTGCACCCTCAACCCTTTGTCCAAATGTGCAGGCCTTCCCTTCCTTCATCTTGAACACAATGTTAACCCCATTTCACCTCACATCACAGGTGTCATCACACTAATTTGCTGTTCAGAGTTACGTCCCTTAGACATACCAGGATCATGTGATGATTGGTTCGAATCCCAGAAAAACACTCATCATGCTTATCAGTAACCTGTGCTCATGACTTCATCAAAGTGGTGAATGTCGTGCATCACTTCAGGCTTTCCTCCCGTATGAAGGGAACACACCTGATCAAATCAGGGTTATCAACAGAAATACTTCTAAAGGCAGGGTTAATAATGCAGAGAGTATTTTCAACAAACATATTGTCCTTGAGGGCTGGTGAGGTAGTGTAGTGGACTAGGTGACCATTGTTTCTTCATACAGTTGACATAAATAATGCTGATCAACTTCAGTTCAGTAGACAGATTTACAGACTGAACCAACAGCAGACTAAGGACCGGTCTTGTATAAGTGGGGTGGGAAGACGTTTTCAACATCCTTCATCTGAACAAGCATTGTTCGTCTTGAGTCTTCCAATATGATGATCTCTCCAGACTCAAAGATAGCTCACAAGCATTATGAATTCCAAAACTTTATTTTAATAGTCACTGGGAAGGATTTCATATGCCACTGTTGGCAACATTCCAACAGAACACCCAGGAGAGGCTTCTGTTCTACTGTACATTTCATGTGTCCTTAACTTAGGCTTTTCTTCCACATCAAACTGACAGCTGTGATGTAACTGGAATATTGTTCAAAGCAAGTTAAACCCAACTAACTCACTCACATATGTCATGAGCAGGTCACCTGCCAATCCCATTAAAATCAGATCTTAGTTCTCTACCACAAAACTGTTTAATTTTGGTAGTGAGAATTATGATCTGACTTTAAAAAGATTGGTAACCTGCAGAAATCTATTTGTATTTCGTCTAATTTGTCGAGATCGTCATAAGCACAATACATTAAATGATCTATTGTTTCATTTTGTGGACATTTGTGTTAAACCTGGGTAAAGACCTGAGGTATCAGTTGATTACTTCAAGTACAGACTAAACGAGCGAATTACCATGTGTCACCTATTTTAATATCAGTGTGAAAGTATTGTTAGTTAATAAAGTTATTTCCACTTGAAAATCTCCATTCCAGACTTGGATTTGTATTCCAACATCAGTGGTTGTGATTCCCAATAAGACCCACGTCTTCCACCACAAGCCTGGGTCAGTAGAAGTAAGAGGACCAGGCTGAAGTGTCATGTATCAACTGAACAGGTCTGGTGTTACTCTGGAGGCTGAACCTTGGGTACAATGATGCACTATCTTTATTTGTTTGTTTGGTTTGTTGTTTAACGCCGCACTCAGCAGTATTCCAGCTATATGACAGCAGTCTGTAAATAATCAAGTCTGGACCAGATAATCCAGTGATTGACATCATGAGCATCGATCCACGCAATTGGGATACGATGACATGCATCAACCAAGTCAGTGAGCCTGACCACCCGATCCCGTTAGTCGCCTTGTACGACAAGCATAGTCACCTTTTACGGCAAGCATGGGTTGCTGAAGACCTACTCTACCCCGGAATCTTCACGGACAATGATGCACTGTCAGCCTGGTCAAATCATTTTGACACACATACTACCAAAAGAAGTCAAAGAACACTTGATTTTTGAGTACTCTAGTTTGATGTCGATTCAGCAGTGTCACATATTGCCGGTTGAACATCTGCCTTCACCACCAACATGTTGAAGTCTTGCAAGTCATCAAGTTCAATCACATGTTTTATCAACAACAAAGACACGCTGCTTAATCGAAATCTTTATCTTTCATAAAAAAAACTAGACGTTCAAGATACACATCTCATTTCAGCATCATGAAACACACGATACATTATACATTGTATTTGAAATACCTGAAAAAACAAAGACCCTGAATCAGGGGGCAGTGTAGCGAAACCTTTACGACTACAATTCTCCCTTGGTGTCCCACCAACACGAGGAACCCCAGCTTGAAGCATGCCCCGACGAGGTCGTGTTCAACATCAACAGGGGTATGCGAGGTTTGCGGCTGTGATCAGCTGATATTATTTTAATCTAGGAAACCCTCAAATATTGAACATTAGGGTTATGACAAGGACCCCTTGACTTTCAGGCTGAATTCCAAACCAGGGGAGTGTCTGACAACATCCTTGAGGCCAAAATAAATTTATTATTAGATTTTCATAAAATGTTGCACCCAATTCTTTCATATGACTATAGTTCTTCTGTCTTCCAATTGTGGGTGTTCTTTAACTATTGAGTAGTATATATGCTTTTTAAATGTCCAAAGCATCTGTGTACATTAACTGTTGATGCATATGCTTCACATGAAACAAATGTTTGACAGGACTAAGTATATGGTCTATGTCATCAAACAAAAAAAGAAAGGATCACACATTGCAATTTTCTTTCCCTGCACTTTTCAAATAATTATGTGAGGCAGGATGTTTGGTAATGAGACTGTAGAAGATGAAAATCTCAGGTAATAATTAATTTATTTTGGCCTGATTCACATCGGTTTAATAACAGTATGTATGAAACAAGTCAATGATGGATGACAGGAAGTGTCCACACAGTCCTTGTACAAAGCATTCCATGAAGAGATGTGGAATACAACACAATGTGAGATAACAGGACCCTGCAGGAATGCTTGGTGGCTGGGTCAATCAGTCCAACATCTTGATGTGTACAATGTTTCAGACCGGGCACAGTGTTCGGGTACATTTCATGTCCATTTAAAAATTCCTTGTTTATACGTCCTTCATCTCCCCCTCCTCCTCTTCCTCTTCCACGCCCCGGATGTACAACACGTTGTTACATCTGCAAGTAAACACACAAACATCAACTCATGATCACAACAATAAGCCAATGAAGAGACCCTAAGGGACACTGCCATATTCTAACATTTCACTCAAAAATATTTGCCTTCTCCATGTTCTCCGTAAGTGAAAGTTTTTGACTTATGATAATAATTTGAGGTGAGTGAGTTTGGTTTAACTCAGCTTTTTAAATATTATTCCAGTTACATCACCGTTTGTCATCTTAATTTAATAGGAAAGCCCGAAGTGGTGCAGGTCTCAGATGTTTACCACTTCGGTGAAACCTATGAGCACGGGTATGGTGCTGACAAACCTAAAAACATAATCAGACGAACTGGGATTCGAACCCACAAGCATAGGTTTCTGGCATGCCCAAGGGACACATTAACTAATGAGTCTATGCATAGTCCAATCAAAATCTCATAACGAAATCGACATCCAGTTCGTAAACTGCCATGAAGATTTTGGTTCAGGAAAATGTTTACATGTACAAATCTGGGGATTGATGCATTTTATGTATTTATCAGAGCTATTTGACACCGGTTTTCGGACCAGTTGCTAAAGTTGCAGACTGATGTAAGAATGTGGAGTGTTACCTGATGAGAACCTCCCCCAAGTTGCCAGCCAATGCACCATCAATGTATTCTTCTGTGTTGGCCAACTGAAACAAAGAAAACATGTCACACTGATATTTGTACCCAAACTGCACCATGTAATCGTATGATCTGCAATCTCAGACACATACCAGTGTTCGAAATACCTGCCTGCCCGACCGTCCGAGACGGGTTGATTTCAACTCGGGCTGCCAGATTTTCAAATCCCCCTGCCCGAAGGTCAGGTTATATTTCATATGTGAAAATATTCTAAATATTTCCCAATGATAAGCATTAATTCACATGTAAAGATGAATGATAAAATGTAACCAAAAAGAAACCCCATTAGCTTATCCTGAGAAACATATGATCATAGTGGGCAGGCAGGTTTTGGTCAGGGCTGGCAAGTATTTCAGCTAGCCAGTCCTGTGGTCTGGCTGAAATTTTGGGGAGTTTCATACCCTGCACATACACATGGTGAAATGACTGAACATGCCAAAAGTGATGTTTGAATGCCTGATTCAATCTTTTAGATCACTTCTTTATCATGTTTATACATGTGCCAATGTATACTAGTGTATCTCACTAGTGATGATAAAAACTGTTAGCAGTAGCTATCCATAGAATTTCAAGAGAAAAATGATGACTACAAAAGAAATAACCAGTGACCATTCATTCTAGGGGGGTAATTGGTTCAAATGTAGGAACAATCTCTCCCACAGCTTCTACCTATCTCTGATTGAACTCAATTTGAAGACCTAAACTGATATCTCAAGATGCTCGTAATTGTGTTTCAGAAATTAGCTCCTTTGTACGCAAGCTGAAAAAGCTTTATTGGGTATTTACGCAGGCTGTTTTTATACATTTGAGTTTTTCATTTAATGTATGTGTTTCTGTACGCAAGTTAATTGAGAGTAATTGGGCTTTGAATATTTTTTTTGTTGGGGGGTGGGTATTTTACGCAAATACGCTGCTTATCTGTAGCTCTGCATGCAATTAACCAAGGCACTGAGTCTGACAGCCTGGTCCATTTAGTTGCAGGGGAACAATATTCTTACTCGGACTCTCCTCAGGTTACAAGCTATGTACGACGACACACACAGAAATGGGAACTTGTGTATACCTGAAGGTTCATGTAGCCATCCACAGACACCAGATAGCCCTTGTACTCCATTCCCCACTTGAGTTTCACCATAACTGGCTTGCCTGTCAAACCATTCAGGAAAGGTTTCGGGTTCATAGGAAGAGCCTGCAAGAAAAGTGTTCAGAACAGTTTGTTTCAGCATGTTCAGTGACATCACAACACAAGGTCTCGGTCAGCAGGATCAGAGCATATTTCTACCTCAAACCAGCTGATTGCAATTTCTGCATATACATTGTCCTGATTAAATCCCATAGAGGTGTGGGTGAGCTTGAATAGAATAGTAAGCCTTATCTGAGAAGGTGAATTTCATAATAAAGTAAACACGTTATCATAATACAAATTGGTATGAAATTTGAGCTTGAATGCACATGTTTACACCCCACTTGTGGCTTGCTTACAAAGCATTATGACCATGATGACAGCAGAAGAGCACAGCAATGTACATCAATCGGCATAGACTGATAGAGTCTAAATATGGACTAACTTTCATAGTGCAAAATGTTCAGTGATGGTATAAGTAATATCATCAGGCAGATGGTTTATTTGGGAAACGGAAATCGGACGTAAAACTCTTCATTGAAGAGGCCAAATATTACTCATGCAAAATACAGATTTCAAATAATTAGAAATGAATTGGAATTAAGGAAACGTCGGCTGGCAGGGTTAGAGAAACAGATTCTAGTTCGTTTAGCCGGCTTTACATGTTTACGAATCTAACTCCTTAATTAATGAGTAACATGTAGAGCAGGAAATATAATGATTGCTAATCATGGAAATACATACAGCCATGTTGTCTGTCCTGTATTGTCTGTTGTTGTAGATAAATTTCTTTCGGACTCAAACCCAATTTTCTCCCGGCAAAGCGTGGTCTCGACGAACAAGGCATGCGCACTTTTACTTCCGGTTAAGTGTATAAAGTGAAATGTAAATACACATTTTCTTAATAAATGTAAATTCTTCGAATATCGACAGGTTTTGGAAAATAGACGATTATTCATTTATATGTGTGCAATATATTTCAATTGAAATTCCGCATAACATACTTAAGAGTATTTTAAAAATATTTTACACATATTGTTCGTTTCAGTGACCGTATTCCATATTATGGTCAAACAACATGGCGCTGCCCTGAAGTCTCCTTGCTGAAGTGAAAACAATGGGAGTTGTATGGTGTGTATTTGCTTCGCCCACAGGCTTAAGACTTAGTGTGTAAATTGCATGATAGTCCCTGTTAATGATTTAGGATTGATGGCTGAAGGAATTCATACATCTCACCAGTTCAACCAACAGTGTCTTTCATTATCAAATCAATATGCAGCTCCTGTTAATGGGTGTAACAATTAAGAATAATGTGTAGAAATGTCAGTGGTTAACTTGGTTAAGATCTGTTAGAAACTTATATGCTTATATGCTTCAAACAGTGTGAATTTGTAGAAATATGCAAAACGCATTGTGAAAATTATAAGATGATATTCACCAACTGTGGTTCTTCATCCTCTGAACTCAAATAAAATAACAATAAAAATACACCGAAACATATTTGACATATTTTAGTTTATTAATGAACAAGTGGTTCAAGACCTTTTACACATACCAACAGTATTTTACAATTCATTTTCTACAGTTTTACATGTGATGTTTATATTGTTTTCAATGCTTGTATCGTGGCAGTAAATATTGCAATGCACGGTAAATATTTGGTTAATCATTACACCCCTCGTACCTAGTATCAAAGGAGAAGTGTTGCCAGCTGGTTGTGTGCATAACAATATGCCCTCTGTTTAGTGTGTACCTGTACCCGGTACCGGAGGGGAAGAGTGGTCAGCAGGTAGTGGACACACTCCAGCGACAGACAGAGCAACTCGGAGCAGTGAAGGCAGGCAATTTCTGTGTGGACTGTGAAACATTCCAATCTACTTTCCAACAAGGAGGTAAAGTAAAAAAAATGGGATTTGAAACTTCCTTTTGAGCTTGAATGTAATGCAGTAGTCAGCAATGTTCCAGCATAATCAAATGTGGACCTGGTATACCAGTGACTGAAACCATCAGTAGGGCTGGCTAAATAGATCAATAATTGGAATGATCATCCATGGGAAGAAATATTAACGATTATTGATATTAGAATTGTGTCATCGACAATATCTTACATAAATTATTGTGATAAAATAAGGTTTTAAATTACCGAAGCAGACTTTTTTTTTAACCTTTGCCGAAGACGGAAAGGAACCGATTTCTTATATCTTAAATGTCCAAAAAGTAAACCATGCATACATGTGTCACCGCTCGCAAGTGACGTGAAATATGTTGTTTTGTCTCTCAGCTTTTTCACATATGCTCAAAGTAACTTCTCCGATATTTATCGATAATTGATCGATATTTTGTTAACGATTATCAATCTCTAAGATCTATATTTAACCAAGCCCTAACCATCAGCAATGATCCATGTCGTCACCAAGGCTGACCACTTGTTCCATTTTAGTCAACAAGCAAGGGATTATTTACAGGCCACTGTTGATGTAGCAAGAATATTGGAGATGGTGGCATAAACTACATTCATGCTTCACTTGCATGCTTCTGCAATACTTGCTTACACATGCTGAATAAACATATTCCAATTAAGAAGTTTTATATTTAATCACTTGCTTCATGGATTCAGCTCAAATCATGAATGTGAAAAAATAAATTCCAGTTTAATGTTTTTCTTAATAATGCAGAGCTTGATAATCATGGCTTCCCTGCCAGATCACTTACCAACAAAGGGGTGTAATCATATGAGTGTAGGCGAACTACCACACCACATCACCATTTCTGTAGGCAAAGTTACTGAAGGTGAAAGTAGACCTCACCCCTGACTGAGAAAAGTGGAATATGCTCAATGACCCATAAATGGTTGCACAAATTCTATTCATCATGTTAATAGCTTTTGACTACTATTCATCCTTGTCTTCCGACAGTGTGTAACTTTGTTCCCATGTGAAACATCTTCCTGGGGCAAGGGAGTAAACTGTCTCTAAAAGTCCAGTTTCCATCCTCACCGAACAAGGCTGGAATTTCTATGCTTGATCGTAGCGCCACAACTGATGATTACGAGTTATATCCCTTCTATGTACCCTCCTCCTGACCAATCAGATTCCACCTCTCATATCACTTGCATTTGCTTCAAACAAAATAGTGGCACCCAGTCAAGATGATCTGATGGATGATCAAGATATATTTTATAATAAAACAGGTCTTGCCTTACAAAAACATCTTCCCAAGGCAAGGGAGTTAACTGACTTTTAAAATCCAGTTTCCACCCTTGCCGATCTAGGCTGGAATTACTGGGCTCAATTGTTGCGCCACCAGTGGCTATTACCAATTATGTCCATTCTAAGCCTCTCCTATGGACCAATCAAATTCCACCTCTTGTATCACTTGCATTTGCTTCACACAAAATGGTGGCGCCCAGTCAGGACGATCTGATCGATAAGCAAGATCTATATTGTGATAAAACAGGTCTTACATCGCAAAATGCATCACATCACGTGAGCACCTTGATTAGAAACATGAAAGGATTTGGAAAATATCTGCTGACAACGAGTTGGCGGAGCACATGCTATGCAAAACCTGCAATCGTTCGAAATCTGCACGACAGTTTACGAACCGGATTTTGATTTCGGTGCGCGATTTTGATTGGACTATGCATAGACTCGTTAGTCCAGACAAAATTTAACTCCATAATACCAGCCTAGTTCGGCAAGGGTGGAAACTGGACTTTAATAGTCAGTTTACTCTCTTGCCTCGGGAAGATGTACAAAGTACATCAAATCACGTGAGCACCTTAATTAAACACATGAAAAGATTTGGAGTTGACCGTGCAAATTCATACAGTCGAATGAAATCTGCATGTTGAAATTCATGTTTGTACGAACCGGATATCAATTTTGTTATGCAATTTTGTTTGGACTATGCATAGACCCGTTAGTCCAGCCAAAATATAACTCCATTATCCCAGCCTAGTTCTGCAAGGGTGGGAACTAGACTTTTACAGTCAGTTAACTCCCTTGCCTCGGGAAGATGATGTGAACTTAGTAATGGTATGATACTGTTAACATTCCTGTCACAAACCTTATCTTGCTTATTCTTCTTATTTCTTAATTTGTAAACAAATAATATAATCTGAATGTCTAAGCGATGCATGGATTATGATTACAGCCCAACAGAAACAGTTGAGCATCCTTCACAACAGTGAGTATCCAGCCACATGTTTCGCCATCTTGGATTCGGGGACGAGCCTGGTGGCTGATGATCTGTTCGATGGCCTGGTGCAGAAGCTCAAAAACTACTACCAGCAGAGGAAAGGTTTCAAGATTGAATCAAAGGGACAGAGATACGAGTTGGGGGACTTTGTTATAAAGATTGGCTCTGTGACGCTGACATCAAATTTCAAAGGAATTTTAGTGGAGGTAAAGTTTTTTACTTTCCATGCTTTAGAAGTGGATTTCTTATGACTGCAAACACTTTAACCAGGAATTCTAATCTTACAAATGCAAGTTTTGGACATTTCACATTATCAAATACAAAAGTATTGCTAAATTAATGAAAAAAACACTACTGAAACACTTTGATGATGCATATTGGATTTTGATTCTTGGGAAGTAATAAGTGACTGAAAGTTTATGTCCAGTTAGACAACGCGAATGAGGATTCAAGCTCACACAACTTTACTTCAATGTTGCATGCATTCAAGCCTGACTACCACATGACGATCCAGCTTGGAATAGGTCTTCAGCAACCCATGCTTGCCGTAAAAAAAAAAAGGTGGCTAAAGGGATGGGGTGGTCAGGCTCGCTGACTTGGTTGATGCATGGTATTGTACCCCAATTGCATAGTTATTGTACCCCAATTGCATAGATCAATGCTCATGATGTCAGTCAGGGGATTGTCTGGTCCAGACTCGATTATTTACAGACCGCCGTCATATAGCTGGAATATTGCTGAGTGCAGTGTTAAACAACAAAGAAAGAAAGAAACAAACCACATACAAATTTCTTTGTTTTCTGTCAGTTCGTTGAAAACTATTTCCCAAATTCCACTTTGTGTTTTCATCATTTGTCAGTATGTATGAGCAATTCCGTGACCAATGCTGAATGTTTTACCATGTATCTCCATTACTCCATAAATGACCATCTGTCATTATTTAGCTTTGTCAATGTGGAAGTAATGTAAAATGTCAACAGTTTGTGTACACCCATAAAGGGAGACAAGTTGCGGTGAAGTCACTCTTGTAAGACAATAGTTTCATTGAAGGATGAAGTGAAAGATCAAATGTTATGTTCACTACTGTGAAATATCAAGTGTTATGTTCACTACAGTGAAATATCAAGTGTTACGTTCACTACAGTGAAATATCAAGTGTTATGTTCACTACAGTGAAATATCAAGTGTTACGTTCACTACAGTGAAATATCAAGTGTTACGTTCACTACAGTGAAATATCAAGTGTTATGTTCACTACAGTGAAATATCAAGTGTTACGTTCACTACAGTGAAATATCAAGTGTTACGTTCACTACAGTGAAATATCAAGTGTTACGTTCACTACAGTGAAATATCAAGTGTTACGTTCACTACTGTGAAATATCAAGTGTTACGTTCACTACAGTGAAATATCAAGTGTTACGTTCACTACAGTGAAATATCAAGTGTTACGTTCACTACAGTGAAATATCAAGTGTTATGTTCACTCCCGTGAAATATCAAGTGTTATGTTAACTGCAGTGAAATATCAAGTGTTACGTTCACTACCGTGAAATATCAAGTGTTATGTTCACTACTATAACGGTAACGCTATTTTTCAGGGCATTATCATTTACAGAAGCCTGAGGTCTTCTATTAACTGAAAAAACCGAGGGCTTCTGCAAATGATAATGCCCTGTAAAATAGCGTTACTGTTATTATAGCTAAAATGGATAGAATTTGTTATCAAATAAAGATAAACAATATCGGTTTTGAAACATTTTGTGCAATCAACACGAATTTCACTGACCCACTTTTACAAAAATGGAAACGTCTTTCACACTGAAGTATATAATAAAGGTCTGTATGTTCTGTCCAGGTAGTGGTGTATCACGTGTATGTTCTGCTGCAGGTAGTGGTGTATCACGTGTATGTTCTGCTGCAGGTAGTGGTGTATCACGTGTATGTTCTGTCCAGGTAGTGGTGTATCATGTGTATGTTCTGCTGCAGGTTGAGTACTGTCCGTGTGTTGTCCCGAGCGACTGCTGGAACCTGATGAAGGAACTGTTACAGAGCATCTTGGGGAGCAGCATCACAGACAACCCACCATCTTACCTCAAAACCAAGATGGACATTTTGTACTCTACAACTGACACTATGAGCCAGTATCTAGAACACTTCAACAACATCCGGAGATCGGCATCAACAACGGGGTCCGCAACTCCGCCAACTATGATGGCACGGTAGCAGATGCTATACATTTCTAAGGATTCCTGTGCAGTACATTTCCTCAGTGCTCCGTTCTTGTTTTGGAAGGGCGACCAACATGGTGATTGGGTGGTCAAATACACCTGGTACAATTTCATCGGGCAACCTGGAAGACATCATTTCACCCTCATGTGTAGGTTAACAATTCCGGTTACCCTTTTAGTTTTTCTGACCCATGTTAGACTTACTTACTGTAGCCAAGAGTTGCAGAATGTGGTGAAAAACACATTCACTTACTTGCTGTAGGATGTTTTATGTTGACAGCCTGATGTTCATTTCCCATAGAGGTGAGGTGAAATTGGGTTTAACGTCACGTCCAAGATTATTGCACTTATATAGCGATGTGCATGCACGTGTAAGTAACATGGTGAGCACTGTGCCAATTGTCTGGGTTATCTGGATGACATTTTAGGATAACTATCTACAAGTGAAACAGGTAAGAAAGTGTGGTATTTGAGGAAATTCTTATTGTGAACCAAGAAAGGGTCATCATGGTGAATAAATGTTTTTTTTATATAGTCATGAGAATGTGTTGTCTTTACTTAATTTTAAGAACTGAATCCACTTTAATGATTAATGACAGATCTAATAAGCCGCACCCACATGCCACACCAGCTGTTGAATGTCAGTACTAACATTGTGGGGATTCTTGGTTACACAGGTCCACAGTATCCTGTGCTTGTAACAAGCCTCCAAGAATTCCAGATCAGCATTGGTGCCCAGGAACTATTCTTGTAATGACTATTATGAGGACTGGGTAGTCAGACTTGGCAGATAGGTTGTCCTCATTTCTTGATGTCATGGGTGGGTGTTCATGCCATCAGTCACTGGTTTGCCTTGCCCCTCATACATTATTACAGGCAGCTGTGATATTGCTGGAATATTGCTGACTGCAGAGTTAAACGTTCACTCACTCACTTTAGAGCCAGCTGTGAATGAAGATCGGGTAACTGCTGAGTTGGTGTGTAAATCTTTACTTGGATGATTGATAGGGGAGGTGATATGGGTTTTAGCATCGCTTTCAAGGTTATTGAACTTATATACTGACATGCATGCACGTATGTGTGGCTACTTGTACTAGTCCGGACTTATGCTGTGTCATAGTGCTAGCCCACTGAGATACCATGCCACAGTTTAACATGAATACCCAACACAGATAATTATTCTGACTCCGAGCCAACCATTCCACGTTTTATCCCCATAAAACTTAGCGCAATACAAGGTAACAGGTACCGTCTTTAAACATCTTTTGGTATTTTGCGGCACCCGTCTCTCGACAGACCCTCTACCCACTAGACCACCTTGGCGTTCGATCGATAACCACGGATGATGCGACAGTTTTTGCTAGCAGTGTTGGCATTCGTTGCCCATACTGAGGGTGCCAACCCCCGCCTCCCCTGAATCCCGAATACCTCAAATCTCATTTTCACGCCTCTGAATCCCAAATACTATTTAATACAAATCTCAAAAGCAAACAGACGAAAACCATAGAACACGTTCCTAGGTTATAAAAAAGGCGCGATTTGAAGTTAAATTGGTAAAAAATATCGAAAAAAAAATCTAATCTCATTAAAATCAGACCTTAGTTCTCGCTATCGCTAAACAAAAATCTGTAGACCTCCCATTAGGGATCACGTCAAAACGACCAATCAGAGCGTCGCTTACCAGATTATGAAAGTGACAGTCGGAATGTGATTTCTAATCATGCAACCTCGAAAATCTTAACGCGGGGTATTCCGAACAATAGTTACGGGTCTAACGACTGAATCCACACAATCTAGACCATCTATTATAGCCATTCCAGAATGTTCTTTTGTTCAGGTTTCAAATCCTTAATCGAGAATTTGTCAAAATATGTTTCGAAGCGTAGTCGCCAATTTGAAATTAGTGCCGTTAAGCACGAGAAAGCTGCCTTCTGATTGGTCATTCCATCGGTTCGCGCAAGGTCGGTCTGACATGACCCGTAATGGGATGTCCTCAGATCTTTGTTTAGCGGTAGCGAGAACTAAGATCTGATTTTAATGAGATTGACAAAAATCAAATATATGAAGGATTAAATAATGTTGAATCTGCATACCAAATACGATTATTATTGCGTCCAGCGTCATTCGTGACCAACTCGTGTTATTCCGGGACAAGCCGAATAGCGACTCGTGCCCCTCTCGTGGCCATTTTTGCGACCGGGTTCCGTCTTAGCGCAAACGGGCATACCTAAAACAATTGTCTACTCGTTGCGTAAACTGTGTCTTTGGTATATTTTGTAGTAAGTCAGTCACAATGACGGCGCGTCATAATACATTTATATATCAAGTACAAGACGTCAAAATGGCCGACACGATAAACGTGACGAGAGAGATTTCGGAAGTTGTTAATGAACCTGTGGTGGTTACATGTGTTAGTCATCATTAATCAGTTGGCCGATCATTGAAAGGTGGTTATAAGGATATATACTAAGGTATTTTATACGCTTTTTTTAATTTGAAATTTATACGATATACGGCTTTTCCATAGGACACAAGCTCAGACGTTCACACAGTTTGGCCCTCGCTCTATAACGTTCACACTCCAAAGAACTCACACAAAGTGAAAATCATTTCTTAAAGGGCAAGTTCACACGGAAATTAACCTTTTTTTCTTGTACTTTTTCCACATTAAAAGTGTTAACCTAGAAGTGTCATAGACAAAAATATAAAAATATCACAATTAATCAACATAATTTTCGCATTAAAGCTATTTATATTTTTCACATTTACCAAGTGTTCTATTTCCATAACAAAAACACCATGGCTTATGCCCCTTGCAATATGACGTCATTGGTGCCAATTGATAAACATTATGACGTCATCATGCTTGGTTAGAGCCGCTTCACGTGGTGTAGGTACATGTGTGTAATTCTTGCGTCTCAGATGCCAGCTAGCATAGTGTTATGCTGAGTCACCACTGCGCCGGAGTGTGTCGTAGGCCATGTTGTTTTACCGCAAACTGGTACTTGATATCTTTTGCGTTGAGAATAGACAGGGACCCAGTTGAATTGGCACCAATTACGTCATAATCTAAGGGGGATAACTCAGGCCTGTTTAGCTCGAAAAACGAAGGCCTCATAACGGCATATCATTTTCACACTATTGTGAGCTTCCTACTTTCACTGTGAAAAAATGAGTGTATATTTTCAAACACAGATACTAACTAATTCTAAAATTGCGTTTTGTTTAGAAAACGAAAGAAAGTAACTTTTGCGTGTACACTTCCCCTTTAAGAGAAATTTGGCGCGTTTCTATCCCCGACTGTGACGTCATAATGTTCTGCGTCACAATAAGAGGTGGGACGTCATAATACTGACGCGCGGTGTAGATATAAAGCTTGCAAGGTTTGGGGTGCCTATGAATTCACGCTGGATTTCGAAATAGCCATTATCGATATAAAGGTTATAATTGGTGATTCCTGAACTGAAATTGACAACCCATTCTATATAATGGACTAAACCCATGCCGCTTCATTCAAGCTCTGTTCGCTTTTAATTTTGTCACGGTAGAATGGGGAAAAAAGGTAGATCTACTGTGTTTTCAGTTCAAAGCTAGCTGTAGATTTAATCGCGCTAAATTGAACATTTGAAACCTCTCGCTGCACGTTTACCTCTCTCTCTCACTCACTCACTCACCATAAAGCTGCTGGTATTATTGCTAGTAACGAAGAAGGTTTGGAGAAGTAGCGGACAATATCAAGTTCACAAAATGACAAGAAACATTTCCCATTTCCACCTGGAAGACAGTGTACCACAGTAACTTTGTAACGCAATGGTCAGACCAGTTTCTTTCAAAGACGTAACATTTTTAAACATTCTTGATTAAATGGATGATAATTCATGTTTCATGGTTTTTTTATCTTCAACACGTTAAATCTGTTAAATCTCTTGTTCATACAAATCGGTTTCTGACAACAATCACATGAGAGTGAGTGAGTGAGTATGGTTTAACTGCCGCTTTTAGCATTATTCCAGCAATATCACGGGTCTTCGGCGTAACGAGCGAACGTTTTAACCACTAGGCTACACCACCACCCCCAATCACATGGGAAAATACACAGAAATTTGTGTATTTCAATAAAAAGAAAGCTCTTTGAGCTTCCTCACCGCACCCACCAAGGAAGGTATAAGTCAAAAAGGGAACATTGTTGAAGAATTTCTGTTGCCGAAAGAGCCATTGCTAATTTTAGAATACAGCGGCTGGGAAAAGATGTAGTTTGTTTCTTTGTTTGTTGTTTACGCCACACTCAGCAATATTCCAGCTATATGATGGCGGTCTGTATTATAATCGAGTCTGGGCCAGACAATCCAGTGACTGACATCATGAGCATCGATCCATGCAATTGGGATCGATGACATGCATCGACCAAGTCACTCACTCACCCACACTAACCAATACACAACATTGCATGCGACGTGTCACCTGGCATCAGGCATCTCCCGCTTGCGTTGATGACGGTGGGGAAATCAGCGTCCCAGTTATTGTGGCTATAGCATCAACACTAATTGTGACAACATTGATCATGTCAAATGATAATAATAATAATCATCATCATCATCATCATCATCACCGTCTGACCACCCGATCCCGTTAGCCGCCTCTTACGACAAGCACAGTCGCCTCTTACGGCAAGTATGGGTTGCTGAAGACCCATTGGGAAAGATGAAACTCGTTTATGTTTCCCAGTTCGTAAGTCTCAACAAGACATGCCTTAATCGAAACAGGTAGATGTAACTGATTTACGAAAATAAGGGGTTGTGGGTGAGTGTGGTATGGGGTTGGGGCGTCTTTAGTGTCCATGATATTCTTCAATGTGTGGTTTGACAACACGTATGAAGGCAGGTGTAAAGTCATCATGCTTATAGGACTGTATAAATTGGTGTCTAGGAATGAATCGAAGCGTTGTGTTAGTGACCTGTAGCTCCGATGTCCGGTTGTACAAATGGAACGGTCAATAGCTACGATTTCGCAGCTACAACTAACTCCTATAAACTACGGGGGCACGGGTGGCCCAGTCGTCTAAGGCGTCGCGATTCGCTGTGCAGAGTTGCGTTCCTTGGACACGCCAGAAACCTATGATTGTTGGTTCGAATCCCTGAATCCCCCGAAAAAGACATAAACCACAATTTAAAAGTGACACCCGAACCAGCCTACTTCTTTGCATTAGGTTTAACAATTTTGTAAGTGCTTGCAATTAGGCCATTTACAAAATGGTTTCTGTGAACTTGTCAAGACTGAGTTGATGCCATCCATTTTCTTCTGGAGTTATCCTACCTTTCTCCATGAAGATTCATTGCTATATGAACAAACTGATCTAAAGCGCCCCATGGCTAGGGAAAGTGATAACGCTGTTATCTTGTTTAAAATTATGTTTTCTCCTGTGCTTATTTTTACAATGATTAAACTCAGTGTCGTCCGAAATCCCATCTCATAATGTGAAGATCCCTTTCACGGGAAGTGACGTCATAGACGACCCCGCATAGTTACGACTTCATTGTCGGCGCATCGCCGCCTTAGTCAGACGTTTTGTTGCTGCCGCTGTTGTTTCACGCCGTTTTAGACGCTGCCATCTCACTTAGTGGATGCGAGGTACGTGACAAATATATGTGTAACGTGAGTGCGTGAGCGATTTAGTTTATTTTGTGGCAAATATTAGCAAATTTGCAATTTGCAACTGCAAGTTACGATTAAAATCAGGTATTCGGGAATTTGTATCTTTGTTTTTCTAAAAATATGAAATTATTGTTCATAACATGGACCCGTTCGGTCATAACGCATTGAACTTACAAATGAAAATCGTTTTGCGCTGTGCGATGATTATATAATATATTATCCTTAACAATTTGTCTCTCTACTGTGAACTAAAGTAACAAAGTTGCATGGACGGTAGGCATGAAGAACAATAGGTATGTTCTGAAATAGGGGACATGCCAAACTTTATTATAAGCACACTATTGCAGGTTAACGAATAAAACAATTGAGGTTCATTGAACGTGTGTTTTGATTGATCGTGTATTGAACAAAACTGAAGGTGGGAGGTCACAGAGACACAGTGTGTCACTTTGTGATGGTAAACTGCATATTTTGTTTTATTTCTCTACAGCACTGAAAACAAGATGATATTTCTGCACGGTTTGGCTTTGGCCGTGTATGAGGTACAGAGATACCTCAAATACCGCCATGGTAGGTATCTGGTTAAACATACATGGCGTTTGTAATGGCGAATGAAGCCTTTTTTGTTTGTTTGTTTGCTGTTTAACGCCGCACTCAACAATAAGACAGCTTTGTGATTGGGGTCTGTAAATAATCAAGTCTGGACTAGGCAATCAGTGGTTGTTGTTTCTATGAGATACTTAAAATGTCAGATATCTAACCTCAGTTCCACAACGTTTTTTACATATGTTTTTGTTTGTTTGTTTGTTGTTTAACGCCGCACTCAGCAGTATTCCAGCTATATGACGGTGGTCTATAATCGACCAGACAATCCAGTGATTGACATCAGGAGCATCGATCTTGTATGTCTGGGATACATGCTTTTTGTTTTGTTTGCTGTTTAACGCCGTAATTAGCAATATTTCAGCTTTATGACGGCATCAGTAAATAATCAAGTCTACATGACATTCTACCATTTAGTCATCGAACCTGACAACTATCCATTGAATCGCCTCTTACGGGTTTTGGGGACCTATTCTAACCCAGATGGGTGAAGTTAAACTTTGCTCGCTAGATGACGTATATCCTCCACTCTACTTTTTCCCCATGTGACCTGTATCTACATGGTGATTGGTGTTCTGGAATGCCATTTGTTCTTTCTATGAGATACTAAAATATCAGAATATAATCTGATTTTCGACAACATATGTTTTACCTACCGTAAACCGTACGTAAAAGAAATAGAACTTGACATTTTGCGGAAGTGATCGCATGACCTACTACCATTCGGCCCAACAGATCAGAGATTGGAGATGCTAAGGCGGGATGCAGCACTGAAAGCAGCCGCGGAGTCCGCTGCCCAAAATAACCTCATGATTGCTAATGCAATGGAGGCTGAGAGATTGGCTGCAGCTGATGCTGCAGAGAAGGCCAAGGTTGCTGCTGCTGTAGCAGACGCTGAGTATGCCGCCTGGAAGGAGGCCCTGATTGCTGCAGCTCTGGAGGCCGAGAGAGTGTCTGCATACTTAAGGAAGAACGCCGGGACGCCTGCAGCGTTTGAGGCCAACAGATTAGCTGCAGTTGCCACGGAGAAGGCCCATTCTGCTGCTGCAGCAATGGAGGCCGAGAGAGTAGCAGCAGCAGCAGCACGAATTGCTGAGGACATGTCTGCAGCTGTTGCTGCTAACTTGGCTAAAGACGAAGTTGCTGCAGGTGCTGTTGCAGACGTCAGGGCCGACGCCGTTTTAGGTAGGAAATAAGGACACTGTATACACACAACGTCAGTAGAAACGGCTTCAAATACCTGAACATAATAAGCCAGAATGTCAGTGCTGTGAACGTAGTTGCAGATATTCTCCCAACCATGCCCTGTCGTTTTAGTGGCTGAAATTTTTATTTTCTTGCAGTCAAACAGGAAAAGCCCAAGAAGAAGGGCTTGTTCGGAGGCATGAAGACTGGCTTCATGCTGTAAATGCTGCATTCCGATTTGAAATCGAAACGCCCGATGAACTTTTTGCTCTGTGTATAAGAAACCTTCTGATCAACTTCAGAAGAGATTCGTAAATTTAGAGGCTGATGGGTAAACAGTTGAACATATTATTCGGATACCCATAAATGTACGTGTAATTATCGTTTCTTTAGATATGTGTTGATTTACATCTTGATTATCATGTTGATTTACTGTCTGATATTTAGTGATGACAAATATCCAGACCAGCAGGAACACTGACCTACTGTGACGGGATTGTGCGGGGGTGTTGTGTCACCATTTCCATGTGTTGTTGACAGTCCAGGGCGGACTAAATCGTGCTAACGTTGTACAGACTAAGTGGTTCAATACCAGCGTCATATTGTCAAAAAGATGATCAACATGTTGTGACAGGGGGTGGTGGCAGACCAGACCAGTAGCAGTGTCAAACATATTTTGAGAGGGGGTCAGTGAGGTGTTAGGAAAGGGGTCGGTGACGGTGAGGTGTTAGGGAGGTGGTCGGTGAGGTGTTAGAGAGGTGGTCGGTGAGGTGTTAGAGAGGGGGTCAGTGAGGTGTTATAGAGGTGGTCGGTGAGGTGTTAGAGAGGTGGTCGGTGAGGTGTTAGAGAGGTGGTCGGTGAGGTGTTAGAGAGGTGGTCGGTGAGGTGTTAGAGAGGTGGTCGGTTAGGTGTTAGAGAGGTGGTCGGTGAGGTGTTAGAGAGGGGGTCGGTGAGGTGTTAGAGAGGTGGTCGGTGAGGTGTTAGAGAGGTGGTCGGTTAGGTGTTAGAGAGGTGGTCGGTGAGGTGTTATAGAGGTGGTCGTTGAGGTGTTGTAGAGGGGGTTGGTGAGGTGTTAGAGAGGTGGTCGGTGAGGTGTTAGAGAGGGGGTTGGTGAGGTGTTAGAGAGGTGGTAATTGAGGTGCTTGAGAGGTGGTCGGTAAGGTGTTAGAGAGGGGGTTGGTGAGGTGTTAGAGAGGTGGTCGGTGAGGTGCTTGAGAGGTGGTCGGTAAGGTGTTAGAGAGGGGGTCGGTAAGGTGTTAGAGAGGGGGTTGGTGAGGTGTTAGAGAGGTGGTCGGTAAGGTGTTAGAGAGGGGGTTGGTGAGGTGTTAGAGAGGTGGTCGGTGAGGTGCTTGAGAGGTGGTCGGTAAGGTGTTAGAGAGGGGGTCGGTAAGGTGCTTGAGAGGTGGTCGGTGAGGTGTTAGAGAGGTGGTCGGTAAGGTGTTAGAGAGGTGGTCGGTAAGGTGTTAGAGAGGGGGTTGGTGAGGTGTTAGAGAGGTGGTAGGTGAGGTGTTAGAGAGGTGGTCGGTGAGGTGTTAGAGAGGGGGTCAGTGAGGTGTTAGAGAGGGGGTTGGTGAGGTGTTAGAGAGGTGGTCGGTGAGGTGATAGAGAGGGGGTCAGTGAGGTGTTAGAGAGGTGGTCGGTGAGGTGTTAGAGAGGTGGTCGGTGAGGTGTTAGAGAGGGGGTCAGTGAGGTGTTAGAGAGGTGGTCGTTGAGGTGTTAGAGAGGTGGTCAGTGAGGTGTTAGAGAGGTGGTCGGTGAGGTGTTAGAGAGGGGGTCGGTGAGGTGTTAGAGAGGGGGTCGGTGAGGTGTTAGAGAGGTGGTTGCTTATGTGTTAAAGTCAGGATGGATGGGACCTGTCAGGTGTTAGATGTGGTCAGTACGGTGTTAGGTGTCGCCGGGAATGTTCAGGGTAAACATGATTAATTGTAGCCCTCTTCTGTGATGGTTGGATGTCGTCTCACATCTACCTGGGATTATTGTCTCTTTCTTGGCTAGTATTGTCCCCTTTATTGCAAGAAGGGTTGTGTTAGTCTTTGATAAAAAAAAAGCCTTCTCTCGCTTGTCTGGGAGCTGTGTCTCTTTATTCGCAAGGTAAAGTTCTCTCATATGTTGGTTGAATTGTCTCGTGTCGTCTTTGATGGAGAATCTTCCTTCATTTGTCTGGGAGTTGTGGCTCTTTCTTACGAGGGAATGTCCTCTCATCTTTTCTTCTTACTTGCTTCTTTCTCCATTCCGTCCTGGAGTTGTGTCTCAGTCTTTGCTGAAGAACGTTCTCTACTTCCCCTGGGGATATCGTCCCATTCATCCGTTTTGCTTGGGGATGTTACTCTTTCTTTGCTCTTCTCGTTCTGTAAAATATCTTCCTCTCTCTTTCCATATGATATTGATCATTAATAATGATAATAGCAACAATACTAATAATATATAGTAGCAAGGACACTAGAATTTTACAATTATGATAGTATTCACATAGAAATGACCGTATAGTATGATAAATTACTTAAACAGATTTGCATTGGTGAGCTAGGCGTGTGTGTTGGAGAAACTGTTACGTGGGTTCATCCTCTACCTTGTCAAACCCCGGACATGAACAATCCTGTATCGTAACTTGGTGTGTGTGTTGGAGGAACTATCCGGTATCGTAACTTGGTGTGTGTGTGTTGGAGAAACTGTTACGTGGGTTCATCCTCTACCTTGTCAAACCCCGGACATGAACAATCCTGTATCGTAACTTGGTGTGTGTGTGTTGGAGGAACTATCCTGTATCGTAACTTGGTGTGTGTGTGTTGGAGAAACTGTTACGTGGGTTCATCCTCTACCTTGTCAAACCCCGGACATGAACAATCCTGTATCGTAACTTGGTGTGTGTGTGTTGGAGGAACTATCCGGTATCGTAACTTGGTGTGTGTGTGTGTTGGAGAAACTGTTACGTGGGTTCTTCCTCTACCTTGTCAAACCCCGGACATGAACAATCCTGTATCGTAACTTGGTGTGTGTGTGTTGGAGGAACTATCCGGTATCGTAACTTGGTGTGTGTGTGTTGGAGAAACTGTTACGTGGGTTCATCCTCTACCTTGTCAAACCCCGGACATGAACAATCCTGTATCGTAACTTGGTGTGTGTGTGTGTTGGAGGAACTGGTACGTAGGTTCATCCTCTACCTTGTCAAACCCCGGACATGAACAATCCTGTATCGTTACTTGGTGTGTGTGTGTTGGAGGAACTGGTACGTGGGTTCATCCTCTACCTTGTCAAACCCCGGACATGAACTATCCGGTATCGTAACTTGGTGTGTGTGTGTTGGAGGAACTATCCGGTATCGTAACTTGGTGTGTGTGTGTGTTGGGGGAACTATCCGGTATCGTAACTTGGTGTGTGTGTGTTGGAGGAACTATCCGGTATCGTAACTTGGTGTGTGTGTGTGTTGGGGGAACTATCCGGTATCGTAACTTGGTGTCTGTGTGTTGGAGGAACTATCCGGTATCGTAACTTGGTGTGTGTGTGTGTTGGGGGAACAATCCTGTATCGTAACTTGGTGTGTGTGTGTTGGGGGAACTATCCGGTATCGTAACTTGGTGTGTGTGTGTTGGAGGAACTATCCGGTATCGTAACTTGGTGTGTGTGTGTTGGAGGAACTATCCGGTATCGTAACTTGGTGTGTGTGTGTGTGTGTGTTGGAGGAACTATCCGGTATCGTAACTTGGTGTGTGTGTTGGAGGAACTATCCGGTATCGTAACTTGGTGTGTGTGTGTTGGAGGAACTATCCGGTATCGTAACTTGGTGTGTGTGTGTTGGAGGAACTATCCGGTATCGTAACTGGTGTGTGTGTGTTGGAGGAACTATCCGGTATCGTAACTTGGTGTGTGTGTGTGTGTGTGTGTGTGTGTTGGAGGAACTATCCGGTATCGTAACTTGGTGTGTGTGTTGGAGGAACTATTCGGTATCGTAACTTGGTGTGTGTGTGTGTGTTGGAGGAACTATCCGGTATCGTAACTTGGTGTGTGTGTGTTGGAGGAACTATCCGGTATCGTAACTTGGTGTGTGTGTGTTGGAGGAACTGTTACGTGGGTTCATCCTCTACACCAGTAATCCAGACTGACATTGAAATGACTAAGGAAGCCTTCATTCTGAAACACAGACACGTATTGCTGTCCTATCTATGTTTGAAGTACAACCAGATGGGTGCTCTAGTGCGACCCCGGGTATTGTGTTCCAAAGATCCTAGTGTCGGTAGCTGTTATCGTGCTCCAGAGATCCTAGTGTCGGTAGCTATTATTGTGTTCCAGAGATCCTAGTGTCGGTAGCTGTTATCGTGCTCCAGAGACTAGCGCCACATTTTGGTATTCTTTTCAGTAGACCATAGTGTCGACCGCTGGTATTGTGTCCAAAAGACGACATCTTAGTTCTCTTGTATCGTGTTCTAAGACATCAGTGTCACCTCTCCAGTATCGTGTTCTAAGACACCAGTGTCACCTCTCCAGCATTGTTCCAAAGACACCAGTGTCACCTCTCCAGCATTGTTCCAAAGACACCAGTGTCGCCTCTCTAGTATTGTGTTCAAAAGACACCAGTGTCACCTCTCTAGTACTGTGTTCAAAAGACACCAGTGTCGCCTCTCTAGTACTGTGTTCAAAAGACACCAGTGTCACCTCTCAGGCATTGTTCCAAAGACACCAGTGTCACCTCTCTAGTATTGTGTTCAAAAGACACCAGTGTCACCTCTCTATTATTGTGTTCAAAAGACACCAGTGTCGCCTCTCTAGTACTGTGTTCAAAAGACACCAGTGTCACCTCTCTAGTATTGTGTTCCAAAGACACCAGTGTCACCTCTCTAGTACTGTGTTCCAAGGACACCAGTGTCACCTCTCTAGTACTGTGTTCAAAAGACACCAGTGTCACCTCTCTAGTACTGTGTTCAAAAGACACCAGTGTCACCTCTCTATTATTGTGCTCAAAAGACACCAGTGTCGCCTCTCTAGTACTGTGTTCAAAAGACACCAGTGTCACCTCTCTAGTATTGTGTTCAAAAGACACCAGTGTCACCTCTCTAGTACTGTGTTCAAAAGACACCAGTGTCGCCTCTCTAGTACTGTGTTCAAAAGACACCAGTGTCACCTCTCCAGTATTGTGTTCCAAAGACACCAGTGTCGCCTCTCCAGTACTGTGTTTCAAAGATACCAGTGTCACCTCTCCAGTATTGTGTTCCAACGACACCATAGGAGGGTCACAATCTGTGTCGATCTTATATTTTCAAATACACCGGTGTCGACTCACTAATGTGTTACAAAGACACCAATTGCGACCCTCTTGCGTTATGTTGCAAAGACACGATTTCCGGGTCTCAAGACATATGTCGATCCTCTACTCCTCTACTTTAGTCTAGCTACGCCTTCACACCGATAATAATATAAACCAAATGTAAGTCCACTTAACCCACACAATCAGAGTAACAGGCCCTGGTTGACACCAGCACATCCCACTACCCCAATCGGCTCACAGTCGGTTTCTGTCTGGCTGCAAATTTGGCACGGCTCCCAGATCTGTCACAACCACATATTTCTTCAGTTAGGAGAGTTAGTATATATAGTTATATTAATAAAGGCTTTTAAGGCAAAACGATGAATTTGGCAAAATTATTTAACTTACCCATCAGCCTCTATTGTTATTATCACATGATGTTGTATTTATTTCATTCTGTTAGGCGAGTGCGTATGGTTGCACAGCTTGTAAATAAATGTGTTTTTCTGTCTGTATGACTTTTGTTCTGTTTTCTGATTTGTTTGTTTGTTGTTTAACGCCGCACTCAACAATATTCCAGCTATATGACGGCGGTCTGTATATAATGGAGTATGGACCAGACAATCCAGTGATTGACATCATGAGCAATGATCCACGTTATTGGGATACGATGACATGCATCAACCAAGTCAGCGAGTGTGACCACCCGATCCCGTTAGTCGCCTCTTACGACAAGCATAGTCGCCTTTTACGGCAAGCATGGGTTGCGGAAGACCTATTCTACCCCGGATCTTCACGGGACTCTTACAATTAACGTGGTAAATAATGAGTAAAGCTTTATTTAGGTTTAACTCGGTAAGCACAACGCAGCCGATCCGCTGCTCAGGTCACGATCCGCACGTGCGTCTGCTACCGCGAGGGCACTGCGCCTCACCAATGACGCAGGTCTTCTCCCTGCAGGCGAGAAAGTAAGACTCATACCACGACCTTGTTATAATCGACGAAAATTATGGTCACTATGTTTGATTGATTTGCAGGTCATCGTACCCAGATGGTCTTGTTTACCATTTTTCTACATTCATTCACTCGGCGTAACTATGACTAATAAACAACTGCAGGTTACCATGGCAATTTCTTCTTTATTACAAACCGAGTTGATACACATCACCATCATGTTCGTTTACCACTCCACATCAGGGTAATTACACAATGATCAAACTGATGCCGGACATTATCTATGTGAAGGTACCTGTATGCCCTATACTCAACAGGATGTTTGTGAGAGGTATATTTGACTGAGTTGTATCTAGGAGTTATTTCACGGCCTTGTTGTGTCTGGAGGTTATTTCACGGGCTTGCTGTTGTATCTGGGGCTTATTTCACGACCTTGCTGTTGCATATGGGGTTTATTTCACGGGCTTGCTGTTGTATATGGGGCTTATTTCACGGCCTTGCTGTTGTATCTGGGGCTTATCCCCCCTTGCTGTTGTTTCTGGGCTGATTTCACGGCCTTGCTGTTGTATATGGGGTTATTTCACGTTCTTTTTGTTGTATATGGGGCTTATTCCACTGCCTTGCTGTTGTATCTGGGGCTTACACCCCCCTCCCCCCCTTTGCTGTTGTTTCTGGGGCTGATTTCACGGGCTTGCTGTTGTATCTGGGGCTTATTTCACGACCTTGCTGTTGTATATGGGGGTTATTTCACGGGCTTGCTGTTGTATATGGGGCTTATTTCACGGCCTTGCTGTTGTATCTGGGGCTTATCCCCCCTTGCTGTTCTTTCTGGGGCTGATTTCACGGCCTTGCTGTTGTATATGGGGTTATTTCACGTTCTTTTTGTTGTATATGGGGCTTATTTCACTGCCTTGCTGTTGTATCTGGGGCTTACACCCCCCTCCCCCCCCCCCCCCCTTGCTGTTGTTTCTGGGGCTGATTTCACGGCCTTGCTGTTGTATATGGGGTTATTTCACGTTCTTGTTGTATATGGGGCTTATTTCACTGTCTTGCTGTTGTATATGGGGCTTATTTCACTGTCTTGCTGTTGTATATGGGGCTTATTTCACGGGCTTGTTATTTCTGGGGGTTATCTCACTGTCTTGCTGTTGTATCGGGGTGGGGTGGGGGATTTCACGCTCTTGCTGCTGTATCTGGGGGTTATTTCTGGGTCTTGCTGTTGTATTGTAGGGTTATTTCACGGTCCTTTTGTATCTGGAGGTTACTGTACGGGCTTGCTGTTGTATCTGGAGGTTACTGTACGGGCTTGCTGTTGTATATGGGGCTTATTTCACTGTCTTGCTGTTGTATATGGGGCTTATTTCACTGTCTTGCTGTTGTATATGGGGCTTATTTCACGGGCTTGTTATTTCTGGGGGTTATCTCACTGTCTTGCTGTTGTATCGGGGTTGGGGTGGGGGATTTCACGCTCTTGCTGCTGTATCTGGGGGTTATTTCTGGGTCTTGCTGTTGTATTGTGGGGTTATTTCACGGTCCTTTTGTATCTGGGGGTTACTGTACGGGCTTGCTGTTGTTTCTGGACCTTATTTCACGGTCTTGCTGTTGTATCTCCGGCGTTTGGGGGGTGGTCCGTCCAGTCTGGCGGTGGTGGGGGAGAAGACCCTGGTCTCAATGGTCTGCACAGAGTGGTAGTTGTCCATCATCGGCTTCACCTTTCTCCAGATCTGGAACAACACGGACACGTAGGAGTCGACTGAATGGACCAGGTGTCATCGTTTTCCTATGTGCAAGATGTCAATCACTGGGTTGTCTTTTCCAGACTCAATTACCTACAGACCGCCGTCATATCGCTGGAATATTGCCGAGTACGGCGTTAAACAACAAACAAACAATCATGCGCCACCACTTCTTCTACCACCGCCACTGCGACAGCCACCACTACTATCAAAACAACTGACACTACCACAATCACGACCACAGCGCAACCATCACTACTCCTACCACCGCCAACACTCCTACTACAGTTTACAACCACCATACTCTTATTACTATTACAAAGCTCCATCAGGACTACTACCACTACATACCGCCCAATTTTATGACAGTTAAACTTAATAGCATTAGATGCCTGCGATACTCGGCATAGCATTTGCCGTTGGTAGTTTGGAAAGCTTATCACCAAATGAGTTGGTTATATTGTTGTGACACACAGTAATGAAATGTATAAATGTTAAGTATATTTTCTGCACTTATCCTACCTGCTCCTCTTGCAGTAGCTTAGTGACTGCCTCTATGTCCGGAGCCATGTACCTGTCTCTATCCCAGGGGCTGCAGGCAAAATTAATCAGTTTATGAGTAGAAACAAACCTGATACCTGAAGTACATATCGGTTATCGCACATGTTAAGTTTATATTTCGTTAGTACATTCGTTCCTGCAGGGTAGCCCTGTAATCTAAGGCGCGATAATTTGCATTAAGTCGCAGTCACGACCTTGCTGTTGTATCTAGGGGTTATTTCACGGCCTTGCTGTTGTTTCTGGGAGTTATTTCACGGCCTTGCTGTTGTATATGGGAGTTATTTCACGGGCTTGTATCTAGGGGTTATTTCACGGCCTTGCTGTTGTATCTGGGGGTTATTTCACGGCATTGCTATTGTATATGGGGTTATTACACGGGCTTGTATGTAGGGGTTATTTCACGGCCTTGCTGTTGCATATGGGGGTTATTTCACGGGCTTGTATCTAGGGGTTATTTCACGGCCTTGCTGTTGTTTCTGGGGATTATTTCACGGCCTTGCTGTTGTATCTGGGGGTAGCCCTGTAATCTAAGGCGCCATAATTTGCATTAAGTCGCAGTGAGAGTTGACTCCCTTCCCGTGCGTTCGAATCCAAAACTCGCCCAGTTTATGGTCTGTCCGCACCATACCTGGATTTAACCCAATTGATTTGCATCACTGTGACATGTCCTCCCACACCAAGCGGACACGCCGTGAAAGCACTGAATTACTCCTCAACTCATTGAAAACGTACACAGTATGTGCCATACAAATAGCTTGGCGAGGACACACGGCTATTTACCCGACGACTGAGCGGACCAGCTTGTGCACCTCTTCCAGGGGTGGCGTCGTCTTCAGTGGCCGCAGAAACTCCATCGCCTGGCAAGCTGCCAGTAACTCGATTGCCAAGACTGGAATAAAGTTTAGCATGTTATCAGTAAGCAAATCTATAAGTTTATTCCAACAAATGTGAATCCTATTAACGCTCAAGATAATTATGGGAGGTACGTTGCACGAGTTTTCATTCACTTCGGTATCTACATTGCCCCACCTTGTTCAACATGTTCCACGACCCTGAGACACTTCCTGGAGGAGAAGCCCCCCATGGATACATGGTCCTCCGTCCCGGCGCTGGTGGTCAAGGAGTCCACGGACGACGGATGACACAGGACCTTGTTCTCGGACACTGAACGGGGATAGAATAACATGAAAATCAGTCATAAAGTTATGCAGCGCTACAGATGTTGTTATTTCGTTTAGTTGATTGTGTTCTTTAGGACAGAGGATGGCGGATGTGGACGGGTAGAAAGTCGGGGGGAAAGAGGTCGGTGGGAGAGAGGGTGGCAGATGTGGACGGGGAAAGAGGTCGGATGGAGAGAGGATGTTGGATGTGGATGGGGGAAAGTGGTCGGTGGAGAGAGGGTGGCGGATATAGAACGGGGGAAAGAGGTCGGTGGAGAAAGGGTGGCGGATGTGGACAGGGGAAAGAGGTCGTTGGAGAGAGGATGGCGGATGTGGACGGGGGAAAGAGGTCAGTGGGAGAGAGGGTCGCGGATGTTGACGGGGAAAGAGGTCGGTGTGAGAGAGGGTCGCGGATGTGGACGGGGGAAAGAAGTCGGTGGAGAGAGAGTGGCGGATGAGTACAGGGTGAACGTGGTCGGGGGACAAAGTAACAATCCACCGTACCGAGAGAGGCTGCTGTGCAGTGTGCGATCATGAAGCCAGAGTTGAGTCCGCCGTCTTTAGTCAGGAAGGCTGGCAGTTCACTCAATGCTGAAACAGTGCATATATTTATGTTTTGTATCAATGCCGACAAGGCATATATTCATGTTTTGTATCAATGCCGACAAGGCATATCTTCATGTTTTGTATCAATGCCGACAAGGCATATCTTCATGTTTTGTATCAATGCCGACAAGGCATATCTTCATATTTGTATCAATGCCGACAAGGCATATCTTCATGTTTTGTATCAATGCCGACAAGGCATATCTTCATGTTTTGTATCAATGCCGACAAGGCATATATTCATGTTTTGTATCAATGCCGACAAGGCATATATTCATGTTTTGTATCAATGCCGACAAGGCATATATTCATGTTTTGTATCAGTGCCGACAAGGCATATATTTATGTTTTGTATCAATGCCGACAAGGCATATATTCATGTTTTGTATCAATGCCGACAAGGCATATATTTATGTTTTGTATCAATGCCGACAAGGCATATATTCATGTTTTGTATCAATGCCAACAAGGCATATATTCATGTTTTGTATCAATGCCGACAAGGCATATATTCATGTTTTGTATCAATGCCGACAAGGCATATATTCATGTTTTGTATCAATGCCGACAAAGCATACATTCATGTTTTGTATCAATGCCGACAAGGCATATATTTATGTTTTGTATCAATGCCGACAAGGCATATATTTATGTTTTGTATCAATGCCGACAAGGCATATATTTATGTTTTGTATCAATGCCGACAAGGCATATATTTATGTTTTGTATCAATGCCGACAAGGCATATATTCATGTTTTGTATCAATGCCGACAAGGCATATATTTATGTTTTGTATCAATGCCGACAAGGCATATATTTATGTTTTGTATCAATGCCGACAAGGCATATATTTATGTTTTGTATCAATGCCGACAAGGCATATATTCATGTTTTGTATCAATGCCGACAAGGCATATATTCATGTTTTGTATCAATGCCGACAAGGCATATATTCATGTTTTGTATCAATGCCGACAAGGCATATATTCATGTTTTGTATCAATGCCGACAAGGCATATATTCATGTTTTGTATCAATGCCGACAAGGCATTTATTTATGTTTTGTATCAATGCCGACAAAGCATATATTTATGTTTTGTATAAATGCCGACAAGGCATATATTTATGTTTTGTATCAATGCCGACAAGGCATATATTTATGTTTTGTATCAATGCCGACAAGGCATATATTCATGTTTTGTATCAATGCCGACAAGGCATATATTCATGTTTTGTATCAATGCCGACAAGGCATATATTTATGTTTTGTATCAATGCCGACAAGGCATATATTCATGTTTTGTATCAATGCCGACAAGGCATATATTTATGTTTTGTATCAATGCCGACAAGGCATATATTCATGTTTTGTATCAATGCCGAAAGGCATATATTCATGTTTTGTATCAATGCCGACAAGGCATATATTCATGTTTTGTATCAATGCCGACAAGGCATATATTCATGTTTTGTATCAATGCCGACAAGGCATATATTCATGTTTTGTATCAATGCCGACAAGGCATATATTTATGTTTTGTATCAATGCCGACAAGGCATATATTTATGTTTTGTATCAATGCCGACAAGGCATATATTCATGTATTGTATCAATGCCGACAAAGCATATGTTCATGTTTTGTATCAATGCCGACAAGGCATATATTCATGTTTTGTATCAATGCCGACAAGGCATATATTCATGTTTTGTATCCATGTTTTGTATCAATGCCGACAAGGCATATATTTATGTTTTGTATCAATGCCGACAAGGCATATATTCATGTTTTGTATCAATGCCGACAAGGCATATATTTATGTTTTGTATCAATGCCGACAAGGCATATGTTCATGTTTTGTATCAATGCCGACAAGGCATATATTTATGTTTTGTATCAATGCCGACAAGGCATATATTTATGTTTTGTATCAATGCCGACAAGACATATATTTATGTTTTGTATCAATGCCGACAAGGCATATATTTATGTTTTGTATCAATGCCGACAAGGCATATATTTATGTTTTGTATCAATGCCGACAAGGCATATATTCATGTTTTGTATCAATGCCGACAAGGCATATATTCATGTTTTGTATCAATGCCGACAAGGCATATATTCATGTTTTGTATCAATGCCGACAAGGCATATATTCATGTTTTGTATCAATGCCGACAAGGCATATATTCATGTTTTGTATCAATGCCGACAAGGCATATATTCATGGTTTGTATCAATGCCGACAAGGCATATATTCATGTTTTGTATCAATGCCGACAAGGCATATATTCATGTTTTGTATCAATGCCGACAAGGCATATATTCATGTTTTGTATCAATGCCGACAAGGCATATATTCATGTTTTGTATCAATGCCGACAAGGCATACATTCATGTTTTGTATCCATGTTTTGTATCAATGCCGACAAGGCATATATTTATGTTTTGTATCAATGCCGACAAGGCATATATTCATGTTTTGTATCAATGCCGTCAAGGCATATATTTATGTTTTGTATCAATGCCGACAAGGCATATGTTCATGTTTTGTATCAATGCCGACAAGGCATATATTCATGTTTTGTATCAATGCCGACAAGGCATATATTCATGTTTTGTATCAATGCCGAAAGGCATATATTCATGTTTTGTATCAATGCCGACAAGGCATATATTCATGTTTTGTATCAATGCCGACAAGGCATATATTCATGTTTTGTATCAATGCCGACAAGGCATATATTCATGTTTTGTATCAATGCCGACAAGGCATATATTCATGTTTTGTATCCATGTTTTGTATCAATGCCGACAAGGCATATATTTATGTTTTGTATCAATGCCGACAAGGCATATATTCATGTTTTGTATCAATGCCGACAAGGCATATATTCATGTTTTGTATCAATGCCGACATGGCATATATTTATGTTTTGTATCAATGCCGACAAGGCATATATTTATGTTTTGTATCAATGCCGACAAGGCATATATTGATGAAACCAGGTATCAAGAATATTTATTCAAACCATGAAATGTACTTATTTCAAATCAGTTATAATACTTCAAGAAATACAAGAAATGAGTGAGTTGAGTTTCAGGCCGCTTTTAGCAACATTCCAGCAACATCACGACGAGGAACTCAAGAATGGACATCACGCGTTGTACCAAGGTTGGGAATCGCCCCGGTCCTTCGACATGACCAGCCAACACATGAAACACATCTCCCCTCTTATAGTTAGAACATATTTCCTCCTATACTTCTATATATTACACTCATTACAAAGGATCAAGAGTTTCACCTACCGGGGTTTACAAGTCTCTCAATTCGCCGCTCACTCATGTTAGCCAGCTCGTGCACCCCGATCGCCAGGTAGTCGAGAGCCTGGAGTGACAATACTGGATTACTGGACGCACACTATTTCCTTCTGTACACATGCAGATTGAACATGGGCACATACGCTCTTCATTGCTTTGAATCTGGTAAAAGCTAAAGTTAAAACTAAAATTCCAGCGTGTCCAGCGACTGATTATCCTCAATCCATCATTGAAATCCTTATGTAGGTTTAGGCTTCTGAGCTTGGGTTTTAAGTCAGCCTGGGACCCCCATTTTCAAGAGTCGGACCCCCGTATTACTACTGAGAATCCAATGGGCATGAAAATAGATAGAGCAAGGTAAACCCTTTATCCGTCACTTATACCTGTACTCAATGAATATTGAAATGATTATATACAGGATGATAAACTTGACTTTTCAATCGCAGAATTGAGTTAACCCCGGAGAATGCCTCACCTTGGCCGGGTACTCCCCATGGAAGTTCCCCCCTGACAAGATCTCACCGGTCTCAGCAAACACCATCTGTGTCAGGTTGAGGAACAGTCATATCAACAGTTACTACAGTGATTGTTTGCCACGCTTACAGGCGATATCTATGTTGGTCTACGAGGTCCATCATTGTGACGTCATTGACAATGTTGAGTCTTTTATTTTGGATACTGAGATGTTGGTGTCAAGAAGGAGAGATCACAGCAATACTTACGTTTTTTAAATAGTGTGGGGTGCTACGGGTGGCCCGGTAGTCTACAACGCCGTAATTACCTGTGTAGAGTTGCGTCCCTTAGTTCTACCTGGATCGTGATCGTGGGTTTGAATCCCCGATTCTCCCTGTTTGTGATTCTTGGTCTGTCAGCACTACTCGCGTTCGTGGGGTTCACGAAAGTGGTAAACGTCTTCGGCTGCACATACTAACCTAACACGCCGTAATATAGCTGAAGTACTGTTCAAAGCGGCGTAAACCTCAACTCACTCACTCACTCACTCATTGTTGTGAAGGATACAGGGTTGTCTGTGGCACTGTTCATCTCGGTCACCAGGACGCCCTTGACGAACGCCACCGTATCGTTCACGATGCCATGAACCTGCAATCAGAAACCAGCGAAGGAAAATAGCATATTTGTTTTTAAGTTGGCCACGGGGCACTCATACATACAGTTAGTGGTGCTCTTAAGAATTAATGTTTGCTAACAATATTTTTATCCATTTTTAAACTCGGGTTAGATAAAAAGCAGGCATACTTCACAAAGACTCCCTTTCCCCTTCAGTTCATTGAGATTTATAATTTAACCTTTTCCATTTCTGAATCCCATGTTAGTATGCGTATGATACTGTGTATTAAGGATATGACACTTAGGCATTGACTTTCACTTTGTGTGAGTTCATTGGAGTATGAACCTTCAAAGAGTGAGGGCCAAAACTGGACGTAGCGCAAGATCTACATCACAATTTTATTTAAAGTGGTACGTGTGACTTCATGTTTACGCTGACAGCAATATCACAACCAGCTACATCGCGGAATAAAATAGATTTTCAAAAAGGGAGGTGACATGAGCGTACGCACAAGTTGCTTTACATGAACATCTGTTGTAATTTGTTGACAACCATTGTATACAAATAATATCATCATTGGATGGGCTGGTGTCCCCCGCCGTGATATTGCTGGAATATTGCTAAAAGCGGCGTAAAACCATACTCACTCACTCATTGGATGGGAAAGGTCTGTTGTCACAATGACAGCGCGTCTTAATATATTTACATCAAGTACAAGACGTCAAAATGGCCGACACGATAAACGTGACGGGAGAGATTTCCAAAGTTAATGAATCTATTAATTAGTAAATTAGTAAATTCGTAGATTGCTGTAGACTGTCACTGTGGGTCTAGACACGGATCGAGTGGCTACTCGAGTGCATATCTTCGTTTTGTTCACTAGGATGGGTCGAAGCGGGGATACTCGTGAACGATCGTGCAGTGAAACTCCCTGACGTTTCCCAATGTATGCTATAACGCCGAGTTCAACATTAAACGCTCTGAATGATCAGAAACAACGCTTCTGTATGTATTCGTGCTAGGAAATTCCCAGGGGTTCCTCAGGGGAATGTGTAAGTAGTCCGTCAGCGTTTACGTCATTTCAAGAATACAGTTTCGTGAAAAACGCATGAACGTCAAATTGTGTCGCCCATACCCTTTTGAACGTCAAATGCGCTGTCATGTGACCGACCTCTCGTCCAATGGAAAAGAATACACAGTTAACACTTTACATTAAAATATAATTGTGCATTAATTGAGTTCAAATAACGGTCATCTGTTTTACACGTCGAGTTCCACCATGTCTGAGTCCCACAAAGCGTACGCATGATATACATTGAAACACAGGTACTAGTCTGTTTTCCCGAGCCATATAGTGAGTGAGTAAGTTGGGTTTAACGCCGCTTTGAACAGTATTCTAGTCATAACACGGCGTGTCAGCTTAATGTGGGAGGAAAGCCCGAAGTGATGCATGTCTCAGACGTTTAACACTTCGGTGAAACCCACGAGCACGGGTATGGTGCTGACAAACCTAGAAAACCTGAAGTGTAACAACTAGGCTTCGTGGTCACAAACTTATCTCAGCTCTAATATTTTCACATGGACCAACAGAGACACTCCGTACCTGCGGACAACACCGAAGCGTATAGGCGTCTTGAACCCGGTCACAGAACCTGTGGCTCTCTACAACAGACGGAGCACAGTATAAGTACGTATAAATACCAATAGACATGAGGTAAAAAGGGAAAGGTTCACTGTACTCATGGCAAGTACACATTGACATTTCCTGTGTCCTTAATTCATATTCACATGCCAATGTCTCCTTATATTAATTAAAGCGACGAAACCCTTTCCATATTCATAAGAAATCTCTGCCAAAAGCAGAGACGAGTGTATAATTTCGACACAGGCGGTCCCTATCCAAACAACGCTATCACTTGAATGAAACTGTCTGCTTATATCATGCGCATTGACATGTACTAAACGGAGTAGCTCAACATATGTAGTTCATATAAAAGTGAACATTCTGTATGGACCACGTGTTTAATAAAACCTCTAACTAACTTGTCCGATTGAAATACCACTGTACCCGGGCGTCAGGCAATCGTGATTTAACCCCCTCTTAATAAATAGTCCGGAATTACGAATGTCCGTTTGTAAGAACTGAAGACAAATATATAAATAGTAGATAAACTGTAGATATAAAAATGGTCGTGCTAACCAATCTGGAACGCATGGACTTTAATGCTTAATAGTTCATCTGATGCAAGAATCAAGTCCATGTCTGCTGCAGCACCAAAAACACCTTTACTTCAGTCATGAAAGAAAAGAACACACATGCTTGTTTGTTTGTTTGTTTAAAGCAGCCCGCACCAATATTCAAGCTAAATCACGGCGGTTTGTAAATATTGGAGTCTGGACCAGACAATCCAGTGATTGACATCGTGAGCTTCGACGTAAGCAATTGGGATATGATGACATGTATCAGCAAGCCTAGCCACTTGATCACGTTAGTGACATCTTACGGAAAGCATGGGTTTCTGAATATCAGTTAAAACCCGGATCTTCATGGAAAAGAAGACATGTGCAAATGATAGGTATTGGACATAGATATTAAAATGATCGTCCCAGCCAATCTGGAGCGCGTGAACTTTATTCTTAACATTTCATCTGATGCAAGAATCAGGTTCTTACCTGCTATCTCAGACGGATGTGTTTCTGAATGAAGGAGTGACCTCAGTCGCCTAGCAACCAGGCCTTGACCTTTGTGTGGTCGCACCATCTGGATATCTGAAAACAGAAAATTGGAAATAAATGTCCACGTCTATTTTTCCAGATCTTCAGGCAGAATAAGTTAAAACAAGAGGAACAGAGGTACAGAAGCTCACCTTTACTAAATTACACAAAACTTTCAAACGATATCAATCCACACTTGGTTATATTTCTATTTTTCTAGTTCTCTGAACATCTTGTGACACTGCTTCGTGACATCCTATCTTATTGTTTATAAAATTTTATAAATGTTATTTTTCAAACACACATTTCCATCATGTCTCTGAATAATTGTTATCAGGATCATTTGTACCACTCCGAAACTATCTACGTTATCTGATCCCTGTTAAACAGAAACGCAGAAATAAATAACCAGCTATATTCCACTTTGGTTAGATACAAAATCTATAATTATTTCTTCAGTTAAATTAAGGATCACTGCGGTATTCACATAATCTTACTTTAATTTGTTTGTTAGCCTGCTTGTTGTATGATGCATAAGATAAAACACCAAGAAAGTGAAACATCATACTATTTCAGTGAAATATATTACTTCATGAGAACACCGGAAGTGGTGCCAGTACTTACTGCTGTCGAAGGCCCTGGTTGAACCCTTCAGTACCTCCAAGGTCATGGCCGCGACGACGTCCGCCTGTCTGGTAATGGACTCCGACCTCTCGCAGGCTGGAGGAGATGGAGTGATTGTACAATGTGAAGCAATATTACATGCTACATAATGATACATGATACATACTGTTTTGTTCTCGATTGGCGAACCGCTTCTACAGGGAATTAGTATACTGCTCAAAAGAAATTAAAGAACACCCGATTGTTTCGTATGACCGCAGTTAACCCGCCAAGGCTGGTGAGTAATGCAACACACAGTCGTTGTGTTCTCTACTTGTTTTGAGTAGTATGTATCCCAATTTATATTGCTGAACCACCTACACCTTTTGGATTTAGAAAAGGTCTGAAGTACCTCTTTCTTGTCGGAAGAATCAAATACCGTCGGGATCGGAAGGCAGGTGTTCGGAAAATAAGATAAGCGGGGATATATACTACTCAAAAGAAGTTAAGGATCACCCGATTCTTTCATATTGGTAATGTTCTGTCATGGCATGAGAGATTAACTAATGTAGTATGAAAGAATAAGGTGATCCTTAACTTCTTTTGAGAAGTATATTTATATAATCTAGTAACATTAATTGCATCATAATTCGAGTCGCAAATAACGAAAATCAAAGTTTCCTCTGTTTGAAGATGAAATATCTCTGATAATAGTAAAATCTCACCACACCCCCAAAAATCTCATTGCTTTTGGACCATGGGAGATTTGTCTCTCATAGGTAAAGATTCCAGGATAATCCCTGCATTGATTGTCAGTTAATTGAATTGTTGGTATATTTCGACCCATTTAATGCCATCTTTGTCGTAATGTTTTGTAACACATGAATGTCGATCGAACTAATGATGATCGGGGGGTCAAGTTCTGGGACACGGGAATCCCCACTCGTAGCATACTTGCGCTCTCCTTGTGAATTAACAAATAAGGACGGTGGGGTAGGCGAGTTGTGTAAGTGTTCTCTTGTCATACGAAATGCCCAGGTTTCATTCCCCACATGGGTACAATGTGTAAAGCCTGTTTCTGCTGCCTCCACTGTGATATTGCTGAAATATTTCTAAAAGAGGCGCAAGACCACACTTATTCACACGTTCACTCACAATATAATTCCACTCACTCACTCACCTTCAACTCCTAACGATGTTATAAGTTGTGTTCCATTTATCATTGCGATGCCCTGCAAGAGATAACAAACATTACGGACTATATAATCTATCCGATCCACTCCAGTTGATTTATTATTATTATCATAACGTGTAAACACATACGCAGCAAGCCACGAAACGTACATCACCCCCGCCAGTTAATGATTACTGTTTGGTTACCTCTTTGGGCTTGGGCTTTATCGGAGAGAGGTTATGGGACTCCAGCACCTGCAACACAAAACACGGATGCGCATGAATAAACAGAACTACTTCCGGGCCAAGAAAGGTTCCCAGTACATCATACTTGTCTTTGGAGATCGGTTGGTCACGCCCTGTGACTTGGCTGTCTGGCTGTCTCGTGTGCGTGCGACGTTTGTCACGCAATAACCACTGGTTGACCTGGCCCAGACTTGATTATGAATACGTAGATCTAAACTATATACTTGGAATATTGCTGACTGTTGTATAAATGACACCTGAATTCAACAATAGCACCATCAACCGTTAAATTACATTTTAAAGGCGTTATAAACCCTCACAATACTTATTTTCGAATTTTGTATATATTCCACTTCTTACCTCGTCGAAACGTCAGTGGATTAAAATAGAGCATACAAGCCAGTGAATTTTTGACGATTTGCCACAACAAAAGTATAATCAGGTATAATATTTGTTTATTTGTATTTAATAGTTTTATTGTTTTTGTTAACCCTACTCAGCGATAGTCTAGCAAAATGGCGGCGACCAGACTGGACCAGACAATCCAGTGATATAGTGAACGTCGATCTACGCCATCAGGGTATGACGAGGAATCAACGAAGACACTGAGCCTGACCAACTGATCCATTTGGTTGCCTCTTACGACCAGCATAAGTTTGATGGGGACCTTTTCTAACCCGGAATCCCTACGGGGATGCGAAACATACAAGAGGTGTAAACGTATGTCCCGTATATAGCCGGGGATCAGTATAGTATAGCAGGTCCCCGGGAGGAATAGATCATAGTCATTGATGTTCATCAGAGGGTGAGACCCCTCCTTGACGCCACACCCATACCCACCCCACACCCCACACCCCACACCCCACCCCACATCCAAGGTCTTGATAATTGTATATGCACCTCAAATAGAGAAGAAAAGATACATTCCTGTTATTGAAATACTGGAGTATATTGTCAAGTGATACACAATGTTAAATTTACGGATGCTCCTACCTGCCAGGTAAAAGAATATATTTCTAGGGTTCCTTCGCAATAGTACGTGTTCCCTCACAAAAACCTTGGCGTTCCGTCGCAATAGTACGCGTTCCATCACAATAACTCTCGCGTTCACTCGGTACAAGGGGCGGTCGGGTAGCCTAGTGGTTAAAGCGTTCGCTCGTCACGCCGAAGACCCGAAGATAACAGTCACCATGTCACCATGTCTCTACAAATAACATTTTGAAACAAGAAGGAGCACCTATATCTGATCCACAGATCCACCCAAACCTTATTGTGAGGGAATATTGTGTGATGGTTTAGCGCAAGAACGCTAACGTTATGGCGAGTGAAAGGGATACTAGGGCGAGTGAACGCTATAACTACTAGACAGTATATATTTTACCATGGCGGGTTGCAGCTTCCATACAAACCCTCCCCTCCCCTAAAGAATTACTTACATGTTTAGCATCAGCCCATCCACTCTTTGGCGACCACATTTTCCCTTCTCCCATCATGCCGAGCGCGAGGTGAGCGAGGGGTGCGAGGTCTCCGCTAGCCCCCACCGATCCCTTCTGGGGGACCCATGGAAGGCAAGATGCTGAAAGATGTGGAGAAATCATGTTAGAATAGAGACCAAATTGTTTTGATCAAGTTCTTACAAGGCAAGTGTCAGATTTATTATCGAAGGAAGCACGCCACTATAACATACAGGTTGATTCAGGTCGAACCCTTCATAAACCATTATTTTTTTCTTTGCCCGTAGACTGAAACGTAATTGTGTATATGAATCTAGCAGTATATGATTATCCTGATCAATCAAAGAGATTGTCTCAGTTCGACACACGTCAAGGATTACGACATATGTGACCGGTGAAGATCTGGGGTAGAATAGGTCAGCAACCCATGCTTGTCGTGAGAGGCGACTAACGGGATTGGGTGGTCAGGCTCGCTGACTTGGTTGATGCATGTCATAGATCCCAATTGCGTGGATCGATGCTCATGATGTCAATCACTGGATTGTCTGGTCCATACTCGATATTTTACAGACCGCCGTCATATAGCTGGAATATTGCTGAGTACGGCGTTAAACAACAAACAAAGCAAAAGCACAAATCATGCAACATATGAAGCACGACCGAATATTCGCGGGGCACAGTACTGATGGATGAACCAAGTCAAGGACAAGCAAATCTCCGTTATTTTCCTATGAGGATGGTCGTATTCAAAAGAATTTACTGTAACTGACTGAATTATAAACGATTTGTGAATTATAATAATATTCATTCTAAACAAATAGTACCTTTGATAAGTTGTGCATACGTACCATTAAACGCTGCCATGTACTGCTCCAGTGTTTCCAATGAGATCCCGCTGTAGCCTTTGGCGAGGACATTAATACGCAGTGCCAGCAACATCCGGGTCCTCTCAGGGGATAATGGAGGACCAACACCTATAGGGTGGAATCACGGAGCTAATAAATCGAACACATACTTTAGGCAGACCTTAGGCAGCAACCACTTGATGTTTGGGGTGGGGGGATTTTGGTTTGAAATCTGCACAGTCATCTTTTTAATGTAAAGGCGCTCAATTATGTAAAACAGGGACTTGATTATTTTTAAAATGAAAATCGAATGATTGCTCCCTTAGACCCGACGTTCAATTTTTTATTGGTTGTATTTTCCCGGCGTTTAAGGTGCCGCAATTCGCTATGCAGAGTTGCGTACCTTAGGTGTGCCAGAAACCTGTGATCGTAGGTTCGAATACCGATTCACCGTAATTGTCATTTCAGTCGAAAATCAAAACCAGCAGGTCAAATCTTAAGTAAACCATGTATTGAAGATAAAATGTTTACATAAGTGCCATATCTTACATCATTCCCTCGCTCCTAATGCAAAATGACAATAAACACATTTGACACCCACGCTCAAAAACGTGGTCAATGTGACGAGGAACAACGACGAAAGACGCATGACCCTAGATACTCTTGTTGGGGTCTTGCCTATTAATAACTTGACCTACTGGTAGACCAGCATTTCTAGCCTTGTCAGCAGCATACCCTAGTTGGTGGGTCTTGGACCTGCATCACTCCGGGTTTTCTTCCCACATTAACCTGACACGCCGTGATATAAACAATTACTGCTCTAAGCGGCGTTAAACCAGACTCACGCACGCAAGTAGGAAGAAAAGCTGAACAGTTCTATACCTGCTGCGTGTGAGCGGATGACGTTTTCTTGGAGCTCGCTGAAACACAATGAAAACACATCTCATTAAATAACACCCCTATATCGGCAATGCTGTTATATATACATTACATATATTATACTAGTATGTGTGTCATACTGATTTCACGAAGCGAGTGTCAGAATTCTTGTATTTTCCGAGCAGAGGCTTCCGGATCTCCCCCGTTTGAAGACCAAATGTAGTACGTTGTAGACAATTATCTCAACACTCGTTGTAATAAATACGGTATCTAACGGAGACTCGTTCAGTAATCTTTTAGCAAGAAAACCATTCAAGGGTTCCCTTTACATATTTACCACGGGTAACAGTAAAGTGTGTTTTGGTACTTACACAAGTTTATCTTTAGGTATGGTTGTCCTAGCAAAGTTACCAAATCCCGTTGTGATTCCATAGACAACTGGAAATAAAGGAAGCCCAGTCTGTATTCTATGTAAGCAGGGTCTTGATCGACTGGTAGACACTAGCGGTAACTACCTGTGTTTTTGTCTCATGACGCTGTACATGTACCGTGTGTAATATACCCCCTCTTTAGAAGAAATGCACTGTTCTAGACCGCCGTCTTAGAAAACCAGACTTGTCGAATGACGTCTACATTCGTCAGGTACGACGTCGTTTCTAGCGTGACAGCATTCCGACCTTAAGATTCGAATTACGTCAACAATGCCGTCCGGATGACGGAAACAATTCACTGATATATTCGACTTTACGAACTCGGTTATTTCTAACCCCATGGGTAATAAAACATATATAAACACACTTTGGACACAGTCTCAAATAGCGATTCTTGCATGTCGATCGTCGTAACTCATTACTTTCCCAACAATCGGAGAGATAAGATCGCTTTGTGAAAGGGAGCCAACAGTTTACTTTGACACATTTTATGGAATTATCGTGTATATATCATATATTACCTTTATTACTGGCGAGTATCTCGTCCACAAGGTCACGTGACTTCTGTACGTTTTGTTCGGACTCGGCCGTTAACTGGAGAAGAACACAACGGTCATCAACGGTTGTTTTAATGAATATCTTCGACAATTGTGTTGATATTCTGGTGAAACGCATTAACATTTGAATACATATAGAGATGAATAAATTTGCCTAAAGACGAGCGATCAACACCTTTCTGTATTTGTGGCAAACAGTGTTTCCATTATTGTAGCGTGGTACAACTATTTCAGAATAATGTCTTACATGCCACTTGTCATTTCCCTATTATCAACACAATGACACTTAATATATGCTGCTGCTACTACTACTACTACTACTACTACTACTACTACTACTACTACTCCAATACTACTACTACTACTACTGCTACTAGCTTGAAAAGGGAAATTGTCACTCGCATTGTGGAGGTAAACTATGAAATATTTCACTGCATCATTCTCGATCCGGGGTAGAATAGGTCTTCAGCAACACATACTTGCCGTAAAAGTCGACTATGCTTGTCGTAAGAGGCGACTAACGGGATCGGGTGGTCAGGCTCGCTGACTTGATGCATGTCTTTGTATCCCAATTGCGTGGATCGATGCGCATGATGTCAGTTACTGGATTGTCTGGTCCAGACTCGATTATTTACAGACCGCCGTCATATAGCTGGAATATTGCTGAGTGCTGAGTGCGACAAAACTACTACTACTACTACTACTGCTACTACTACTACCGCTGCTGCTGCACTAACATACATCTATTACTACTACTACTACTACTACTACTACTACTACTACTACTACTACTACTACCACTACCACTACCACTACTACCGCTGCTGCTGCTGCTGCACTAACATACCTCTATTACTACTATTACTACTACTACTACTACTACTACTACTACCGCTGCTGCTGCTGCTGCACTAACATACCTCTATTATTACTACTACTAAAACTACTACTACTACTACTACCACTACTACTACTACCGCTGCTACTGTTGTTGCTGCACTAACATACCTCTATTACTACTACTACTACTACCACTACTACTACTACTACTACTACTACTACCACTACCACTTCCACCACTTCCACCACTACATTGTGTCTCACCTTTACAAGGAACTCTACTACTACTACTACTACTACTACTACTACTACTCCTACTACTACTACTACCACTTCCACCACTACATTGTGTCTGACCTTTACAAGGAACATTCCTTTTCCCAGTCTCACGAGATCGTCCGCGGCTAAGCTGTTTCCATCCAAAGAGATATACTGAAGACATTGAAAAAACGTAGAGTCACATCTATTATCCAGTAGAAAACAAACATTACGAGCTGATACCGGTGTAGTTATTCATTAAAACATTTTCTTTATAACCGATGATTCTGAAGTTACGACTGTAGGTTATGATGATGTAACTGTGGCACTGTTCAAAGCGGCTTCAAACTCACTCACGAAAAAAAAAGATTCAAGATACTCACATCTGACGCTGTCTTCACGCTGGCTTTAGGTCTGATTCAAGGTGAAGGTCAAGGGTTCAACGGACGATTCATGATATACAACGTGTCGCCCAGTCATATTTAGACAAATCTGCTGAAGCGGTGCATGATGGAATTTTGCAATTAACTTTTAAGATACTACGGTTCTTCACAAAGGGGCCTATAACGCTAAAGACCGACTCCGTGGTCTAGTGGTAGAGCGTCCGCCCGGACAGCGGAAGGTCCGGGGTTCGATCCCCGACCGCGTCATACCAAAAGACGTTAAAAGATGGTACTTGTTGTTACCCTGTCTGGCGCTCGGCATTAAGGGGCTAAAACAAGGACTGGTCGGCTCGGAGTCAGTATACTGCGTCTGAGTGGGGTATTCATGTTAAACTGCGGCATGGTATCTCAGTGAGCTAGCACTATAAATCGGCATCAGTCCGGACTAGTACAAGCAGCCACACAAACCCACACACGTGCATGCACGTAGCTATATAAGTGCAATAATCTTGGACGCGACGTTAAACCCCATTTCACCTCACCTCACCTGTAACGCGAAAAGTAACAGCTACGGCAAATGGTCATAACCTGCCACATTATCCTTTTACATACTACTGGCAGGGGTTGTGACCACATATCTTGTAGCTGCTATGTTTGGCGTCACAGGCCACTGTACTAGTTTTTACAAGTGTTGCCATATGCCGGTTTTATAATGCTAGCTCACACATTATACTGACTGTTGCTCCGAGCCGGCCAGTCCTTGTTTCATCATTTATGCCAAGCGCCGGGCAGAGTAAAAACAAGTATAATCTATTGGTATCGAACCATCCACCTTCCACTTTCCTGTACTGGGACAATTTAATATTCAAAATGGCAAAGTTATTCTTTAAGCCGTGTAACCTAGATCCGAAGGATACACCTTCTCCTCCATGTACACAATCTCAGCCGGCCCGGTCACCGGACTGGACATATCGCTGTCCAGAACTGCAACAGAGAATACAGATGACGCACCATCCTCGGTTCACAGGGGTATATTTTCTACCTGGTTAAGATAAAATCTTTCAACTCAACTAGCATCATTTCATCATGAGATCTTTTAATGCAATGTGCTCCTTAAACCAATGCTCGTAAACCGATAGTTAAAGGCATAATTCCACACAATGAAAATGCATCTGTATTGATAAACTTTGACTGAATATTGTTATGCATTATGGAGGTTGTCTTAGAATGATAGAAATTCTCTCTCTCTCTCTCTCTCTCTCTCTCTCTCTCTCTCTCTCTGTGTGTGTGTGTGTGTGTGTGTGTCGGGTAGCCTAGTGGGTAAAGCGTTCGCTCATCACGCCGACGAAGTCTCGGGTTCAATCCCGACATGGGTACAATGTGTGAAGCCCATTTAAATGTAACGACTCAAACCACTGGGCTTTCTCCATAGGCTTCAAGTACAGAGGTGATCATCTGTTATAAGACAAAGGTCAAAAGTACATCGTGTATACAACAACACTATACAAGTTACAGCTCAACCTTGACATTGTAGTTTCAGAAAATGGATAAGTTTACAAACATGTATTTCATAATAGATTAGTATTGGCTTCTTAACCCACATCTATTATCATCTGCTGTGATCGGTTTGGTTAGGCATGCGTAAATATACGAAATATACGCAATAATGCTTATCAAGACTTCTGAGAGCAGACTGGGTGTTTCCCGTGTCAGTTTCACAGTCCTGGGAGAATGGCAGATGGCTTATGCTTTGACCTGATCTTCAAGAAAGGTTGACATATTAGATTTACAACAGATATGTTATCTTTGTCAAACACTGATTTGGTATCAGAAAAAGGTTAAGTTTTAATACGTCAGGCTTTACAAAGCATTTTTGTGTGCACCTTAAGGCCAGTTTGCTATATATTGTCATACATATCGTTTCTTTATTAATTCCATTGTGTCACTGATACATTAACAGATATTAAACACTTGCAATATTATCATTATACATCGTTTCTGTATTAACTCCAATGTGTCATTTGATACTTTAAATGATATTAAATATTTTCAGTGGTCCATTCATATAATTTTCACCGCTATTTTGACTACAGCAAAAGGACTGTTTCGGCGTCTTACACTGACGTTGTGTATTACACATCAAATACACATGGTGCTATATTTGCTACGGAGAGCGGTCCCCATTACTCGAGCCAGGGTCCATTGATTGCAGGTTGAAAAAGGTCCTGCTTGGACTTTCCTCACCCATTGAGGTGACACACCGTAATATAACTGAAATACCCAACCCAACTCACTCACTCACCATGGTTTACCAACCTCATGTCATGAATCGACACACAACAATCAGAACATGACCAATAACGATTACGCCATATCGATATATCAGCAATATTAATATGCAGTCGTTGACGGTAAAGCAACCCGACATAAAAGGTTGGATGTATGGAGAAAGAGAATTCGAATAACAGATTCGCCCCGATTATGATCCTTGGTCTGTCAGCATCATAGCCATTTTTGTAGGTTTCCCTGGTGGTGTACCCCTCTACGAACTCTGTCTTGTTTCGGATTTCCTCTACATTAATCATGCCGATGCGACGTTAAATGTGAACACACTCACTCACTACATTGAGAAGATATACCCGAAATGCTGTTGAAAAGCGACTCATCCGATCGTCTAGTTCCAAAAACTTCTGATGTCCCCCGCCGTGATATTGCTGAAATATTGCTGAAATGCCTGTTCGCTCTGATTAGGTTTCTAGCTATGTCAGCACCATACACGAGCTCGTGGCGTTCATGAAATTGATAAGCGCCTAAGACCTGCACCACTTCGGGCTTTCCTCTTACATGACACGCTGTGATATAACTGTGATACCCATACACCCATACATGTGTGTATCAATAAAGACTAGGGGCGGTCGGGTAGCCTAGTGGTTAAAGCGTTCGCTCGTCACGCCGAAGACCCGGGTTCGATTCCCGACATGGGTACAATGTGTGAAGCCCATTTCTGGTGTCCCCCGCCGTGATATTGCTGGAATATTGCTAAAAGCGGCGTAAAATCATACTCACTCACTCACTCAATAAAGACTCGAGGAACACATCATCTCGTTTCCAGTTTCAATCACAGCCGAAAATCACGCAAACTGTAAAATATCTACAGCGCTTAGGTTTAACGTTGTCACCTACCAACAGTGACGAAGTCGTTGTCGTCTAGGACGTCCCTCACAGCGTCATCGGGGTCCAGTATAGCCCCACCTTTTGCTTTGCGAATCTCGTACACAGTCTCCTCCGCATGGCCAACCTTGCTCTTGGTCTTGTAGTACCTCTTCAGGCCCTCGTCCCCAAGCCAAGAGATCTTCTCCTTGCCATTACAGGGTAGCGCTAGCCACTGGCCCCTGATTCTCAGGGAAAGCTTCATCGTTAACTTGGATGTCCACTGGAAGAGTATATCGCTGACACTCCGTGCTTAAACAACGGTTCTGTCAATGGTTGCCATCTGCAAGTGTTGTCTTATAAAGCCCAAAGAGAATGTCTACGTCACAGCATTGGGCAGATAACGGCGGTGTCAGAAACACTGTGAGATCTTGACCAGGCCCACCAAGGAGCAGTGTATGTGTAAGTGTATTTAAGTCTTTCGTAAATGTTATTGTTATTCCGTAGACGGCTGGATTAAGGTCAGTTAAGACCCCAAAGGACTTGGCCAACATGATCATACAACAACTCTGTATTATATCAAACTTGGTGACAATGCACAAACAAATAAATATGGTGAGTCATTCAAATACATTTACACGTCTAATTCTTAAAATGATTACACTTTTGAAAGGCGTTCATATTATCCAGACATGAAGCTTTACACCATTCAAAGGTTCTTGGTACTTTCTTAATATTGTATCTGACTTATTTTCGTGTACTCATAACGAATAATTCAAACATTCCCCAAAGAGTGCGATGTCAAGAGCATGCGCCGTGAGACTACTATCAGCAATCATGGTTTCCGGTCAGAATACGATATCTCAGTATGTTCTGATTGTAAGAACCGGCTGCAATGGGGAGCGCGTCAAAAGGGTGTTCCTTCAATGATTGCGTGTCATCGTTGTAACAAGGATGGTTTGTTAGTTGTTTAACGCCGCACTCAGCAACATCGCAGCTATATAACGGCGGTCTGAAAATAATCGAGTCTGGACCAGACAATCCAGTGATTGACATCATGAGCATCGATCCACTCGATTGGGATACGATGACATGCATCAACCAAGTCTGACCCCGCGATCCCGTTAGTCACGTCTTACAACAAGCATAGCCGCAGTTTACGACAAGCATGGGTTGCTGAAGACCTATTCTACCCCGGATCTTCACGGGTCCAGTTTTTACAGAACGCCGTCATATAGCTGGAATATTGCCGAGCGCGGCGTTAAACAACAACAACAACAACAAACTCACTCAACACTATGTTGTGACTGGGGTGCAACCATAAGGAGGACAAAATGGTCAGCCACTCAACCGGAACATTTGCATTGGCTGAAACAATAGGGCTGGTAGGGGTAGTGTCTGACCCAAGCATAACCTTGACATCTTTAAGTAGGATCACCTCTTCATTAAAATCCCATACTGCAAACATATACTAAATGCAAAAAAAATATGTACATGTATCAAGTATTAAGAAAAACAAACTGTCTCTTGAAAACTTTCTGAAGATTTTAATCGATATATTTCGGAGAGAAATAAATTGCACACAAAAACATTACAATGAGACAGTTTGAAAGAAAATGGAAAAATTGGGCAAATGAATTGTCTAGTTATTATGTTTCTATTTTGAACATGAACAATTTCCACAAATGGGCCTTAAGGATTTAGCTTCACACTCAGTTGATGATGATCCCAATACGAATGGCAAGTATAGCATGCTCTTTCACCATGTGTTAAAGGGCAAGTTCACACGGAAATGAACCTAATTTTCTTGTACTTTTTCCACAATAAAAGTGTTAACCTAGAAGTGTCATAGACAAAAATATAAAAATATCACAATTAATTAACATATGTTTTGCATTAAAACGATTTATATTTTTCACATTTACCAAGTGTTCTATTTCCATAACAAAAACACCATGGCTTATGCCCCTTGCAATATGACGTCATTGGTGCCAATTGATAAACATTATGACGTCATCATGCTCTGTTAGAGCAGCTTCACGTGGTGTAGGTACAGGTTTGTGATTCTAGCGTCTCAGATGCCAGCCAGCATAGTGTTATGCTGAGTCACCACTGCGCCGGAGTGTGTCGTAGGCCATGTTGTTTTACCGAAAACTTGTACTTGATATCGTTTGCGTTCAGAATAGACAGGGACCCAGTTGAATTGGCACCATTTACGTCATAATCTAAGGGGGATAACTCAGGCCTGTTTAGCTCGAAAAACGAAGGCCTCATAACGGCATATCATTTTCACACTATTGTGAGCTTCCTACTTTCACTGTGAAAAAAATGAGTGTATATTTTCAAACACAGATACTAACTAATTCTAAAATTGCGTTTTGTTTAGAAAAAGAAAGATAGTGATTTTTGCGTGTACACTTCCCCTTTAACATTGTTGTACACCTGTAGCCAAATAAAATTTGCTGTCAGCTGTATAGGTATGTAACCTACACCTAATAAGTATATTGCATGTCATGTTACTCTTTCTAAAACTATGTAACATATACTGATTTGAATTAAAAAAATTGTAAAATAAACACAAACAAAACTAATACTAAATGCTAATATTTATACCACGTCACATGTAATAATTACGTATGCTAATATTAATACTAATACCAGCAACACTATTTATACTATATACTAAAACTAAATGCTAATATTAGTACTAATACTGACAACTAATGCTAATATTAATACTGATACCAGCAACACTATTTATACTATATACTAAAACTAAATGCTAATATTAGTACTAATACTGACAACTAATGCTAATATTAATACTGATACCAGCAACACTATTTTCACTATATACTAAAACTAAATGTTAATATTAGTACTAATACTGACAACTAATGCTTATATTAATACTGATACTAATTACACTATATGGTTTACTGGTGTTTAGTTGACAGTCACACAAAATCTGTGACTGCCATATACAGCGCACACACAAGAAGTATGCTCACATCGAAATTTAACATCGAGTTAATAAGCGGGATCCGGGGCAGGTCCCCCGACCGACTATTCATTTCATAATTCATTTAATAAACATGTGGGTTTTTTTAAAAATAATATAATACTTTCATTATTATTTCCTTTTTCAGAATTTATTTCATAAACATGTTTTTTTAATATATAAATTGACATTTATATTATTACTTCGGCCACCGACACTTCAGTTTTGGGGAGTTTTATATCAAACTGTATGTAAACATGTGCTAACAGTCGCAGTAGAGTCCGCCAAACAGCAGATAATCTCTGGCGAGCTGTAATCTGTGTTGATGTGGTTTGCCCCCTTTCCGCGCATGGGACTGTCACAGATGACGGTCGCCCACTTCAGATAGGTTACCGTAAATCCTTGAATGGACGCTAGGGTGTATATTTCAAACACGTCTCACATCCGGCGTCTATTCAAGGTAAGCGTCTGTTTTTTAATTACGATAATCACATTAATTTCCATTAAGATGGGACGTGTAATTTGATTAAAACGTGTGTGGTCTGCAGTTTGTATGATAACATCTTTCGTTTCAATATCACTTTATTGATTGCCTAAAGGAATATCTAAGTTTAACGATAAACGTTACTGATTTTTACCAACGAGTGAGTGAGTTGGATTTTAACGCCGCTTTTAACAGTATTCCAGTTATATCACGGCGTGTCAGCTTTATGTGGGAGGAAAGCCCGAAGTGAATCGCGGCGCCTTAGACGACTGGGCCACCCGTGCCCCCGATTTTTACCAACGCCTATTCAAAGTGTTTTCTTTCGCGACTCGGTCAAACCTGTCGTGTATTCAATACAGGCATTTATTCGAGGATATGCGGTAAGTCAGTATGCATACTCGCGTCTCGTGCATTAGGAATGCTGTAGGTCAAATGACTTCCACAATGAAATATATCTCACTCAATAGGCTTAATAGGATTTGAAACCTCCACGTAATTATACAGTCGACATTGAAACACTTATAGTTGTGTCCACGGTGGCATATGGCCGAGGTTCATGATCTGTAATGATAAATCGCTGTCATGTTTCACCATGGACCTGCGTTGAATGAGCGGTGATATCAATGTGTTTTCTGTTTCAGTTTGGACATACAGTGTATTTTATACCCGAGTTTCAGTTCAGCGTGAGAAATGGCGAAGTACAAACTCCTGATCAGATCAGCTCGTCAGGTCGTGCAGGTCACCAACACAGGAGCACGTGCACTCTATGGAGCGGACATGCAGCTCGTGGCGGTGTTGGAATCCGATGTTGAGGGTCATAGCATTGTGGTGGGGCTGTAAGTTGTCCTCTTGTCCACTCTTCACGGTTTAGCCTTATTGCAAAGTATGCAATACCATCACCAGCTCGCCTGGTGAATTTGAGGAAGAACCAATAATTACGGTATTTCGGATTTCATGCTTCCGGGTACTACACCTGATGCTGCACAGTGTGCACAGTGAAACGGTCATAAAATATCCGATTAACGTCGAGGTAGTAACGTAGAGTTACCTCCCTTATACTATTTTGGCGGTTATCAGTACCGTCGGTATAAACTCGACACTGGGTGTCTGAGTCAGTGGGGATTGTGATCGATGTGTCCATTACTATTTATGTATTTTTGCATGCAGACGATACATTTGAAATTTCACGATACATCGTCAGTCGCTCCCTCAATGGAATTGTAGCGTATTGTAAAGAATGGAAATTATCTATTAATTTTGAAAAGACAGAATGATTTATTTGTGGAGGTACCAAACTTTGAATGGCATTTGACTTGAATATGTTGATGATTATAAATACCATGGAATTTACTTTCGATGAATGTAACTTCTTTTCAATACCCATCAAAGAATGTTTTGTAATCACGAATCCAAGCTATGTACTACATAACGTACATCTATATAATGTATGTATTAAATGTAACCTTTATCTGATGGTTTAGTTTGACCAGTTGGTATTTATTGGATGGGAAATCTGAGGGTGACAAAATAAAACAGTTGAATAAATTCTTTAACAATTCCTTAGACAATTCTAACCTGTACGAAGAGAACTCTATTTTATATGTTATCGGAGGATCTTGGCAGCAGCAGGCTAGACATTGATATTATAGTGAGAGTGAGTGAGTTAAATTTTACATCGCATCGGCAATATTTCAGCCATATAGCGATGTGAACTAGGTTGAACAAGTTAGGCATTTATATTATATATTAAAAGCTGTCATCGAAGGACAGTACAACAACCAGCAATATTTCACAGATTATTATTTTAAAACTAGTTTTAGAGCAATAAAATAATCAGATACAATACAAACGATACAATATAAAAACGGGCTGTAGATCGCCAGCAACCAAAGTTAGGCCACCATACTAGGGACCATGGGGACTTACGGTACTTCTGCTACCTACATGGTACCCCAGCAGGATTTACACCATCCCTCTGGCCACTGGCGATTATCAGACAGATTAGCCAAAGAGTTAAAATCAACAAAAATACTACGATTAAAAGCACAGAGAAAGGAAATGATACCTTGAATGATACTGGACTTACGTACCTTCCCAGGGGGCATGGGTGTTATAACAAGCATAGTTGGTTTTGGGCCAAATTTGTATCTGACAAATGTATAACGTAAATGTCCTATATTGTGTGATCCATGATGTTTACAGTTTAGTTTTTACTCTAGGGTTTCTATTTTAATTGGATTATTGCATTTTTCATTTGGTAACCAAAATCTTTGCACTCATCTATTCCTCACGCTCTTGGTTTTTTCCAGAATTAGTGAATATTTTAAGATTTAAAAAGAATGAAATAATGTTTTAGATGTATATAACTGTTCTAAATATATAGACTTGACTTGAAAGTAAATTAGCACGTAATTCTGTTTAGGAAATTAGCTCCTTTGAAACAGCTTCATGTGGGTGTTTACGCGAGCCGTTTTTATACATTTGAGATTTTGCATGCGATTCTGTACGCAAGTTAATTGAAAAAAATTGGGTTTTGAAGATTTTTGTGGGGTATTTTACGCAAATACGCTGCTTATCTGTAGCTCTGTCAGATCATGGCAGAACTTATTGAAGGCTTCGTTTGTACGTAACATACTAGATTATACTGGATTCAGCTATATGTTTGGTTTCACATATCTTGTATCACCTACCTGGTTAAAATAATCTGTTTTAAGTACACTTCTTGATAATTATACGGAAAATTGAATTTCTTGCAAATGCATTGCTTATCGTCATTTGAAATCGGATGTAAAACAAGGGTACTATCTATAGTGTTTGCCCTCAGGGCTTGTAATCCCACCTGTGTTTTTGTTAACATCATGTCACCGCCCACCGTGTGAAACAGGAAGAGGGAACAACACCCCAACCCAAGGGCGAATCTGTAACGTTTGTGATGGTGGACACGGCTGTCACTATATATTGTCCAAACTTACATATCCCTGGCTAACCCATGTCCACCATTTGTACCTCATTTCTGACGAGGCTATATATTATGACCCGTGAAGATCCGGGGTAGAATAGGTCTTCAGCAACCCATGTTTGTTGTAAAAGGCGACTATGCTTGTCGTCAGGCCCGCTGACGTGGTTGATGCATGTCATTGATCCCAATTGCGTGGATCGATGCTCATGATATTGATCACTGGATTGTCTGGTCCAGGCTCGATTATTTACAGACCGCCGTCATATAGCTGGAATATTACTGAGTGCGGCGTTAAACAACAGACCAAAATTCGTATAAGTTATCGTCGACCGCCTCCGTGGTCTAGTGGTAAGGCGTCCACCCGGAGAGTGGAAGATCATCCGGGGTATTAATCTTTGAAGCGACGTTAAACACCATTTCACCACACCTATAAGTTATCGTCAGTTTTATCATGTTTATTGTGTTTAGATAAAGATAAGGAGGATAAAGATGATGATGATTATTATTATTATTATTTGACATGATCATGTTGTCACAATTAGTGTTGATGCTATAGCCACAATAACTTTACACCTGAGACTTGCAGAGTATCCCCCATCATCTCGTACTGTTTTCAGTGATGGTAAAATCAGCGACATTGGTCCGGACAGCGAGATATTAGACAAGTACAGGGACGCTGATTTCACCACCGTCATCAACGCAAGCGGGAGATGCGTGATGCCAGGTGACACGTCACATACAATGCGTTGTGTTTTGGTTAGAGTGAGTGAGTGAGTGAGTTGGTTTTTACGCTGAGAGTGAGTGAGTGAATGAGTGTGAGTTAGGTATAGTTTAGGGGACAAGGAGCCTGTGACAAGGAACTCACATCTATTTCTTTCAACATTGTAGAACACAATGTATTTAATTAAGGTGCGATAATAACTATTTATGATATTTTTTACAAAAACTGAAAACACGTATTTAATGCATACACATACCCAATTTAGAAAACAAAAAGTATTACTTTGTTGTTTAAACAACATTGAATTCCGAAATATTATCTTGTTTAAGCGAGGTACTATCTCGGCTTATTACGTTGTACTACGGCTTTGGTGTATTTAATGTCCATGCCCTCTTTGTTCCAGGGTTAGTGGACGCACACACCCACCCGGTGTGGGCCGGGGACCGGGTGCACGAGTTTGCTATGAAGGTATCACTACATATGTCTGCGTGATGGGTGAGACTGCGAGGAGTGCAATTCATAGTTCATACACAAGTCTCGTTTACACCGAAACCCCGTTCATCCCGACCCCATGAGACAGGACGTATTCAGTTGACAGCGTCTATACTCAGTACCCATGACTCGCTAATCCGGACGATTTCATGGCAACGCTACAGTCCGCATTAGTGAGTGGGTTTGGTTTTACGCCGCTTTTAGCAATATTCCAGCAATATCACGGCGGGGGACACCAGAAATGGGCTTCACACATTGTACCCATGTCGGGAATCGAACCCGGGTCTTCGGCGTGACGAGCGAACGCTTTAACCACTAGGCTACCCGACCGCATTAACGAGGTTTCATTGAAGAGAGATTTACTCAGCTAAATAATTAAAAGCATAACAATTGTTACCCCAAATCTAGAATTTGATGGAACTCTTTTTTTTATTCCAAATAGTTAAAAGCCTGTTCGTCCCATCAACTTCCGTCGGAGGATGAAATGCACAAATATAGTTGTATTTTTTACCGGTGCCTTGTGGATTTAGAAGCAAAATCACCCTCTGTGTTTCGAACCAATGTTTTAAACCGACTGCAATACTTGTAAAAACGTGATTGCGTGATTGTTGGTTAGGGCACGATAAATGTGTTTTTTGGATTTTCGTCTATTTTTTTCTGAAAATATGTGAGGAGGGAGGCATTTTTATACCATTTTGTAAACCAATTGTTCATGTGTATCGGAACTGTCGACTGGTGTGATTCACAGGTCTATTCTCGTCACGTATTTCGATGTCAATCGCTGATCGGTAACGTGTCACTTTCACCTGTCACCTGAATTCGTTATAGCCACCAGCTGGTTGTTTGTTGCCACGCCTGTGTGTTTTTCATATTTGCATCACGTTTACTAACAAGAAAACACAAAATAGCAATTTCCTTCGTCTGTAGATACTTCGTGGCAATAAAACCACGTGGTGCTTGTTGGTGAGGCGGCCGGGAAAATCTGATTATCACAAATATGTCCTAATATTCCTCCGACAATAACGACAGACTGAGATACTGTAAAATGCTGCGTCAACCTCCACACCGCCCTTGGTCTGGCTGATATAGTGTGTAATCGTACCCCGACGGCATGGGCAAATCCGTCACTGTGTGCTACAGGTCATTGCTTTTTGAACTTTGTATGTTTTCTAACGCCCACCCAGTAGTGTTCCAACTGTATGAAGGATGCCTGTAAATAATGGAGTCTGGGCCAGCAACGCTCCACGCCGTCGGGGTACGATGCTACGCAATCAGTCGAGTCACGGAGGCTTACCACCGGATCCAACAAGTCGCCTCTTTTTTAAAACGAAGACATGAAAATCAGATTTAATATGTTTTAAATAGCCTTTGGTGTCGTATATAGAATATATATGTAATTTGCAAGCACATCTCTTAAAGTGTCTGGACCGCCTTCGTGGTCTAGTGGTAGAGCGTGCGCCCGGAGACTGGAAGGTCCGGGGTTCGATCCCCGGCTGCGTCACACCAAAAGACGTTAAAAGATGGTACTTGTTGTTACCCTGCCTAAAAAAAACCTTTTAAAATACATGTCATACTTGTACTAGATTTTGTGTGTGTACAGTTGGCCGGGGCATCGTACATGGAGGTGCACAACGCCGGCGGGGGCATACACTTCACCGTCGACCACACCAGGCAGGCGACGGAGGAGGAGCTGCTGCAATCATTCTGCGGTCGGCTCCGGGCAATGGTCCGGTTTGGTACCACGCTGGTTGAATGTAAAAGTGGATATGGTTTAGACACGGACAGCGAACTGAAGATGCTGAGAGTGATAGACAAGGGGAGACAGAGCGTCAGTATTGACGTTTCCAGCACATACTGTGGCGCTCATGCTGTCCCGAAGTAAGACAATGCATAGTCCCATTGTAAAAGGATGTGATGTATCAAAGAAAGAGCAGACGACATTCCAAAGTAAAGGCAGATGATATTCTGAAGTAAAAGCAGACGACATTCTTAAGTAAAAGCAGACGAACTAAAATAAAAGCAGGCGATGTTCTAAAGTAAAATCAGACCATATTCTAAAAAGATGCAGACGATATTCTAAATAATAAGCAGACGATATTCTAAAGTAAAGGCAGATGATGTTCTTAGTAAAAGCAGAGGGTATTCCCAAGGAACGAGTTGTAATAATTCGACAACTCCTTGGTTGACAAGTGACTGAATTATAGAATTATTGTGTAATCAGGCACTGTTGCAATGGTTTTTCGCCTTTGTTGGTCAATCGTCTCGCCAGGTGTCATTTGCTAACATGTATATATAGTCCCTCCCAAACCAAGATTGATCTCAATGATATAATGGGGGAAAGTATTAAGCATCCGGCAGCAATACTGTAAATAGCTTTTGGGAATTTTTTTATAAAGGGACAGTGAAGTGGGTCTTCAGCAACCCATGCTTGCCGTAAAAGGCGACTGTGCTTGTCGTAAGAAGCGACTAACGGGATCGGGTGGTCAGGCTCGCTGATTTGGTTCGTTTATTTATCTAAGTTCATCAACTTAATTTGTATATACAGAGGTCGAACGGCGGCAGAGGCGACAGATGACGTCATTAAGAGGCAGCTCCCTGCTATACAGAAACTGATGACGTCAGGCGAGCTCCGCGTGGACAACATCGACGTGTTCTGTGAGAAGGGGGTGTTTGACGTCACACAGTCACGTGACATCCTCTTGGCTGGGAAGGCAGCGGGGTTACAGGTCAACTTTCATGGTGATGAGTTGCACTGCTTGAACTCTGCCGAGGTACAGTTACTGTCGCATTTTGGACTCTTTACATTGGCCACTAGCTCATCAGCGTGTCACGTTTGTCTTAACGTGACACGCTGATGAGCTAGTGGTCAATGTAAAGAGTCACGTAGTCATCTTCCCGAAGCAAGGGAGTTAACTGACTGTAAAATGTCCAGTTTCCAACCTTGCCAAACCAGGCTGGAATTTCTGGGCTTGATCGTAGGACCACCAGTAATTATTACGAGTTAAGTCCTTTCTACTGACCAATCAGATTCCTTCTCTCATATCACTTGTATTTACTTCAAACAATATGTAGGGGGCACGGGTGGCCCAGTCGTCTAAGGCGCCGCGATTCGCTGTGCAGAGTTGCGTCCCTTGGGCACGCCAGAAACCTATGATTGTGGGTTCGAATCCCGGTTCGCCCCGATTATGTTTCTAGGTTTGTCAGCACCATACCCGTGCTCGTGGGTTTCACCGAAGTGGTAAACGTCTGAGACCTGCACCATTAAGCTGACACGCCGCATATAACTGGAATACTATTAAAAGCGGCGTTAAACCCAACTCACTCACTCACTCACTCACTCACTCAAACAATATGTCAGTGAAGATGATATGATCGATAATCAAGATCTATATTGTAATAAAACAAGTCTTACTTCGGGAAATCATGTGAGTAGCTTGATCACAAAAACATGATAAGTTTTGGAAAATGTATGTTGACATTAAGTTGTCGGTACATATGCTTTGCAAATCCTGCATTCGCCCGAAGTCTTCACTGCCGGATGCCGATTTCGTTACGCGATTTTGAATTGACTATCATTCCAACCTTGTTTGGCATGGGTCGAAACTGGACTTTAATAGTTAGTTAATTCCCTTGCCCCGGGAAGATGTATGTAGTGTGCACGCCTGCAAGTCATCAAAATTTGCCACTGTCTTTTCCTGCACCTACACGGAAAACAGGTTAAAACATTCTCTCCCTTTACCTCAATTCCACCACAATGATGTAACAGAAAACCTTTAAATCTGTCATCGTGGGGATTAAATATCATCTGATTCCAAACTTGTAATGTAAACCTATCATGTTGAAGACCTACATTGCAGATGGGCGCTGATATCGGTGCTCTTGCCATCAGCCATCTTGAAGAGGTGTCACGTGACGGCATCGGCGCCATGTCAAGGAGCGGCACTGTAGCAGTTATTCTGCCTACGACGGCCTATATACTTCGGTTATCCCCCCCTCCCGTCCGTCAGATGATCACAGAAGGCGTGGCCGTGGCCCTGGGATCGGATTTCAACCCGAATGCATATTGCTTATCAATGGTAGGGATATAAGCGCTAAGGAAACACTCTCTATGTGAGCCACTTTGACTGTATTTAGAGCAACTACAACTATTCGATGATAGGGTTGAAGAATACAAACAATGTCATCATTTTGGTGCAGCATTTTATATCTTGTCGATCTAGAGAGCTCATTTTAATGTACGTCTACCATTAATATTTTTTATTCTTCGTTCTGATGGTGCAAAAAATGCCCAGATCGAAGTTTCATTTTTTTCTCAGGTCGTCTCAAACAGATGTGGAACATCTTAGATGTGGTAGCTATAGAGGGATTCGAACTTAAGTGTTCGCGATGAGCGACGTAGTAACGACTGAGCTACCAACCGCTGGATTGGATTTTAATGTGAATATAACCTACATGGTTGTTGCAGTGGTAATTGCAGGTCTTCTCGATCGTTTCTTGCAGCCGATGGTGATGCATCTTGCCTGTGTCAATCTGCGCATGTCCATGCCGGAAGTGCTATGTGCTGGTACTATCAACGCGGCAGCTGCTCTGGGCAAGTCGTCCAGCCACGGTTCTATAGAAGTGGGGAAAGTCGCCAATCTCCTCGTCTTGGATGCACACAGGTACAGTGTGATGTGATGAATGATGCTTACCATAGCAGTCAGCAATACTCCAGAGATATCACAGCGACTTGAAAACCTCCAGTCTTGTCAAGGCAATACGGTGGTTGATAGCACGAGCAAGAGCCACACGGACGGGATACGCTGACATTCTTATTTTAGCTCTACTCTTTGGGGAGCAACAATGGAGGGGCTGGGAAGTTTATGATTTTTTCCAGAAAACAAATGGACATGATTGTCTTATATAACAATAAGTTGTAGCCGAAAGATTTTTTTTCGCTTGAATATTTAACGTTAGAAGTACTGTTAACCAGCTTTGAACAGTGTCAGAGAGATAAGTTATGTCATTTTATTGTGACGTCATGGTTTAAAAATAATTAAATATGTGATTCCGATGGTTTTTTTGTATTTTCTCAGGTGGGAACATTTGATCTACCAGTTTGGTTGTAATGACGTCATCGAACACGTCATCTGGCACGGAGACGTTGTCCACAGCAAGTCAAAACCTTGTACGTCATAATCCTCAACTCCGCTAAGTCATGTTTGTACGATGTATTGTTTGCCACAGATTGGCTGGCTGGCGTTTGATGTATAACGAGCGCTTCTAACGAACTGATTTTGCATGTCGATTTTACGTCACGTATATACTTCACCTCGATCATTCGCTGTGCAGAGTTGAGTCCCTTGGGCACCCCACCTATGATCGTGGGTTAGAATCAAGGTTCGCCCTAATTATGTTTCTAGGTTGGACAGCACCATACCCGCTCTCGTGGGTTTCACCAAAGTAGAAAACGCCTAAGACCTGCATCATTTCGGGCTTTCCTCCAACATCAAGCCTACACACCTGATATAACTGGAATACTGATCAAAGCGGTGTTAAACCCAACTCACTCACTCACATTACCCCGATGAGTGGGTTTATGTCAGTGTATCCGTTGTTCCTGTAAGATAAGCTTTCTGAACAATGCTTATTCTTTTGTGTTTTTTGCTGAAAACTACAAAATACTGGTAACCATGTCTTTTGTGCATCCTGTTCAGGTCCAACTCATTGTATGCATTTAATAGTTTTAATAGGACCCCCAGCACCCATCAGATAATTTAGACACATCAGTTATTTGTAATCATTGGCGGGGAACTCACTCATTTGTCAACTTCTTTTGAAATCTGAAACATCAAAAAAGCAACCCAGACAATTTGAATCATTTTATGGCCGCTCGATGTCCAGTGATGACCACTGATGTCCACGGCGGGCAGTATAAATCACGGGTATCGTCCCTAGCATCGGTGTTGAGACTCCGTGAAGGGAGCACGTGCCACGGGCGTCCGTAGTCGCCCTGATCGCGCGCCATCCATCACCGTTATCACTGTCGATCATAAACTACCTGTCGGCGGATATGTTCGACACACAGAATGAAGGATCGTGCTCTCATTTGTCCCCTCACTTCCACACAAGGCTGAGGCGATGTGGGCAAATTAGACCTAATGATGTGTATCAGTTCTGACAATAAATCAGGCTCTATCTTGTTCTCACTATTCTCCTTAAGACTCTGGAATGAAGACAGCATGTCATTTAAATTCCACGAGATCATTAAACTTCAATCTATGTCAACACTATTTTTGTTATGCAACGTGTCTTCGTCGATGCTATGCGTCTATGTTCTGAGGTCCGTTTCGTTCCTCAAGCCAAGTGTACCTTTATCTATAAAATATTTACACTCGCTTGGTGTGCCTTTCGATCTAACCTAGATTAGATTAACCAGATTAAACTATGTCAGATGATTATGTGTGAGTTATCCTTTCGTTTTTAGTCGTCATATTTTTTATTGTTGTGTCATATGTATTTTGTTTGTTGACGTCGAAATTTCGCTTTGCATTGACAACCTAGGTTCAGTCGTGTTGCAGGACGCTTAAATACCTCACCATTTCAATCAGATCGACACCGTTATAAGTCCTTATATAACCCGGTGTAATACTAGTTCTGATCTGGGCCCGTTGCACAGATCGATTGTAGCGCTAAGATCATGGTAACAACCATACTTTAACATGGGCTTACTATAGTCGTAGCGCTAAGATCTGTGGAACAGGGCCTAGACCCGTCTATTTGAAGACGAGTACACTGCTCCACAAAGCGATCTTCGTACTAAGATCTTACAAGCAAGTCTTTGTTTAAGCACATTGAAATCTTGTTACGTACATCATTTACCACTAAAAACGTCACCATTAACTAACAGAATTATGGATCATGGAATGAAAATATATTCCCACTTTGAACCACAAAGCGTAAATTACGGATTCGACAAGGGCAGCTTCGACGATTGCAATCCGAACTCAATTACAGGAAGCGTTCTTACGCACAGAATATTTGTAACGTTACACCTAACGTACAACGATGATGTTTAATCGTTGTTATACGGTTAGGATTATGGTCAGTATTTCTTACATATACCACTCAAAAGAAGTTAAGAGCAGATTAACTGTAGTAAAATAAAGGAATCGGTGGTCCTTAACTTGTTTTGAGTAGCATATCGCCGTTCTGGTCTGAGTACATTGTATATCGTGAGCTGCTACATATCTTATGCTGCAAAATGTATGGAAACAATTCCACTTGCAATGGGTTTGTGTCCTTTGTTAGTGGTATTATGGGTATTTATTAAAGCATCTGTACGGATCTCGAAGTTTTGATTGTTCTTGCTCAGAGGTTCTCCTGGGTGTAGTTTGTAGAGGAAAAATTCTATTTTGCCACACTTTGAAAACGTATGTTCGATCTTTTTGTAACATTTGGCAAAATGGCCACAAAATCAAAATAAGTTTTCCTGGGTATTAAGGCATGAGATAATCAAACACAACAATACTGTTGTACGGGTTCTCATTTGATGTGTTTGGCGAAGGACTTGAGCACAATAACACATATATTTGTATTTTAAATTAAAGTTGATTGTGCGTTTTCTTTGTGTTTCAGTATATATTAATTTACATCAACGCCCACTCGCCCATGTGTCTATGACCGCCATGTTAATGTCAGACCCCTTTATATATTTCAATGAAAGCACATGCTAAAATGTGCTTAAAGTACAGTCGAAACCCCATCAAAATCTGTTCCCGATCAGTATGTCATTTTCACAATGGACATTTTTTCTGATATATGGCTCGTTGTAGACACGACCTATGACCAATACTACTTTTCTCCATTCCAAAAAAAACCAGGAATGGTTTCCAGACGATTAACCCTTTAAAAGATTCCTTACAATACACTGAATTCGTTTTCACGTCGTTCAACACGCACGTATAACATGTGTCAGTTCAAATCAGCCACAGCATCCAAAATGGATGAGAACTCAATCTTCTACTAATCCAGTTTTACCATGGTATTTGACTCATTCGCCTTTAGAGGAAGTTCTGTCACATGTAGCAGTTTATGTAAAGCAAATCAAATGATCCATGGTCTTCACATGGTTTTCACACAGAATGGTGACTAGGTTGCAGCGTCACAGTCCGCCATATGCACGCCGTCACCCCAGCAGGACTGCCGATCATGGCTTAGTCCCGCGGTGAAGGTCATTGCGCATGAGCTGTAGCGGTGTATGCCGCCGTCTGCTATGTATCAAACCTTGGTCAATATTTTCGGCCTGGAATGAAATGAAATGGCGGCATGGTGGCGTTTATGAGTATTTTGGGCTGTAAGTGCCATTAAACACTTTCCACTAACTGCCACTAATTTCTTTATTCGTCCTCGCTCTCCCTTCAATTTCATTTTCCTTTGATGTAGCGACTGTGAAGCGTAAAGTAGATGTTAATGACCGCCTATTGGTTCTCAATACAAGATGGCGGCGATAAGATACAGCGACACCTAGTGTCGTAGCGACAGCTCAATTACGGTAGGGGACAATTGTCCAGCTATACGGTGGTCACTGGAGCAGCACGTGCCCTCGTCCAAAGTAGGTGTGCACTCTGACCTGGCTGAAAGACCGGGTCGTGGAAGTTATTCACAGATTTCATCATTGGAACATATCACACCTCCTCCGTCCGCCATAAAACGGCACAATGATGGACGTTCCCTCGTTTGTAAAGTAGCTATATCCTCGCTTTCAATTTGGGTTTTAATAAAACGGCTGTAAATAAAAGGCTATGTGAGCGTCACGCCTCATAAATCATACTTGAGCTTTCAAAATGGATGTCTTAATTTAGTAGGCTCGCCCAAACTGACGTGGGGGCTTAAGGTAATATTGTAACGCTGCTCTTACCGTAGACGTCGCAACACGATATCAAAGTCTAACGAAATACGTATTGTCCATGTCAAATGAGTGCGTAGCGTTTAACAGTGAATGAAATGATTTGGAGACAACTTGAAAGTCATCCTGATGGCTTAACAGGTTTTGTTCCGACTGTAATATTGTTTGAGACCGTTGAGAAATAGTTTGGCTAATCTTTATGTATGCTGTATTTATGGTGTAGACATTTTTCGTTTCATTCCAAGACCATTACGGCCTAATAATGATCATGATAGTCACGTTTTCTGGCCCCATGTGTCGGGGATAGGTTTTTGTATTGTGAAAGGGATACTACGGCATCTTAAATAGATACTTAGCTTTGAATGTAATATATACATGGGGTACATTTATTTGCAACAGAATATGGTTAATCCGAAGCAGTATAGGTCATCAGTACCTTGTGAAAGTAGGTGGAGTAGGTGTGCGATTAAAGTGTTCAGTCATCGCGCCAAAAGCCCAGGTTTGATTCTCAACTTTGGCGTTGTGAAACCCTGCCCTGGCGTGTCCGCTTTAATGTTGTCTTAATATTCCCGAAAGCGGTGTCGAGCCATATTCACTCACTCACTTCACATATGTCTAAGGGCGGTCGGATAGCCTGGTGGTTAAAGCGTTCGCTCGTCACGCTGAAAACCCGGGTTCGATTTCCGACATGGGTACAATGTGTGAAGCCAATTTCTGGTGTCCCCCGCCGTGATATTGCTGGAATATTGCTAAAAGCGGCGTAAAATCAAACTCACTCACTCACACATATGTCTAAAACATTATTCAATTTGTGACTGGTTTTAAATTCTCTTTTGACGTAAATGTCATTGATAATTTTCCATTGCCCCTCTCACCATCGTCTACAGTCGCCAGCCTGTTGTGTGCCGTTACCGCGTCTGTATACGATGTGTCAGGAACGGATGGCCCAGTGGCCCATGACGACGCAATTTTCGGTGCAGAGTTACGTCCCTTGGATGTGTCAGGATTCGTTGAATGGGACACAATTCTGCTCATAAAACTGGCATAATCGAGGTTGACGCAGTTATATAGGGTTCAATATTGCTCACAGAGAGAGAGAGCGAGAGAGAGAGAGAGAGAGAGAGAGAGAAGCAGAGGGAGAAAGGGAAGGGGAAAGAGAGAATGAAGGGTGAGAAAAAGGAAAAAGAGAGGGGGTGAGTTGGGTTTTACGCAGCTTTAAACATTAGGTATGTCAGTTCTATCATTTCAGTGCCAGCTTAACATGTAAGAACAAATGCCAGGGGACAGGGTGAGCATGTTTCAACATTCCTTCTCCCGCCACACACATCGACCCTGACAACCATTCCCACCTCCCCCTTTACATTTTACATTTTACTTTGTTAAGTAATACGTTGAACATGAAAAGACAAACGTGATCTTTCACCTTAATAACCAAAAACCATTGTATAATCTTCAATTTTCTCCAATAAATAACACAATAATTTGTGTAGCCCCATAAACCTTTAAACATCACACCGACATAAACAC